AATAAACGATCAGAAATTCACCGAATATGTGCTGGCCGGACTCTGTATAGGAGCTCTGAGCTCTGCTGCTGGTAGCTCGCACGAGTCTCGATTATAACACTCGGGTGTTGTCATAATGAAATCCGGTAGGCGGTCATTTTTATTATTGTTATTATTATTATATATTTTTTTGTCTACCTTATTGTTTTTCTAGCGTTGGTATTGGCGTTCTTCGGCGTTCGGTTAAAAAGTGTCAAGTTAAGTACATACAATTTTCAGCAGTAATACTCAGTAAACGCACGCACATCTTTGTGAATCCACATTTATGCATTTTGTCTTAGCTCGTTTTGATTTTGACTTGAGTCAACTCTTTTAACAAATAATAAACATCGGTATAAGTGAAATATAGGTTTAAAACCGCTTTGGACGATACCATTCAAGTTAAAAAAAAAAAAAATGGTTTTTCTATTCTTAATAATTTGAACGAATTGTGAAGTGTATTACTCTACATTATGACGTTCGTTAGCTGATAAGTGATAAATTAAGTTGTTTGTAAAAATGTGTTAAGAAATTTGGGTATATAACAGTACCAAATACAGTCTCGTCAAATTTAAAATTAATTTAAAAAACAATTTTTTTTCGCAACTTCTTATAACAATATTATTAAACTTTCAAGTTTTATCTTTTTTAGTTTTTTTTTATAACTTGTGGTATAGCGCAGTATAATTATTTTCTGTCAGCACTACACACAACCGGACTTACCCTCTAGCCTATACTTTAATATGCTAATTATTATTTCAAGTATGATCGATCAAAACTGGTTATCGACCAGCCGTTTTTTTACAGCACATAATCATGTGGCTCAATATGTTTAAAATTATGATTATGGTTTTCATTAGAATTTGGTAAATTAATGAGTTGTTTTCGAAATCCTAATTTTTTTCATAGAAAACAAACGTCTTGTTTTTAATGGTTCAATGTGCATGTATTGATCGAAGATGGGTAAACAAAAGTAATAAAAGCATTGCTTGGGATCTACGCGAAAACGTCACAGCTTCTAAGGGGGTAAAGGCGTTGATCATTATATATGCATTTTAGTGCGGAACGGGGAGAAGTAGGGGTACGCTTAGGAAGATCAGAAAAAAAAATTAAGAATTTCGTCCATCGGGTGATTATTCATACAGTATAATATATCTATATGTGTAGGTATGTATAAGTTGTTTTTATTATATATCTATATATATAATATTATTATAAAGGCGAAGGATTACGTTTAGGTGTCGCGGTCACGTCAGACGGACGCACGTGCGCTTTTATACCATGACACACGTTCTAGATTTTCCAACATATATATATATATATATGCATATAGGTCCTACCTTATAGTCCTTACACATATTACAAGTGGTGGTCGCTCTTGTTCTTATGTATACGTTTTTCTCTCTCTATCTCTCTCTCTCTCATCATGTATAGGTACCTATATACTCGTCGTCATTATTATTATTACTCTGGACATTTTTTTATAAATCTGTCGCGTGGAAAATAATAACTCCGGGAGTGTTTTTTTTTCTTTTATATTTATTTATTATTTTCGAGATTCATCATCGTTGCTGCCGCCGCCGTCTTCTTTTCCTCGGTCTTGGTTATTTTATCATATTATTAGTGTATTGAAAAGGCGCTGGTCGACGGTAAATAATAATTATATAACATATGTATATACATAATATTATATAGGTAAACAATGAACACACCGGGGTCTGGATAGTTCACCTTTGGATATGAATTTTTCCATCAGAAACACAGCAGCAAGCCGCATGGCGAGAACAATCGGCCCGGGTCTGGGGGTCGTCGCCGTGTAATAATAATCAATGTTATATCTTATATTATACATTTATATATTATATTTTTATGTATGTATATTGTATATATTATTATGTTTGTACATGTTGCCGGCACAATGGTACGGCGGTATTGCATTCTAGGCGGATCCAGTTCATCTCGGACACAGATACAAGCTGTGAGGGTGGCAGCGGCTTCCACATAGATTTTTCATGGATAAGGTCTGGTCTGTTGCAAAAGTTTTCCATTTGGCAGGATATTTTTCAAACGGCTCCGGGTACGACTTGACTGTCAACTCCTAAAATGTTACCAGCCTATACATAATACTAAATAGCAAGGAGAGCTGTGCACTATTTGACCACAAAGTTATATAAATAATCATCTTGATAACAAATTATTCAATTGAAAATTATTCGAATGACTTTAATATATACATATACTATGCAAATAATTTTAAAGTACGATTTTAAACTATTTTTTTTTAACACGATTTTGTATAAATATATTATGTTACATATTATTATAAATAAAGAAACAAATTAATATTACTATTTAACTGTTAGAATAGTATGATAATTTATTATTTTTTATGTAAATAAATTGTGACAAATTATTAGAATAATTTTGTATATGAAAAATAATAATTATTAAACATTATTTGAATAATGTTTTATTTGAATCATATTTATTCGAACAATAATTTGCACAATACTAATAGCAAGTGAAAAAAAAATTAAAATAGCCCTTATAATAAGTTTAAAAATTAATTAATATTCTTTTTAAATCTTAAACTTAACTTGGCCGCCGGTAGTCGGACGGGCAGCTACCGCACCAAGTTATTGACCAAATATCGTAAAACCTTATGAGTTATAAAATATGCCCAAGTAGACTATAGAAGACCACAGTACAACCAAGTGCTTACCCCTTTGTGCTATTTATATGTGTTTACCTGTACACATGTATGTATACAACAATATATATCTTATGGGTTTTACGACTGAGTAATTTATGTCATAAAATACTGTACCTATAGGTAGTCTGTATACACTCAAAACTCCTTAGAGAAAACCCCAGTTGGTATACTTCTGTACTTGAGGGCCAAATCATGGTATTATTTTTTTTAGAAAGTCCAGTTTTTAGCCTTTAGGTTTTGAACGATGTGTAGTAATTGGAATTTCGATTTTCTTAACATATATGAATTCCAACAGTAGCATACAACAATAAAAACTTACCAAATTTTGCTCTAGGCAAGTTTAAAAGTTATAAACTTTTGTTATGGTTCAAACAAATTTTAATTATATGTGGAATTTGACTCTTAAGTATTTAATTGGGTCAACAGTCAACTTTTCATAAGATTTTCATAAGCATAGGACGGCTGCAGTTATGACTGATCAACCAATAATATTTTATTACCTATCTATTTTAATATTATTATTCTTTGAAGATTCGTTCCCAAGTGTATTTTTTACGTTTAACGAAGTCATTAATATTAATATACGATGGTTTGTACGTGAAAATGTTTTTAATTGCTAAATAAATTATCGTCAGTGATTGCCGTTTAATTCAAAAATGATTATCCAATAAATATTAATTAATAATGGAACATCTTAACGCTTATACGTACCACTATCTTACATGTAATACTAATTGATTTTTAAATTCCATATGAAATCAGTGAACGTCCCCAATCCTTATAAATTTACTATCATTATTCATTGTCAATCAATATTGTAATAATATATTAATTACAACAATTTACTATTCAAGACACTTTTTTTTTAAAAATACATACATTTAATTATACTTCTATATAAGATTGTGTTTAATATTAGACATAATTTAGGTTTTATTATTATTGATTTATATATTATGTTTGATATTGACAAACAAATAATCTGTCTTTTGTTTGTTAAAAAAACATTTGGGAATTGTGCAATTGTTTTATTATTTTTTTATTCGACCAGTCGAAGGAGCTTAGCTGAAAGTTGTTGGCAATTATACTTACTTAGTATTTGAGTTAATTCCTATGGGTTATGTATGTATACTTGGGTACATTTTTTTAAATTTTAATTTAAATACAGATTAATACTAATTTAGGCTTTTTTTGACTATTCACAATTAAAAAATCATACCTAGTAAACAAATAATAGTAAATTTAGTTTTTACCACAACTCAATTGACAAAGTGGACTTGTCGAACCAACTATACATACAAATAATTTATTATAATTCACAATAATGGTTTAAATCACTTATAATTGATTGTGTTTTATAATATTTAAATTGCATTGTCATTTCAAAACTTAATGATAGACCATGAAATAAATAACATTTACGTTTTATTTTAATAATACTTAGAAATCCATTCATTTCTTTTGTTTTTATCTAATAAGTAATATTTAGTAATATAACTGGCATTTTAATTTCTATAGGTTGCCTACCAACAAACCAGCAAAAATGTATATAATTTATCTAACCCATTAAATTAAGACGCTATGTTTAGGTTTTTTTACAATTTAAAACTGCAACTTTGAAAAGTATTAAATAATTATGCTAATTATATAAATATAATTTAATAAAAACTCAAATAATAAATTAATATTATTTTTGTCTAGAAAATTTTAATAATGATTCATAATAGTTATTTAAATTAATTTTATTTTAACTAAATAATTTCTGACAAATGAAATTAGTAATGCAGATAAAAAATGTATAAAAATAAAAGTTCAAATAATAAAATCGAATAAATACTTGTTAAAACAATTATTTTCAACAAAACTTCACTAATTTTTTTTTAATAAATTATTACTTGTAGTTATTTCATTTAAACAGTTTGAGAAAACTTTTTACTATATTTGTTTAATATAGTAAGCCAACCTGTAGATGAGGTCTAAGACAAATTTTAAAACATCAATAATTATTTACACTTTTTATATATTTTGCAGTTAGTCCCACTTGAACAGATTGACTAGTTTGCTAACGTTTCAGAATACTTGCACATTCTATCTACAGGGCTGTGGTTTGATGTTGCTTGTAACGTATTTGTCAGGTCTCATGTGCAAGTATTCTGAAACTTTGGCAGGCCAGTCAATCTGTTCAAGTAGGAATAACCGCAAAATATATTAATCACAAACTAGCTCTTCAACTATTAATAAAGAATTTGTAAAACTATAAGCAGAAACATCAGGACTAATACTTCTTATAATATTATTTACGTAAAATAATTAGTTTGTGTGTTGTTAAAAAATTTGTATTTTAAACGGCAAAACTGCCTTAACACATTTTATAGTACTTAACAGATAAATTATAAACAATAATAACTTTTAATATAAGTCATAAGTGTATTATACACAGTCTAAATTATAAATTTATTTTTTTCTTCCAGTTTTCTTCAACCATTTTTGTCGTTTAGATTCTAACAATTTCTTTCTTTTGGCTTTTTTCCTATCTTTAATTCGCTCAATCTTGTTTTTCATTTTAAATATTTTGCTGTTTTGAACAGTCTCGGCTGCTTGTTTTTTAATAGCTTTTTTTATTTCTTTAATTGAACCAAAATTCATACCGGGCACACCATTTTCGTCTTCATTGTCTCCTTTTTCAGATTCTTTATCATCATCGTCTGAATCGTCATCATACACAACCTGAAATAATCAAAACACATAAATAAAATCTTTCTTTTCGAACAAATTTTTCCTTAATAATAGTTGAAATAGTAAATGATAGTTTAAATACTCTATTGACCAAGAGAAGACCTCTACATATAAACAAAAACTAAGTAGTGCTTTAGTATTTCACTTATACCATTTAGCTTCTCCCATCGGCAACACAAGTGGACAGGATGTCATCTCTCGACGAACAGAATGTAATACTATACTGTTATGTACAATAAATAATAGAAAGGTCGATGATTCCAACAATCATAATGGTATCGCTAAATAACTTTAATTTACCTGATTTGAACCAATCCAATTATTGCTTTTTGCAATTTCATCAGTTGATAATTCACATATTTGTACAGTATGATTATCTAAGTTGTATTCTTCAGTAACATAATCCAAAGGTTCTGGGACAATCGGATGAGCATTAGTCAGTTTTTTAAATGCTTCCCTTGCCTATGATAAAAAGTTCACAATAATTTATCATCTTCAATGAGATAGAAAAAAAGAGTAGAATTTACTTACCTCTGTTTTAATGCGTTTTTTTTCTTCCTTTAGTTTTTTTTCAAAGTCATCTTTGGCTTTTTTCTGTCTTGCTAGTTTTCTTTTATGGAATCCAGTCAAAAAGTCACTAAAAATAGTACAATTTCCATTGTTATATTAAATATGTAATAAATAGTCATGGGTAAATTTTAAATGTATCAACATGAAGACGATTATTTTTATAATATATTGTGGCAATAAGTATATCATTAAAACGTAAACTAAAATGCCAAAATGTATTTTGAAATGCTTTTACAAGTCCAGAACTCCCAACATAATTTGGTGAAATTTATAATATTACATTTTGTAAAATATTACATTAATCAGTAAATGTATAAGAAAAATATAAAAGTGAAAAATATTTTAAAGAAAACAAAATTACCATCTAGATTTTTCATCAAAAGTTATCGTGCGTTTTGTCCTTCTATTAATCGGTTTTCGATGCCGTTTTACTTTAGTCCGATCGTTGAAATCTTCTTTACCAACGAAATCCATCATCAAAAATTACTTTACTGATACATTGGTATTTTCTACTTTGGACTAAAACAAAATTTAAATTTGGTTTCACGACCGAATCAAACTCACATGTCGACGGCTTTATATTTTGCAATGGGTTATCACAAATAACTGATAAGAGATAACAATATTTACCATATTATTATGATTGAACAGGGTAGCCAACTGTTGACCAACTATACTTTTAAACTTGTGAATGAAAATTTAAATATTTTTTTTTTACAATTTTTCAGCTTTAAATTCTAATTCTCATTTCAAAAGTATTAAAAACAAATTGTACATTTTTAACAATACATATTTTTTCTTTCGTCTATAAAAATATATTTAAACAATTTTCTTAGCGCGCTATTTAAATTATTTCTTTGGATTTTTGCCCTTTTTTTTTTTAAATTACAAGTTCATAAGAACACAAGGGGGGTACCACCATCAAAATTTGTTACATTCTGTTACGGACCCTTTTATGTTGAAGGGCTGACCGGCTGAGTAACGGTTAATTTTATAATTGACCTTGTTGTAAATGTGTTTGTTGTTGAAAAGTAGAGAATGTTTATTAATTTTAAACACTCAGAATTAAAATATTAATTATTTAGTTTTTTTTTGTACAATTTAAACAGTTGATTGAACGTAAAATTATTTTGGCCAGTATAGAAATATATGTCTGAGAAACGTGGTGGAATGAAAGTGTTGATTTGGCTGCCGGAAATCATCTTCCTAAACCAGAAGCTCCTAAGGGTGTATGTAGGTATCATCGGTTGGCCTGTGGTGGGATTGTGGAATTAGCCGTTACCTTGGCGGCACGTGTATCAAAGGATCGACCGTGTTACACATACCTAGTATATACTAGTTTACATTGTTTATATAATTTATGGGTTGTCGGTCACACTATTTTAAACTAAAATATACAGACAAAAATAGAGAAGAGAAAAAAATTAAGATTTGTGTTGTTACATATAAATAAATGAAACTGACCCGCTCTCAAATAGGATATTAAAACAAATTAAACTAACATATGATATGTTGAGTGTTCATTTTTCAATAGGTATACCTACCTACTAATCAACTGTACTCCTTGTACAATAAGTATTATAAATATTAGCATGATACCATCCAATTGTACAATTATCTTTTTTTAACGAGGTCAGAATAGATATTGCTTAATAATTGATGTGTAATCGAATGACAATGATAAATAGAAAAAGATGAGTACCTAAAGTAAAACTACTATCTAAAAATTATTTGAGATTTATAAACGATAATATAGTGTCATCGTCGAGGCTTAAAAATCATAATGCATACAACATACGTGATTCTCGTGACGAGAAGGTCTCATCATTATTGAATAGTACTCAAAATATTACATAATTGGTAGCTGTTTAAACATAAATCTTGAAAATTAAAAGTAGCTGAGGAATATTAGAATAAAATAGAGAGGGGACTTGGAATGAACCGAGATCGTCTTTGTGTCTGTTGTTTTTTTGTGAAAATCATTAATCAACTTATTTATGATTCATACTTAATCTGTCACAAATTGGTCATATAATTTTTGTAAACAATTATTTTTTTACTTGGATTTATTATCTTGCGTTTTAGGTCAAATCCATACTATATACCGACGAAATATTATGGAATCCGCCATAGATTTTTTACCTTAAAAAAATCTTATTTCATCCCCACTTATTAAAAAAAATATATATCATGTTTATTTAAAAAACACCACTGACCACAGCTGTAAGCATCTGTTTGCAAGATGATGGGTCATCAGTCTCAACACTCAACGTAATTTGTATTGAGTAATAGTAAGTGATTATAATATTTTGTGTCTAACGTATACTCTTGTGTAATATGTTCGAACGTTAGTTTGGTTGTACCTGAGAACTTGTATTTTTATATTTTACTCGCTTTGTACGGTTAGCCTAATATAATATTCGTGTCAAGCTAAAATTTAGCATAATTTAAATAACAGCGTTGTTCTTGTAACAGTCTAACAACATCCGCGTTTAGTGTTTTATATTACCGTTATCAGTTTTCTCTCCTCGACGACCGTTTCCTACAATACTTGTCCAAAACACCTGTTAAGCGTTAACCGGTTAGGTATGCAAGTATTATTATCTTTGTGTGTTTTTTTTTGTCTTTCAAAATTCTATGACTTTGTTACTATCGGAATTTTGCTGTCGTATCATGTTGTTCGCCGTTACGATTTTTGTTTATAGGATAGGTTAATAATACATAAGTATAATTTTTAATAAACATTTTTTTTACCTTACCGGACGCTCAAATAACATAATGAAAAAAAAACTAGTCCGTTGACGTTGCACAGTGCGGTTTGATCATATCGGCAATGCGGTGAACGATTTTATTCTCAAGTTTTTTTTTTTTGTAGTTTCCCAGTGCGACTTAACGAACCATTACCATCGCATCGGACAATCCTTAATCGAGTTCCGCATATTACCATTATCTACGCGTGATGAAATTCAAATCGCTTTTCCGGCGGAACCACAACCAGGGTAGTCCTTCGTCCGATGGGGTGAGATCCTATCAGCAACCCCCAGCCACAATGGAATCAGCTGTTTTCCCGCCAAACAACAACCAGCCACAGGCAACGGAAAAACTCCAACACCAGCTGCAGCCTAAGGTGGAAGCCATGGACAATTGCGGTGCTACAGCAGTCGGCTTTTCCTCTTCGGTTGGATCGATAGACCGATGTGACAACGAGTATGTGGCGGAGTTGGAGAAATTGCGTATGGAAGTTAACGTCTTGAAGGTGGGTGAACTCAATCAATTTACAGAAAACATTCATTAATACTAACTGAGTACTAATAAAAAAAAACATGTCATACCTGATTTACTCTTTTATTAGAATTTCAATCGTAAGTCTGTTCTATCTTATGTCCCTCTTCGGATGTACTTTGTTTATTTTTTTTCAAAATTTGTTTGTTTGGGTAGTCTGCGTAATTGTTTGTGTATGTTTAGATCGCTTGTTCATTTATATTGCTAGTAAACTAAATATTTAGATAAAAAGTGAGATATGTCAATTGCCAATTGTTAGCTGGGTAATAGGTTCGATCGTCATAACATTTATTTTATCATCAAACAAATTTCATTAAATAAAGTCTATGTAATCAGTTATGTCATTTAATAAACGTTTGATTGTATAGGCTATTAATTTTTATGGATTTTATAATTGTAAGGCTTATTTCAGTGTACTATTTTTATCATATACATTTATGTAATATGTACTTAAATGTGAAAATTTATAGGAATAAAATCTTTTTATTAGGAACAAAGAGACGAAGCAGAACAAAATTTAGCTATGCATATTGAAAGTGCTCGAAATGTATTGTCTTGCTCTGTTTCCAATAACAAAGTAGATGACCGTAGAAGATATCCTAGTTCCGCTCCTGCTTCAATAGCTCCGCCAAATTCTGCTAGCCAGGTTAGTATCTTCAGTTTTAGTTGAGAATACATTTTGCATAAACTATTATTAAACTGAATTAAAACTTCCACATACAGGAATTACTAGATACTCATGACTGGGATAAACATTCAAATAGTTCTGTTAGTGAGGTTTCCGTGGCATGTTTACAAGACAGGATTATACAAATGGAAGAAACGCACTACAGGTAATTTTTAATTTAAGAGTGGGTTTCCTTTTAGTAGTGTAATGTTAAATTTGTAATAAGTAATACTAATAATTGTATCTATATTAATTTTAGTACTAACGAAGAATTACAAGCGACACTTCAAGAGTTAGCTGATTTACAATCTCAACTTTATGACCTTCAGCATGACAACGAGCGTTTAGGAAAAGAGAAAGGTGTATTATTAGAGTCGCTGTGTCAACAAACAGAAAAGTTAGAAGACGCTCGCACTAAAGTTGATGCCTTACAAGGACTATTTCTCGTACCTGGTGCCAACCCTCCTTCTACATCTACTGAAAGAGAAGAAAAACTCGTCGAGTTACTAAAGAGTGGTCAAGCAGAACGGGAGGCTTGGTTAGCTAAACAAGAGGAACTGATTGGGGAAGCTAATGAATCAAAACGAGCATCAGAAAATGAAGCCAAAAAAGCAAATCAGCTGTTAGAAAGAGTTCGATTTCTGGAATGTACTGTCGATAGTAAAACTGCCGAAGTTAAACAACTTGACGAACAACTTTCTTCGGCAAAAGAAGAAATATCTTCAAAAAATATTGAAATTAATAGAAATCAAATGTTGTTAGACAACGCAAGAGCTAAGGTATATTTACTAACATTTCATATGGTATTAAATAGTTTTACATTTTATATTTACTTATCTATAGTAATTATTTAAAAATATGGATAGCAAATTTATGGTCAAACATTTTAATCATGTAAGAAAACATAAATCAATTTGCAACAAAATATTTTTTAAGTTGTATTCTAAAAAAAAAAAATAGATAAAATTTGTTTACAAACAGACTAGTCTTAAATATATAAATTATTAAATACATCTTGTAATACAATTTAAATTTAAAATAAAAACTTTTTTTTTAATTTTTAACAAAGGTACACATCAAAATAAAAAAGTTGAAATTTTATCTTTTATTGTTTCTCAATTTTTCAATGTTTACACTATCAAGAAAAAAAAACACTACTCGAGTTTTCAAAAAACAGGTTAAGAAAAAAAATCGGAAAAGCCAATAAGCTATTTCTTAATTTTTGTATTATATATAATTATAAGTTGCAATGTTTTTGCTAGAATGAGCTATTTAATTTGATTTCAATTTCTATGGCTTAGATTGAAGAATTGGAGGCAGCTAGAGACAAGCTTGGAGACAAGTCTGAACTAGACGAATTGTTGAACCAAGCTAGGCGTGAAAAAGATAACTTGGAAAGTCAGTTGGCGTCCTTACAAGAGCGTGTGCAAAGGGCATTTTGTGAAATTGATCGGCTCAAAGAACAATTAGCAAATTCTAATGAACAATGCACTGTAGCTACTAACAACGCTAAGTCTGCTCTTATAGACCTTCAATGGCAAAGAGACAAATGGCACGAAGAAGTTGCAGCATTAACTGCGGAATTAAAAATAGCCAAAGAAGCCGAAGCTGAAACACAAATGTTGTGTCAAAAATATGTTGATGAAAAAAGGCAGTTAGCAGATGTATTGTCCGAAACTCAAATGTGTCTAGCCAATGTACGCAAGGCTCTAGAAGAAGAAAAAGTTGAAATGCAATATGAGGTGAGTAGAAACCGTAATGATGTCATTATTTTGATTTGGCATACCTTAATATTTGTAGTTTTACAAATAGGTATGCCAGCGACTATTTATAACTGAAAAATAATTTAAGATAACTTTATAATATTTCTTTATTCTCTACGAAATTTTTTTACCAGCTATAACATTTGAGAAATATATTGGTTTACTTACCAATGTATTTACTTAAATAATTATTTAAAAAAACAATTTTAATAAACGCATTAATTTTCTTAAAGAATATAAACACATATGTACATTTTGGAAATATTTTTTTTTTTTTTTAGCATTGATCATGAATGTGATTAAGTTTTATTGGTAATATTAGTAAAACTTCAAAACACTGATTAATTGTGTTATTTATATTTTTTTGATTAGAGAAAAGAATGGTATCAATTTAAAGAAGACCTTTTGACTACTGTGAGAGTGGCCAACGATTATAAAGAAATCGTAGAGAAAGATATGGAACAAATTATATCAGAAAATAAACGTCTTAGAGAAAAAGTGAAATCTTTGGAAGATCAACTTGATAAGCTGAAACGTGAGAATTTTATTAAACTTTCAAATATAATTAAAATGTATGTTTTATTTTGATTTTAAGCAGACATGGAGAAACCTAGAGCGTTGTCTTGCAACGGTAATTCCATTCTTAATCCAGTAATAATTGGACACGAGATTAGTCGTCGTAACAATCATTCTAAGCTCTCCCGTCAAGACAGTCAACTGTCTGTAAAAACGTTAATTGAAAGCATTGAAAATGCTACCAAACAAGCTAAAACAGGTATAGTTGTTATTCAATTTTTTTTTTCTATTTTCATCACACATTATAATTAGAACGCTTATTGTTTTAGCTGAATTTACCAGAAGTAATTCTACTTCAAGCTTAAATGGATTAATTGGTCAAAACGAAAACCAGTCTTCATGTAAAACTACGAGAGATTGTGATTTTAATACGCCCCTCAGAGAACACAATTCTTTATCAGTAGATAATAATTCTATATCACCTTGTGAAGAAACCGGTAAAATATTATTTATTCTAATAAACTTAAAAAAATAATTGTAAATTAAAAATAAGTTTTGATAAAATTTGGCTTTTGTATCTGTCACATGGGAAATTGATATAGAAATATTAATACAGTCGAAACAATGTTATTTTAGATCCCATAAAAAAGTGCCAAAACGAAGATTATAATAGGCCTAATGGATCTATACTTTCTTCTTCAAGAAATATGGATACATTTGCACGACTCGGAGGAACCACTGAAATACGTGAGTATTATTACTTTTGTCAAAATGAGAGGGTTTTTTAATAATATTTTGGTTTATCATTGTGTATTGATACTACTAATATTGTGCAACACAATATTTAAACAAAGTTAGTTCATCCTTTAACTATGTTAAGCATTATTAAAATAGGTTTTTAAATGTGATTAGTATCATTGTTTTTCTATATTTTAATATCATCTAGTTACGAGTACCAATTTTGAGTGGTGCAGTTTTAAGAATATAAATGCTGTCTGGACCCTAACTATTATACTACTACTGCTTTTCTTTGTCGCTTATTTGTTAAAAAAATGTTACCTTTGATTTTAGCTGAACGTCGTGACCCTTTACAAGCCTTAGTGAAAAATGGTGGTTCGAAACGTAATGCTTTGCTGAAATGGTGCCAGAATAGAACAATCGGTTATCCCAATATAGACATAACAAATTTCAGTAGTTCGTGGAACGATGGGTTAGCTTTATGTGCTCTTCTGCACACTTACGTTCCCGATAAAATACCATACTCGGAACTGAGTCCTGCAGAAACACGGCGCAACTTCTCTGTAGCATTTGAAGCTGCTGAATCAGTCGGGATACCAACAACATTAGTATGTATTGATTTACTTTTAAAAACAGAATTATTGTCTTTGAAACTAGAGGCTTGATGAAATAAAAAAAAAAAAACAAAGTTGTTGCCAATGCATTTTTATTGTTAAAAACTTGTCGAATGACGGATTACTAACAATTTAAAATATCATTATTTATTTTACTCATGTTTTAATAATTATATATTATTATTACATTTTATTACAAAACTGTATATTTTTTTACAGAATATTAATGATATGATATCGCAAGAACGACCCGATTGGAATTTGGTTATGTCGTATGTAACTGCAATATACAAACAATTTGAAACGTGATTTATGTTAATTTTGACACTGCATGTTGAAAGACTGATAAATGATACAAATCACACAATTTAGTGTTCCTAAATACGAGACAACACAAGACTTCTAGAATTTTTCTGTTATCTATTAATTAACTAATGATTTTATTTTTTAAGACCGTATATTATTATGTTTTATGTTTGAACAACAACTAAATAGTTTTATAAACATCGAAGAAACGAAAGTATGTTCTAGAAGTTTTCTAGTCACTTCATTCAAAAGTATTTTAGTATTTAATATTTTCTTTTGTATTATTGTGTACATAATATATATTTATAGATATATATTTAAATTATCTTTTTTAAACTTTTTATTTAATGTAGGTGTAACATTTTCCCCCACCAATTGTGAACGGGTAAATTTAAATCAATTGTATAAAACAAACATGAGCAAAAAAAAAAGTTTTGATATAAAAATATTGAAATATTGAACATATTTTTGTGGAATAAATATTCCGTATTATTATTATGATTTATTATATTTATTTTTAATAAAAAAAAAACAAATTTTAATGTTGTGCCAATTTATATAATTATTTAATGTTATCATACATTAATTACTTTAATTGATCTGCATCACTAGCGCATTCAACAAATAATGATTCGCATACCTACTATTACTGTCTATAACAATTGAAGGATTGCGGCGGAAAATGATCATAGTAGATTTTTAATAAAAATGAAATAGTTACAAGACTTAAGAAGACACTACCCACCCTTAATATAGGATTTTCCATCTTTGGAAAATGGTTTTACGGGGAACAAGAATGTGAGGGCGGTATTTACAGTAACCGTATAAAACTTTTACAATGAATAGAGAAGAACGTTATCTGTGGGGTAGCATTTTTAGTTTTTTGATAATCATAATTATTGATTCGTATAGATACATTTTTTTTATAAATAAAATATTTAGTATAGACATCAAAAAAATTAAAACACTACTCCATATATATAGTTCTTCTTCTTTATTGTTTACATCTGTTTATAGCAATCTACCTTATGACTAAGGTGTTAAATAAATATATAAACAAATAATAAATGTATTATTTTATTTTTAGTGAAAATTGCCTATACAATGCGCCTTAATCAATGCTAGTGTAGGCCCCTTAAGATGAAAGATTGCGATTCCTTCATAAACAATATGTTTCGCATTAAATTTTATAGTTATATGGTCTAATATTCAAATATTTTGTTATTTTCGAATGGTACGGTGTATCTACCAGTTGTTGAATGTTTGAAAGGCTGGGAAAGTAGTCAATTTTTACAGTTGCGTTGAAGGCATTGCTGTAATCATTTTATTACTATTTTTACCAAAAGCTATAAGTTATGTAGTCTTGCATATTGCCTTCTAACTTGATATTCAACTCCCCCCAATTGTAGTTGGTGCCTACAGCCTAGCCTTCGTTTGCGGAAGGGATTTCGCTGTATGTATACAAGCTGAGAGCCGAGGGCTAATAATTGGTTCAACCTGTTCGTCATCCATTTTGAGTGGTGCAGGAAAGTGGAAACTCTTATCTCTTTTCTATGAGACTGTTCAGGAAGTCACTCCCGTGGATTCGGGATTGTATGTAATATTATTGTACTTTAATATTTAATAATAATGTTTGTTAACGCGCGCGTGACAAACGTGACGGTCGGTAGTGCGTCATGTTGGTACACCTCGTCAAAGTCGCGGTGAAAATGAAATTCCTATCGTTTTATCAGTATTCGCTATTCAGTCTGCAGTCGAGTCGACTCGACATCGGTTGTCTGTTGTTACCGTTGTGTCCTTGTGCGGTTGACGTGTGTGTACGTATTTGCTCTACCTGTTGATGTGAGTCACTGTTGTCCGACCGTTTTTGGGCAAAATCAACACCGAAAATGTATTCGGGAACTACCTCTGTCTGTCACGTGCTGCCTGTTGGATTACTCGCCTCGCATTAAAGTCTTCACACGGTTAGGTTAGATGAGGTTTCCGAATAAAATGTAATCGCCCTTCGCCTGTGCAAAATGCCACTTTTCTTCTACTGGGGTTTTTTCGTCGCCCTCCTAGGTCGGGCGGCCCTAGCAACAAGTGAGTCATTACTACTACAACTACAAGGTACCTACAATTGTTATTATGCAACGGTGTACAGTTATTAAACCTGTACACATTACACCCGTCCTCGCCTTCGCCGATTACTCATGGGAAGTACACGCCAAGTTTAAAGATTTTTACCCATTACGAGTTTGTTTTATTTTGGTTATAAGTCTTTCGGCCGGTGTGTGTACTTACCACTTTTCGATATAATTTTCTAGTAAAAAAATATCATACAATGTAGTCTTAAAACAACCGACAAATTATTATGTATAGGTACTGTCCATTTTCCATAATTCTTCAATGGCGAAATTCCAAGACCAAAAGCGAATTCATCAAGGTAAACTTGTTGGCGCTTGATCCTTGTAAAAAAACTGACAATTATTGTAAAGTTCCACGATTAACGATATATATTTTATTGATTACTTATAAGAAGGAAAAAACTCGACATTTAATTGTATTATAAGGTATAAAGATTAAAGTTACCTATTGGTTTTGTATATAAGATGTTTCAAATAATCAATTGCATTTTTCTTTAATTGACTTTTAAAAGAAGAAAATTGCAAAATACAGTATTCCAGTTCTAAAAGTTTATAATATAATATTAAAATATTTTCAAAAATCAGAAAGATATATTTGTTGAGTAATTTTAATATATTATATTGGAAGTCAATTGACTATTGATGTTAGTGGTTTGTTAGTTTCTTACATTGTTCAAATATGACCACTTAATAAGAAATTAAAGAGGTTTCAATTTCTTATTAATAGGTTGATAGTAAGTGAGTGTCTACCTTTATTCAAGTCTATAGGTATACATACTGAACCATTCTTTTATATTGTTTCTTATTTTATGCATGATCACTTTTATAATAGGTACAGGTATTTTTATTATACTTGCCTACCAATTAGGTTATTTTATCCACATAATTTCTGTCATATTATTATTCAATAATCTTAGCCAATAATGTAGTTCTAGGTATTAAAACTATTATAACATTTTATGTTATATAATATAAGTACCTATGTACATGTATTTAATACAATTCATACATGAGAAACATAGTTATACTATGTTCATTAACTCCAGTGTCCAATCAATAATTTAGTTTAATTGTACTTAAGAATTTATAGTTGATTGTACCTTTTACAGTATTAATACTTTATAAACCAATTGACCTTATGAACTTTGTAAATAAGTTGCTAAAGAATTATTTGTTTTGATAACCATAATTACCCATTTATCGTTTGTAAATTTATTAGCATTTCTATCTATTGTTATTAGTAGTTTCAAATGACTAAGACATTCAAAATAATCCAAAAGGCTACTCTATAGTAGTGGTTTCCAACCTGGGGGTAATTATTACCCCCCAAGGGGTAAAACACAATTTTTTGAGGGGTAAAGACTAAACTATTTTTTAATTAATATTTAATTTAATGGTTTTAACTATCAGTTAGTCCAGCGGTTCCTAACCTGGGGGTAATTAGTAATTACCCCCCTTTTTTTTGGGAGGGAGGAGTATTTGTTAATATCTAACCTGATTTATGGGTAATAGTCTCAAAAAGGTTGGGAACCGCTGCTCTATAGGATATATCTAATATCCTTCGTACAATATCCTATTGATTTGTCATTTAATTTACATTCAACTTATTTTGCATCTTTTAAATAACAGTATGTTTGTAATAAAAAATGTCTATACATTTTAATTATTAGCTAGTATTTTACTACTAAGGATTTCAAGCATTAACTACTAGGCTAATACAGCTTTAGTCAGAATTTAAGTTAAATTATATGATAAAGTAGCAGGTTTTTTTAAACATTACAATTTATCTTGTCTAGACTTTTAAAAACAAATGTGTGCAATGGTTTGATAACCTAATCTTCCTTTAAAAATATTCAAAATGAAACAAGAGAAAAATTTAGAAAATGAACAAGGAATTATGAAGTTACTAGACTACTGCAAGTTGCAACACTAAATGTTCATATTTATATCATATTTTAAAGAAATTTAAGAATTTTTCACAGTGGTTTTTTTTTAGTTAATTATTAGTATAATTTCATTTTGCTGAAAATTGAATGTTATTCTATACTGAAGATGCATTTTTAAAAATAAATTATTGGTAGAAGAATTGCGTTGGGTATATCGTATATATGTATATTTGTTTATAGAATTTTATAGCTTAATAATAATATAGTTTTTAAATAGTATTAATGCACTCCTGACGATGTTTTTTTTTTAAAATAACTTCAGCGCAGTGGATAATGCACCAAACTTGGTACTAATGGTATAGAGTATGATTCTAAGGTGAAACACACCTTGACAGCTCTTGCTTATATAAGCCAGCTTACGTAAAGGTAAATTAATAATTATAATACACAACAATATATATATAAGTAATTATGTATCCATCAGTATAAGCACTATTATAACTTAACAGTATAAAAAATACATAATATAAATAATATGTTGATATTAAAAAAAGGAAAATAATAATAAACATTTTAAATTATCAAATTTTGGACATATTTTAAAAGTAAGTATTTTTTTTTCCACAATGTATGTAGTAGAGCAAAAAAAAGACACTAGTTCCGGACGCCTTAAAAATAATTAACGCCTACATGTGTTATTCTGATAAGATAACGCAATGTCATTTTTATAAATGTTTTTTTTATCTCTGTGATATAGACTTTATCCATAGCACTTCTGGGGAATAGTGTATAATATAAAACCCATAATTATAATCATTGTGTTGACAAAAAAAACTAAATAAAGTTATATGAACTCCTAAGATTTGAAAAAATCAAAATAAAATGCAAATGTATACTTTTAATTGACAATGTAAATTTCTGGTTCTATTTTGAATGTATCTCTCGATTTCAGCATTAAATAATATATGTTTTCATTTTTAAGAATTAAATCTTATTAGCATAATATAATAAAAACAAAATGTTTATTATCATTTATGTTATACTTGATTAAGTTATAAACAATATGTAAATATTTAATTTTTAATTTATTTTCAACTGTCAATGGCCTAAAGCCAAGAAACTAAAATAAATTTTAAAAAAATCGAATTTGTGTTATTGATAGTATGTGATTCTATATTTTAACTATTTACTAAAATTAAACACTAATTATAGTCAAAAGTGTAAATTTTTTACATTTCAATTTGAATAAGCTTTAAAAAAAAATGTGATGTCTTTTCACTAACTTATATATAATTTAAAAATGTATTTTTATTAGAGCTTTTTTAAATTTTAGGGAAGGTGTGGAATTGATGAACTCTAACCTTCATATAAATACTGAATTAGTGTGATTTAACTTGTTAAAATTTTTATTTAACTTGCAGTGTTATGAAAAATGAACTATCTAGGTTTTTGAAAATACCACTTATCCTTAATGTTATTAATTTATAAAATAATTATTTATATGTATATTTTAGTTTAACCATCCCAAATACTCTATACCTTTTCTGCTCTACTAGAAACTTGAAAGTTCTGAAATGATGATAGAGAAATGCCAAGGATCCAGCTAAAACCTAATCCTTTGAAAACACACTTATGCTAAAGCTTGGAAAACTGAAAGAAGCTTTTGTTAAAAATGCTTTTAAAGATAAAAATCAAGGACACCTTTGTTTTCTCTAATTAGTGTTTCCCCCCTATTTTTTCATATTGGAGGGTAATTAGATAAAATAAATCACACTACACATTAATAAAGTCCCTAATGAAGTGATTACTTGTCCCCCTTCCGCTAAACTAAAAATATCCTAGGCTTACAAGCTACAATCTAGGATGATATCACAGGTTTAAAGTTAAGTTTAGTTTAAATTAAAGTATAAGTTAAAAAAGTAAAAAAAATGAGCAGTAATTAGCGCTTGGCGGTAACCGAGAACTGCAGCGATGCGTTTGAAGTATTAATCGCCGACCTCGCAGACTTTTGAACATCACAAAGTTTGTAAATTTTTAAACTTTTGTTAATGTCCTATTAAGTATACTTCCATCTACTCTGAAAACATATAATTTTATTTAATTGCCTTAACCTCTGATATTTAAAAAAAAAAAATAGAGAGGCGGGTTCATATAATACAGAAGTACCAATAAGTCAAACGAAACCTTAACCTTTAAACATGTTTTAAAAGGTTAAATGAAAAAAAACGGTAACAAAAATGAAAACGATAAAATTAAAAACGTTTCACATTTTTAAAAATACAACCTTTACAGATTTTCCTCCACACATTTTGTGAAATATATTGTGCATTTGAAACGAGTTGGTTTTAATTGATCATTAATTTGTGGCCTTCTACAAATTAGTGACTGCTATAAAACACACATTATGTCAATTGTAATGAAATAATTTCACAAAGATAACAATTTAAATAACGGTGTTCTTATGTTTTTATTATTAATGTATATTTTGATGAGATAATAATTTTTATTTTTATTGTTTAGATATCCACATATGGCCAGATGTTCCTGAGCTTACCCTGACATCAGGAGCTGATCTCACATTAAAATGTATAGGTGACGTGCCTGTCAAATGGAACCATTCTCAGTATGACCCAAATTTAAATGTTGATGTGGTAAATAAATAAATTAAAATTAGAGTAATGAACATCTTGGTAAACTACATATCATTTGTTTCGATTTTGTAGAGTTCCTCAATATCTATTTCACAAGGCTTGGAAAATGATAGCTATATTTCTTTATTATCGTTAAGCAGAGCCAGTTACTTAGACACGGGATACTACTACTGTGATCCGGTATCTGTAGATTTAGAAGCCGAGGAAGGAAATTCTGCAAAAATATACTTATATATTCAACGTAATACTATACATAATAATTAAATTACTATTTTTCAAATGATACTTGACAAAAAAAAAATATTTTTTATCTAAAGCGAAATGTTGTTTTAATAAATAGTTTAAGATTTCCATTAAATTAACTAGATATTTGTTTTAGACGAATCACATTTATTAGCCGTTCCGGAGGATTTAGTAGTATTATCACAAGACGAATTTGGTAATGTCATCATACCATGTCGACCAACAGCACCAGATGTTAAAGTAACGTTGACCAAAGACGAAGAAGAGGTATATAATTATTGTTTTCTCTCTCGTATAGACTTAGAGACTAAAATAAATATATCGATCAATAATTACATATTGCAGCTTCCGAAAAACAACGATCTAAATATAAGGTTTTTAAAAATGGATTTTTTTGCGGTTTTGGAGTAGGATCAATAAATTTATAAATTCAATAATAAAGATTGCTAAGAATTACTAATTAATCTGTCAGAATTATCCGGATTTTATTTGTACATTAAAATTGTTAAAAAAGGTATTTTTTCAATTCACTATTCTGTAAAAATTGAATTTTTCAGTGAGGTCATTGTTCTTCAGAAGCTCCAATATTTAGATACTTGTTTTAGAATCAGTTTGATATAATATATATATATATATATAAAACCGTTGTTTTTATTTTAATATAATATTTGGATTACAATATTTCTCCAAAACAGTATTAACAATCGTATACGCTTATTTTAACTACTATTATTTAAATTAATAATTAAGAGAATATTTTTTACAAAATTTATAATTAATTATATAATTACTATTATATATTTTTAATTATAGCATATAGGTTATTTACTTTTTCTTTAAATAGTGTAGAGAAGTGTTTAAAACTATTTAGTTGTAATGTTTTACTTTTTAAATGTAACACAACGGTATTATTATTCTTGCTTGCAATTTTTTACAAAATATACTTTTTTAATTTTATTTAACCATATATTATATAGCTATAAATTATGAAATTTACTAACATAATAATATTATGTGATTTGTCAATTTAATCTAAATAAAAAAAAACTAAAATAATCTAGTTGTTGTCCGGTGATGTGTATAACGGCATGGAGGTACATTACGATATCAAGTACGGATATTTACTTTATTCCGTGACAGTACTTAGTGGTGGGTTCTACCAATGTCGCGGCGAGCTCAAAGGCAGAGAATCTTTCGCATCCTACCAGCTTAATATTATGTGTAAGGGAATTTGGATGTTGTACTAATATGTATTAAAAGTGTGCCCTTGCTTTATTTTATTTGCTTTGTTGCTTGATTGGCTTTACATTTTTAATTCTTTTACAAATCATATATGTACACATTATTTAGTTTTTAATAATAATAGGGGTGCAACTAGAGGGTAAGTTGACAAAGTTTGTTCAAAGTACAATAAAATGTAGATAATATTACATACTACTATTATCAACATTATGTGTCCATGGAAAAAGGTACCTCATCTTCCCGGAGCAAATTGTTCAGGAGAGCCAAAACTAACTTTTTACTAACTAACTAATTTATTAGGAGTTCCAACTTGAAAACTTCATAAATTTTGAACGGATCGAGATATCAATGTGATCGAGACACCATTGTAATTAGCAGCTAATCGACTATAACAAAATGCGAAAATCCCAATTTTTAAAAATGGAAGATAAGATACCTTTTCCATGGACGGTCACGTATATACATATTTAATGGGGTTTATTCCACAGTCCACACCAAATCTTAATTCATTTGAATTTTATACTATACACCATTAAAAAACTACTATTCTAATATTTATCTCGAACCCTTCCCAAAGTACTTATTATTGTGTATTTTGTAGGTGCAATTGTTGGTAGTCAATAATACTTTTTTTCAATTGACATAACTTACTAAAAAAATTATGTAAATTAAAAACCATGAGGTCAGAATGTTTGTTTTAATGTGTATTTTCTGTACAAAAAATAATTTTGATTACTTGATGACCTTAGTTTCCAACACTTTCAAAAATGGGTACTTTGGGCATGGGTCAAGATAAATACTGAAAAAGTATTTTTTTATCGGTGCTCAGTGTGTAATAAATAGTATTTAACAAGAAAAACAAACTTGGTCATAAAATTCAAATTTAATGATACAGTTAGAAATTAACATATTATAACGAGTCACGAGCTCTGACCAGTAAAATAATCAATAACTTCTACCTCATTTAAAAAAAATTAAAAACAGGTTGGATTCTTAGTTGTCTAAGCAGATATTTTTTAAATATTGACTGTATTGAATGTTTAAGTTTTTTCTATATTAACTTTTTCTTTCCATCTTTTTTATACCCATGTTCAAGTTTAGTTTTATTGTTAAATTTATATTTTGTTAACACTCCATTCTCATTAATAATAACTATTAATAGTTGTAAAGTTTGCTTAAATAAATAGTGAAAATATGTTTGTATATATTGCTGTGTTACTTTAGTGTAATGTACATTTATATTTCAGATTGAGATAAGTACGAATTTAATTTACGATCAAAAAATAGGGTATACCCTTAGGTCGCCATCTGTTCGAGATTCTGGGGAATATACTTGCGAAGCACAAAGAAACACTATAAATGAAACACGAACTCTAACCGTGTCCATTAATCGTGAGTTGGTTTTGTTATAAATTATGTCAGTTGTGGTGATCGGGTTTATAAAGTTTTTGTGTCGGTTTTGTTTTTATTACGTCAATATTTGCAATATATTTGTATTATATTATGATTTTATTTTACTAATTATTTTATTTGTGTTTCAAAATCGAGTTCTTATAATTAAATTAAAATAGTTATTTTATTATTAAATATTTTTTTGTCAAATATCTGCTGCGAGAGTCGAACACAGTATTTCCAGTACTAAGTTTGGGGCCTTATACCACTTTGCCAAAAATATTAGACATTCATTTTATTGCATCCATTTATTTTATTTCATAAAAATTTAACACAATTTAATAATTGTAATATTTGTTTGCAATTTTATTACATTGTAAATTGTTAGTTAATCACATTCTCATTCTCAACATCATCATCATCATAATTTAATTAATAAATTTAAATAGCATGTTTTCATACAACATTTAAAGCTTATAGCACTAAATTTGCATTATTAAATTTGAATAATACAATTAGTCAAACTTAAAAAATCAATTAATTAATTACATTTTTCAGCTAAAGTAGAAAAAGTAGCTATGCCATTTATAAATAGTAGCAGTGCCCATTCTGAACATTTAATTGTGGGTGAAGATTTACACTTAAATTGCTCAATAAATATGGATATTGGGATTTCATTTACACTACATTGGAAAGTTCCCGATGCGAAAAAAATAGAGGTTTGATTTGAAATTCTTATGATTTTTAATTTAGTTGTTTATTTTCCCACTATTAATAATTTATCTTTATTCGCCCTTCAGAATGGGCACGTGATAATTGGCAAAGAAAAGTTTTTTAGTGGTGTCAAGCAAGGTGTTAGCAAAAGTGTCGGCAGCACATTACTCACTATAAAAAATGTCACTACTGAAGATGATGGAAAATATGTCTGTGAAGTTACCGTTCACTCTGGCAACAAAAACAGTGCTACATATACTCTAAAGGCATTTAGTAAGTAGATTAAATTTGTTCTAAACATTTTTGTGTATTAATACATTGATTGATTTATGGTTTTACATTTAATTTGTATGCTAACTAAAATATTTTTGGTTTTTAGCTCCCGATGTTACTTATTTGGATTTAACCGTTCAAGGAGGTGTTTATCAAATTATCCGTAGGGCTGGTTTCCGACGAGTACAGTGGATAATTCAAGTATCTGCCTATCCAAAACCCACTCTAATATGGTTAATATCAATCACAGCCAAAATTATTTGTAAGCTAATTATTGTAGTTATCAATTTTGTGCATTTTAGGAGAGATCCCGAAGGTAAAGAAATCGGGTTAAACCCGGACAAAATGTATGTCGAAAACGATAAAAGCATGTCCAAACTAGTCATAAAAGATTTACAGCTATCAGACTCTGGTATTTATGAATTAATCGCAGATAACGACGCACACAAGAAGCGAATTAATGTTACTCTTTTGGTCGAAGGTAAAAACAATAAAAACGTTTTAGTACATCAGTTGCATTAAATTTTGTAAAAATAATTATGTATTTTTTAGATAAGCCAATCGTGCAAATAAACAACAACACAATGTTTTATGAAGTCGGTCAAATTTATGTTGTTGAGTGTCTCATAGCAGGATATCCTTTACCTGCTGTCGAATGGAGTTTTAAAAATTGTCCAAATTATCCTGAATGTGAAGATTCTTTTATGCCAATGCCCGTATGTTTCTTTAGAAATATTGTATTATTTGTTGATTTTTTTTTTTTTAATTAATGAAATTGTGTATTGTAGCGAAATATGTATAGAGAAACATCAACCACAGAGACCTTTCTCATGTCTGTCGTAAATATTACAGCTACTACTACTGGAATTTTAGTATGCAATGCCTCAAATGACTTTGGAAATACTCAGCACGATACCACATTTTTAGTTACAGGTATGCTGTTTGTGTTTATTGCCATTTCACATTGAGTATTTGTTACCCATATCAATGAAAGTTTAAAAAAAACTATTATTAAATTAACTATTTGTTTTCAACACTATTTAGATGTTAACAAAGGTTTGGAAATCAAAGGACCTAAGACCATTGTTGAAGGGGACAATGTTATGATTGAATGTGGTGCATCCAAATATATGTATACTAAAAACATCGAATGGATTCATAGAACAACACCTAATAACATAATGAAACCAATAAACTTGAATAAAAGTAAGTCGTTAACCATTTTATTCAAATGATTAAGCTAAAAAAATATTGTAAAAAGAATTATTAAAAAAAAAAAACGAAGTTAAAAAGAGATTGAGTGCCAACGTGAAAGAAATGTGTTCATGACAATAGTAATTTGAGAAATTGCGCTCCAATCTAATTATAGATTTTAATAACTAATAAATCATTGCATCACAAACCTAGCTAAAATAAATCCCACATGTTATAATATGTAAATAAAAAACAAAACGGATTTTTAAGTATTTTAACAAATAATGTGTTTGAGATATATTTATTTTTATAGATCAATATATTACGAAAAACGAAACTAAATACTCATATCGTTCAAACTTGACAATAAAAAATATAACAAATGTAGCTGATGGAGAGTATTTATGCGTGATTTCTGAACTAGCCAACGTAAGTGTAGTACAGATATTGTTTCGGGTTTCAGTACACCGTAAGTATAGTAATATTTGAAAAGAAATTTTTTTTTGGAAAAACAGCATTGATTTTTTATAATATTTAGGCGCACAAGCTCCTAAATTCTATGATTCGTCCAGTTTGAATTCGAGCGATTGGAAAGTAAAAACTGGCAACCCTGTACAATGGAAATGCTATGTAATCGGTATGCCACTGCCTACCATTACATGGTTCAAGGTGAGATAATAAGTAAAAAATATAGCAAGTAGTAATTAATTGATGTTGGGCCTGTTCATAAAAAGGGTTTAGACAATTTTTGAAGGTCTCGGCACATTTCAACCAACAGCAAATAAATTTAAAAAATCTTTCCAACATTTTAATATTAACCTTTACTTCAGGTTAATGTTAATATTATTTATTATTTATTTAATATCTGTTTTTTTGTTTTCAGAATGGTAGTCCTATTCGTTTAAACAAAAACGAATCCAGAGTTATATTATTAGACAAAAATCAAACACTGTTAATACGTTTTACGGCACTCGAGGACGAAGGTGCTTACATGTGTAATGCATCTAATAGAATAGGCAGTGTAACATCAACCAATACTTTAACTCTCATAGGTACAGTATGAATAAGACAATATACATTTTCTGAATCATGTCATTAAAAACTTTTTTTTTATTTTTGTTTCCAGACAAACCTCTAGAACATGAACATTTTGGCTTTATCGCAGTTTGTGCCGCTTTAGCTGTACTCGTTGGTTTTTTCATGATTTGTTTTGCGACACATTTGAAAAAAGAAAGAGTAATAACGACATTACACTAATTTTCAATAAAAAACCATATCAATGTATTAAAATAATTCAATTTTTATTATTGTTGTAGAAATTAAAACGGGAATTAGCCCTTGCGGGGTTGTTACATTTTGAAAATGGTGCTGTTGAAAGTTGGAACCCTGATCTGGGTATCGAAGAGCAGGCGGAACTTTTACCTTATGACAAACGATGGGAGTTTCCCAGAGATAAAATAAGATTAGGTGAGCAGTTTAGTACATATCAATATTTAACAATTAATTGTATTGAAATGCATCATAAAAATGTTTTAAATCTTGTATTGAATCAGGCAAGCAACTAGGTTCTGGTGCATTTGGTATCGTCTACAAAGCCGAAGCAATTGGCATTATCGACGATAATACTAGTACTACAGTTGCCGTGAAAATGGTCAAGCCGAATACTGATCCTTCGTACGTGAAAGCTTTGGCGTCTGAACTCAAAATTATGATCCATCTAGGAAAACACTTGAACGTAGTCAACTTGCTTGGAGCTTATACTGGAAATATAAATAAAAGTATTACATTTTGATATTTGAGCTGTCAAAGTCAAAGTGGTGTAAGTTATGAAAGGTTGTATAAGTAGAAATGCTGTATACATTTTTAAAAAAATGGATAAGTTCCTTTGCCATTTAGCGGAAATAATCAAAGCAGGACTCACATCACTTTTGCAAGCAATAGATTGAAGATTGAATAATTATCGCCTGTTGGTGTTACTTCAGATTATGTGAAAATATGACTTGCACCACTTTTGTTCTCAACGGCTCATTTATAGTTTTTTTTCTTTTTACTATTCATAATAATAGTTTTTTTTTAATTTTTAAGGGGAGTTAATGGTAATTGTTGAGTATTGTCGCTTTGGAAACATACACGATTACTTGTTAAAACAGAGAGACTGTTTTATCAATCAAATTACACCAGATGGTTACCTCGACTTTGACATGAAAATGATATCAAAGTAAAAACTAAATTTATAAATTAAACATACTGTACTATGAATGTCATTAAACAATTATATAATGCAAATAACTGTTTAGGAATCCCTATTATGTTAATGTTCCTCAAAAAAATAATTCTATACAAAAATATGAAGACAGCGGAACACAGATTGGTTCCGATGGATATTTAGTGCCAGATGAAGTTGAACCGGAATGGCGCTCAAACTATCGAGGAGATTATAAAAATCTCAACGTAAAACCTACTTGTACGCATGATTTAATATGTTGGTCGTTTCAAATATCCCGAGGAATGGAGTATTTGGCTAGTAGAAAAGTATGTTAAGTATAAAACCATATGTATGTTAGCTAAGGCAGAGGTATTTATGAAAATGTGGACTACATCTTTTTCTATTTTAATAGTATAAATTCAAAAATTACAATTACTAATTACTTTAATTACTTACACATGGCAAATCGGATAACTCTACAAAGGTGCAGCAAATGTAAACACAATTTTTGTCATCAAATGATTGACAACTTTTTTTATTTTAATTAAAAACATTAAATTATAATATGTCAAACACGTGAGAGGAGGAGTGGCTGAGTGTAATTTGACAGTGTGTTAGCGCTCTCTATCGCCGGTTCAACACTTGGGCATGGGTGCTCTGTTTGCCAGGCAAGCAATTGTCCGGTAAAAAGGAACTGTCATCCCCTCTCCGGCAATGGTTCGACCACCCATCTCGCGAATCTGTCTAGAATCCATCATCTCATGATGGCAGTATTAGGCCTTAAAGACCCGTTAAGCTTGATGATTATGATGATGTCACAAATGTGGTGTAAAATTTAAAGTGGATAGTAAATAATTGTTTTGTTATCAATAAAATTTGCAAATTAACAAAATATAATAGGTCTGTGTACTTGTTATTTATAGAGAACATATTTTTACCTTAATTAATTATTATAAACTAATAAAAAATACATTTGCCTAAATAAAAGTAAAAATAGTTTTTTTAATAAAGAATGAACCCTTGAAAATAATTTGTATAATATAATAAGCACAATATTAATTTATAAATTATGTTTTCATTGACTGTAAAATTGTTTCAATCCTAAAAAAAATATTTACTGTTCCTAAAAACATTGTTTTTTTTAATTTGATCTTTTTTTATTCATTTATTGAGCGAGTTTTTTCTTTGCTTTAGATTCTACATGGTGATTTGGCAACGAGGAACGTTTTGCTGGCCGAAGACAATATTGTGAAAATATGCGATTTCGGATTTGCAAAAACAATGTACAACGAAGAAAATTACAAGAAAAAATCTGCCAAAGTATAAAATTACATTTTTATGTTACTAATAATAAAACTACTTAAATTTATTATGTAAATTTAGGATCTTTTGCCAGTAAAATGGATGGCTATTGAATCACTCCGCGATAGAGTTTTCTCTACGCAATCCGATGTTTGGGCTTTCGGCATCGTACTATGGGAAATATTTTCATTGGCTGTAACACCTTATCCTAGTATGTATCTTATTTCCCCCATCCTCTACATTGTATTGATTTCTTATTAATACTACATTGTTTTATTTATTAGAAATTCAACAATTTGAAGTACTTTTTAATAAACTAGTCGAAGGTTACCGCATGGAACAGCCCAAATATGCTAACTCGGACATGTATAAATTAACATTTTATTTTATTAAATTAGAAGTGATATTGAGGTTAACTAATTTACCAATATAATGTTTTTAGCTACAACATAATGTTGGACTGTTGGAAAATGAATCCCATGACTAGACCGTCATTTGATGAATTAGCCGAACGCCTTGGCAATTTGTTAGAAGATAGTACAAAGTCTGTGAGTCATTGACAAATTACTTTTTTTTTTGTTAAAAATTATATTTGAGTACCTATTATAAATTAATTATTTTTTAATTTTAGCATTATATGAACCTAAATGAAGTTTACTTGAGAATGAATACCGAAGGTTCACATTCAACAGACTACCTTAGTATGTTGACTGCACCGACCTATTTAAATTGTTCGCCAGCATCAGAGAATAATTCTCAGATAATATCAGAACACTCGGAAGTCAAAGACGATTTTGAACTGAAGCCTATGCTTGAAAATCCAAGTTAGTTAATTTGGACGTATACATTAAACAAATGTGCTGTTTATTAACTTTTAATTGGCTTACATAATATATAGATTGTTGTTTAACATTTTGGTTTCTTCGGTGTACTTTGATTGATTTCTTATGTTACTATTTTTAAATAATTTTTTTAGTAAAGTATTCTGGGTTTGTAAACATAACAAAACCTGCGTCTTTTTCTAACCCTCATTATATTGTTGTGGACAAATCTGACAAACGACCATATTTACAATCGCCATGTCCAAGGTATTTTGACTCAATATAATATGCTTGTTATAATATAATCTAAACATTTGTATGTATCACTCTTAGTTGTAGTGACATTTATACATTTTTTAAATTGTAATTTATCTCTTAACAGATTTCAACACGAAAATCCTCTCCCTATTTCCATTTTTTCAATCTCACTGTATGACTTTTAGTCCACACCTCTGTTCCTTCTTAAAATGTCTGCCTATAATTTCTTGTGGTCTGATCTCTGTTAATTTTTTCTTTCTCTGTCTCGACACATTTAAATCCTATAGTTTATTAATATTAATTTTTAACTGTTATAATATGTGTTGTGGTGACAAAAAAAGTTCTTAATAAAAAAATATATTATTACATTATGTAACAAATCTCCAGTTCTCTAATTTAATTTAAAAAGCTAGTACATAGGATTCGGTGTTTAGAGAAGTTGGAGATTTCATAAGTCATTAGTAGTTATTATAACTGAAAATGATAAAATCACTATAAAAAAACCAAAGCAAAAACTGTAGATGGTAAAAATTATTTAAATAATTTTATAGACAATAAAACATGTTAATAAATATATATGTGTAAAGTAGATTTTTTAAAAATATGGTGACATGTATTTACTAACTTTTAAGTTGACAATAAGATATTGAAATTTTCAACTATTTAATTATGTTATGTTTATAATACTATAACCTTCCCCCACCCTAAAAAACTACAAAATTATTACTATTTCTAAAAATTACGTGTCTTCTGTAATCTCCTTATATACAATATGACAAAAAAAATTAAATATCAACAAAAATTACAATAAGTAAATATCAACAGGGGACACTATTCATTTTTATAATAATTATTGTATTTTTAATCTTAGATTATTAAGTTTATTAATCTTAGATTATTAGATTTTCGAAAAATTTGTATTTGTTTTAGGGCAACACAGTCTACTTTTCAGACCCTAAATTATAAAACTGCAACTTAAAAAACAATATAATAGATTCTACCTTTTCTAGGATTCTATTACCCTCTCATTAATGATTTATTCTCGATTATTCTCTGTAAATCGGATACTCTATGATTAAAAAATATTTCACACAAATAAAACTACTTAAAAGAATAAAACTAAAATAAACATAAAATGTTATTTTTTCATGTATTAATAATTAATTTAACTACTTGACTAATTAATTTCAAAAAAATTTAATTTAATAACTCCGAATTTTGTATAAATAAAAATAAAAATAATTTTATATACATTCAACAATTTTTATTCAAACAGAGAATAACAAATAATCATACTATTCTATAACAAATGAAAAGTTTATATACATATATGTATATATTAATTATTGTATATTAGTAATATTAATGAAAAAAGTAACCCTAAAAGGTAAAATAGTTATTATTTCTAAAAACAAATCTAGATCCCGGCTAATTATTACAAGCCACCTTTAAGCTATATTAAATTGTTATTAAAATTTAGAAATTAATAATTTGTTTTTACTGAGTTTACTCTCTAATTTAGACATAAATTAATTTTGCCTGATGTTAAATTTATTTTATAGCATTGTATGACTCAATAAGAAAGCCATAAGGTATTTGCCAATGTCATAAAGCAAGATGTTGATGCTGTGAGCGATAAATGTTGAGACATTAAAATAAATAATTTCTGACGATTGTCAAACGATTGACTATTCAGTGATATTTGAAAAACAACAAGTATTTGACAAATTGTTATAACTAGTCAACAAAGGGTAACAATTTGGCTGACTATGATCGTGAGTTATTTATGATGTATTTATTACACCTAGTTATATCAGCTCAGATATGCAAACAATAATGTAATTATAATGTATTTGTATACAATGTGTGCCAATAATGCCAAAATAGTAAAATAATAATCAAATTGAATCTGTTACCCGAAAATTGTATATTCTATATTTTATTTGACTCCCTTGAAATATTTATTTTTATTAATTTATTTTCTTTGTTTTAAAAAGAATTACTCATTCCATCCATAAATACATGTATTATATTTTAGTTTAGACTAGATTGTATTCATGTTCCATTCGTAAATCTAGTGAATTGCTATATTTCCAAATATTATATTGTGTACTGATAATTTATGTAAAAAAATATTTATTAATTCTTTATAGTATGTTAGGTTTTAATATTTTTTATTTTTGTTTTGTTTGTATATTATTATTATTTTTCTGAAATTATCAAAAGTGAACAAAAGACAATTTATATGTTATTTTGTATTAAATAAAGTATTTGTAAACTTTTTTTTTTATTGTTATGTGAATTATAACACTTTAATAAATTAGACAAGAATATAAATGTTTAGTGAATTATTCTTGTAAACAGTATACATTGGTGCTATTGTTCACATTATCTATTTTAATTTTACAATGGGGCTTTTCATTTGCCAAATTCAGTATCTATTTAGTATTACATGCATGCTTGATACTATCCTTTAATTATCACTATTTTTTAATTTATTATTTGTATTGTCATAAAACATGTTAGACGATTTTAACTTATACATATCGGACTTTTAGCTAATAAATCATATTATGGAAATATATTAAGTTTTTGTTTGTATATTATTAAATATTTATTTTGCAATGTAAAATAAAAATGATTATATATTTTTTTTAGTATTATTAGTATTGTGTCATTAGAAATCAACAACTTTTATACTTGTTATTTAAAACAAAATTTACTAAAAAAAAAAAAACAACTATTAGTATTTTAAACCTACAATTTATTTTTCCTGCCTTACCTTATACAAAAGTTGTCGACAACCAAATAGATTCCTTGATTTTTTGATTTTATCGTTGTTAAATTAAAAATAAAAACAATGGTAAATTCCAAGAAATAAAAAAAAACAATTAGTCTAGATTTAATTGCTTAATTTTTCATTGCAGTGTTACTTGATTGCTTGATTTTTAGAAATGAAATTTAAAAAATCAGCAACGTGAGGTCAAGGCAGTTCTTAAACTGAAAGTGATGACACAGTCAATCACTGTCTGTCTATTAACATTCATTTTTTTTTTTTTATAGTTCATTGAATCTTTAAGTACCAGTGGCACTTACAATTAGTTATTTATACAGTGATTATATAGTTTTATTGAAATGGCAGATGTTTTTTTATATATTTTCAAAATTATTAAATTTCACTTATATTGTTACAACTAGTAGACTGTAGAAAGGACTAATTATTCCACCTTACATTTTTAAATTATAACTTTTTAGACAATTAGGCTATAGGTAAAAATTGCCATACTCGATACAGTTCTTTTTTCACTAATGCCATGATTTGAAACTTATCATCATGGTTGGCAAACTATGAAATGGACACAATGAAAAAACTGAATAAGTTGAGAGATATTTCATAACATTGTGAAAAATGACTAACTATGAATCTAAGTGATTACAACTTACAAGTAGGCGTGGTTTGCCCTTGTCAAAAATGGAAAAGGGTGTAATATAAATGGCATATTTATTTATATTATATGACATTTAATGCATTGGCCAAGTATTGGTGAATTGTGAAATGAGAAATAGGAATACTGTGCACTTATATAATTTTACACAGCGGTTGTCTTGAGTGCCCCAAATAATTATGGAATCCATATTAGGTAAAAACCAATTGAGACTTTTGAAGTCATTCAAAGTAGGTAGGTATGTAACAAAAGTAAGCAGGTATTTAAATTTTAAAGTAGGTATGTAACAAAGATACATACAAATAAAAAATGCCCTGGTATGGTAAGATAAATAGAATTTTCAAAGAGTAATTTACTATAAGTGGGAAATATATTATCAATAACTAATAAGCTTTAGAAACGTATTATAGTTATCAGTTATATTTAAAAAATATAACATTTAGTTTTTGAAATAAAACAAAATATGCAGTCGAACACCATTTTTAAATTATAGGAGCCTAATTAAGACATTCAAGCTTTGTAATATAATAAAAAATTCTAAAAACAAAAATCGATAAAATTTATATTTATTAAAAATTATACTAATTGTATTAGTTTTATCGTAAAATCAGTGTAAAGTTACCTGTAATATGAACAAACGTATATTTATGAGGATATTAGGAATTAGTTAAGACTTCAACAAGATTTTTTTCGAACAAGAACTAAAATAAAACTGTTTTTTTTAGATTTTTATATCTGAATATCTAGTCTCAGATATAAAAAACTTTTGTGATATTTTAAGCGTATTTTGTACGTTAGAAATGTTGTTAAAAACACCCAATTCTGATTTTTATTATATAAGTTGCTTACAAATTTGAATGCGATTTTAAAAACAAATCTAGAGAAAACCTGTGACCAAATTTGAATTTTAAATCCTATAGTAACAAGGTTTTTTTTTTAATGAATTAGTATTTGCTAAAATAATTGTAGTGAATACGAGTATAGGAACAACTTCAATTAGTTTTTAAGTAAATCGTATCAGACGTATTCCAATCAGATTATTAATAGTTATAACTTATAATAATTTGCCTGTTTATAATTTGTATTAATATTTAAATCGTTGTATGTGGAAATATTATTAAGTTGTTAAAATGATCATAACAAGTACCTATTGGCTATTAATATACATATAGGTTTACGTTAGACACAATATTGTCTTCTAGATAACTATCGCTGAAAAACGTATAGTCACGAATAACGATCATTAAATATTATTCTAAGTATATTGTATGAAATATGAACATTTCATTATTAAAAAAAAAGGATTATGCGCATTATAAGTTCGAGAGATGAATGAGACTACCCAACACATAATTAAATGGACCTGAGTTCAAGGATGGTGTTTTTTTTATTTCTACTAGTTTATATCATATCGACTTAAGGAGGTTGTTAGAAACATTTGTTTTTCAAGGTATTTCCGAAAGCGCTAAACGTACATCCGTATTATTATTCTCTGAAACTCGGCAAAGACAAATATATCAATATAGTATTTATAGTAAACCTGGACATTTTTTATTTAAATAACAAACAAATATTTGAAACTATTCAGATGTTTAATAATAATATAATGAGCTATTTTAAGCATATTTTTATTAATACTGTATCATTAAAAAATAAGACATTATTTGTACCAATACCAGGTTTGTCTGCAAGTTAAGGCGTTAATCGAATTACTTTTGTAACATATAACAGTGTTACAATAGTAATAGCTAGTAAATGATTTAATATTGTTATTCATATTTTTGTTTACAAACATTTCCGTTTTAAAGTATTATCAACAGCAGTGTGTAGTGTTACAATTATTTCATTGCTTGGTTGTGTAGGCAGTTTGCATGAACTGCAATTAAGGAAATGTAAATATCGCAATTATAAAACTGCATACTAAACAGGAGCAGTCGGGCTACATTAGACCGTCCCATATGCCATGGGTCGGGGCACAGGGAAAACGGAAAATATTGGGTCGGAGAGGTCACGGGTCTTCAGGAATTATTATAAATAAATTTAAGGAATTATATAATATAAATAAACGCTTGTATGCGAATTTGTAGACAAGGATGTAGACTCGTTGGCAGAGTAGCCCAGTATGTCGATATCGGCAATCATCAAATGTCTATAACTCCCAAACTAAGTTCGTCCGGCAAAAATTGTTTGCAGATTCGTAATTAACAGTAAAAGTACTATCGATTTTAAAAAGAATAGAAAAAAAAGTGTGCCCGGTAGTCTAGATTTATACCTAACTAAAATATTTTTAGTTAATACATTTGTAAGTAATGCCAAAGCGGCACAACCCATGATTATAGCAAATTGTTCTGGCGGTTTGTCTGGAAACAAGGTTAAATATATCTTTTTTTATGACATGAATTCAGAATACGTATATTGTCTTATTCATAATATATTCTTATAAAAGTTAAAGTTTTGTTCGACGTTGTGCTGCCTATTCTAATAGAAGCATTACACTAATTATAAAGCCTTCGTCTACGAATGCCGTTGGACGTAATAATTGTGTTTGAATTTCATCCGATAATTCAACACTAGATTCGTTTTCTTCGAATAGGTCTTATTATAACGTTATTCGTTTGATACCTAACTAACATAATGGTAATATACGATTTAGTTTTGTGACGCAATAGTAATAAGATAATCTGATCTATCTACAACGTGTCCTCGCAACATCCATATCCATTAGTATATAGTCAGTAAACCCCGTACAAGTATTTAGAATACATAATATTGTGGCCAAAGTACTTTATATATGATTGGTAAACATTGAGAAATAATAATTAATATAATCCATATAATTTAACTTTCGATTAATTTGCTAACACAGTTGAAGCAATTAACAATGACACATGCTTTATGTATAGCAAGCGGATGGCGTAGGCTGAGCAATCAGCTAGTAGTAGATTGTAATTATACAGTATTATAATTGTACAACGACTTCCCAAATAGAAACCCGTCCCTAACACTAGTAGTGTTTAATATCGCTATATGGGAAATACAAAATGTAAAACTCAATTACCGAAAGTTACAAAAAATCTGTAAAACATTAGATTTGGTAGACCGTTTATTAACTGTGTTTTTTTCATTTCATGTGAGCATGTAGTTTTTTTTCTTGAACACTTGAATATGGTACCTATCCTTGTTGTTTGGTTATGCCTTCAAGAACATAAGCCAGTAAATAATATATTGAATATTTATAGCACTAAATAACTTACGTCATTTAGTCGTCATACGTCATTGATTAAAAAAATAAAACAACATTATTAAAAGCTCATGATTTAATTATAATACGGAATAACATCCAATATGATATTATGTATAGTTAATTATCATATAGAGATTTTAGATGATAATATGATTGATGATACATTTGAATGGAAAGGAGTTATAGAATAAGCTTAAGATGATTAAGATTGTAAAACAACTTAAAATAACTCATGACGCATTACGGCTAGATAAAAATAAAAAAATCAATATTAATTACTATAATAATTACTTTGTTCAAGTTGTTGATGTAATTTAAAATCTAATTAACCCAAAATTCGCGTACATATAGTACGGAAGTTTACCATTTGGATTTTTTGGGGATAAATTTAGGACTAACTTACTAAGGGTTTGAAAATTGGACCGACGGTATATATAATGTGTATAGGCTATTATATATAAAAGAATGTCAGTTAAGTAAAAAAAATTGTTTTGAGAAAAAATAAATTAAAAGGTTATAATACACAAATTTGTTATCTAAAAAGGGATTTTTATTGACGTATTACATGTTAACCATGAACAGATTTGCATAGAAACGTTTTTTGAGGCATGAGTGTAATTTTATAAATGTCAGGCTAAACATCAATTATAACTTATAAAGACCTTTGTAATCTCCCAAGCTCTACTAAGCCTTGACCTCAGTTGCTTTCAAATATTATAAATACATATTTTTCCTCCGTATAAGTCAAAAATCTATATTCGACCTATTTATTAAAATTTGAAATGTAGTTTAAAACTGTTTATGTAGTACTTACTTCTTTAAAATATACAAACAATTTTAAATGACATAAAAATCATAAAATGTCTAATGACTTAGTTGTCAAAGCCTTAACTAACTAATAAAAAAAAAAAAAAATCGTAAAGAAAAAAATATTCAACATCTTGTTCAATACAATATAATATACAGATACTAAAGTATTAAAATTGGCTAAAAATAATAAGAAGTAGGTATACTTAATAGACAAAGTACTTTTTTATTTTTTAAACTTGCTACTGTAAACTTTTAAAATTGTTTTCATTCAGTACCTTGATAAACATATTAGAAATTACTTGTCTAATTGTAAGATTTCGTAAATTAGATACTGAGCATACAAATATATTCCAATCACTTACATTTACAATAAACATTTGTTAAATCGTTTTAAAAAGTCAATATTGAGTCTTAATAAAAACCACTAAAAGAAAATAATACATTTTATGTAATAACTTTTTTGTCATACTCATAAATTTTAAGTCATCTACAGCAAATATGTTTAAAGATATTTTTGTAAATAACATTTAAACGATTCATACATATAGTGCAAAATTCTATTTTACGGAGTCATCCTAATCTTTACATAGTACTAGATTTGTAAAGTGGGCAAAACGCTTAACGTTTACTGTTTGGAGACTTTAACTACCACAACAACAACACCAGTTCACTTATTACTATATTAGACCGTTGAAATAGCCCAAAACAGAATTTCGTTGTCGTGATTCACTCTCATCGTTACAACAACTATAGTCACACTACAGTCTATATACGATATACACATACATAATTTATGCATGTACAAATCTGGTATTGTCTGACGTCGAAAACAAAACCAAGTCAAGTGCGCAATTTTACATTTTACTCTTGTTTTTATTTTTGCAAATCTAGCCTACACGTCTTAGCTGGCGGCTGAGCCAAATGTGTGCCGGATAAATATTATATATATCATATTGTTATTATGGTTTATAATAATATTATATTTTATTTATTTGTATCACCACTGTTTTGTAGGCGTATGTTTTGGTGGCCATTGAATTGGTCAATTATCAAAACGATTGTTCGGTTGGTGTTCCGCGTGGGCTGACCAGATGTATACCTGTACAATATATAAGTATATATTGTACAGGTAAACCCCCAAAGGCGGGCAAGTTATGTGTTTCTATGCATACAAACACACACACACACGCTTACATTAATACCGGTCAAACCCATATTTCGACTTCTGACCATGAAATGCAAGGATCGACCGATGATTATAAATGAACATGTGAATGAAAACACTCGGTCAGTAGACGGTTGTGCTGTGACTAATCTGGATACAACATGACTGTGGTGAGTTTGAGATTTAATCAATTATTATTATCATTATTATCATTATTATTATGATTATTTTACTAAACAGTAAATTTTGTGCCTATACATATAACTACTATACCGTTTAAATCAAATTTGTGTGCATATTAACAGTGTTGTACAAGGCTATTCAATAACTATGAACCAGTCAACGTCTTAAAAGTCTTATTAGACTTTTTTTAGTTCATTTTTTTCATAGTTTCACAGTTATTAGTTAGCTTAAATTTTATATTTATTTCAACTATATAATCACATCCCTTATCTGTTAAACCCGTATGAACTTTAGATTTTTAAGTGGTAAATATATATTATCTCAAATTTTTAAATGAAGAATAGTTTTCTGAAAATTTCGACTGGGCGACAACCAGTTTTGAATAACTAAATATTAAGTTGTTGAAGTTTAAAATTTAGGTAGGGAGGTGGAGTGTGATAGAGTAATGGGCTCGGATAAAAATGATACTACACTCCCCCCATCCTATTTTTTAGACTCTTAATAACATTAAAAGTAATTATCCAAATTTCGTTTTCGAAAAGTCAACATTTTCGGCAAATAATTCTTAATTTAAATAGTTAATAAAGTACATATTTTACCATCTAAAAAGCTTACGTTTAAAAGATTTTAGCAGAGATGGCGTTAAACTTTTGAAAAATAAATTAAATTTTGGCGAACTATTAACTAAAATAGTATGAAAAAAAAAAGTTTTCAAAAGTCTAATACTTTCTGAGATATTGACTGGTTCATAGTTGGTGAATCACCCTATAATATAATATAGTATAGTGGTGGAGTAAAAATATTCGGGAAAATGTACTTCGATAATTACTTTATTTTTAAATGTACATTTAAATATATTTTTGAAGTAATTGTATTTAATAAGAAATGCATTTTAATAAATCATTTTGGAACTTATAAAGTTTCGTAATCACAAAATAAATGATAAAATTATAAGACAAAAAAAATGAAAAAAACTATCTTTGGTCATATTTATCTGCAAGTTTGGACGACAAATAAACTGTCAATTAAACTTTTAATCTAAAATAAAGAAAAGAAGGAGTTGAATTGTATTTTTTACAATAGTATCGAGTACATATTATAATTTCAAAAAAATAAAATAAACTGTTTGATTTACCACATATAAAATGCATTTGTGTCACGGTTAGTTAAGAAGTATAGTTATAAGTTAAAACATTTGAATTTTTAACGGATGGCTTAGATTATGTTAACAAGAACTGGGATTTAAAAATTATTAGTAGATACTTTTCAAATTACTTAAAAACTAAATCAATTTTTTCAGTGTTTCAGATTTAAAAAATTAAAGATTTATTGTTGAGATTTTAGTTTATACATTTATTTGCATTTCGATTATTAAAACTGTTTAAAATTATTTCCACGAGTAATTTTAGACGTAAATTAGGCATTAGAAATGTAATATGAAAATTCAAATTTGTGCAATAACTTTTTAGGTGAAAAATTCTCGATTTTTAAAATATGATATAAATAAATTTCATCGAGTCTCGTTGTTTCCTAAAATATATAACAATAATTACTACAACAAGTTACAGGATGAGTATAGCAGACGACCTTGTCAATTTGATATAATACATAATAATATAATATTATGATGTATTAGGTATACATTTTTTATGTAGGTCAATGTCTGAATTTGCACGTTATATTATTTGTAAATTCTGTTAATTATAAATTGCTCTATAAATTAGTAAAATATTGTTTTCTTGAAGTAATTTTGAATTTTGTTTGTTATTTATAGTGTTTACGGATGATGGGCCTTTTGGCCGCAGTGGTCGGCCCCATTGCACAAGGTAAGCTACTAAAATAACGTCATTATTTATTACACCTAGTCCAATGTTTTCTAATTTCGTGGCTAACTTCCCAGTATTAAATAATAGTAAATTATATTTTAAACCATTACCTATAAAATAAGTTACTTCAATATTTTTTTTGAACAGTATAGCGGATTAAAATGAAATAATTAAACCAGCCTTAAATATATATTTTAAATGGGTATTAGAATAAAGCCCATGTATAGGTATTAACAATTATTACTCTCATCGAGTACGTGTTTATTTGTAAAATATATGACTCATCATTGTTTTGTAATGCATTATGATAAAAACCAATATTATTCTTCGATTCGATGCTATAAAAAACCGGTTTTCGTCGTTGGGGATATTTAGTGTTTTAATATGTTAATCAGTCTTTAATATAACGTTCAAAACATTACTGATATATTAGTAAAATTAAAACGAAATGTAAGCAAGAGCGTCCTTTAGACTTTTCCCATTGGCTTTTTCTTCGCCTATTCTAACATTTTAATATAATATTATCTATAAGCAATAACAAAACCAGTTTTGTTTGTATTAAGATGCGTCGAAGATAAAATAATACAAGTAAAATGTAAATTTACTCCAAAGGGTCTAAGAAGGATGTTTTTCTAAAAAAAAAAAACATTTTTTAAAAAGAGGTTTTTAATTTTATTATGGAAACTAGTTAAATAAAAGTTGTCTTTTGTTTTTTTATGTATTTAATTTTTTGTTATAAAAGTTGAAAATTAAATGTTAATTAAAAAAATATTTCACCGTCTTTATATTACACTTAATCTAATTTTGTCTAAAAGAGCTGTGAAAAAAAAAATATTATACTGATGATCTCGTAGCCTATTATTGTACTGAGCAAAAAAAAACGTCCCTCCCACAGGATTTTATTTTTAAGACCTTGAACGTTGAAAGAGTGTCCACTATGGGTGTCATCAATGTATGATTTATGCTCAGAGAGTTCCGCAACGCTTAGATGTACTTATATTGCATAACTGTAACCCCGTCTTTGTAGGAAATGTGTTATTCAAATATATCATCCACCCACGTCTCTTCACGTCCTACATACTCCTTGTGTTTTGGACTACACTTTAGTTTATTTACTGTGCCATCATATTCATTTTACCGCCACTATTATCTGTTATACTTCCTGTTGTTCCCATACACAGTTTCTAAATTAATAACTATAGTCTATATGGTCCTCCACCATTGGTCCCATGTGTATTTCATCTCGTAATTAAAGATAATTTTTCATCTGTAACTTTAATTTCATCTTAAAACACTAGCAGTTAAATGCTAATAAAACCAACGTATATTCTTTGTCTCATCCCTCTACAAATGTAATCAGTCGGTTAAATAATTTCTTACATTTTTCTATGAACTTTATTCACATTCGCAGTTTGTACCTGTTGTCACTTTACACTTCTTCTACCACATTTTATTCTTATTTAAACGTCCTCTATTCTCTTGATCAATTGATCAGCAATGTGTAAGTTTCTCAGCTCCATTCACCACTTGCCCGCCAAGCGCAACAGGTTATTATTTCTACCTTCTCCTTTATCCTCCTCGTTCTCAATAATATTAACTGTTAGTAAATTGTTTTAATTCTTCTTGTTTTTAAAAAATCCTTCTACCTTCCGATGTCTCAATCTGTTACCCATGCCATTTAGGTTAAGAATATGAAATATTGAAAAATTAACTTATATTAAATTGAGTATATTTATTGATTATGGCTTATGTTTAAACCGTCAATTTTGATTGGTTAAAAATAATTTTGGTTTCTATTTGATTCATATTTAAACTTTGATCTGTAATCTAGTCATTACACAACAGTCACTTAGTAATAAATAATAAAACTGTAATATATTTGAAAAAAAATAAAAACTATTTAATTTCACATTATAATTTAGTTTTTCTGGTAAAAATATACTTATAAATAAATTACTGATATCCTTCTCAGGTATGATCGTGTACAATCCGACATCGTACAACTTGGGCCGGTACAACGATCCGTGTTCACCGAACCCGTGTGGGTCCAACACTCAATGCCGAGTAGCTGACGGTCGACCTGTGTGCAGTTGTTTACCAGGACACTGGGGAAATCCACTGACTTACTGTCAACGAGGCGAATGCGAAGGTCAGTATAGTTAGAATAACGTTTTTGAGTAGCTAACCGAGAGCCCTATGACAATACTGATACTTTGAAGGCCCCCGTTATGTCTAGTGGAATTTATTAGCTAAAAAGACAAATTATTACTTTAAACATAAATAATAATTTCACAGCTCGCACTAAAAAGTAAGGTTATTATATTATGATAATATGGAGATCCGATGCAACGCTCTAACGTTATTTTACATATAAAAATGCCAATGAAACCATACAGTGGTAACGCCTACAGACTTGTTTTAATATATTCAAGTCTTTGTGCATGTCCTTGTGGACTTGCAGTGTATGCAGTGTATTCTAGAACGGCCGCTGCAGTGAATACAATCGTTCGTTGAAGGTATTGATTCTTTGGCCGTTTTTAAAAAAAGGACATTCGTTTAAACAAAAATATGATTAAACATTTTAAAAAAAAATCTAACACTTTGGGAATAGAGCATAGAGGCGGGGGAGGTTAGGGAAGTCGCAGGTCTTATTAAATGTAGGTAGTTCTATATTTTATGTTTACCCTTAATACATTTGGTTAGTTACTAGAGTACTTTTAAATTATAAAATATCACAATTTTTAGTGTATTTTTCTTAAATAGAAAACCTAACCTTACCAAACTTAACCTTTGGCCATATGTTGGATAATTTACATTTAATCGATAAACCAAACCTCCGAAAAAATCAAACTAGTTGTTAAAAAGTTACCCTAGGTTACTGACGTGAATCAAATACCATTTTAGCTCCGCATAGAAGCTAAAAGTTATTTAAATCGAATGAATATTTAAACGAACTCTTAGGTACCTATATACTGGACAGATAAATACTGCAACAGTCATTCTGGAATATATTGTACACAGTGTCATTGTGGATTTATGTATTATTCATGTTAAACAAAACACATAGAGCCATTTACCTTTTGGCAGTTATTAGGTATTTCATAACGAACATGGTATTTATATTAGTTTCTCCGTCTTGGCTTGTGCTCACAAATGTGCTGTGTATCTTTACAGTCCACTGTCATATGTCTGGGTGTATTTACACCCATTTCGACTTACCACTTTTTTGTCGTTCGACAATCTTAAACGATCTTGTCTTTTTGACTATATAATTATTCGTTTTGATCGGGAACGAATAGAGACACAATTGTTTTGGAGGTGAAGATATGACGAAAATATCGTTTAGACAAATTTGTTTAACGTTGAAATGTTTAAGAATCTCCAAAAGGAGTTTGCATCTAAAACAGGTTATAACTTATAAGCACTCTCGTACACCTTAAATATGCTTTGAAGGTGCCCAAGTCAGGTGCAATGTTTGCTACAGACGTTGTTTTATTTTAAATTACATTTTTTTTTTGTCACGTACAGTCAACCAGGATTGTCCAAGTTCCAAGTCTTGCCGGAACTACAGGTGTGAGGACGTGTGTGCCGGACAATGTGGAATCAATTCGGACTGTACGCCCAGAAATCACGTGGCCGTTTGCTCTTGTCCGGCGCGTCACACCGGAGACCCGTCAGTGTCCTGTCGTCAAATGGATCCACGTAAGCCTTTTATCATTTACAGTGACATCACATTAACACTTAGTTATTGACATGGCTCGAGTACCTCCAAAACCGGTTTCCAAAGGTCAACTAATGACTATTCAAACTATAGGCACAAGGTGGAGAGAGATGAGAGGTCATCAACTTCTCATCATCCTAATCGCCTTCTATTAAAACCAACTATTGTTGGCTTGAATCTTTATTCCATTTTTGACATGAATATGTCTTTCATCTGGGGGTCGGTCGAAAATTAGCGAAATCACTTTCCTGACAGTGATAAGTAACAAATTGATAAAATATTAGTGATAAGAGACAGCTGATAAGAATTCAGTGACCAATTAAGGGGGTGTAGGAGATTGTAGATAGAGGGAGGGGAGGAACACGAACACGAACGTGAACATGAACATGAGCCTTCTGGCTTCTTGATTTTACAGAAGAACAATGTTACCCAAGTCCCTGCGGCCAGAACACCAAGTGTGAAGTGATCAACGACGTTCCTGTGTGTTCGTGCTTGCCCGGATACGTAGGATCACCGTTTGCCGGTTGTCGTCATGAATGTGAATCCGACTACGATTGCAGTCCCAGTCAAATGTGTCAACAGTTTAAGTGCACAACGGCCTGTGCTGTCGGTACTTGTGCGTCCACGGCCATTTGCGACGTCCACAACCACCGACCCACTTGCTCGTGTCCAAAGGTGAACCATGCTCTTTTAAATTTCAAGTGAAACACATATTTTTTGTTTAAAACCCGTACTTCCAACCGACGCCCATGCTGTAAGGAATTTATCGCCACTGGGCACTGGTTATAGTCGTTAATAGGAAATACATGAAGTCCTCGAGAAAATGTAACAATCAAAAAACAACTTTAAAATCAAAACACCGCAAAAAAAAACTTTTACCTTAACTACATCATTTTCAGTCTCCTTCAAAACATTTTATCATCAACTCCTCAGATACACCAACCAACATTATATTATTTTTTTGTTCGGATCCATCTACCACTTATTATCCACATTAATTCCCATTAATACATTGATTTTAGATTCAATTATGATTGTTAAAATTCAGATATCAAAACGTTTAAAAAAACCGAATAAAATGTAAAAATACACATAAAAGGTCATATAAAATTACAAACAAAAACGAAAATGTAATTGCATAAAATAAAAACTAAATTAAAATTTGTTTAACATTTTCCTACAGTTAAATAACTAAGCAATTATCATAATTTTGTTTAATTGACTAAAACATGTCCGTTGTTAAAGATCACCCGAAGTTGTAATAGATAATCAAAGCAAATATTAATTGTAAACAAGTAGTATGAGATAATGTAAAAGAGAAAACAAAATTGGAAAACGTTTCTTGTAACTTTTATCAATTTAAACGTAGGTTATATTTTATTGTATAAAATATAAATATATAGAGTAAAAATATCAAGTTGAATGAAGAGATTATGATGTTATAACAAATTGTTAAAATGTATTTAAATACCAAATGATAAGTTATTCGAAGCGGTAAATAAAAATGTAGTTAAAGTACTTAACTCATTACTTCAAACAATTAATTGTTAATTAAATAAAAATTCCCAGGTTTGTCATACATTATAAATTAACAACCATACTGCAGTCTATATAGTTGTATAACCCAAAGGCATTATACAATATATAAACTTACTTTATACACACTTAATTTTAATTTTGCTCGTTAATGATAATAATTAAATATAAATTGTTATCCGTTTTGTGCGTAGGGCTACTTTGGAGACCCCTACGTATCGTGCCGTGCCGAGTGTCTGACCAACAGTGACTGTCCGTCCGACCGTCCAGCCTGTCTGGGCGAAAAGTGCGTTAACCCATGCTCGGGCGGTGTGTGCGGCGTCAACGCCAACTGCGAGGCCCGTGGCGCAACTCCCATATGCAGTTGTCCCAAGACCATGACGGGCGATCCGTTTGTCCGGTGCAGGCCGTTCGAACCGGCCGATCTTTGCGAACCCAACCCGTGCGGCGAGAACGCCCGGTGCCAACCGGGACACGACAACACCGGCAAAGAGCGGCCGGTGTGCACCTGTCTGCCAGGATACGTGGGCGACGCTTTGACCCGGTGCCGCCGCGGTGAATGCCAGGCCGACATCGAGTGTCGTTTCGATCAGTCGTGCGTCGACTACCAGTGCAAGAACGTGTGCACCGGACAGTGCGGCGTGGACGCTGAGTGCAATGCCAGGAACAGGGTGGCCACATGCACGTGTCCGCCGGGTTACACCGGCGACGCTTTGACCAGGTGTTATCCCAAGACCGGCGGCAGTGCCAGAATTGGCCGCGTTTACTACAATAAGAAATGAAATCCTTATCAATAATGATTGTCATTGTCCTTATTTTTCGTTCCGTTTTCGATTTAACACAATATTTTTTTTTACATATTATTATTATTAATTATTTTTTAAGTCGTAATTAAGTAATGTAAACTTGTAATTAATACTGTTGTCATTTTTATATATAATATATATATATATATTTACATATTTATTAAATAAAAAAATAAAAACCGTTCAAACGACGATCAGCGTTTTGTTTATTATTATAATAGCACTCGACAAGATGGTTTTTGAACAAAAATCAAAACACATCTGCAATTATGTTTTTCGTTATTTCAGAATCTGGTCTAAATGTTCACCTACTCGTAGTTTTTTACTTCAGTGTTAAATCACTCCCCAAGATGTAAATAACTTACAAAACTGAACAATCCTACAAACTACATTAGTTAAGAGACCATTCATATAGGTAATATTCATTGAAAATATTCAATAACAAAATAATTTAAATTTCTTCTTTTTCTACTGGCACATATAACCGGGACTTGAGAGATTCTCAGAATATATAATAAATATTGAATCAATAACTTGATAGTAAGTAATTATTATTAGTAACATCTTCTGTAAATAGGCCTATACTACACACTATACATTAGCATTATTGATTAAGGCGCATTGTATAGGCAATTTTTCACTTCTATAGGTGCCCCAAAAATAGCGCAACTTTTAACATGGTTGCGCCATTTAAACGGTTGCGCTATTTTTGGGACACCCTTTATAACGCTTGTCGGATTTAATTTTTGTATAAAAACATATGTTTCTACTTCGAACAGAACGTTATTAAAGATAATCAAATTTAAGGTTTTTGAAAAAAACATTTGGATTCTTCATAACATATACGAGGTATCAATCGTGGCACAATTTCAAAACTGTTTTTAGTCAATTTACTAATTTCTTTGAGAAAAATTTAATTTTTTCAATGATTTTTACAATAACATTGAATACAAAAATTAAAAACGTACTTCGGCCAATACATCAAGCAAACATTGAAAAATCTGTATCCGTTTTCAAAACTATATTATCGGATTACGCGTTTCAGAGTACGGTTAAAATTAAAATGTGTCGTTTTTGTCCAAAAATACGTCAATCAAAACAGTGTGTGTGTGTGTAATATAGAAAAAAATGGGAGGATGCTGCAAATAAAATTCCAAAGTAAGGTTTTTTTTCTAACCACCCTAATATATATATAAAAAAAAAAATATATATATATATACTATATTTTAATAAGCTAGCTGTCTAAACGCAGCCGCAGCTTCTAATGTAAACAGAATCGTTGAGGTGTTTCGTTAACAAATATGACTTAAATATAAATTATTTAATAGATTCAAGGTGGCCTCGAGAGTTGCCCTCTAACTATAATTATACGTTTAATGTAGTAATTATTAGAGCTGATTTAGTATAAGTAAAATGCTGTAAAAACATGACATGGGTAATTAAATGGAATTTTAAAGTACTTGGAGTATCATGTAAAATATCATAAATAAATAATTGTTATTCTTTGCCTTCAAGTTTCATATTTATTCAACTTGGTTAGCTTATTTTTTATGAAGACTTTTTTACGTCTAATACGCGTCCCATGTATTCAGTTCACTGCTCAGTGGTATTGACTAATGGCTAAGCTAAAAGTAAATTAGAAAAATTTTGTTTTTCATTTTTCAGAATGATGTACTATAATTTATTTAATCATTAACAAATGTAATATTGCATAATATATTAATAATATTACAGCGTCTGCTACTTACGACTCTTGCTTTTTTTCTCACGAGATTAAACCGCGATAAGACGAATAATCTTTATTCAATGCTATTGCATCGATGAAAATATCATAATAACATTCTGTACCGTTATTATAATAATAATATTATAAATAATATTAGGTATAATTTGGTGTTTAAATTAGGAATGGACGTTCAACGTTGTTCCGGTTCACTACGGCGACCTCAAAACAAACGACAATAAACTAAATATCACAATCAATTAAATCACTTTAATAAAAAAAAAATTTTATTTAAATAACCGTTTAATTAAATCGTTTAAAAGAGGGTCTGAAACACAACTACAGTCGATTTATGGTACAAATATGTCAAATTTTCTAGTCTTAATTTCGAATTAAAATACTCAGAATGGAAATTATTTTCCCAGTCGAAAATACAGATTCTGATTTGAACCAGATGAAACTTGGTTTTATACGGTATACATATTCAATACACAATTTTGCTCAATCCTGTATTTAAATTGATTACAACTACTAAATAAAAAAGTTAAAATATGATTAAACACCTGTTATACTTTTTTGAGCATTGAAAAAAGTCGTTTAAAAGCTATCACTTTTTCATCGGTATTTTTTCTATGTACAGTCCTTATATCATTAGTATATTGAAATTTTGTCATGTGACACAGCCACACTGTTTTTTTAATACTTTGATTATTAGATAATTAATTTAGAAGACATAAAATCTAAATCTAAAAAGGTTTAGTAAATAATTTAGCTCTAGAATATTTTTACCGAATACTGTTTTTGAAATAATTTCAGGAAATCATCGCTACGTGTTCCTGATTTATAAACAGCCGTCTATGTCGTATTTTGATGAGCCGCATTTGACCAACGAGTAATATTTTTAAACTAGGCTATTAGCTCAATATTGAATGCAATTACGTTTTGATATACATACATACTATAATGATCTTTAGGTCTTCAGATGATGGTAGAATCAAATTTTCAATCCACATGTTTGCTAAGAAATATAATTTTGGAGCACCTGTAGCTGGACATTTATAAGGAGTACACGCCAACAATTATCGAGAGAATCGAAGCGATGTTTTCGGAATGATAAAAGAATATTAAGATCAAATTAAAATAATTACACTGTAAGTAATTATTTATCAGGATTCTTATAAAGATATAAAAGTAAAATTAAGTTTTTTTAGCTGTTTCCAGATTAAATATTAATATTTTAATTAGGCAACATTGTTTGTTTAGGAGACAATTTTTTTAAATAAAATTAATTGTATTCATTTTAATTTAGTAACAGTAAAAAACAATCTATTTATTGACTATAATTACCTTTATAATTTGTAGAGTCTGTAGAATACTTATTGTACAATTGTATGTTTTAATTGTTGTTTGCTGTGGTGAAAAATTAAAAATAATGCAATATTACTCAAGTTTTACTTATTTCTTGCACTCAGAAACAATCGACAGATACAATAATTTGTCCTATTTTATTCTTGCAATTTTAAAAAACATGATTCTGAAAAACCCTGATTTTCAAAACTAAATTTGTCCAAAAATGTATTTACAATTATTGTTACATTCATATCAATCAGACCATTTAGTTTTGAATGAATAATGTGCCAATTATTTGGCAGAAGTTTTTAATATTGTGCACACGGTTTTAATTAGTATTTTTTTATTAACCGATATGAAATAATAATTGTTTAATTATTACAAACAGATCCGAGGTCAGAGGTGGACACACATTCTCGGTAGTTAAGTTGTTACAAGAAAATGTGTATTATAAATGTTACATAAAAGTACGGAAAATGTATAATGTTTAGAAAAATGTTTGGAAAAATTGCACATTTTACAAAGAAAACAAAAAATAAATGGCTTATAATTATTACAACTATTACTAATATACTTAATACAGTATTAGACTTTTGAACTAGTTTTATTTTTGGGATATATTTTTGGGCTTAGACGACGATCAAACCAGCTTCAATTTCAAAAGCATCTTCTCTTTTCCCTCCCTTTATTCCCAACGTCTTTCCCAACCTCTCCTCCTATCTCTTCTTCCATCCGTCCCTTCCCATCTTCCCTCATTTTTCAATGATTTCTTCTACCTCCCCTTACATCTTTCTTCCTTTCCTCTTCTCACTTTTACTTTTCTCACCTCACTTTCACTAGTGTGAGGTGTGGCAAAACTATCGACGCAAAATGGTCTGTTATAAAATTAATGACTCTAATTCAAGATAGACTCACAACACAATATTCATGTTAATACGAAACAGTTTGCTAGGTTTGGCTAAAATTATATGCATGTTAATAAAACTGTGAAAGACATCGAAAAGTGCTTACTATCACTTCAAGTGGTTGACATAAATGCGAAGAAAAACGCGTTGTTAGTATAGTAAATGACATAGGCCGAGGAATGACCCTTATAACCAAACGTAAATTCAATTTTTTCTAGCCACCTATAAATAACTTATAAGTAATAAACGTTGTATTTATTATATCGTAAATAAAAAATATATCTTGTACTTTTACTTTTTTTTTTGTAAGTTTTTATTCTAAAACCCACAATATGCATTTAAACACTCCAAAAACTATGCGATTATATAGTTTTTTAGTCACCGTTTTAACTCGCACAGCTTAAATTTTATTACAGTATAACTACGCCACTCATGTCTTCATCAAAATATATTTTATAGTCATATTATATTTTACAATGATACATGATACAACTAATAACTATAATAAAGTAGGGCACATAAAACCTTACAAATAACACCTTGGACCAAATAATAGAATTTGGTCGAAATAAAATCTAATTTATTTAATGAATTACATTTATAAGCTTATTTGTAACGTATAGACTATACTTTGTCCTATTTACTATGTAGGAGGTTTAGAGTGGTGAGTAAATATTGGCTGTTAATGTAATTTATAGGTTTTTACTATAGTACACTATACAAACAACGAGATATTCTTTGCATGTGATGGTAACAGCTCAAAGAGTTCCTAACTCGTAAGCAATTTTCATTGTCGTTCATAGTTTATTTTCTACAGAAACGTATTGTGAATTGTCTTATGTTTTTAGTACTTCAATTTATTAACAAATAGTTATTAGTTATTTAATTGAGATAGTTTAAAAATAGTATAGTATATTAGTAAATAGTATGTATTGTTGTGTTTAGAGGGCGTCGCACCGCCCATTTTTAAGGAGTAAAGTATAGGCAATTTTTTACAAAATCTTAATTTAAAGGTTAAACTGTGGTGTGTAATTATTAGTTCAATAACTAGGACTCTATAATATTAGTTAACTTATTTTTTGAACTATCACAGCATCTTTGAAAGCGATTTAAAAATGTTTTTTCATCTCAACATGTTTAAGCAGACTGAAAATAACTCGCTTAATTTTGGTTTTAGAGTAAAAGCACCCATTATAAAATTAAAAGAGAACAATATTCTGGAGGGCGTGATGGTGCATTTTTTTCATTATTCTGAGTATAACGCTCAATACATAGTTTAGAAATAATGACTATTTTAACATTTTTAAATGACTGTAACTTTTCAAAAAATGAATTTTAAAAAAAAAACGCACCGTCTTGCCCTCCGGAATATTGTTTTCTTTTAATTTTATAATAGGCGCTTATATCTAAACCCAAAATTAAGCGAGTTATTTTCAGTTGGCGTAAACATATTTTTACCACTGAAAATCACTGGTGCGACGCCCTCTTAAGAATAATTGCAAAGACAATGTTTCATAATGAAAATGACGTTATGCCTTTTCGGTGTAATTACATCTACATAAATATTTGGAAAACAGTTTTCTCGATACTAAAGCTTTTTATACACGCTAAATAATAATTATTGTTACTATTAATATCATTTATGTGCAAAAAACGTACATAGTCAGTTGTGCATTTTGTAGTTTTTATTTCAAATACGTGTTGTCAATTGTCATACTATTTTGTATTTTACCGTTTTAATACAAAATGTTAAGTGTTTAGAGATCGAGTTAATTTTTTAGTAATTTATCCATCTCCGCCAGCTCACTGGTAGGAATATTACATATTATGAAAAAGAAAAACTCGAGACTGAGAGATTGGTATGCCCTACATAATGACGAATCATCGTGTAATCTGCTGTCGTTAGTACAAAGTTATTAAGTAAATGAATAATAATATTATAACAATATAATTATTATTCATCAAATCTGAACGCAAAAAGAATTTTCTAGAATGAAAAAAACACATTAACCCCGTCAGATTTCAAATACACTTAGTGGGTTCTTTCGTTGACTAAAAAAATTAACTGTTTTTTCTTCTATGCTTCGTTATTATAACAATTTACAGTGTGTCGTGTACGGTGTACGCTGTTCAACCCAATTTTTATGGAAATCTTAAACAGATTTAGGCATTTTTTATTTAAATAACGATACTAACTAATTTATTCGAATGATCTCTTTATTCGAATAACTATTTTTTCTAAATAAGTATTTTATTCAAACGAATAATCTATTAATTAATTCATTTACAATAAATTAGGATCTACAGTAACAAAGCAATTTGAAATAGTTATTATGTAACATCACTTACAAACTATGCTAATGTAATTCTGAATTAATAAAAAGTAAACTACACAAAATATATATCCGTTAGAGTGGTAGTATAGGATGGTTAGATACATATATTATAATTTAAAAAAGTATACAAGGTTAAAATAACTAAAAAGATAAAATCATACACGATATGCAATTACGGTGGAATGTTCAACATTAATTCTGAGCAAAACTTTTATAATACTACATATTGTTATGTATAACTAAACGTGATAGTACCACCGTACTTACGTCGGTAGTCTTATAGAAGTGTTTTTTTTATTAAAAAAAAATATGATGTTTTACAGTGTTTTAATGCTATTTTTCATAACAACTTTTAGTTTTTCAGAGGTAATACATTCAAATTTTTAGTTACATAATATGTCAACAATAAAATAATAATTAGCCTAAAAAAATAAAATATTCAAAAAAACTAGGAATAACTAATTGAATCAGTTTTTTTTTTTAATAATAATTTTTAGAATAAAAAAATGTTCTGTCGTTGATTCGAATTATAAATTTTTCAAATGAAAATATTATTCGACTATCAAGTGTCAAGTGTATTTTTTTTCTGCGCGTTGTTGCCGTTGTAGAGCGCTTTTTACTGTTTTTAGTTATGGCGGTATAGATAGCGTGAGCGCTGACAATGGACGCGCGGACGCAATACAGCCAGAAAAGACCATAGACTTTATTATAAGTCTATGGAAAAGACTACATTCTGTGATATAAGATACAACAACGGTAAAAATTATTTTCAAATATTATAAACGCAACTAAAAGCAGCAGAACGGGCGTGCGGAGCCTTAACTCTCTTATCTCGACCCGGTGTTCTTATACTTGATATAATATAACATATACATATATCGTTTATTGCGTTGTGCAACACTGATAAATAGTAATCCCATTTCCCAGTGTACAGTAAAATTATAAAATATAAGTAAGTCGTTCGAGAATAATCGTATCGTTAAGACTGGAGCTTTCTTATTGTTGTTAGCGTTAATGGCTTTCCTCGCGAAATCCGCTGTCACGTGCACACGGTTATTGTCTCAGTTGTTTCCTCAGGTCGGCGCTCGATTAAGCAGTTCTATTAACGTGGCTATAGCAATGGAAAAAGACCAAGTCGTGCCGGACGTCATTCCCGTTGCTCCGACCGGGAAAATCCAGGTAAGTAATATTAATAATGTTATTTTCATCATCATGTAAATTATGGCTTTTGAGTTTTTTCATAACTCCATTAAAAAACTGTACTTATTCAAAATTTTAAAAGTATACCTATTGAAACGTCGTTTATAACTAGGAGTCCCCAATTCTCATCATAATTTTTACTTTTAAAAAAACGTACTGTTAATGCTACACCGTTCCATTAGTCATGTTGACAATTTATTAGAATATCTTCCAAAGGATTATAAATAAACAATAATATAGTATATAATGCAAACAAATACACTTCCTATTTAATAGTTGTTGTTTTATATAATAATAAATAATTATTTACAGATCTTTAAAATTATATATTTGAAGTTCATAAATTTAAGATAAGTATTATTTAATAAATGTACCATGTTAAAGTACTTTGAAAATAAGGTTTATTTTTGATAGTAGGCAGGTATTTATTTAATTTGTGACTTTGTGTAATGACATTTTTTATTTTATTTTTAGGCTTTGTATTCTAGTGGTGTGAGTGTGAATTATGGTAACGAGCTTACTCCTACCCAAGTTAAAGATCAACCGACTGTCAGCTGGGAAGCCGAAAAGGATGCACTCTATACTCTGTGCATGACTGGTAAGTTTCAGTTTGGTTGATTAAAAAAAAAAATCATCCATTTTACCACAATTTGATTTCAGCGAATATAATACAATGATATATATTTTTTTAAATAATTTTAGATGAAAATCATACAACCAATTTATAAAGTAAATTATTTTTAAAAAATAGTTTGAAACTTTATAAACAAAATAAATTTAATTTAAAAAAAGGCCAAAATAAAGAATGTTTATTTCTTTTTCAATCAATGACTAATTATTTATAATGATTTCTATATTTAATAAACTGTTCCCTTCTTCTTATTATTATCTTAACATTGCAAATTTTTCGTTATAGATCCTGATGCTCCAAGTCGCAAGGAACATACGTTTAGAGAATGGCATCACTGGCTTGTTGGTAACATACCGGGAACAGACTTGAGCAAAGGTGAAACACTCTCTGAATATGTAGGATCTGGACCACCGCCTGATACTGGTAAGCAAAATTTGCATATGACGAGAGCTATATATCAAGAAGCTTACAATATTTTTTTTTTAATTTATTTATTTTTTAGGACTCCATCGCTATGTGTTTTTGGTGTACAAGCAGCCATCTAAGCTAACATTCGACGAACCCCGTTTGACTAACAAGTAATTATCAGAGTTGTACACAAATTATTCAATTATAAATAAATATAATAAAAAATAAATAGCAAAGATATAGATAAATCAATACATTTTTATTTGAGTAATAATATTAAAATAAAAAATTATTTATGCATTTCCTTCATTATTTATTATTCGGTTATTCATTATTCAGTTGTTCTTGAAAACAATTTTTTTTAATTTATAAATAAATATAATTATTTACAAATACAAATATAGTTAACTGAAATAACACATAAATATTTTTTTTTCTGATAAATTGTTCAAATAAAGTATTCATTAATGCCCATCTCTTATATTTTGTTTTTTTTCAATATAAAATTAAAATATTTATATTTTTAAGATCCGGAGAAAAACGTGAGAAATTCTCAATTAAAAATTTCGCTCAGAAGTATAACTTGGGAACACCGGTGGCCGGAAATTACTATCAGGCACAATACGACGACTACGTACCTCTACTCTACAAGCAACTTGGAGCTTAATCACAACTAACACAATATTAATATTATTTTTTTTTTTTTCAAAACATCAAAATATTTAGATGGAATAGAAAAAAATTAATACATATTAGTTTTGAAATAATTATTGATTTTTTAAATATATTTATAGATTTATTTTTTTTTCCACAATCAATTACATATATTTTTTATGTCACTCTTTGGATATGGTAACAATAAAATATTGATTTAGTATTATTCATTGTTTTTTTGTTTTATATCAAAATATAATTTAAAATTGATTAGACATAATATAAGTAGCACTGATGAGTTTTAATCGTTTTCTTTTAATGATAATCAAATAGTGTTGAACTTTAACACCGAGATTAATGTACTATTATTATTTATTATGATATACAGCAAGATAACAGGTTATTATCACTGAATTCAAAATATGAATGGTAAATTAAGTATTGAGGCTATAATAAATACTATTAACTTCACCTAGTGTTTTAAATTGTGTGATAATTATAGACAGCAATTTTTATGATCAGAAAAAAATAACGCACAACTTACAATGAGCTTGAAGAAGTTGACCAGTATATTGAACAAGCAATTACCATTGAGTAATTATGATTGTTTTATTTTTTTGTGTTTTTTGATTTATAATATAATATAAGTTCTTTGTAGAAAAATCATTTGCAAGTAATATAAAAAAAACCGGCTTGTATGAATTTCACATTAACAATGGCGGCAAAATGGTACCGTTTGCTGCTTACTATATGCCGTTAGCCTATACTGATAGTATCACAGTGTCTCACCTACATACCCGTCAGTCGTGTTCCTTATTTGATGTTTCACATATGCTACAGTCAAAGATTTACGGTAAACACAAAGAGCAGTTTATGGAACAGATTTGTGTTACGGACATACAAGGTATGTAATTATTGTTTTTTCTAGAAAAAAATTTTTTATCTTCAACAAAATAATTGCATTTTCAAAGTGACATATTTTCTACAATATTTTTATGGATATTTTAATATTTTTATTAAAGATTACAGACTTGTATTTTTTTTTATTTTCGAAGTAATATGACTTATTTTTACATTTAATTATATTTTTAAACCACAAAACGTAAAATTTAAGTTAAACAATTTTTTTTCAAATAGTTATTAAAAATAAAAACTTAAGTAATAAATACAATTTTTTTTATATTTGATTAAGTATAATATAAACAATAATTTCAAATAAATTATTATTTGAAAAAATTTAAATAACAAATTACTTCAATAAATTTTCAATTTAAACTAAAAATTTTTTTTTTACTAAAACAGAAATAATATTTCAAATAAAGAAATAATTTTAATATTAGTTTGAAATCAAATTATTTTTAAAACAACTATTTGTTATAGGTATGAAAAAAAGAACCAGTGCGTTGAGTTTGTTTGTAGACGATAAAACTGGTGGTATACTAGACGATTTAATTGTAACTAAAACGGAAGACGATTACTTATACATGGTAACAAATGCTGGTTGCAAGGAACAAGACGTCAAAATGATTACAGAACAACTAGTGATATAGCATAATATTTTACAATTTTGATTAAGTATATAATTTAATTATTTCTTTTTTAGGAGGATTTTAAATCGAAAGGAAACGATGTTACTATTGAGTTCTTGGACAGTGACATACAATCATTGTTGGCATTACAAGGACCAAAATCCATGACTGTTCTTCAACCCGTTGTTTCTGCTGATTTGTCTAAATTGTATTTTATGAACACTACGACGTCTACAGTTTGTGGAGTGCCAAATTGTCGTATTAATCGGTGTGGTTACACTGGTGAAGATGGCTTTGAAATCTCTGTACCAACTGATCAGGTCACAACGATTGCCGAAACACTTTTAGGTAATGAAAGCGTCAAACTAGCCGGTCTCGGCGCTAGAGATACATTGAGGTACCAATAACAAATATTTAATTAGTTATTAGTGATAATGTGATTTAGTAATTGTTTTTAATCGTTTTAGGTTAGAGGCCGGAATGTGTTTACATGGATCAGATATCGACATCACTACGACTCCAGTAGAAGCTGCATTAGTATGGACAATAAGTGAGTTTTTAGTCAAGTGATGAATCGACTTACTCCTACCAATTTAACTAATTGGTAGTATTGTGTGACTAGTTTAATACCTAAATAATACAAGTTTTTACCTATTAGTTAATTTTCGAATTATAAATAAGTTTTTCAACTAATGACTAAGAGGTAATTAAATTATTCAGTTATTTGATTAGAAAATTAGATAATCAAAATCATAAAAATTACTGAACAGCCATGTAATATTTATGTATTGAGGAAAATTCATATTAGTTTAGAAGTACAACATGAAGACTGCATGTAAATTAACAATACAATTTGTTTTACAGGTCGGAAAAGAAGAGATGAGAAACAATTTCCCGGAGCGTCAGTTATTATGAAACAGATCAGTGAAGGTGTAGAACGCAAGCGAGTTGGTTTGATTCAGGAATCGCAAGGAGCACCCGTGAGAGCCGGTGCAGTGATTCTCGATGCAGACAGCCAAAAAGTTGGAACAGTGACCAGTGGATGTCCATCTCCTTCATTGTTAAAAAACATAGCGATGGGTTATGTGAACAGTAATTTAGCTAAGATGAAAACTGAAGTAAAGGCGGTAGTTCGCGGCCAACAAATACCAATGGTTGTTACTAAAATGCCATTTGTCAAATCAAATTATTATTCTCAACCAAAATAATGCCATTTTTTATATTTTTAATACAGTAGATTTTTATTTTATTTGTTAATATATATATATATATATACTTTTAAATAATATAATAATTTTATAAAAAATTACTTTTAAGAAAAACAATTTAACTTTCTCAAATTGAGATTATCATGTTTTATATTTTAATCTTTAATTGTCTAATTAGAAGTCATACGGTTAACAGTGTACCAAAAATTAAATTAATTAATCTTTTGTCATTAAATTAAAGTGTTATAATGATTTTCAATATTAAATATGAACAGTTTATGATGCTATTAAATAAAGACATTGTTCAATACATTTTTATTCATGAATGATGTTATTCACACTGATTCTTTTTTATATACATTTTCTTTTCTTTGTTATATTTAATTTTCAAATTTATCTACCTAGATAATGTGTTTTCATACTACAACTTGAATATATTTTGATTTATGAATATTTTAATATTATTAATTAACAAATAATTTTTTATAGTAAAAAAAATAATTTAATTTAATTACCTGGAAGAATTTGTTAAGGCAGTGTATTGATCACAGAATTGGTTGTATCACATAGTTTTAATAATTTATACATCAAAGTTTGTCTTTTGTTGACGTTTCACGTTGATGTTGAATTAGACCTGTATAAAATACATTCGTTCTATTAGTAGTTGTTAAAAAAAAAATGTATTGTACTTACGTCTTGTCATGGTACTTTATAAAAGTTTTTTTTGTTTTCAAGCGTTTGTTTTCCTTGTAAACGTTAATCATCCTTTTTAGTTTTGAATTTTTCTGATACAACTGTCGACAACGCGATTTAAGTTGAATAATTCTATTTTTAAAACCATTTGTTATTTCGTAAATCTCGTCTTCCCATCTGTCTTGTTAATAAATATAAATAAATGAAAAGTATAATTATTATTTTTAATAAAAAAATTTATAAACCATGGCATTACCCATCGAATAAAGTACTTTAGCTTTGAAGTTGAAATTTTTTTTAAATTAAATTCTAATGGCAATCTATATAGGGTCATACTCAACGGAAGGATTGTTTCCATTATTATTTGCTAAAACAATCCAAAAACCCCCAAATCTTTTGGTAAAAAAATGTCTAAAATCTTTCTTAGCTCTTTCTCCCCTCCCTGTGAATTAATACACTATAAATATGCTATTATTAATATTAATTTCAAATACACATTATATTTTTATTTTGTGTCCAGTGTCAATTAACTGTCTAGTGTTTAATAACCAGAAATTGTCGTTGTTACGGTATAGTTCAAGTATTATTTTTTTTTTATTAACACAAAAAAGTTGAATTAAACATTTTATTAAAATATAACTGTTGAAAGTATTGGGTCGAATAATATATTAAAGCAAGGTAATAGCTAAATATTTTCGTTTCTTTAATTTTCGAACAATAATGATATACTTATTTTATTGACAATGGACCAATATAACAAATATATTTTTTATTAAGTAAAAGCGCGGCATACAATTGTTTAATTAATATGTAAATATTTTTAAGTATTATATTTTCTACTACTTAAAAAGAAATGAAGAAGATCTTACATGTCCATCATTCGCTTATATGCTTCCACGTGTTTGGTGAGTTCATTTATTATTTGCTTGTCTTTCTGTTCCAAGTCTTCTTCTGTTTTTTTTCTGCTACTGTAACTCGGAACAAATTATTCGGTTTTATAGATTATAGTAATTTAACTTTATATTTATGGTATACCTATTATTATTATTATTATTATTTTTTTTTTTTTTTATTGATCTAGTAATAACATACAACCCGGCATCTATGGCCATTAGTTTCAGATGAGGTGTAACAAAAGTCATTTACAATAGGTATACATTATGTTTGCGAATTCTAATAATTAAGAACAAAGAAAGAGTATGTGTAATTTTTAAATTGAGTTATATAAGTTAGTTGATTTTAGGAAGTCGATCATCTTGGCATTGTCCTCGGGTTCTGGTCATTATTATTATTATGTATTATTAATCGTGCATGTTGTAAATATTTTGGGCTTACTTGCCACCGGTCACGAAATAAATACAAAAATTTAATTGGTAACTAGTATATTTTGTTTTAGTTTTGTCATAAAATATCTTCGGTTTTGATATTTTTTTTTTTTTTTCAATACTGGCAGAGGCAGAGTGAGAACCAATTGTACCTAAGTTCGGGCTTAGTTAGGTTACACTTGTTAAAGGCCAATTAAACATATTGTATTAACTAGATCTCAAAAAAAAAATTCTCGCTATTTAAAAAATAATTAATTTTTAACAAAATTTTATTAAAGACTAATAAACGTTTATAAAATATTTTTAAGGTTCCATGGTCAACGGTACTTTTATTTTATAACAATTTTTTCAGCTCAAAATTTTCAAATTTAAAAAAAAAATTTGTATTGTTATTATAATAACAAATAAATTATGAAAACGTACTTTGCGTAAATAATATTGGTAATTCTTTATAAATAATATATTTGTATTTTTAACATAATATGCAAGAAACAAAATATGAACTACCTTTATTTAGTTATTATAATTAGATATGAAAACTAAATATATTATTGGTGTAGGTAATTAATTTAACTACAATGATATTGCCTTAGAATTTATTTATTTTCTAAGCCAAAATAGGTGCAGCTGCTGAGGCTTTAAAAAAAATATGACGTACAAAAAGCAATAATGTCCGATTGTGAAAAACGCGATTTTTTACTACTTTTAATGAGTGAGATTTTTGTACTCAAAACCTTTTTTTAAGATAACGGGGAAAGAAAATAAGAAAACGTGATTTTAATTGTGGGACACCGTTTAGGAAAGTTGCATATTAAAACATGTCCAAATAGCTTCTGTTGATATTAGTTTTGGTTAGTCTTAAGTCTACTAGACTATAATATATAATATTATGATATTGCCATGTAGAAAATTCTCATTTTCAGATGGGCTCTTCACCCCTGAATATAATCACTTTAAACTTTTGACATATTTTTGAGCTGTGGCCAATAAATTAACATGCGGACTTACGACTTGCTCATTTCCATTTCCAGTGTTTTCAGGCGGTCCGTGGCATCCACCATTTTCTCGTTGTCGTCCGCTATCTGACGCATAGCTCTGCTCAAATGACCTTCCAGCGATTCCACCGTGTCCCTAAGGAACGCTATCTCCATCGTGTACTTGGTCCGTTTCCTTGCATAACTATAAGCACAGACGCCACATAGACAAGTGTTTGTTTCCCCAATAGCGCTGGGAAGTTGGGAAGGTAATTGAATTTCCCGGTTATGGACATTCGGCATACCTACACGTGGGTATACACTGTCTCACAAGAGAACGGTATTGCGCAGAAACCAAAGCGCTTCACTCCTGTCTGCGCAGGCATATACGAGAGTAATGCGTTTTGGTTTCAGCGCAGTGCCGTTCTCTCGCGAGACAGAATATTATAGTATTTTTGGCTTCCTATTTAGTTCCGAAACTTCCCATTAGGTACCTCTCCGACTTTCCGGTGCTGCTGTTAGTGCCAAAATGAAGTACGATCGACGGCAATCATCACTAGGGAGTGACCGCGCTTACCTTTCTTGGATCTTCCTGTTGGCTTCCTTGAGGATTTCCACGTCGGCCGTGAGTTGTTCGGACCAAATTTCGTAATCGCCGATTTGCTGGACGAGAGAGGCCAACTTTTTCGAGTGGACGATCGGTTCTTCGGCGCATTTTTGGCTGAGCAACTGGAAATCCTCTCGTAAGTCCGCGTATTCCTTGGACATCCGCTCTATCCTGCGATCGGCCGTCTGCTTTTCCTAAGAAACGACAATGAAAAAAAGTAATCTAGGTCAGCAAGTGTCCAGACACCAGACCTAGCCTGCAGAGTATGTTCCTCAAACCCACCGTTTTCAAGAGATCGTTGGCCGCATTTATGTTCTTCAACTTGTCCCGGAACATGTCCTTGATCTTTTCCACCTCAGTGTGAACTTTGACCCCGGCTTCTTGTACCAACGTTTTCAATTCGCTTTGCAGTCGCTCTATCTCGGCTACAAAAAACGACTGATTTATTAAAAAGCTTTAGACAAACATATAAGGGCCCACTTGTGGATATTAGGTCCACCATACCCCCCCCCCCTTGACAATTATATAAAAGAATCTCTGGTCAAAAAATCCAGGAGAATATTATAATCGTATTTCTTTTGAATGTGTGCTAAATATCAAATTCCCTACACGGAAAAATACACAGCTGGATTAATTAAAATTATAATAAATATAAGGAGACAATATATAATTGGAATAATTATATAAATAGTTGCTTTATCTAAACATTTATATAGTTGGCCGATCTGTTTAGTTAATTTGTTCAACTATAAATCTATTGTTTCCCCATATTAACCATAATTTTAGTTTGGGACCGTGGCCCGGATGTCCTCTTACATTTGTTTATTATTATAACTCACTTTCACTTTTCTAAAATAACACCCAATACTTTTGCATTATACTCTTCTAGCGATATCTTTAATATGTATATATTATTTTAACGAACGCTAACCGTTTGCTGTATCTAAACTATCGACGGCTTGTTGTTTTTCTAAACAAGTCTTCTCTACTATTTCCACGGCTTCTCTGACTTTGTTCCGGGCAGTCTCCTCGTTTGATTTGTACTTATACATAGTTTCATGACACGACTCCAGAGCCGCTTCCAATTCGTTCCTCGCTGTGATAAACGGAAACCAAAATTGTTAATTTCATCAAATTTTGTATAAATCCATTATACACTATATCCGAGAATTACTGTTGCAATGTTATCTTAAACTAATTTTCGTTTAAAAAATGTTTTATCAATACAACAAAGTATATAAAACTAATTGAAAATGAAAACAAAAAAATGTTTAATTGTTTTAGATATAATTTCCCGCCGTTAACTTGGCCACTGTAACAGTTCTGGGACATATTGAGAATAAAGTAATGGCTCAGCAAATTAAAAAAAATCATAATAATTAATAATTTTTAAAAAAGACAATAGACATTACCGCGGACTAGCTTATCCACTGACTCGCTGAGACGTCGATTTTCGTCTTCTACACTTTTGATCCTAGCTAATTCTATTTGATAACCTAATACAATAATTAAATTTTATAAAAAAATATCGTACATTCTTATTTTTATTATGTTTTGTAATTAGCTAATGGCAATGATAGTAAATTCTTTGTATTATAATTTTAACAATGTTATGGCCAAGTCGGGTAACTGCAATTAAATGGGTCAAGCGTGAATGCAAAATTTTATATGAATATAACAATTTTCTAATTTGATATAATATCCAAAAATTATCAGTCAAGTTGTTTTTCGTTGTATTATACATAGTTTGAATATTCAAAAATCGTCTTACTGCAATTGACTTTCTCGATAGCCACGCACTTGGATTCCAATTTTAGGTATTTGGCATGCAATTCGTCGTACTTGTCTGCCCAACGTTGACATTTGTTCTCTGCTTCCAATAACTTCTTCATGTTATCTCTATACTTTTCCATTTCGTCGCTTCGAAACGTCTCGCTGTTTAATAATCCGTTCACTTCGTCTACTTTTCGCTTGGGTGACTCTTCTACTAATGGGTGTTCGTCTTCTTTCGCCTAAACACCATATTTGTATCGTTTAATTCGCTAATATCGAAAATTGTTGTAAAATGCATTAAAAAAAATACCGAAAAATCAATCCTCATATTTTTAATATATTTTTTTCGTTTTACATTGTTATTTTTAAAAATAACAATAAGATAACAGTAACATACCGTTACGGTCCCAAGAGTGTACCTATTATGAGTGGATAGATTATTTAGTAAATCTTCTGTACATAGTTATTTGCCTTCCTATTAGTGGTGGGACTATTCGAATAAAAAAAATTCGAATATTCGAATACTTTATTCGCACGAATATTCGTTATTCGAATAACGAATATTCGAATTTTTTATTCGAATATTCGATGGGTTATTCGAATATTCGATCTGATTTTTCGAATATTCGAATATTTTATCATTTTCTTTGGAGGATTAATTAGATTTAAAAAATAATAATTAAGAGACAACTAAGGTGTTCTTGATCTATTTTTACTATTCGAATTATTCGACAACTATTCGAATATTCGAATTATTTTCATACGAATAGTATTATTCGATTATTCGAATAATTCGAATAATAGAAAAATTCGATTCGAGGTCTCAGCTCTACTTCCTATAACACAGGGATAAGACTTTACGAGCCCCCACACTGATCAAGCTCATGTGGGGGCCCATAAAATCTTATCTATTACAATAATAAATGCTAATAAACTAGAACACATTCTTCTTCTTCTTGGAATTCCTCTCCTAACGGAGGTTGGAAATCATCATATTAATCTGGATTGTCTCTTGGGCCGCTTTAAATACTTGGTTGTTGCTGTAATCAAACCATTGCCTCAGATTGTGCATCCATGATGATTTTTACTAGGAATAATTAATAATGTGGTGGGTCTTCCGTCTCCTTCCACATCGCAGTGATGCAACCATACCGCTGTACTCAGCTCTGCTTGCATTTCTTCAAGACTAAGCCGTTCCAATGTCATTCATTTTCCGCCTTAGCTTGATACTGATGCAGCTGCTACCCTGCATCAGGTTCTTTTTGTCGCCTCTTATGACAGGAGGAACATTCCGTGGTCCTATTCTTGCCCGGGAACCTACTCCCCCGGGACATTACTTAAAATTATTATTGTTACAGAAATTTAAAAACACACAATAAAACGATAATATAAATACATATTGCAATATGGGGAATAGTTCACAAATTATAACAATAGGTATAGGAGTATATTCTACATTTTGTTGACTGAGCCAATTAGTTAAAATAATTTTAAATATATTGTAATTTGAGTAAGTAAGCAATTCGTTAGGAGGGCTATTAAAAATACTTGGACAAATGTACGAAAAAGAAGACTGATGAAAATCTATGAACTTTAGAAATTAGGGGTAATCCATATTGTTTAGTTTATATCTGGTATTAAAATAGTTGCATATTGGTTATGCTAGGTTATTCTTGATTATAAAGGTTACATTTAATGACACATTCTTCATACAGGTTCTTGACGTGGTAATTACGGCTTTTATTTAGTATTAATGTCAAAATGTTATTTTGGGCAATTTGTAATTTATTAAAATTAGATTTATTTGCTGTTCCCAATGAAATTATACAATTCAACGTAAGTAAGTGAGGATTCTACCAGTGATCTGGTATTAAAATGTCTAATGACTGAGCCAATTCGCACCAAAAAATTGGATTTTCCCTTTTGCACAAAAAAAAACACTGTTATTTACTTACGCCCAATCACACTAATATTTAGGTACCTGGCAAGAAGAAAAAATCCTCAATTATATTACCTTTGACTGTATCGACTGGTTAAAGTCGCCCCCTTGGGCGTTTAGGAGGTTCCGGAAGGTCTTCAAGTCGTCTTCCAGACCGTTTAAGGTCTCGTAACTTTTCTTCCAGCGCACCGCAACGTTATTATTATCAATTGTGAAACTACCAAAGTTATCGTTATTCTAAAAAAATATTATCGTTTGGCTTTTTAAAAAAATTCTTATATTATATTGTGTTTTTATGTACTTCCGAGTCGAGGGTTAACCGCTTAACGGGTTCACTGACCGTGACGTCTGATTGCTCAAGCGATACTTGAACGCCACACAATTTCGATATTTCATTGACAATTGGTATCCTTTCGTGCTAAAAAAAACAAACTGCGTTTTCAAAAAACACTAGTACGGACAATAGTAGGTGTATTCCTACCAAAAAGGTCGACGTTACCTTAAATTTGTTAAAATTCGATTCTATGTTGGTTTTTAACGACTGGGACATTTGCATCAAACCGTCCAGTGATATATCCCTAGTAAAGAAAAAGCAGTACGCCTATAATTAACACTATAATTATACCGGTAATAATCTTTTGCAAATGTCTAGTTAAATCTATGTCCAAAATATATTAATTACATAGTAATAATGTTAATAACACTATAACAACTGTTAGAGCTATAACCTTTTAAATATTGAATTATAAAGGCTAAAACAAAAAATCCTTTTAAAATTTCTTTTATTTAAAACCCAATTTAATATAATCAGACTAGACCATATAAATACCAAAACATATTATTTAAAAACGATAAAAAAAATAATACTTAATCTGATTTGAATATTTGAGATAAGACGAAAGGATATACTTGCATAAACTTTTATTGGTAGTTTTCGTTATTAATATTATTTTATTGTACAAAATTGTTAAAAAAATTGGAATTCATTGTATTATTATAATTATTTTAAAATTGAGTTACTATCCTAGAGTTATTTAAAAAATAATAATGTAAATAAAAAATAGTAATATAATAATAAAAATAATAATAAAAACAATACAACTGCAATGTTAATGTTTATTATATTTATAATAGTTATTTATATATAGTTTTATATTAATGGGTGAAGGGGGAGGCAAAAAATATTATTTATTAATCTTTTATTTTCTTTATCCATAAAATGCAAGGAAATTATATTCTATAGTGAAATCTTAAATTGTAATACAATTTTATTTAATAGCTATATAAATTTAATTTTACCTTGCCTTGTCGTCCCATGGCTCTACTTCACCTTCGGACCCCATGCATTCTTCGGTTAACGACATTGTATGGTATGATTATTTTTTTTAATTCAAAAAAGCAACTTAAAAAATAATATTAAGACAGTAGGTAAAAATTTGTAAAAAATAACAAAACAAATCTAATATAAATATTAAAATAAAAAATACAATATAATATGATAGGCGATTTGTGTACACGACGAGATACGATTATCTCCATGGCAATATAATTTACCTCCCTCCACATTCAACCCTGGTCGAACCCTCCATGTCCAACATCTGTTTCCTTGTCACTACATTTACCTACGCTTGACAGGGCGTCCAAAAATTCATTTAGGATTTTTTTTTTAACATTTCTTAATAGCACCCAAGTAGAGAAAGACATAATTTGCAAATAATGAATTATTAAAATGCATTTTTATCTAACAATTTTTTTTTAAATACATTAGAACAGTAAAATATTATATTAATTAACAATTATAAGTAGAAGTATTATTATTATTGGAATAAGGCACATTTTACTGAACTATTGTCTATTTCATATAATACCTAACTATTTGAAATAATTATTTCAATTCAAATATTAATTTTTTTTTAAGTTTATAAATAAAATATTTGTTTGATTTTATTATTATTTTTATTTGTATTTAAAAAAATATTCGAGTAGGTATATAGATCTAAATAAAAATTTGTTAATATTTTAGCTTCGATACTGTTATACAACAATTTATTCAGTAAAATCAACTAAATAATTTTAGGCCTATAAATACGTTCTTATACTTTTATTGGCTTTGATATTTTATTTTACTTGGTTTTCAATATCTCTAAATCACCTCAAATAGCACTCATTTTTACATGCTTTTCTTAAGCTCGCTAACACGTACGTACGTACGTTTGTATAGGTATTTTTCAAATCTTGCAAAAATAATTTTAACCCACTTCCCGATGTCGTATAGGGCTGAAACTTGGCACAGACACTCATCTTAGATGACAATACAATATCCTGTAATCATATTGTGACTCGTACATCCAGGTCGCCCTACACAGGGTCAAATATGGGGGTCATTTCACTAAAATTTCATTTTTTTTCAAATCTTCCAAAATTAATTTAGTAATGTATTCAGCAATTATTAAATACCTTTAATAGGACTAAAAAGTAAAAAAATAAAATAAATAAATAAAAAAAAACTTTTTTAAAAACATGCTTTTCTAAAAAAAAAAAAAATAGTAAAAAGTGAACTAAAAAGTAAAAAATAATTTTATTACAAGAACAATTTACCAATCAATTGTAGCATATTTTATTTAAAATGACAATTACTTTGAAAGCAACCGAAAATTAACTACAATTTTAAATAATGTTAAACATCCTTAATTTTTTACTAAAAATAAAAGCGTGGGCCCTATTCAACAAAGTCCCTAATAAATTTATCAGATAATGTTTTATACTGTAAGTTCTTTTGTAATTTAAATTTAGTTTCATATTTGTAGGTGACAGTGTGACACATACATTTCATAATACTTAACTCAATGCATTTGGACTTTGTTGAATAGGGCCCACGCTTTTATTTTTAGTAAAAAATTAAGGATGTTTAACATTATTTAAAATTGTAGTTAATTTAAGCAAGTAGCACACTCGCTTTAGTAGTAGGACGTTTCTGATCTGACAGATAGCTAGACTTGCACTACAGTTAACCGGTACTTAGCTTGCAAAACACTTTTTCGAAACTAAGTATGAACTATGATTACTAGATAAAGGTACGATGAATTATAACGGTATACTTTAAAACGTAGTGAGCTGACTCGACACCGTGGCCGGGCACCCCCCTCGGAACTGCTGTGTACAGACATATAACATACTACGTTTAAACAAATTTTGTTTCACAAAGGTAAACCTTAACAGACATTTAGCTGACTGTCCTCTAGACATTTTTATCTGTTTTCAACTCATAAAATTAAGCGGGATGACGCCGGCCTATATTGATGACGTGGTCTATAATATAACAACTTTTACCAAAGACAATTTTCATTGTACACTTTTTCCCAATGGCCAGCTTCTTATCAAGCCTCTTTAACTTTTTAAAATTTTAATTTAAACTTAATTTTAAACCTGTTACCTCCTCATAGACTGTAGCCTACAAACCTAGGATATTTTTAGTTGGCGGAGCGAGTGAATGCCAAAACACTCGGAGACCTGCCGTCCTTATCAGTTTTCAATACGAATTCCGCCCGCTGATAAGGAACTGGACATTGTTAGTTCATAAAAATTGGTAAAAGTGGTAGCAACCCAAGTAAGCAACACCGGACACTTGATATTTATTAATCGTCTAACTTCTAGACTATTCTTTTCAATTTAAAATTTAAAAAAATTACAGATACATAGCTAGACTTACTCTACACTTAATCAGTACTTAGCTTGCAAATATTTGTCCATAACTAGGTATGAATTCTGATTACTAGATACAGCCTATAGGTACCATGAATTATAACGTCATTCCTTTAAGACGTATTGCGATGGCTCGACACCGTGGCCGGCGCAGCCGGGCACCCCCCTCGGAATCTGTGACCTCCCCGAAAATACTTTGCAGCGAGGGGACGTGAGCGTGCCCGGCGTAGCCGGGTACAGTACCAGAAATCTGTGACCTACCCGCCCGACTCGGGGGCCTGGGGGCGGAGCCCCCAGCTAGAGCAAAGCTCTAGTAAAATAGATAAAGTAGTAAAATAGCGACTTGGTTTTTAAAGCCCTTGTGTCGATAAACTTATTTCGAGTAAGTACATAATATTTTAGCTTAAGTGTTTCGACACCAGGGAAATTGCCCCGAGTTCCCTAACATATTAAACAACAACATCCGTATTAACACAGTATATATTAATTAGGTGATCATTAATTAAGTGTATTAGTATCACTAAGGTTTTCACGAGAAAGGGAATAACTAATAATTTACAAAACTTAGTCGTCGGCCAACCACATGAATACGGCCACGGCGAGGATGGCTGAGACGGCGGCCAACAAAATGAATGCGACCACAGGGATGACAGCTTGAATAGATAGAGAGAAAAAACCACGTGATGGGTTCAAACACGGCGGCCGTAGACAACTAATAATTGTAGTGGTCTCCAACAAGATAGTACGGCCGTTTTTCCACACCTGAAAGTCTGTAGATATGAGTTCAGTAGAGTCAAACAAGTTAAATATACCTGGGTTCAATATTAACAGAGAGAAAAAAAAGGAGACTGACAAAGAAATATTATCAACGCGTTGCAGTATGTTGCTTTTTGTGGAAACTAATGAATGTGTTACCTCAGTGTATGGCCCTAAAGCCACACGGGGCTCGGCAGTTCACCGCCTCCGGACCGAACCGCCGATGGTATATGCAGTATGGTACGGGCTCCCCTATGCCGTACTCCTGCACTCCTGCAAATCCACACGGCAGTATGCAGTTTACTGCATCCGCGCCGTGTCGCCTGTGGTACACACACGGTGGCTCCGGCTGTCCTGCCTCAGTTGGCCTGTAGCCGCACGGAGGACGACATCTGTGCGCCGCCGACCCGTATCTGTCGTGGTAGTAACACGCAGGTACTACCGGTGCAAGTTCTACCGGTGCGGGTTCTACAGGTTCAAGTTCTACCGATGCGGGTTCTACCGGTGCGGATTCAGCCCGTGCAAGTTCTACCGGTGCGGGTTCAGCCGGTGGAAGTTCTACCGGTGCGGGTTCAGCCGGTGCAAGTTCTACCGGTGGAAGTTCTACCGGTGCAAGTTCAGCCGGTGCAAGTTCAACCGGTGCAAGTTCTACCGGTGTAAGTTCTACCGGTGCAAGTTCTACCGGTGCGGATTCAGCCGGTGCAAGTTCTACCGGTGGAAGTTCTACCGGTGCAAGTTCAGCCGGTGCAAGTTCAACCGGTGCAAGTTCTACCGGTGTAAGTTCTACCGGTGCAAGTTCTACCGATGCGGGTTCTACCGGTGCGGATTCAGCCGGTGCAAGTTCTACCGGTGCGGGTTCTACCGGTGCCGCGTCCCACCATTTCTTTTTGGCCTTGAACACGAGAACAATTTGTATTTAAACTAATAACTATTGTGTTGACACTGACAAAACAGCGAGCCCTGGTCGAAGGTGTGTCGTTGAACATGTCATCAAACAATATGTATGTTCATACGCGTACCTTATAGAGCAGGTAACCGCCGCCAGTCACCGTTAGAACGGCGCCGCCGGCCCACAAAATCTTCTCCATAGAGCACATATTTCAGAATATTAGATATAATACTTGAAACGCAAAAACTGTATTTCCAACAAAAATGTCGTTTGCTCGTGAAAAGCTGAAAAACAACTGAAGTCTGAGACGGTTGTTATCGCAGCCGTTTCAGCATAGTAACACACATTTCAGCCAGCAACCATCTAAGTACATAAAATAGGATATCCGATAGCCGTATACTTAAGTTGCAGGAGGCTGGTCTCACACCCGTTCACTTTTCAAAGTTTAGAAATTGTCTTACTTCCACACGCAATATCTATCAATCCACTTCACACGTCCAAACTTTAAGTCATTATATTTTCGAGACTGTTACGTTAACATTTCGTAATGATACTCCAAAACGAATGGACGTTATCAACACTAACGGTCCACTTCACTATCAAGTATAGTCGAACTAGAATTGGATATTATTCGAATCATTTTTTATTTAAATAACAATTATTTTGTAACAATTTATTTGAATAAGCCACTAATAATATTATTCAAGCACAAATGTATTCAAATAATTTGTTGTTAGTAAATTCGATTATATTTTTATTCGTATAATGTTATTTGTGATTTTAAAATTGCACTGTTATAAGTTACCGCGTATCTTCCTGAACGGGGTAGAAGTTAAGCTGGGAGAGACGATCAACTATCTTGGAATGCTAGTCGACCGCAAGCTTAACTTCAAGCAGCACGCCAAAGCCGCGGCGGTCAAAGCGCAGGGTGCGCTCACGTCGTTGACTAGGCTTATGCCTAACATCGGCGGCCCCCGTGAGCCAAGGCGGAGGCTACTCGTCAGTGTCGTCCACTCCATTCTCCTCTACGGAGCACCGGTTTGGGCCAGCGGGCTAAACCAAGCCAGAGTAGGGGAATTGAGGAAGGTGCAGCGCAGAGCTGTACGACGCAGCCAACGTGCTGGCTGCGATACCGCCGATCGACCTGCTGGCGAGGGAGCGAGAAGAGGCGTTCCGCCTCCGCCGGCAAGCAGAAGAAGGATCCGGACAACGGGCCCCCCTTAGGACTGCTACCCTCGGCAAGTGGGAGGACAGACTTCGGACAGCAACAGGAGGTGAGTGGACGAGAACTCTCGTCACTGACCTCCGGAAATGGGTTGGACGGAAGCACGGGATGATGGGCTACCGCCTAACCCAGTTGCTGTCTGGGCATGGGTGCTTCAACGAATTCATCCACAGGATCGGCAAAGCACCCAGTCCAGCATGCTCACACTGTGAAGGCATGGTGGACAGTGCCTATCACACACTAGCGGAGTGTTCGGCCTGGGAGTCCCAAAGGCGGGACCTCCAGGACGTCGTCGGCGAAGTTGTCCCGGAGACACTGGTCGCCAACATGATTGCAAGTTCTGATGCGTGGAACGCGGTCGCCCGCTTTGCCGAGTCGGTCCTCAAAGAGAAGGAGGAAGCAGAGAGGGCTAGACAGCGGCCGGCCAATTGAGAGCCCCGGCGTGCAAGGGTGGCGTGTGCGCGAGTCACTGGTCCGGAAACATTCCACCGACTGTACATAAACCTGTATAGACTAATAAACTTGTAACTAAATTTCGTTGTGGCCTAATGTGAATATTGTTATTAGGCCACCACCCGAAGTGGGTGTGTTAGTTTTTAAGTTTATGATTGTATTTATTGTTTAGTATACCCAATAAATGGCATCGGAGACTGGGGGGAAGTAATTTCTCACAGGGCGCGTCCCCCCCCCCAGTGTTCTATGGGTGCATGTGGAAAAAAAAAAAAAAAAAAAGTTACATAATTATGTAATTATCATAAAAAACACTTAAAAAATTAATTGATCACTCTGTATACACGATCAAAAACCATTTCTAAAATGCACCATTCCAACTTTTCTAGAACATGCTTTACGGTTATAAACTAAAATCAAATATGTATTTATAATTTAGAAACATTTGTATTATTTATCAGCAAATATTTTTGTATTATTTATTTTTTGTAATATTTGTAATATGTATCAGTTAATAATCAGTTATAATAATATATCAGTAATATATCAGTTTAAATAATTTACAAAACATGATATTGGAGTTCTATAGCGATTAACGTTAATTATTCAGTAGCCGAGCAGTAATTTTAATAAAAGTTATACTCAGTATGGTATAAAAGAAAATGTATAAACAACAAACATTATAATGAAATTCTTTGTCTTCGTAGCAAGATCGTTATTGACGCTTTATATAAATTCGAGTGAAGACAAAAAAGGATTTAACGGAATTATTGAAGCAATTTTGTATAAATGTCTACTTTGAAAAATGAAGAGGGCTTAAACTTTTCAACATCATTTAGTATGTATATATATTACCACATGAATATTTCCAAATAAGAGTTCAAATTTCAATAGTAATAAGCAGTTTTTAAGGATTATATGCAGATAGATGTATCTCATAGTCATAGAACAATTTAATCTCTAGCATTAATTCATTGATGGACATAATCATTGTTATATAATGATTTTTATTTTGGATGTATCATCATTTTTTTAAGTAAAATTATTATTATTCTGGTAAAAAAAATGTTAATGCCTTATTAATTAAAAAAAGAAGCGGTAACGGAATAATTTATTTATTTATTGATAAATTTGGTTTTTTTTTATTTTTGTTCTTAAACTTTAATTTAATTTAATTTTAAGAATTAACAAAAAAAAAATGTACAGTTGTAAAACATATTTTATTCATTTACAATAAATTAGGATCTACAATAACAAAGCAATTTGAAATAGTTATCATGTAACATCACTTACAAAAAAACAGACTATGCCAATGTAACTCATAAATCATAATAGGTAGACTACACATAATATATATCCGTTAGTCAGAGTGGAAGTATAGGATGATTAGGTACATACATTTTAATATAAAAAAAGTATACAAGGTTAAAATAATCAAAAAGATAAAATCATACACAATATGCAATTGGTGACATTTTCAACATTATTCCTAAGCAAAACTTTTATAATACTATATGCTATGTATTATATTTAAACGTTATAGTACCATAGTACTTACGTCGGTAAAGTCTTATTGAAGTGTTTTTTTTTATTAAAAAAAAATATGATGTTTTACAGCGTTTTATTGCTATTTTTCATAACAACTTTTAGTTTTTCAGAGGTAAAACAAAGTTTAATTCTATAAAAATTATATCTTTGAAAAATATTAATTTGATTATTAAAATTCAATTCAGTTTGAAAAAATAAACGTTGTGTTAACACGAAGGAAATATTAAAACGGATTCAGCTCATCATATCAATAGTATTATGATTAATAAAAAAATTAGTAAACCAGTATTTTATACTTTTTATTTTATTGAGATTATACGTGTAGCTTAATGTTTTAAACTATACATACACAGTGTAGTTTCATTTGAAAAAATATATCTGTTTTTAGTTTTATTAAAATGTTTATTATGCTAACTTTTTTTTTAGAATAAGTTTGCTCTGTAGCAACAGTAGATTAGTTCATTTGGTTAGTTGATATTGATTAATTATTTGGTTAACAGGGCCAACAACAGCAGCAGACGCCTCAGAAAAAGGGTCGTTCCAAGTTTTCTGAAGTTATAACGAACACGTCACAAGAATGTCTAAAAGAAAACCGCGTTACAATAGGTAAAGAAAGAGCATAACATTAAATACTGTGCTTGATTTGTTGATGGGCTCATTTGTTTTGTGGATTTTGGAAATCACAATAAACAAAATCAAAACATCCTATGAGGATGCCATCAGTTTTGCGATAAAGTCTTTTGTCACCAACAAAATGGCTATAAATCATAGAAAAAGCTGTATAAATTTGAAATTGAATTTGAATGCTATTATAAATTAATCTGAAAATTATTTGACACGATTATAATTGTTTTTTTATTGAATTTTGCCTTTATTTTGACCCTTAACAAACAATAAGTAGTCTTAAAATTACAGCGAATTAAAAACAATAAAATAAATGCTAGTGCTTAAACACTTAATTAGGTACTTAAATATATTTTTTAGAACGCGTGGTGGCCGTCTATTCGATCTATACCAACGACCGTGAAGCGAAATGCTACGTGGCTTGTATGCTGTATAGATTCAACGCGGTATGTAAATGACAAAATCCTATGTATATATTATGTATATGGGGCCAACTTGTTAGTTGTTTGGTAACGTTAGGTAGGCAACCAGCTGTAAGTCCAAAAATTCCAAATCTAAACCGTCTAAATCTCGATCGGTGGAAATAACGGACGTTAAACGTATGAGAGGAGAGAAAGAGAGATATAACTCGGTTAACTCAATTATTTTTAAAACAGACAATAGCAGCACATAATGTAACTCTGCAAGTTTCTATATTTTTGATTATTTAATAATTTAAAAATAAACCAACTACTGTTATTTTAAAACCAAGAAAAGTGAAAAGGAACACATTTTTAGTATGAGACGAGTTGTGAAGATGCTTAGAAAAAACAAAAACAAGCTGGGGTTGCATGGGGTCAATTGAAGGACATGCAAAGGGGGAACCATACAAATATTAGAGAATAACATTAAATACTGTGCTTGATTTGTTGATGGGCTCATTTGTTTTGTGGATTTTGGAAATCACAATAAACAAAATCTAAAAAGGTAGTAAAGAATGTGTATTGGAGATCAGAAAACTTAGAGTACCGGTAGGCGACATACGTAACTATTTTTGACATTTTCATGTCTTAGCTCTGGCACATAACCGAAAAAAGCGTTATCAAAAAAAGTTTTTCAGCCGAGTCTGCAACCACGAAAGAGCATTTTCACGTCTCGTTGAAGTACCGAATAAATTTAGAGTAGTGGTGGAATTATTGATACTGAAGCTAGTATCTAAGGTGGCTAGTATATTAAAACATCAAGTTTCTGGCTAATATTGTAGTTTTTAATATCTGGCTTGAAACAACTCATAGAGAATTTGGGCCCTTAAACTATTTTGAATTTATCATTTAGTTCTAATTTGACCGTTGAACGTACAACATATCTCTTATCAGATATCAGCGTAACGCTTTTTTGGTAACACTTTTTTTTCGGTTATGTGCCAGAGCCAATTCCCACCCCCAACCCCATTCCAATTATAGTATTTGTTATTTTTTCGTTATGCTTTTTTGGTTACGCTTTTTTGGTAACGCTTTTTTGGTGACACTTTTTTGGTAACACTTTTTTTGGTTATGTGCCAGAGCTAAGACATGAAAATGTCAAAAAGCGTAACGAAAAAAGCGTTACCACACGGAAATGGGGTTGTGGGTGGAAGATAGGGTCGGGAGATAGGGAGTGAGAGATAGGGGTAGGAGATTAGGGTAAGATATAGAAGATAAGAGATATGTTGTACGTTCAACGTTCAAATTAGAACTAAATGATGAATTCAAAATAGTTTAAGGGCCCAAATTCTCTATGAATTGTTTTAAGCCAGATATTAAACACTACAATATTAGCCAGAAACTTGATGTTTTAATATTATACTAGCTTGTTACTGCTTCTTAATATAATATATCATTATCTATAATTCCACCACTACTCTAAATTTATTCGGTACTTCAACGAGACGTGAAAATGCTCTTTCGTGGTTGCAGACTCGGCTGAAAACGTTTTCTTATGCACTAACCGAAATTTGATGTACAGAGACTTCAGGAAAAAAAGAGTGTACCAAAAGTTTTATTAGGAAAGAGCGGTAGGTGAGTTATGAACAGACATGCTATAATGATAGACAAGAGAGAAAGGCTGTAATAGTGCGTTAATGGAAACTAGAAATATCAATTATATTAAATTATTAGACAACCACAATTATTGTGCACCATCAAATATATAATTAAAACATGTACTCTTCTAATTAGACAAACGAGGATGGTGACTATAATGAAAAGGCGTTGCAAGTGTTGATGAGCAGACCTAAGACCCACGATATAGCTGCTAACATGAAATCCAACATTGATAAATGCAAAATTGAGGGTAATAATACAAATGTAACAACTTAAATTTCATATCACATGATTCATAAATCATAATATTTAAATTATTTTAATGTTTTCCTTATTCTGATTCCAGCAAACGACAAAGACCGTTGCGAAAGAGCAGTAAAATTTACAAGGTGTATTTATTCTAACAAACAAGAGGTATAAAACATTTCAAATCTATCAAATCTAATAATGTGTTATATAAGTCATAACACTTATTGATTCAATTAACCTTTAATAGAGCATTGTGGTTATTTCAAACACATGTTATGCAACTAATAAAGTTCCATACGACTGGCATGAGTTTTATTTAGGAAAATTGTGTGTATAAGTATATCAATAAAATTTCCGGTTTTATTCTGATACTACTTCTTGGTATATAATATAATAATAAAATTAGTTAACATAGTTCATTATTAGTATTTTGTTTAAAAAAAATGTTCAATTTATTATTTTTTCCATAGTACAAAATGTTTGAACATTTTTTTTTTTTTTGGAGGTATGATTAAAAAAAAAAAACACCTAATGTTCCCGACTTTGTAATTTAACCCACCAAAGTGGTATCAACATGAATCTGCACAGTTAAAATTATAATTAAGTTTACTTTAATCATTTAAAAAGTATTAATGTTTTTATTTTTTAACCACGAATTTTTTTTTTAATTTTATAATTTTTAAAACCATTTTTAGTAGTAAAAAAATTAAAAAAACTTAATGCTTATAAAAATTAGGTTATGTTCTATACTTTTTTTGAACCTATTAAGTGTTTTTGCTATGAATTTACGGTTTCAAACATGGGAGGTTTGCTGAAAACTGAAAACTCCACCGGGTTTGGTTTTTACTCCAAACGAAATACTTTCCTTCCGCATTTTTATATCCGTTAATATTTCTCGATTTAATCCATTCACCCATATGTCTTTATGCAACGTCCTCTGTCGTTTCTGTCCGACCACTTTTCTACCTCTATAATTTTTAACTCTGGATACCTGGATACCGACTATTTTTAAGGAGTTTTGTATAGGCAATATTTAAGAAAAAGGGGTTTTTATAAATTTCGACCATGTCAATTAATTTACCGGTTAATTTGTAAAAGCTTTATGGAATTATTTTTAATTTAAATAATTTTGCCTATGAGTAAAAGCCATTTTAGTTAATATAATTGTAAATTTTTTTGTCCATCGCACAAACTGAACCAATGATCCGATAAGTAATCTGTAAACAGATTTGAATTTGTCATGAAATTAACTTGAGATCGGTCAGCGTACTATTTTGATATCTTATTCCTACTACGCATAAAACACGTTTGAACATTTTATAAAATTTCAAACTTTTAAATAAAATTTGAAAATGGTTAAAATTAAAAATTGAAAAAAATACTCTAACCGATCTCAAGTAACTTCATGACGAATTCATATCTGTTTTTAGATTGCTATCGGATCACTGGTTCGGCCTGTGCGATAGACAAAAAATGATGTGTTTTAGCTGAAAAAAACGATCGGTGTCCAGGGGTCTTAGCCATATTATTGTTAAAACATTTACAATATTATTTTACTATTTAATATGTTATATATCTTCCTTCCAACAACATGCCCAAACCGCCACAATCTGTTCTCGATCACTTAACCTTCCACTGGCGCAATTCTCAAATGAACTCATCCTTTATTCTATCTAATTTCCCATCACACAGCACACTCGACATTTTTTCATTTCGTCATTTATATTGTTTACAGATGGGAATAGACCACAACCAACAACAACCTGGCCAAGTACCGCCAATGCCTCCGTTCGGTTCGTGGATGAACGGTCACAGACCCAGAGGACCTGGTCGACGACCACCGATGGGCCCAGGTGGGGGACCAATAGGGCCAGTTGGTGGGCCGATGGGATTCAGCGGCTATAACGGATACGCTAGCCCCAGAAGAATGCCGATGAACCCAAGGGATATGGGCAATCCAATGGGAAATGGCCAGGCATGGTTAAATTGAGTTCCGATAACTTTGGAGGATCTAGCCGTTCACTATTTCATATTATTAACTATTATACAGTATTCTCTAATAATGACACATATACATACGCTACTAATACATTTATATATAATATTTCAAACGTTGATAATTGAATAAACACGATTAAATTGTCTTATGATTTTTTTTAGTGATTAAATCATATAAATGTATTTTCTTTCATATCTTTAAGAGCTGCTATACACATATTGTCCAGAGGTGACAAAAAAAACCTACCGGTTTCTTTTTTTGTTAAAATTTGACCGAAGGTATATCTAAAATGGGGCTATAATATTCCCAATTTTCTCAAAAAAGAGGAAAATTACATTTTGAACATAGACCATAGTCAACACATATCCGAAAATTGTATTATATTATTTATGAGTATCTATGGCAAAAATAATTATTATAGACAGACGATCAGCCTTATTTGTATTCACCCTATAATAACAAAATTACATTTTTAAGCACATTATTGTCATTACTCATAACTCATAAGCTATAATGTTTATCTACAACCGTGATCCATACGGAAAATCGTTATCACAAATTGTTAGAACATGTACCTGTTAGCTATGTGTAATCCGATTGGCGAACAATACTATTGTTATTTTGTTTTCAGTATTGTATGATAAGGAAAATTCGTTAATATTTAACAAAATGGAAATGATACCTAATTGATAATAAATTATATTAAAAAATTTTACTGTTTATACTTTCCTAAAATTATTTTCGTAAAAGTTGCGTATGTAGCCGATTTTATATCCTGAAATATTTATAAGCACTTTATAGTGAAATCAACTTTATTTTGTAAATTTATTTTTGTCATAAACAAATTATTTTGTTTATTTATTAAAAATTTAGATTTTTATAACGATTTTCTATTTTGATTACTCAATTAGGTAGTAATCTAATAGTAACCTAAAGAGTAATAGTTATTATAAACTAGATATTTATTTTACCAAAAAGTACGATAAGAATACAATACTAATGCTCATAACTTTATTTTCATTATGTCGTTAAAATCGTAAGTAATTACTAACTAAAGTGTAAGCAATCAAGTATTTTTTTGTTTTATTTGTTAACAGGAATTCTTTAAGAAATAGAGTCATGAGCGCTGATACAGATGATTCTATCGACTTGCTTTCAAGTTTAGAAAATAATTCAAACAATAATTTTTGTTCTTTCAAACGTATACACGGAGAGTGGTATTTTCCGTTAATAGAATTAAGTGAAAATAGCCAATTACATCTTATAGAAAACAGAATTTTAGCCCATGAGTTGTCAATTTCAGAAATATGTACAGTGTTTAAACACAAACTACTGAGCCAATTTCCAACGGAAATATTTTTACAGCGACCTCTAATTATTCAGGTAATTTGAAATAAGGTAGAAAAAATTATTGTTTTTTTTTGTTTAATTTTATTTAAAAAATATTATTACACTTGTTAAGGAATATTTTTTTTATTTAGAAATTTATCCAGTGGTTATGTGAAAATAAAGAAGCTGAACAAATAATAGAATGTTTAACAATATTAATTGAAAAATTAAAATATCGTCATGCAGAATATGTTAATGGCTTAAGTGTAAGTTATTTGTTCAAAGTAGTTGTGTTAGTGAGAGAGAGGAACTAAAGATAAAAACAAATTAAACCTTTACAAGTTCTGTCTAATTTATATTATGTTAAGCAACAGATACTACTGATAGATTGTCTTAAAACAGAATTTCTAGTTTATTTATTAATTCAAAAAAATAATATGTTATGTTTACATCAATTTCTATAACATACAAAATAGAATAAATAGGTAATAGCCTAAGTTGTTAACCCAAAAAAAAAATTAAAGAAAAAAGAAAATTTTTCTTTACCATAAATAATTAATTGTGTTTTGTTTACAATGTATAACATTTATCCTTTTTTTCTCGTGCTAATTATCCATGTATTAATTTATTGTTTGTTTCAGGAGTACTTCAAATTGGCTGATTCAGATTCACAAAGTACAACACCTAGTTATATTACTGAAACTAATTCGATAGTTAGTAGCTATATTTTATTATTAGTTTTATTTTTCTGAAAATAATTAAACGTTTTGTAATTACTATTTTGAGCATTTTGTTTTCAGAATTACTTATATTCATATACAATTGTTTTAAATCAAAAATCATCTAATTTAAAATAACGAGTGGTTGATTAACTACTGTTCGTAAAAACTTTTTAAAATTATAATATGTGATAGAAATAATATTCTCTGACTACACAAAATTAAGTAATTAATTCAAAAGTACTTAAATTAATTATTCAAAATCAGTTAAAATGTTTAAACAAATTTTCAGATTTAAAATTTTAATATTAAAATTGTGTTTCTTTTTTAATTTCAAAAGTTGCAGATGCACTGCAAAAAAAAAAATATATATATATATATATATTTGTTATTAATTATTATATTATTACTAAAATATTAATTATACCATTATATTACGCATTGTATCACTAAATAATTTACACAAGTGAAATGTATCCACATTATTACGTGCAAAACATAGGTACTACTACATAGCAACTCCTATTTTATTATCGGAAACAAATTTTAAACCTGATAATAATATGTCGTACAATTCTATGCATGAAAATTCTTTATATCCCCTAAATAGTTTTTTAAAATAAATACTAATTATAAACTAGTTTAATAATAATTTTTCATAGTGCACATAAAAGACAATTGTATGTTAAATATATTTTTAGGACCAAAGTTCTCAATGGAGCATTGTTCAATTTTGTGTATCGGTAATGCCTTCTTTAATGAAACAAATAACCTACAATCATAATGGAGCTTTTTCACTATTTATGTCTACTTTGCGTATATTATCATCAATTAAAGATAATTATAGTATAAAATGTTATATGGATTTAGTATTTACAAATTCTACATTCCAAACATTGACTTTGTAAGTTATAATAGTTAGTATTTAACATTTATCATTACAATTTATTTATTTGATATTTTCGTTTTATTTAGCAATGAATCTCTGTGTTCGCTTAAATTTTTGCTGATCGCTAAAGCATTGCTTGAAAGTAATTTATTGGAAGGAAAATTCAAAGATAAAGTCGATGGACTTCTAAGACAACCTTATTGGATCCATCTTTACCCAGAACTGTACTATCGATTAGCTGAAAACATTACCGAAGTAGGTTTATGCAATTTATAAATAATATTGTACATTTTATTTTATAAATTATATAATGATTGACTTTTATGAATAATTTTAAGAAAGAGTTACTGGAGCTGAAAGTTACAAAAATGATTGAAAATATTTGTGTTCTATTAAAAAACAAAAATTCAAACCCGAAACAACGAATTGAATTATTTGTCAAATCTTTACCAGTTATATGGTTCCAAAAACAGTTTATTTTAATTAATAATTTTGTTAAAGATATATGTAACGATGGGTAAGTTTATTTTTGTAATACCTACACATAGTAATATATGGCCGGGTACACAAAGTTGACTCATGTATAAATAATAAAATCATCAAAAGTGAACAATTTAACAAATTTGGTTTACTTTGAATGATTTATTCAAAATTATCACCGAGAGTGTACAGCAACGCAAATAGACAGGGGACCCTAATTTCATTGTGTCACTTCACTTAGGGGCCTCTACTCCTAAGTACTCTAAAAGTTTAAATGTGGATTTATAAACATAATCGTGTGTTGCAATAATATATTAATTTGATTACTATTTAATTTCTAACGCTAACCTTTTCCAAGGAGCTTGTGCTAAGGTAATAAAGTATAAATGTGTATATCTGTTTAACTAAAAACTATCCATTGGTTTTTTTTTTAATATATTAATTATTATATAAAATCTATTTTGTTACTTGTTTAGGTTATTGTCTGATCCTACAGAATACAGCCAAGTAATAGTATATTTGCTTTCTTATGGCGTAGCAGAAGTTTCACATTACACGTATAATATAATAAATACATCTTTAAAAGAAATATGTAATTTTCAATACAAAAAAACAAAGATGTTTATTAAGTATATATTATGTACTGATGTTATAATTGAAATCATATGTAAAGGATGTACAAATTCTGATAAACAAGTAATTTTTTTTTTTTGCAATTTTATATAATTTATTAAATTATAACTGGTTTTAATTTCCAGATTTCCCATCTTGCGTTAGAAATTCTGGAAACTATTCTAAAAAGTAAAAATGTTTTGGAAAACTGTGAATGGGAATTAATTTTGAAAAACTTATCACCAGCTTTTCTCTTTCTTTGTTGTCAAGCAACTCCCAAGACTACGTTAGGTCATGTAATTTTAAACTTTTTTGATCCTGATCAATCAGATCAAAATAAAATAACGAAATTACAGGTATGTTCATGTATGACATCAATAAATGCTGTCAAAATTCATAATAGTATTATTATTATGTTTTATAATTTTTTTTTCTCTTCAATAATGTGTTTTTATTTGTATGAGGATCTACGATAATTTTTTAGCCACCAGACTGATTTCTATGTGCAAAAAGTCTATAGATAAAAATTGTAACCATAAGATACTTTATTAGGCTAAAGCTAGAAAAGTTTACTCTTCTCCCTTTAAAACCTAAAACCGAGAAAAACACCCTAAAATTTTACACATTTGTCTACTTAAAATTGCATCACCCTGTAACTTTTTCAAAATACGTCCAAACTTGTATAGAATAATATAGTATTACCCATGACTAAATAAACAGGTATGATCACTAGATAATAATGCTTAGGAAAATTCTTCTCCAGACTTGAAAAAAGAAGAGTGATACATCTTTAATAGTCATCATATAACTACCGTGACTGTACTCAAATATACTTACTGTACTTTAGACTATATTACTACTTGAGTACATACACTTTTTTGCTTATAGTACATTTGCAATTGTGGGTTCTAGTTAGATTTAAAGTATTAATTGTAAAGTCTTTACTTAATCCATCGTATTATTTATGTTGTAGCTATTTCATGCAACTTTTTTAATGTTAATGAGTAAAGACGTTGAATGCCAAAATGAAGCAAATCATAGAATGACGTGGCTATTAAAATCGACTATTAATAAAAATATTATACTTCCAAATGACATATCTACAATTGTTGTTGATGAAAGTCTTGATAAACCAAAACAAATTGCAAACGAATTTAGTGTAAGATTTAAATATAAAATATATTGCAGTATTATTTTAATTATAACTTTTTTTTTTAGTCTAAAGATTTAGATGAAGTAATGGAATTGATTACAAATAAAAGTTCTAACCATCACACTATAAAATGTGCATTGTATAAAATATCAGTCATGCTAGAAAATACTGATCTATGTCAAAAATTTTTACAAAAAGGAGGGATGTACATTGTGATCAATTTGTTGAAATCTTCAATGGTATTACTAGAGCTTCCTATTTGAATATAATATTGTTATTATTATCACAATTATTATATATTTTTTCTAGATTATTACTACATCACATAGTTTATTGATTTTGTTGTTAAAAATAATAATGGATTTCTTAAAAAAAAAAGATGACATCCATAATAAATCAAAATTATTTACCAGCAATTTAGAATTTCAACTCTATTTGATTACAGGTATGTTTTATCAAATTTGTACAGTAGTTGTTATTTTCGGTTTTTTTTTTTTTTTGTACATTAACCCTTAAGTGCATGCTAAGCAGAACTGTGTATCGGATTTTCTCACCATTTTCAACATAAGGGTTAAGAAGTTTTAAAAATATTATAATACATAATAAATTATAAATGATGCACATGTATTTATTTTTTCAGTATTATATGATTTTATTCAAGTTCCACTTGTTAAACAATATATACTGGTTATTTTGTTTTATTGTGCATTTGACCATTACTTGAACCATTTTGATGCAATACCAACAATAGTAATGTGCAAATTAAACACGCCATTTGAGGTTGCGAAGTTTGAAGATTTGAATTACAAAACTGATTTATTCATGTCACCTTTAAGTAATAAAACTCATATTACTCATATATAATTATAGCTTCTTTTATTATTTTTTTAAATATAAATATTTTTAGAAATAATTGAAAACAAAAACTGTTGTGCTGCACTAATTTTGACTTGGAGTCTAAATCACTATAACAGCATTGACTTATTGATGGAAAGCAAAATGTCCATTAGCGAGCAAAGTGAAGTAGAAAGCTATGTTTTCGACAATTTTAGAAAATTGAATATCAAATGGTCTATTCAAAAGATCTTGAATGATTTGATTGCTGCTAAAACCCATGCAATAGCATTAAATTCGATTTGCAATTTAAACAGGTAAATAATTCTCATAACTTGTTTACCTTATTTTAAGAAAAAAAATTTGAGCATCAAAGTTATGCTACCAAAGAACACTACGTGGTAAAAACTTTGTTCCAAACCTAACCATAATACAAAATAAATTTGTACTCTGCTAGTCAAATTTATATAGAAACAAAAAATTAAAATTAATAATTGTACTACATAAACACAAATCTAATATTTTCTGTTATGTAATTATTACAATTATTTACTATGCATTATTAAAATATACATATATAATATTTTCATAATTAATTAGAATTCTTGATAGTAACTCGTGGTTCATGTATGTTTTCATTTAAAAAAAACCTGATTTAAACACGTTTTAAAAACATATTTATATATATTAACATTTAAAATGATATGTGTCTTATATAAAACGGTAACTTTCAGTTTATGTTTGAAAAATGTTATAGCATTTTTTATGTTACATGTATAAGTAACATGTATTATTTTTTTAATTTATAATAAACATCACAATATATTATAACTGTTATTATTAGAATAATAATATAAAAGAACATAGTTAAATTTTAAATTGACTGAAATAAATAAATTATGAACCTAACACAAATTATATATTTTTTGAGTAGTTTTAACCAATTTGATCAAAGAAAAAAGAGTTTTAAAACATAGACTTTATAGAAGTTATAGGTACTTAATAATATAAAGCGTATGCTTTAAAAATAAAATGTCAAAACAATCATGTCATACATTCGTCAGATTAAATGGTATACTGGTTTGTCTATTATACTGTTTAATAGTATGTTTAATGTTTTATGTTTTTTAAAGTGTACAAACTAGTAAAAATACCAGTTTGGTAAAAATACGGAATTAAAGTTTTTTGTGATTTATTTACGTTTTCAATTTGAAAAATATGGTAAAATATTACCGTTTTTTATTTTTAATTCAACATTTGTGGCTACACTGGAATAAACAAGTGACTCGTAAAATGTGTTATCACTTTAAAATAGTTACTTGAACTTTGCTCTGTAGCCGGTCTATGGACTATGACTATCGACAAATTAATTCTGAATTCGTAAATTTGAAATCATTTATTCTGCCTATGACTAGTGAGAGTTGTGTTAATAACATTAGATGAACTTTGGATTATGTTTTTTTTTTATTTATAGTTGAGTTAACCAAACAAAGTGTATTAATTATTTAAAAAAACGTGTTAAAAACCGCAGTTTTTTAAAACTTCAATTATTTAAATTTTAATAAATAGTAATCCTCAAAAATTTATAATGGCTCTTCTTATACAAACTTCATTGTGTAAAAAACTATTATGTCTTTCAAAAGCCCTCCCTGTAATGTCAATGAAATTATCAACAGAAGGTACTCGTGAATACATTATTTCAGAAAAAGTTGGCGAGAAAAAAAATGTCGGACTAGTACGTCTCAATCGTCCAAAAGCTCTAAACGCTCTATGCGATGGCCTTATTACCGAACTCACTGAAGCTGTATCCGAGTACGATGCTGATAAAACTGTTGGTGCTATCGTTGTTACTGGTAGTGAACGTGCCTTTGCCGCTGGTGCAGACATCAAAGAAATGCTTCATCAGACTTATTCAGAAAATTTGAAAGTGGGTTTACTCGAACAATGGAACAATTTGAGCAAATGCAAAAAACCAGTTATTGCTGCGGTTAATGGTTTTGCGTTGGGTGGTGGCTGTGAACTAGCTATGATGTGCGATATAATCTATGCTGGAGAGAAAGCTAGGTTTGGACAACCTGAAATTTCTATCGGAACTATTCCAGGTGCAGGAGGTACTCAACGACTAACACGTTCTTGTGGAAAGAGTTTTGCAATGGAGATCTGTTTGTCTGGTAATCAGATAACTGCTCAAGAAGCATTAACCAGAGGATTAGTGAGCAAAGTATTTCCTCCAGAAAAATTGGTCGATGAGGCTATTAGGTTGGCTGAAAAAATCAGCGAGCATTCACCTCTAATTGTTGCTTTATGTAAAGAATCAGTAAACTATGCCTACGAGACTAGTTTGACCCAAGGACTCCAATTTGAAAAGAAACTGTTCTATAGTACCTTTGCTACAGATGATCGTAAAGAAGGAATGGCGGCATTCACGGAAAAAAGAAAAGCAAATTTCACAAATAACTAATTAAATGTATAAAACTGCGGTGATAAGATAAAAATTTAATGATTTCATTAAAAAAATATTATATTATATATGTAGCAATAATAATTATTATTCTTATATTTTATGGTAAATAAATCTATATATTTTGTTAAACAGAATAATTTTATTTGCTGATCTGACAGTTCTTTTACCTATTGAAGTTGACAAATTTAATTTGTGTAGTGATTGATACAGTGAAAAGTGTTATAGGAGAGTTAAGTACAATTTTTTTGTTTTTAATAGTCTTTCCGACTTTAAAACCAACGTCTCCCTACAGAATTTATATTACATTGTCTAATACTACAATGTTATTCTTCAGTAGTAATAAATGATTACCAAGTAAATAGTTACATTTTATAATGATTCAAAGCAAAATATCAAGTTGGTATAAACTGTTGACTGATATTGTGGAAAACATATTTCTATTTAATTTGCATTTGTTTATCAGTTAAGCTGCATTTATATCAATTTAAGACTTCTAATTTAATCAAATTCCTAGAGTATAATTCTTTGCTTTCTTTTTTTTTCATCTCGGTATTGCCCCGACTGATAGTGATTCACTTTTGCTTCCCTCCCAGCCCAACATGGTTTATTCACAAAAAAATTACAACTAAATAATAAAGTTTACAATAAGATCGGCTCCCTGCCTACCGGGCGGTCTCACAATTATAAAACATCCACCACATTGACAATTTTTTTTTATCCTTAGACTAGTTCTGTCCTAGCGAATAACTCTTAAGTTATACTGAAAATAGTAACACAAAAAGAAATAAAGTTTTCAACGTGAGATAAATGAATCTTTTTCTTATTATTAATCTTAAGTAATAAGACTATAGTTAATAATAACTAAGTATTCGTTTATAAATACTTGAGTTAAGATTTTAAAATTATTTATAATCTAAAACTATTTTTATATATTTAGTTAAAATGTATGATTTAGTACCTTCACAAGAAATAATATTCTTAGGTTTTTAATAGAAAACAAAAGACTTGATTGATCTATGGAGATTCTTTCCCCGGTTATTACATATTACTCTATTAGTTTGTGCCAATATTTTATACATAAAACTAGAGCCTTGTGGTGTTTTAGCCTCCTTAATATGCTACTTGTTATATTACTTAATTGTGATTAGTTATGGTTATTGTGTATTGACGCTTAGAAACAAACTTTTTTTATCATTTTGTTTTGAACTAAATTTTCAGGTATTTAGAATTAAGTAATTATGTTGATGATTTTGACATAGATGAACAATTATTGAGCAACGCAATGAATAAATTCTTAATCCTGCCTCCGATATACAGCGAAGATTTAAAAACCCTTATAGCAGTTATGAAGTTGTTAAATTCTTCTTTGAAAAAAAGTAATTAAATTTATTATAATTATTGTCAAATGTATGACTGATATTAAAATAAAATACTATATTCGTATCTAAATATTTTCATAATTAAAACATTTAAATTTTGGTTCTAGGTATTTTAATCAACAAATTCAAATGGGTAGTAGATACTTTAATAAAGTCCGAGCTTATGCATAGCAAAATTATGGACAATTTTAACTATGATGAAACTTCAATACATTTGGTGGGTATTATTATTATTGTATACAAAAATATTGAACAAACTATTTGTAATTAATCAATATTTTTTTTAATTGTTATAATTATTACAGCGCAATAGTTTTTTCATTGAACTACATAACGTTTATTGGCTGTGCTTGAAAAAATATACAAATTTCTCTAGACCGGGTCTAGTCAAATTGCTTTTTGATCAACTACCATTATTAAATGATGAATTTGGTATAAATTTATTTTCTACTTACTCATCTATTAAGAAGTTAATGTTTATAAAAATATATTCTTTACAGTTTTATCGGAAGGCGTATTAAAGTGCCTTGTTGTATTAACAGAAAATTCTACTTGTTTAAATGAAGATATTGTAAATGCTTGTTTATCTCATTTGATATCATCCTTTGATGGAATTAATAAATTCTATCAATCAAACTTTGAGAATATTAAGAGATATTATTTAATTATTCTAAATCATTTCCTTCATTATACAATAGCACTACCCAACGTATGTACAAAACTTAATTGTTTTGTCAGATAAACTTTACTTTACAGTGTATATACATTTAGGCGTCTGATGTATGGTTTGGTTACAATTGGGAAACATGGATTTGGTCAATGATTCACTGCACAGATCCGTTAGTAAGAGCTTTACTCTTTGAGTTTTCAGCTGGTTTGACTATTATTGACGTGCCAGTTTCTTGTAATTTAATTAGCCTCGGATTGAAGTATGTCAAGAATAATGTGTTTTTATTAAAATATATTAATTATTATTTTCAATTATCTATATAGCTCATTTTGTGATGCAAATTCAATAGAAAATGTTGTTGTTGCCGAACAAGCCATATTATTTTGTTCAAACATATTTTGCAATTTTAAATTTAAAGTAAATAATAATAAAACATTTTGTAATATTTTTTATTTATTTAATTATTATATTATTTACTTACAGAATTTATGCAAACAATATATTGCTAAACTAGATCTTGACATTTTTGTTCAAACTATCCACATGTGTACAGATAACTATTTTAAACCCAAAGGTAATGCTTTTTTAGCCTACCTACATTATTAAATAGTATTTACTAGTAAATAAGGAGCCTCTACAACAGCATTTATTAAGGCGCATAGTATAGGCAATTTTTCACTAAAGTTTAACATTAAGCTAAACATTTTAAACGTTCATATGAACATAAGAAAGAAGAATCTATTTTAATATTTAATTCTTTTTTACAACTTTTATAAAGCATATAGGATCTATTTTTGTAAAAAAAACAATATGTTTCTACTTCGAACAGAACTTACTTAAAAACACTCCGATTTAAGTTATGAAAAACATTTTTAAATTATTTTTATGTAAAAAACTGAACTTTTTAACTTTTTCAAACTGAAATAATTAATTTACAAAAAATAATTATTAAATTATGCCACGATCAATGCCTTGAAAATTTTATGAAGAACTCAAATATTTTTTCAAAACTTAAATCAGAATATTCTTAGGTAGAACAGTACGTTTGAAGTAGAATGAGTAGTTTTCGACCAAAAATATGCAGGTGCGAAGGTCCCTTAAAAACATTATTAAAAATATGGGAATAAACAGATAACTATTTTATTTCCCATGTAAAATGTGTGACGTTTACAATCAATAATATTGTCGTCTATTATATATTTTGAACTTTTGTATTATGTTTGTTTGATATTTGCAGGAAAAGTTTTTTTACCTTCTTCACCAAAACTCGTTGCAAACATATGTTGTATGCTTTTCAACATGATTACATTGACTGAATTGGATTTGAATATATTTAATGAAAATGAACTGCTCGTCAGTGCTCTTGTTAAGTATGAACAAATTTTTTTTTGTAAATACTAAACCTAATGATAAATTTCTTCAATGAAATTAATTTCAATATTTTTTTTAATTGCTGGAATTTATTTTATATTATATGAGAAATTTGTTTCAAAAGTCCTATTTAACCGCTAGTATTAGAATATAATTTTAACATTATCAGTAGTGTAATTACGTCTGGTAAGGTTTTTAATTTCGCTACTGCATGCTTGTGTTTTCCATATTGTTGGTGCCAATTGTTACTTTAAATTTAATACCATTAAATCTTATTTTTAGGTGCTTGAAAATGTTTATTAAACCTATTTGCATTGAAGACACTAATATTATGGAAATGTGTGGCCGTATATGTTCCTTGTTAACTCTGTTCATTCCTATTAGTGATTATAACTTTGAAAATTTCATAAGTTCTATGAGTTTAATATATGAAAATCCTAATCTTGTACTTGGTAAGAAACTTTTCAAATAATATTTTACTTTAAAAAAAAATTATAATCAGAACGAAATATATATAATTGTTTAAATTTAAGCAAACATGTTAAGCTTATGTCAAAGTTGATATTAATGAGTGTCCATTAAGTCTTTATTTTTTTACAACGTATTAACATGTATATTGTAATAAAAAAAAAACTATACTGAATTTATTTAAAAAATTAATGTTTTTTTTTTTAACTAGTTTATTAATTTGTTCAACACAACATGTAGACAACATATTTGGAATCAGAATATTGTTATAAGTATGATTATAATTTGTTTTTGTTTTTATAATATAATATATAGATCACTGTACAATTATGGTCTGGAGATCATCATTTCAATTAATTACTGTTATTGCTCAAGATTTTAATAGTAAAGAACTTATTATAACGAATAGTTTGACATCTGCATTAATAAAAAGTATCAACTCAAATAATAATGATCTTTGCGTTGATGCTTTAAAAGTTGTGACTGAAGTATGTTCTTGGTTACCTAAAAGTGAGTATTTTTACAATTTAAAACACATCATACTTATTAAAAATAATTATTTTGTATTTCTATGTAATTTATCCAGAGTCTGCACATGCTATTTCCATTATACTATTCAGTAAATTAGCTGCAGAATGGGAGCATAAATTAATAAGAAAATCATTGTTGATGGCTCTGTCACGCTTGTTTGTAAAACATACATTTATATATAAGTTGGCTCAGCAAAACTGTTTTCTTAAATTTTTAATTTCTAAACTGAAAAATATTCAATTAAAATGTATTAATCAAACATCCCAAAAACAAGTAAATAATTATTTTTATAATTTTCATTTTAATAATAATTGGGTATTTCTTTATTACCCATATAATCTTTGTTTGGTATTTATCATTTTAGAATCTATTGAAAAATGATTATTTAGATATAGTGGATTTATGTTGCAATGTATTTAGTGTGTGCAATCAAGCTAGATTGGACGCTTCTCAAGAATTACCCGATATAATTCACAAGTTTTGGCCAAATATTATTGTCAATTTCAAGTCAGAAATTCTTTTACATACACTTCAAATGCTTGTATCACTTACATCCAATTGCTCTATTGGTAATAAACTATTTTTTATGTTATCTTTTACAAGTTAAACAGAGTACGAGTTGCTGAATGGGTACCAGTGGCGCAAGTAAGCTGGCAATGTGAGACTTAGGATCCCCAAAAAGCTCCCAGGGTTCAATAAAAAATATTTAAACATTTTATAATATTATTATAGACATCAAATGTGTACACTTTTCGGTATTAGCGTATGACACTAATCTGTTTCGTACACATATGTTTCATGATGATATTACACTTTATTACTGAAATATTTTTAGCTAATTGATTATAGGTAAAAAGTGTATTTTGAGGTGAAGGGATTTTTTTTAATACTATATTTTTTCCCCCAATATAAAACTTTAAAAAAATAACTAAAAATTATGAAAAACAAATAGAAAACATTTTTAGTCTACAATTGGATTAGTCCTAGTGTTTGACAAATAGTTAAAAGTATATCAACAAAAACTTATTAACGAATCAGTACATCATACATTGTAAAAAACAATTAAAATAAAAATCACCAGGTAAAATTTATTTTTATTTTTTGCAATTGAAACATTTTTTACTTAATATCTGTTGAAACAAAATTGTCAAAAATGTATCTATAGTACATTTTGTAGTGAAAAACAATCAGGTACTAAGAATTAAAACAAACATTTTGACATTTTTGTTTTTAATTTTTATATAATTTTTTAAGAAGATATTTTATGAAAAATGCAGAAAATTCCTAGTTAAATGTACTACAATTTAGTGTGGACTATGCTTATTTAGTGTATAAAATAGTTTTTATCACTATAATTTGTTTTTAATAGATAGATAATTTTCTTACAAGTAGCTCTAAAGTAATGCTGATTCTATTTTTATTAAAAGAAAAATCAATTTATATATTGTGGTTTATAGAATCTTTTTTAATTTTATGAAATTAGCATCCTTGTAATAGTTTATTATCTGTATCAATGCTCCATACGAAAAACAGCACTCCAGCAGTCGTGTCACTGTCAGTTAAAGGTATCAGTGTGTTTTGTGCTCAATGTCACCAGTGTGGCACCCATTTACAAACGGCTCTATTTGCTAAGCCATAAATCGTCTTGTGAAAAGGAGTCGAAACTTCTGTGATAACTAATTCCTTGTTTTGGCAAATAAATGGTTAAGAAACATGTCTAAATGTGCGATTCTCTTTAGCGTGTAGTGCAATGACTATGACAAGTTGTACGCCAGGTGTGGATCCCAAAACAAGATGTACTTCAAATTCATTATTTCATGAAATTGTTACGTTGTCCTCAAATTTTTCGTTACCGGTAAACATTGTATCTGTTACATCATTGTTGATTTTAAACTCATGTCAATCTCAAGAATGCCGAACAATTATAATTAAAGTAAATTTAACTTAATTTATTTTATATATTTTATTATACAAAATTGTTCTATTTTACAGACTAAACGACTATCAAATATCATACTAATGCTTGATCCTAAAGATAAAAATAAACACAATTTGCAAGTCGAACAACAATGGCTTAATATCTTAAAGACATTTACGAGTTATTCAGATGGACAAACATCTATTGTAAAAGTAATAATATTGAACAACTTTTTATAATATTTATTTATTGAATAATTGTTTTATGCTAGGTGGATTATGTCTTTGACATTCTAACTTCGTTGTTAAAAACAAATTATGGACTCGACTGTTTGGCAATATTAAGAAATATTAGTTTTAATTCACAAAACCGAGCAGTCCTCTTATCGTCGAGTATGTAAAACAAATAACTTTATATCAACAAAAACAATATAAATATAATAATAATAAACCTATTTAGGTGTTTTATGGATGGGAATAAAATGTTTGTTAGAAACTGAAGACATAACAATCCAGCAGTTTAGAGATACCAGTTTGATTGTGTGGTCTCTAACTTGCAATAATCAGAAAGGCCGACTTCAACTCCAAAACTGGGGAATAGATAAATATTTCAAAAAACCTCATCCGCTACTTACGCAAGGCGATGATGATACAAATTACATATTGAACAATGTTTATTTGTGTTTGAAAAATTAAGTGAATTTTATTAATGCCTATTAATGTACTTATAATTTAAAAGTATAGTCAAAAGTTGTGACAATGACTACTTATCTAAGAGACTGAATTACTTAACTTTAAGAACACTAAATGTATTTCCATCAGAGTTATTTGACCTAATGTTAGTTTTCTTTGATTTCACAATTTGTGTTTTTTTAATAAGTAACTCAATCTTAAGACGTTTTTTTACATTCTTTTAACTAGTTAAAAATTATATTGCAAAATCGCATTAGTTATTAGTTATTATTATTGTATCTTAAATATTTTTTTTATGTTTACGCTTTATATTGATCTAACTAAATAAAAAAAAAACCTACATATAATTAAAAATATAAAACAAATATTTGTTTTATATTATCATTACTTTTATATTTATATGTACAGCCATAATTTAATCAATGTTTGTTTTGAGCTCATACAATAACGTTATAACTAATAATATTTTTAAATACAAGTGTGTTTGCCATTATTATTTGTTATGTTATTATAGTATCAGTCAACAATATCCAAGTCTCGTTCAATATCATATTTGATAACCAACACATACTTACTTTAGATAATTTAAATTTATATAGTTAATCAATGGTTATAGAACATATATATACAGTCTATTTATATTAAAGCAATAAGGGGTTTTTTTTTACATTTTTATGGAATCAAAATAAATTTTGAACACTAAATCAACCAATCAGAATTCGCCGTTAAACCACAATATTGTGTAGATCCATATCTATGTGATGATCCAAATTTAAACGTATGTAGTTTGACTTCCTCATAAATGTGTTCTCAGTAAAACACGTTGAAATTAAAATTGTTTTAATAATGATTATTATTACAGCTAGTTGACTTTTTGCAGTTTTTGGTTTAACATATATATATATATATATATATATACTATTTATAAATCGTTTTGTTTTTTATCTGTCTTCTTAAATTTGTCAAAAATGAACACAATTTTATTTCTAACTGTGGTTTTAGCATTTTCTATTAAATATAATAACTTAACCAATCGCGTCTAATTTGCGAATTATGTTGCTTTAAAGTTACCAACACATCAACTATTTAATAAATGTCAGTAATTATTACCTAGGTATGTTTTATTCGATTTTACTGTTAAAAATATTAATATAATATTCGTTAAAGGGCAAAGGTTTACATGGGTAATGCTGGTTTGAATTACATACTCTGTTAAACAATTATAATTAAAATGAAGCAACGCACGTGTTTGATCTTAGTTTGTTTATTAGAAATTGTAAAAAATTAAATCTGATAAGTTAAATATTGTCAAATAAGGTGAACCGAACAACGGACTTTAGATTGGTAAGTAAATATGAAATTTGTTATTAAACTACTCGTGGAATTGCCTATACGAAATATCTTATGTGCTACCTGATTAATTATAATTTATTATTAAGTATAACCGTATATTTGAATGAATTATTTAGGTAGGTATATGTTTGTAGGAAGGTGCGTGTTTGGAGTAATAACATATTAACTAAAGAATTAGCTTAATTATTACAAATACTACATAACACACAACTAATTTAAAATATACCTATAACCTACTTAAATAATATCAGGATAAATGTACGGGATTTATTTTTTTTTTTTGTAAAAATTATTATTTACTTATTACTGACAGTTGGACTGTAGACATAGGCAGTTTGAAATCGAAAAATATGTGGTAGGTATTAAATGTCGGACTTAAGTATAATAAGTTAATTGTTTTATTTAAATAACAACTTTTTGCTTTATAAATTATTGATTGCCTTATAAAAAAAATAAGGGTTGATATTGGTGACTTATAAAAAAATTAATTTTATACATTTTTTGCAATTCGTCACCACAAACAATCGTTAGGTTAGTGCAGAAATAGTATCTTTTTTCATTTTTTAATGTTTTAAAAAAGACAACATTTTCAATTTTGTAGGTATAAGAAACATTTAATACCTATATTATTTTTATGTTTTACATAACTTTTGTTTCCATATTATAATAATATAGTTAATAGTAACAAGCAGCGTAAGTTTTTATAGTTGGGTATTTAGTTGTTTTAGATTAGGAAAAATAAACTTATTATGCTGTAATCGGTTAGGTACTGTTTTAAACACATACAAATAAAAACTAATCATCATAGTAATTGTAAACATATGCAGAATATAAATATTAAAAAAATGCATGTCAAATTTGAAATTGTAGTTATACGAATTAGATAATTTAATAATACACAGAAAATTTACATTTGCCCCATTCAATTCCACTATTCTTGAATTTTTTCCGATTATCTGTTATACATTTTTTAATTAAAAAATAAAACATTACAGAAACATTCGAAATAGGTATCCATAAGTTATGGCCACTATCCGATTATTTTTAGTAAAGTAATATTGAATACACCGGGTGTATTTAAGTTAAAACTTTAAAATGTAGCATAAAACGGTTTTTTTACAATAAAGACAAATCTGTAGTTACGGTTTTTGTTTGTTTTTAATTATCTTACAGATATATATTAAACTTCTATTCTGTTACATTTTCAGGCATTAAGTCCTGAAACTGCGCTTGAAAAAATAAAGATAAAACTGCCCCCCCCCCCCGTTATGAAGGGGAAAAAGATTTAATGTTATGTTTGTGATTATTGTAGGATAGGGACATGCATTCTATAAGCATATCGACTTTATTCGACGTGTTTTGTAAAGCTGTAGCAAGTCAGAAAATTTGAGCTATGAAAAAAATGATTTTTAGCAAAATAATTTTCAAATAAAATCCAATTAAAATTATTATTATTTTAATTTCTGAGACGTAAAATCTCAAAATCAAATTGCAACATACATATTTAATTTGCTTAATATTATCTGAATGATATAATGAAATTAATGACTGGTCGATAACTAGTTTTGGTAATATTAATATATGTTAACATTTATTTGCGTTTTAAGATAAAAGCTGGGGATGAAGCAGACTTGTTATATTATTTATACTCAACCGCAATTATTCTTTCCTTACCTAAACTATAAATGCTAATAACTAAAAAAAGCATTTATTCAAAGGCTGGTTTTTATTACATCGTTCTGCTATTAATAAGTAATAATTCTAATATTTTAGTTGCTATACGATTTTTAAAAGTTAAACCTTAAAATTACCCTTTGAAATAATATTTTCTACTTAATTATTAAATATAATTATTGTTATTTTAATATAATAATTATTTTATTTTAACCTTTTAGCTTACGCCTTATAAAATTATTTCATAAAAAATAATATCAGAAATTAACATGAACTTTGGATAACCCTGTATGGAGTAATTGTAAGTTATTGATGAAATAAATAAATTACTTAAATACAAAATGTTCTACGTTAAACTATTATAAAATACTAAATGTTGTTGTTATAAGCAAATGATAGCATACTAAAGAAGAAAAAATTCTGTAATTAATACTTTTTATTTTTTTACCACGTGTCATTCTAGTGTCTTGTAATCATTTAGCTGTACCTATAGGTTATAGCTAAAAGTTCACCGCACTGACCACAGATGAATTAATTTAATCTAGAATTATTCACATCAAGGTTCTCCCACTACCGCCATCTTTTCAAGGTCGGTCCAAACCGTCAAACCAGAATCGGTTATTAGCACATGCGGTAAGAGAAGTAGAATCAGACTGTAGTACTTACTACTTAGTAGTAAACATTTATTCGTCTAGACATGTTATTCAAATTAAAAATTATACATTTGTAAATACCCATACACATTTTCAAAACGTATGGAGCACTATTTTTATAGTGCTTAGCGTGTACCCACGTCAGCATGGTCGATTATTTGTCCTAGGTAAGATATCTAAACAAATCATAATAAATACAGAGTGGTCCATTTAATGGAAAACACTCTTAAAAACTATTATTATTTTTTCTTAAAATAATTAAAATTTTTGTAGTTTTTTTTTGAAAATATTTTCATTTATATTATTTTACAATACTATCTACAAATATTCACCTGTATAGTATTTATATATATATATATATACGGTATTTTCCAATGCTCTATCAACTTTTAAAACTTAAACGGTAACGTAATTATGTAATTTACATTTTCAATTAAGAATAATTTGCTGACAATTTTGACCGGTCGATAGTAGTTTTTGATAATTACTTATAAAGTTTTTTAAAATGTATGACGGGGTGGGGTGCGGCTGAGTAATGCGCGCAGATAAAAAAAAATAATACAATCCAAAGACTCGCCCTCTCTCCCGTCCCGTAAAACTGTAAAAGAAACCGTCCAAAAACCTGTTTTGACCATTCTAAATGTTCAGCAAATTATCTTAGTTAATAGTTAGTTAAATATTATATGAGTTGCCATTTAAATCCCAAAGTTGGTAGAGCTTTGGAAAATACTAAAAAAGGTACAAACATAGTTAGTAGTTTTATAATCTAAAGTTACATACATACTTTAGAAAGAAAATCTATAAAATGTGCTAACACCGGTCATCGCCGATTTATAAATATATCACAACATTGATATTGTTTTAATTTTTTATATAAAATATTTATGTCGTGCATAAACATTAAACATGTTGGTGCTTATTGTAAAATTACATCAAATACCAATGTGATATAACATGTACATGTGTAATGTGTGTATAGTGACATGATATAGTAAAATTAAAATTGCATTGCATAACTTCGAAACAAACATTGTTTTTAAAAAAAATAACTTTAAACTTGACATTTTTTTTTAAATTGTACTTAATTATTATTTAAGCATTTATTGAGTTTTATTGATAAAAATAAGTGTAGACAACAATTAATATTAGGTACCATTTGGAGACTGGGGTTATAACAAATATAATAATGACAAATTTTTATTTATTACAATTTTAATTATACCGTTTCTTATAAGTACAAACTTAATCCTAAATAGCTTAAATTATGTGGAATCGGAGGGTTCTACACAGTATGTCCCATATTATTAAAAAATAAAAATAAAAGTTTTTGAAATTACCTAAATTAAGATAGTATAGATTGTATAGATAAGTTAAATATTGCGTGGCGCTGAAGTTGATATGGGAGGGGAGATTAAGTAGAAACCTCGACTAGGTTTTAAAGTTTATTTGTACAAGTTATCGATAGTTTGGACAATGGCTACCTTACCTTGAACTTAAAACACAATTTTTTTTATTCATTTATAACTAGGTTTTGCGAAATTGTGTTTAATTTATTTAACTGATAGTCTTTTAAGTAATTATTCTTATCAAAGTCTAATAACTATTGTATTGTTGTAATTAACAGTTAACACTTATCTTAATATAGGAAAAAATTAAATCATAATTAATCATTATTATTTGTAATTAACATAGTGATATATCTCCATTTTACCACGATTTGAAACCCTCAAAACATAATGACGTATTACGTGCCATTACTAATTATCTCTGTTACAATAATACAAAATAAAATATTACCCGAAATTAAAATGTGAAGTTATAAGAATTAAAAAACCTGATTGGGAAAAATAATAAAAATAGAAAATAAAGTTAGATTTTATATTGGGGTAAGGTTTAATGTCATTGTAGTTACATTTTATGCCTGCTAATAGTTTTTTAATAGATTAAAAAAATAAATATAACGAAAAGCAAGCTGCAGTGAAAATGTTCAGGAATGGTAAATAAAAACCTCTAGACAATAATTATAATGCCATTAAATTTAGTGTCTATCAGATACTCTGTTTGACGTGTAATACAAATATTCTCCGAAAAATTGTAATTTTCTGTATTTGAAATAAATTTAGTTAACACATTTCTACAGAATAATATAATTTTTCAATTATTGGAATTACTTTAATTAGGAGAAATGAGTTATCGTAATAACCCTAAATTTTTATTGGTAGGGTTTTTTTTTTTAATTTCTTAATTTTTTAAACTTGTAGTGGATAATGGTACTTAATACTTAGCCACCAACTTTAGAGAAAGAATCTATAAAAGATGGACACCCTCCACCTCTAAACCCACTATACCTTTGAAAATACGTTAACATACAAATATTATACTTAGTTTAAATAGCTTAAAGCATTTCTACTTATAATACGTTTTTTTTTCAAGTCTAATATAATTTGATGTATTCATCTGTAGTAAAAATTTTCTTTAATCTAGACCACATACACCCGTTAACCTGATAACACACGGGCATATGGAAGATTCGGAAACTTCCCAACTTCCCAGTGCTTTTAGGGTATGTCTTATGAGTCCCACATAACATTAAGTAGGTAAATAGTTTTTTTGCAATCAAGTGCGTGGCTCAAAACTTGAGCTCTGCTCGTCCCTAGCTTCTAAAGACAGCTCTGATATACTTATAATTTTGTTAACGCTAATACATTTGGGTAATACTGTATTATAAACTAAGTTCGCATTTTACTATGCGTATTGAACATATTTTGTACCTAATACATTATAGTTGATTTCAGGTTTCCTTTCCAAATAATATTCTAATACACAGGAGCCCCTATGGAGACTAACGGAAAATCGAACGACTTTTTCAGCCAAATCCATAGGAATTATCTATTGAAACCAAACCATGTGCATAAGAAAAAAAATATTAGCCGAGTGGTAAGTCATGACTTGATAGTTTAGAAAACATTGATTCATAAATATCATAAAAAAACATTTTTCTATCTAATTATCCTGTGTATTTGAAAAATATTCCAGAACGTTTTTGGTCAAAAAGTTTCTGTTATAATACCTTGGCATTTGTTTTAAACGAGGGTTAGCAAGGGTTAATGATAAATATATATTTTTTTTTTGGTTAAGGCAAAAAATTTAAATTTTGCGTGGAAATAAATCGGGATTATTAATTTTTGAATTTCGACCCTCTCATCAAGACTCTAAAAACAACTGTTGTCCCATATTTTCAAATCTGTTATGTCTAACATTTTTTTAAAAACAGCTCCGGTTACTTTCAAGGGGAAATTTAAACTGATTGTGTTGGAGAGTTTCTTTACAATTTGAGGATTAGTAAAACCGTTGATACAAAGGTTATACAAGGTTGTGATCAGCATATAAATTAGATATACCATGTATATTACACTATAAAGTAAATACAAATTAATTCTATATCGTAGGTTGTACTATGTATGAATTTCTATTAACAAGACACGGCAGTTTCTAAAATAGTACTAAATAGTATGTAAATATACTTATAGATATATTTTTAGAACATTTTTTATGGATTGCTATCATTTAGTCACATAGCGATCATCAATTCGACTCTGTTCATATTCGTATGTATGTTTAAAAATACATGTACAATAAAGGCGGTACCATAGTGTATTCATTATAAATCATGTGGTTCGTGGTTGATTAAAATACTATTGCATATTATCGTTTATAGAATGTTGGCTACTTTTTAAAAATACTTAACTACACATAATGAAATATGCCTATTGTATTGCCATATTATAACTTATATAATATTATAACATTTAGTCATATGTAAACATGGACCTTATACTAATTATATTACTTTAATACTTATTAAGTCAACATAAAAAGTACAAACCATAGATAAAACGTGTTAAATGTATTATAACTAGGGAAATATGTTAAAACTTTATTTGAATGATTATTATTATTATTATTTGAATGATTATAATTTATAACAATGAATTGTATAGCACCATACGCAGGTTTATCCACACTTATATCTACTTCCTATCGATATTTGAATCAATGTTTTTATTTTTAATAATTTATCTACTGTTTTTTTATCTTCAAACGTCTTCGAGTTCTTAATTAATCATATTTTTATCGCTGTCAGATATTTCAAACCCACATGGTGTATTATCAATTATCATGCTGTGGATCATTACACTTCATAATAATAATTGTACTCAATAAACCTAACTTTAACCAAGTTGATTATTTATTAAATACATGCAAATTATCTACAAATAATATTATTAGTATTATCAGTTTGACATTTGCTAGTTGTATTACAACTAGATAACGTACATTTTGAACCTATTGTATATTATTTTATTGTAATACATCTTTGTATGTATACAATGTAAAATATCCATTAAACTGACATTAACATTAGACTTCTGACCCACAATTTGGGGGGCAAAATCATATATATTTTTAAATAACTTTTATAAAATTAATATAATTTTCTTAAACCGATTATATTACAAAAAAATATTTTGGTTTTGAATAGAAAACCTTCATACTTATTTTATATATACAAGAGTATATTTTATTAAAAATCAGCAATCAACCAACCATTATTTTGAATAGTATACTTTTATGTAAACAAATTGAATCTAAAAATGTAAGTTTCTATTTTAAATTTAAAAGTTATTGGCATTATAAACATCATTTTTAGACATATTATTAATTAACTGAAATCGTTGTGCATTACAGCGAATAAAATGATTAGAAAAATCTGCTGAGTCACAGCTGTTAACATACCACACGGTATATCTATTGAATTATATTTGAAATATATTTATTTATGTTTTGTATTTAATTATGTTATTCTTTCAGCTATGGCTTGCGTTTGTTGTCACTATGCCATGTCTAGCTCCTGGAATGAGTTTTGGATATTCTGCCATAGTATTGGATCAATTATCGTTGACAGTTAGTGAAGCCTCTTGGTTTGGTAAGTATTTAATCTAAATAAAAAATCAGATTTATACAAATGAGTAATGATTTATGTACTCAATCAGCTTATGTGACTATGAGCTTATTTATGTACTGAGTAAGCGGAATATTTAATAGGACACCACACACGTGTTTTTGTAGCAAAAATAATGCACATAAGTAGTATACCGTTAAAAAGTTCTACCGTGTTTTGTTGGAATTAAATGTTCATAATTATAATTATTTTCTACCTTATATGCAAATGAATATTATGATCTTTTTGGTACCTAAGTGTAGTAATCGTGGCACGCGTGGGTTATTTTATTATTAATAATATTAATATTTTCGAAACTTGTTTACTAGATCTTACTAACATTTAATACTTAAGTTTTCCTTATTCTGTTGACATCAATATTTGTTTGGAACAACAACAAGGGAATTATGTATTATTTTACCTAATTTACATATTAGTATACAACCCTTTGACAACAGTATTTTGTTGTTCAAGACTATTGCAGTTATCATATGTGTCTGACCTTTGCCAAGAAAACTTTTTTATTATTGGACAATAAAGAATTATCATTACTGTGTTTTAACAAGTATACACTAGATTTGAAGTTCTCAATTAAAATTTTGCGAAAAATGCCTACCCTTCACTATCCTATATAAATGCTATCCTATCCTTTATAAATAAAAATGGTGTCAAATGAGTCGGTTAAGGTAGCTGCGCGGTTTTTTCTCGTTTTAAATGTATTGCAGTGCATTTGCAACGAGTGTTGTTGTATTCAGTGTTACTTTTGTTTTTTGAGAAAACTTTTGACTTGAAGATTTTTGATAATGCAAGGAGAACGCCCTTTTAGCTTTTGTAGTTCGTATATTCGCTTAATGTTTATATAAATTAAACTTTTATTCTCTCTACGTCAGTGGTGGTTATTAATAAAAAAGTGTTATTAAGTATTAATTATGAACTTTTTGTACATTTTGTTTCAGCCAGTCTACCGTCTACATTGATGCCAGTGGGTTGTCTAATTAGTGGACCGTTGATTGATCGACTAGGACGTAAAACAGCGTTAATGGTCGTCAATTTCCCGTCCATTTTGGGATGGCTATTCCTAGCTCAGCAACCGGCTGATTTGACCGTTCTGTACGTAGGACAACTACTGGTAGGCCTGTCGGTGGGCATGGCGTCGACCCCCGCCACGATTTACGCCGCCGAATGCATAACCGTCAATTTCACAGGGCTCAGAGGTTGTTTTACTATTTTGGCTTCGATTATGCTTAACTTCGGTATGTTCCTGACTTACTTGCTGGGTCTGCTGTTACCCGCGTTCGTGGTCGCCTACATCGCGGCGGTCGTTTCGTTTACATCTCTGTTGGCCATTTGTCTACTGATACCGGAAAGCCCTCCGTGGTTGTTCGAGCAAGGCCGACACGGAGACGCCGAGTTCTCGCAAAAAGTGTTGCGCATAACCCAGCCCATCCTGCAAACGCCCAAAGCGGCGGCGGCGGAAACGACCGTCGAAAAACCCGCGCAACAAACGGAATTCTTCGTCAGACTTCGCGACCCGGACGTCTACAAACCCATCGTGATCATGACGACGTTTCTATTTTTCCAACAGTTCAGCGGTTCGTTCGTGCTGACCACGTACTTGATCCAGATATTACAAAGCCTAAACGTGACGACGAACGACTACTTGGTCACGTTGGTGGCCGGGTTCACCAATCTAGCGGCCATGGTCATTTTGTCGGCGCTGCTGACGAAAAGCGGTTTCAAGCAATTGGCGTTGATATCCTGTGCCGGTGTATCGGTGTCGATGTTGTCTCTGTCGGCGTACCTGTACCTGAAGGTCGACGACCAATTTTTGACCAACGTGGTGGTCATAACTTGTATACTGTTCTATATGGCGATGAACGGGCTCGGGCTGAGACCGATACCGTACGCAATGCTCGGTGAAGTTTTCCCGACCGACGTGGCCGGCGTGGCCGGTTCGTTTGCCGCTTGCAGTTCTTCTGTATTTAATTTTATCGCTATCAAATTATTCCCATACCTCCGGCTGTGGATCGGATCCGGAGTGTTTATTATGTACGGCGTACTGGCGTTGTGCGCTTTAATTTTCGTCGACAAATGTCTCCCGGACACCAAAGGTAAAACCATAAAACAAATCAGCGACGGTTTCAATAATTGTAAAACGGAAATAATAATTTAAACTTACTAACTTAGAAGATATTTGGATCTCAATTTTTTTTTTTTGCTTATAAGTACGAAAACTTTTGAATTTATGTTCTTTTTTTTCTACCTATGTATTTTATAGTTATTAAACACAACGTTAAATTGCGTTAAATTGTGACAACTTATAAAATATCAAAATTGCGATTATAACACCTATGTATTCATAATATAATGTTGATTACGTTTTATTGTACACCTATATTCTGTATTTAATAAGTAACGACTATAATACTCTGTCGTATGTCATTCGAAACACTTGATGACCGTCTCTGCTGATTTATAGAAAAAGACATAGCGCAACAAACGGTTCTACAAAATTCGGACGAGTTGACCAAAATTTTAAACTGTTGCTGTACGAAAGAGTTTTTCACGAGGAACCCACATCTGCCTTCAAAATTAAGATAAAACTCATAATTCGACAATTTTCTAAAAAAAAAAAAATTGTATTACAAAATAGCACAAGAAGGATTTTCAAGTATCATATTTCAGCTTTAATCTTTCTTTTGTAAATTGTAAAAAATTTGATTTGTTTTCAAATTTAGAATTGTTTAAATTAATTATTAAAATGTCCCTTGTGTTAATCAAATAGAAAAATAAAAATTCATATGAAGTACTCTAGAGTAGAGCTAGGGTACTGAAATTTTGGGGATTTCTTATTTTAATATACTTCAATCAATTGTGGGGGCGCGTGGTGTATTTATGGGGGGATAGACCCCCCCCCCTTTGCCCTTTTTTTTATAAGACTAAGTATACACAGAACTGATCCCGTATTCTGTAATCTGTTAGGCGTCATACTAATCTACTTATGTATATATTTTTAGCAGTTGATTGTATACCGATATTTATTCACATTGTTATCCTGTGAGTGGCATTATAATAATAAAAAATAGGACCATCCTGGCGAAACCTGGGTAAAAACGTATGAATAAAATAAAGTATAAATATTATTACATTCATTGTTATTAAATGCCTTACATGGGAGTAACTGAAGTCAAAAGCTTGCAATAGCTGTTGTTAGGTATGATCAATAAAATGTTGTTAAAAAAAATTTCGAAGTTTTTTTTACGATCATGTCGTGCCTTATGCAAAAATAACGCAATAAGTGACTAGTAGATGGCGTCCTACGTACGGATTATTATCAATGAATCAGCTCTAAACTTGCTCTTATCGACATTGACTAATCACAAATCACAATATAATTCACATTTCTGAGTTCAGTTTTCACTTCGTCGAGTTACGTGAAATGACCGTAGTCGTGTTTAGAACACAGCCCAAATTCACACGTATTTTGTTTCATTAATTATTTTCTACAAAATAACGAACATAAACCGTTCCAGACGTTCACACGATAATTTTCAACAACATAATAATAATAATATTATTATTATTATTAAAATAAAATACTGTTATTTATAAACATATTATAATATTATGTTAACATAATAGTTTATTAATAACTGTTATATTAATAATTTTGTTTACCCAGTCATTCGTCATAATTAAAATGTATAATATTTATATATATATTAATGTTAAAACTGTAACATTAAATTATTTCAGTTAGTCATTGAATAAGATTGTAGTTTAGAGCTTAACTTTTTAAGCCACTGATATTTACTAAAAGTTTTAAGGCTCAAACGTTATACAAGGTTTGTATGTGTATAGTGCTAGTGCAAAGGAATCAAATATATTTATGAAAGTGTTTTCTTTAAATTTACTAGTGAATTCAGTGTGTTATGGCTAAGTGGTTAGATTCAGGAGATTTAGTCCCGTACGATGATCAAGTCGGAGGTCATAAGTTTACTAAAGAAAAACCACTCTTAGGTGTGTCTAAATTACATAATACTATATTGTATGTATTTTTAAAAGATTAAAATATATATATATTTTTTTATTTAGGTTTGTTGAAACACAAAGAGGGTTATATTTTAAAATCAGTCGAAGGAGGCACCAAAGGAAAAAACGAAGTAAAATTCTATGAAGAATTGAAAAGTAACGAGAGTTTATTAACCCTAAGACAACTGGTTCCATCATATTTTGGAACCATAACTTTGAAAGTCGATTCAAAAGGTTTGTACTTACATTGTATAAATAATATTCACATTGATTATAAATTAATTATGAGTTTTATCTGAATTGTCGTAGATATAAAATTTATAGTTTTGGACGATATAACTAGAAAAATGAAAAAACCTTGCGTTATGGACGTGAAGATCGGTATGCAAACGTGGGAACCGGGTTGTACAGAGAAAAAAAAGAAGGACGAAAACGTAATATTTTTGAAAATTATTTACAAACATTTATTGTTGCACTAAAGGAGAGTTATTTCTATAATCAAATTTAAATTCAATAGACATCAGTTCATTGAAATTAATATTGTTATTTACAAAACTTGTATTCACTAGAAATGGAATAATTAAATGTTTTTTTACCATAAAATCATAGATTAAACATAAATAAATGCATGTGATTTGGCGGCAATGCCAGTATATTCAGTATCACAAGACTTAAAATCAGGGAGATGATTAAAAAAAATATATTTTACTTCAAATCTCTATAAATATATTAGCTATTAAAATTAAATTAAAGTGTTGGGCATCATCTCATTGTCCCTTTTGATGTTTCGCCAGTTGGTAGACAAGTTAGGTTATTTATATAGCAGTACAGTAAAGAAAATGGCCTTTTGTCACAGCTTATCCACCAACTGTATGTTTATTAGCTTTAAGTTAACAGTATTTATTTATTTATTGTCTACTAGCGCTCAGATTTGAGTTGACTATTAACAATTATAACTTTTGTGAATAATTAAACATAAGGTATGTTTAATCGTAACCCAGATATTATTTATATGGTGCATTTCCGTGGTCGTCTCAACACTGATTCATAGCTTATGAAATAATACATTTATTATATCCACTACATTATATAATTTATTTTGTAAATCACTAAATAATATGTCTAATGTTTAGGCCAAGTATAAAGAATGTAAAGAACAATGGAATTTCTGCATACCAGGGTTTCAAGTTTACGATTTGTCGGATCCTAATTCGGAACAACTGCATAAATACGACAAAGAGTTTGGAAAAAGTTTAGATCCAGGAAAAGTCGTATCAGGTCGGTAGTGCATTATTCATTTATTAATTACAATTAGTCATCACTTAACACAAAAATTACTCTTTCAAAATTTAGTTTTCAAGACATTTTTAAACTACGACAGCAGTTATCTAGGTTTGTCAAAATTAGTTCAAGGCTTTACCAACCAACTAGATACCATACGAAGATACTTTCAGAATCAAAAATATCACCATTTTTACTCTAGTTCAGTATTGTTAGCATACGATGCAGAGACATTAACAAACGACAAAGACAAATTTCCCTTGTTGAGAGTTACGTTAATTGATTTTGCACACGTTACCCCAGCTAATGGCCAAATTGATGTTAATTATTTACACGGAATAAATAAATTATGCACACTGTTTCGAACACAATTGTTGCTTGACCATTAAATTTAGATCTAGCGCATTTAAATAAAAATAAGTAAAATTCTTATAAATATACATTTTAATAGATTTGTTTAGATGTGAAATAATCGTATTTCACCTCATTATTTTGTTAAATGAAATTGATATTGTTAACAATTTGTTAATTACCAAAAATATGAATTTTTTAACCTTATTTATTGTAAGCTATAATATATATACTAAAATCAATTGTATTATAAAAATAGTCATATTAGATTTTATAAATTTGAATTTTTTTTTATACATAAATATATATAGGTATACATATATAAAACAATTTATAGCATTTAAATTATTTTTAATAAAATGTACCATTATAGTTGTTATATTATTTAATGATTTGAGATAGTAATAATACCTAATACTCAAATTCTTAATAATTGTCAATTGAAATTAAAATGAAATAAAAACAAGAATTGTCTAAATACAAATTTTGGTTTTTTTTTAATGTATTTCTTCAATTGGGGGGAAGAGGGATCGACGTTAGTCATTACACCTCCCAATTTTCATTAGAATTTGATTGTTATCTAACAATCAAAATATATTCGAGGTGAAAACTAATTTTGCAGCTAACTTAAGTACTTGAAATAGTGTGATCGAATGAATATTTATTAAAAAATATATCAACTGTGTACAGTGTAAATATAATAGTGTATCGAAAGTATTAAAAATGCAAACATTTATTACATTTTCAACTTTGGTGATAGGATTTCTAGTTTTAAAGGGACTGTGTGTTCAATTTTTATTTTCATTTGAAATTTAATACAATAGTTTGTTTAAATAAAATCCATATTAAATAAAATAAACTGACTTAAACATTTTTTTTTAATTGTATATATTTTATAACTTTTTCGAACAAATACTGCAAATTACTTTTATATTATTATTATAAAACTGCTTAAAATGTAAAAAAAAAAAAAAAACAATAGGAGTAAATAAGAAATAATTATTCCATATTAATAAATCCACAAAAAGTATATTATGACTGAAATTTGTAATAGGTAACATAAACAATAAATTACTTAAGAAAAACATTTCCAAAACCTATATTATGAAAAAAAAATTGAAATTCTTTAAATATATAATTTGTAAAATTGAGTTAATCTCATGAAAAAACAATAATATATTGTGTATAGAATTTCTGCCTTATGTTTGATAAGTCAATCATGCACTGCTTATTTTTGTTTTTTTTTCTAACACTTAAAAATTAACAAAATTTTTGTCAACACTTAAATGATGAAAAACTATATATAAATATAATGGAACTTACATATTAAATTATTTGATGTAATGAAAAAAAGTGTTCGAAATAAGAATTAAGTGTCCCAATTTCGTTTGAATTACTGTAGAATCAAACCAATCTGTCGAAAAACAAAAATTGTATTTAGTTTTATAATTATGTTTTCTTCTGTTAAATCATTACAAACCTTATTGCTATTTAATTCTGGACACTTCCAATTGTACAAATAATATTGCAAATTGCCATCGCCGACACCGAATTTTAACGGTTCTAGAAATTCTTTGTTTTCCATTAAATCTAACGCGTTGAACACATCAAAATTTGCCTGAAAAAAATTTAAGGGAGAATATTATTAACTGTTAAAACAATTTAAAATTTGGTTACCTACATCCCTTGCCGATATTAAAGCATCTTGCATTAGTTCTACCCATGGTGTTTTTGTAGAAACATTGTAAAATGAATAGGCCGCTTTTAATGTTCGGTAATTGGGATGATGCATGATAGTTGACGGAAGTGTATAAAAGCTGACTAGATCTATACAAAAACATAAAAAAAAAAAATTATAATTGGCAACAATTGTAAATTACAGAATGTCATAAAAAGCATAAAAAAAATTTGCCATCCAAAATTCACCTGTTATTTTATTATTGTTCTCAACAACGTAGGCATCAATAATGCCCTCTTGTGGTAGAAACCAATGTTTAAACTCGGCTTCAGAAAACATAGGAGTTATATCGAATGATTTTAGATACTGAAAAGAATATTAAAAGATAATTATAGCTAAAAACATATAAAATAAACAATTTTAAATTATAATCTTACACTTGCAAGTAATTTCCGAGCCTGTGGCAAGTCTTTTTCGGTAAGTTTACGGAATCCTTGAGTGTTTGTAGTGACGGGTAACTTATGTAGTTTTAACGTTCTTTGCATTGTCATGTTACGACTTAAATGGGAAAATTTAACATCTATCAATTTCTTTGGATTTAACGATCGATGCCAATACCTTGGAAAAATAAAAAATTAAATTTTTTTTACATTAAATAATGTTAATTAACAATATAGTAAAAATATACGGTATACCTGCAGGATCCTATTGGTTTTGGTAAAACAATACCAGCGGTATAAACCGCTTGAAAAATGCCATTCTGGTTCACACGTCTTGTTATTTCTCTGATTAGAACTGGAGCTACTCTTTTGCTACGCAATTTTTTATGGACACACAAAAAATTAATTTCCACCATTTTTTGGGACCTGTGTGTGAACATATTTTATGAAATAATTATTTTGATATAAAGATGAAAAATAAATGTATTTACTTGCTATAGACATTGAGCAGCGCTGGAATGGCACTAATAAAACCTACCAGTTTACTACTTTTTGTAACTCTGACACCGACGTGCCAATCTTTTAGCCAACCAGGTGGCTGGAGGGCCCTGAATTAGAAACAATTAAAAATGTTGTAATCATTTAGGTATTTTTTTTCTTTGTATTCAACTTTCAATACCATTTTAGAAAATGAGGTTGATAATCAAAACGAAACATGCTATCTTCATCCTCTACGTAATTTTCATTTAACAAAGTATACAACTCTTTTAAAACAAATGGATCGTCAAGGCTCAGTGTGTCCCACTGAAAACCATCAGGCAGTGTAAATGGTTCTTTCCTGATTTCTTCTGAAGTTTTATCTGCCTCGATTGGACCATTATTAATTACAACTTCACCTTGAAAATTAAATAATAATAAAAAATAATTTATGTTGGTTATTGTCTGCAATTTACACTGGAATAAATGAGAAGGAGGTGGCTAAGCAAAAGTATGTCTGTTAAATAAATCGATAAATATTAGCTCCTACACATTGTTTACAATTTTAAATAATGTTTTATTTATATACTTTTATTTGACTATTTTATTTATTTATTCGTATGGCAGCCAGAGGGGGTGATAGAACTTTAGCCGTCTAAAGACGTTGCCCGGGGTACATTACGTGGAAGCATTCTATCATTGTACCATTTGACTATTGCAAACAACCTGTCATTTTAAATAATAGTTCATTGATTTAATTAATTAAACTTTTATTTTTTCTAACTTAATTATTATTAATTTCCATTTATATTTAAATAAATAATTAATTAATTAATAAAATTGTGTACATTATTTGAGTTTTTATTTTTAATACATAGTTTAGTTTAATTAAAGTGTCATCATTCCTTAATTTTATAATAAGAAAATTTACTATAAATTTGTTTCACCTATTTCATTAAACATTTTTATGTCCATCTATTTTATAATAATTTGTCGCAGATTATCAAAAATAGGCACATCATATTCTCCTGTCTAATAGTATTTTATTTATAAATAATGATCACTTACATAAAAACTATTTTAATTAAAAAAAATTAATATTTGGTTTAATTTGAATAAAATAAAACATAACAAATACAAATTTTTTTTTAATTAGTAACAATTTTTAAAATATTTCTTTTTATATCAAATAAATTTTAAAATAAGGATAAATATTAGCTAGCAATTAAGTAAGTTCCTTAGATGTACTTACCCATTTTAGGAACAGGTTGTGTATACCAAAAGCGATATTGTTTATGTAGAGCTTCTTCAGGAGTTTTAGCGGCTCTTTGTTGAAGTGAAAATACTTCCATAGCCTTTTGAATATCCTAAAAAAGTTATAACAGCAAAATAGTAAAATGTAAATAAACATTAAGGCATTAAATTATTTCTTAGTATTACAAAAGCTTTTACAAAAAAAGCTAACACTCATTTTTTTCATAAATCAGTGTACCCCTTTATAACAAGAAAACACTAAATACTAACTTACTACTCATTTCTCATTAATTCCAGCACTAATCAAATATGAAAGAATTTATGATTGTAAAACTAATTTATGTATATCTTAAAAGTACATACTAATTTGAAATATATTATTTTTATTGTAAAATAATACTTTAATGACATAAACCTATATGTTGTATGCTTGAATTGAAAAATCTTCAACAAAAAAATAATTATTTGTGTCTTGTAAAAAATAATTTATCTTAACCACAATTAAAAACAACCTTCAAATAGTTAAAAATGCATTTGACAAATACATCATTTTCTCAATCGGCTTATTTTAAATGTACTAACCTGAATAGAAATAGTTGATGGTAATGTTGTTTCCTCAACTGTTCCATTTTGTGTAGTTTGTTCAGCCTTGATATTATTTTTGCTTTTTCTATTTCTTTTTCTAAAAGGAAAATATTGAACTCTTATAATGTAACAAAATCAAATGAAAGGTTATGATAAAGATTACTTTTTTGTCTGTTCTACTTCGACATTAGGCTCATTAGGTTGATCACCGTGAATCTCTGGTGTTTCACTATTCATGGTGACTACTAATTTGGATTAATAGACAGTATTAAACAATAAAATAAAAAATTTTACCGTAGTAAATATTTTAGTTGAATTATATTATACAGCAGCTAACCAACTAAAGCAGGTCCAAGAAACTAACTGAAGAGCAATGAAAAAAAAATCAAAAAATGTACCGCGTCGGAAATTGCAACTGAACGTGAAGTCTGAAAATACAAAAACTACAAATTGATATTTTTTTGTATTAAAATTTGTATAATAATCACAGACGAAAAACCACGGCCAGCAGTCGGCACTTTACCGTCAAAAGTCAAAACTCATGTTACAATCACAGAATTCTGTGTTACAATGTTGTATAACCTGATTATATTGATATAATCGATTTATATTATACTCACTAGCTTAAACATCGATGATCGATTTCAATTTAATTTAACAATAAATATTGCAATATACTCATCGAACGTAAATATATATTATAAAAACAACAATTTGTTATGGGTAAATAATAATGATGCTTCTACAGATATATATATTTATAAAATATATACCTGTACAACTGTAGTATAACGAATTTATAAAACATTCGTAAATCAAAAAATTGTGATAACCGCAAAATGGCCGGTGATGTATTATGGCGGCAGTGTATTTCTTACCGGCGAACTCTAGCAGCCATATTGTGAAAATTGATAAAACAAATTACTGGCTTACCTTTATCCGTGTATGTATGATTTAACCTTTTTAATTTTTGACAAATCTGCCAACGTACAGCCCTCAGAAATGTTATGTTCTAATGAGTAATGTTCTTAATTCTATGTATTTAATAATGAATATTTGTATTCTAAAACCATCTCAAACTAAACAAAACCGGTTCTCCATAACTTGATCGATGTGGTAATTGAAGAAAAAAAAAATGACCAGTAAAGAATCCTCATAGATGTACTAATAAATAATTAAGTTTTAGCTTAAAACTAAGATTTAAAAAAATTATCCTACATACCGAACCGCTGTAATAAAAATTGATGTAGCGTTCTCTTAAATGAAATCATGAATTATATATTATATTTTATCAGTGTTTTTAACTCAATATTTCGAATTAAAAAATAAAAATAATTACTAATGTAATTAAATATATGACTTTTAGAGAGTATGCCTAATCATTTTTTACCACATTTTCCTACAAAAAGTTTTTATCAAATTCTTGGTATAAAGTGACCAATTATTGACAAAATCTTAACAATATGTGTGATATACATACATAGCTTTAAACAAACATTAATTTTCACAACCAAGTCTTTATGATAGACATGGATAAGTATAAAGTGTTTATAATATATAAATTAAATCATATATGTTTGCTTATTAGTTGGATGAAACATATTGATTCAACGTATATCAACTGTTAATTATATCGTAATACAATTTTTTAATTTGCATTAAAATGTTTTCATTTAGACTATTCATTTAAAAAAGTTTAAAATACTTAGAAGACCAGGAAAAATATATAATGTCAACAACAATTTCAAAACATCAGTTGTAACTACAGATAAAAATAATAAAACAGATCAACTCAAAAAAACTTTTGAAAGAAAAATAATATCAAGAAACTATAATGACTTAACTAGCTGACTGACAAAATAAATGTAGAAGTACATATATTGGAGGCTAAATTAAGAAAAACCTATGGTATTAGTGTCTATAAAGATTTCTCGTTTTTCGGAATTTGATTTTGATGATCCTACAATAGATACACAACGAGAATTGGATGAACAAGCGGATTACTAAATAGAACTTCAAATAATTATTAACAATATAATATTATAATCAAATATACATAAAATAAACTATTATTTCCTGCATTGAGTAGTTTTTTCTTTTCTTTTTTTCACATGCTTTTTCACTTTGACTTTTCTTTTTTCAGCCTTTTCTTCCTTAACTTGTTTTTTTCGTAGCTAAAATATAAAAATTAGTTAGCACATTTTTTTTATAGAATATTATATGGCAGAATTGAATAAATTATTACTCTTTTGCTTTCTACATCTTCATTTTTAGGTCTTGAAGAATTAATAAATTTACTTTCTTCTTCGGAATAATCACTTTCTGTTTCTGATGCACTAGAAGAAACATTTGAATCGTTTTCTAGTATAGTTGGGATATTTTGAGGTCCCGATAAGTCTTCTTTTAGTCCAACAATTTTTTGATAGATTAAATCTTCACCGGTTTGTCCAGATTTAACCAAACTAATATCTCTTTCGAAATCAACAACCTGTTTTAGTAATTATACTTAATGTTGTAAAATTTATAACTATACTAGTAAATTATAATACTATTATAAAAATGTACAAATTACATGTGCGTATTAATCATTACCTCATTGAGATTTTTTGGTATATACGCATTTTTAAATACTTCTTGTTCAACTATTTCTTCATTAGTTAAAACATCAGAGTTTGTCATTTGTGTTTGAATTTTGTCAAGACATATCTCCATATTGTCCAATGTAATTGTTGGATCGGTAAGAAAATCAAAGAGTGATTTAATTGTTAGCGTAGCTACATCGTAATGGCGGAAAAATTCTGAAGACAATAAACCATAAAATGATAGTTTAACAAAATAAATATAACTGTCAGGTATTGTATAAAAGTAAGTATCATTATTGCTACCTGTTATGTTAGTGCAATCTTTTCGTAAAAATTCCAAAGCATATGGATGCTCATGTTCGACAGCCTGGGATACATCTATCATTACAATTTCTCCGTTATCATATCTAAACAATTCATGATATTTTATTAATGTAATTTTAACACTATATAATACATTAAGTTGAACATTTTTTTTTTTATAAACAACAAAATATATTTAGGTATACTCACAATAAATTAAATTCACTAAGATCAGCGTGGACCAGTTTACAAATATTATATAGTTTCCACATTATTATAAGACAATCTCTATAGAGTTGGCATGCTTTAGATGTTGATAGTCGAGCATCCTAAAGTGAAAAAAACATTTAAAAAATAATAATGAATCACAATTTTTTTGACAATTCATTTTTACATTATACTCGTACATTGCAAAAAAACTGACTTTTATAATGAAATCGCAGGATTAATGTTTGGGTGCAGCTTTACTAACTAGGTAACTATCGATTGCATTGTATTTTAAATTACTCCACACAATAGTTTTAAAGAATTTATTTCATTTTGTGGGCAGTGTGATTTCATAAATAATTGGACAGAGTGGGCAATTTTGAAATTATTCAATTGAAAATTTAAGCAAATTTCATTATAATATCGACATATGGAAAAGCTACATAACAACTTTAGAGGAATCATTTATGTTTGGAAAGAGGATCTTGACAGCAATTTAATGTGATGCCCCTCAAACAACTTAATATCTATTATTTTTGTTCCATTTTGCGCGTCAAATTCTTTTATTGTGAAACTTGAGGTTATGCTACTCATGTCCACATAAATGTGTAGTTTTGTAAATTTACCTTTAATTTTGGTGCAGGCCAACCATCTTTACCAATGAATGACATCATTAAAACATGGGATCTCAATAGTATTGGTTCAGGTACTGGAAGGCCAGCCGAATGCATTCTTACTAAGTTCCGCATTTCTTTTTCAGCCCAAAGCCGAACCATTTTTCTTGGATTATGTCTACAGTAACCATGACGAAATCTAATAACAAAAATAATAATATATCAATAAAAGTAAATAACACAAACAAAATTGTTATGACTTATAGTATTAAGTCCTTTTCAAGAAAACTCTTGAATACAAATCTGTTAAGTTAGGTAACACAACTTAGCAGCTACATAAAGATAAATGTATTGCAAAATGAATAAGGTGGTAACACAACTTTTTTATACAAATAAAAACTTTAAAAATGCAGAACTTGGCTAAAACTAGTAATTTGTAACCAGGTTTGCACACAATTTGTTTTACTTAACACTGTAGTAATGATAAGAAATATATATTATATAATTTTATGAAACTTCCTTATTTTGTGATTAGATTGAAAAAAAGCACTTTTGAAATCAATTTGCATCATATTTTACAAAAGTTAACATATTTTTTTCATTTTAGAAAACTACTAATTGACTTTTGAAATTATAGAAAATAGCACAATTTTAGTTACCTCTGTGTAAATTAACTCTAGTTTTGTAATAACACTGTGAGAATTTCTAATCCAAGTACATAATTATAATTTTTTCTAGTAAGGATTATGCAAGCACCTGAATTCACCAGTAACATAACGATCACGATCCTTGAACACCAATATTGATGTTTTAAAAACTTTAATAGCATAATGCTTTTCACCATCGGTGGACGTTGCGTGATATACATTGGCTTCTTTACCAGTTGATATGCAACCATCAATTTGACCAATCATACTTCTGTTGAGTAGTTTAAACAGAATCATTCGTGTTCTCGGGTCCATCACTTGTTCTGCTGTAGCTCGGTCACATTTATCTTTATTTCTGAATCTAAAATATAATGTTACAGTATTAGACAAAATAAATTTATATGTTATTATGTAATACTTGCCTACTAGCGTCTGATTTCTTGAAGCTCTCCATCATTTTATTAGAAGCTTCTTGCGTAAGTGTTGGTCCTTCATAAGGATCCGTGTTTACTTTATCCAAATATTTTTTGAATAAATTCTCTGAAGGTTGGTAATCACTGACTTTTGGATTTTTATTTTGTTGGTTAGGTGTAGCAGAATGGATCTGAGCTTTAATTTCATTTGTTGCTTTTCTACTATAACATCCTGATTAAAATTAAAAAATTAAGTTTAAAATAACAACATATAATAATAATCATATAATATTACCATCATCAAATCGTGTATCTTCTGAACTACTCTCATTGTCCGAATAGTCACTGTCATATATACTTTGGTCACTTATTAATTTACGACCATAATTTTTAAAACTTATTTCACCAAATAGTTTGGAAATATCCTCATCTTTTTTTTTTACCGGCAATCTTAAATTATTAAAAAGTAAAAATTTATCGTAATAGGTATATTTAATTTCATTTTAAAATAAACTTACATAACATTATCGTTTTCTGCATCGCTAAATTGATGCATTTTGCTTGTTTAATTAACCACTATTCTAATAAGAAAATTTAGGTGTTTATAAATTATATTATGAAATAACAAAAACAATATTTTTTTAATGGCCTAAATTCGAAAAAAGACAATCCAACACCATTAATAAATCGGCTATAGCTTATCTAGATATATATTTTAGGTACGATTTTCTACAAAGTACAAGTTATAAAATACGATTCAAAACACGTGTGGAAAGAAGAAAAATACCCATGTATACAAAATAGGTATATCAGTTACTTGGGTTATCAATTTTCACAACATGGCTTCTCAAGTTCTCCCGTAAAAAATACACTACCACCTAAGAACATGATAATTATATTGAGGTTATCCTAAGTAGCTGACATACCTATAACCATGTTACCATGTATTGTTACTTATGAATATCATAATGTCAATATGCATATTTCTTATAAGTTTAATAAACATTAAACACATATTCTGTGACACAATTATTACTTGAAACGACTGGCCAATTATTTTCGAGATTAAAAATTCATAACATTATTCTGTAGCATCAATGATTTAATTGAAATCAATTGATTTGAATAGTTGCGAGCATTGAAATTTGAAACTGCAAATAACTAATAAGTGGCGCGGTGTACAGAAACTGAGCTGTGAATATTTAATAAATATTATCTTTATAACCAAATGCCTAATATAATATATTAAGTATATAGTTATACTTATAACAAATCGACGACAGTAGATATTTTTAAAAAACTCAGCTATGTATGACAGATAAAGACATTTTCAAAAATATTACAAAAGTGCACTCAGCACTATGATATCGTAATACAATGTATTATAAACAAATTAAGAATATCGAATGGCAGCTTATTGCTTCATTATTGATTATCAATTATTATATTCCACTTGTGAACAAAATAGAAAACTCGTAATTATTTAAGAATAATAAGCCTTTTATATTCACTTTATTTACTTGAATATTTGTATTTTACAAATAGATTTTTTATAATATAATAGGCATTTAAATTTAAAATGTTAAAAAATAATAGTTATATTATTCAGTATCACAATCCACCTTGGCGCTTTTCTAATAAGAAGAAAAATAAAATTATACATATTAATACATTCATTCGTTCTACTGCTCAATTTTGTAGCACAAATAATTTTATATATTAAGTAACAACATATGAACTTGTAAGTTAAAATAAAAATTATATAATTTTTATTAACAAATATTATTTTACAAGCACAAAATTTGACAAAAAAAAATCTGTGACAGTAATTATGTATTTGTTAAACATTACACAGTTAAATTGGTTGTTTTACACCTATTTTTTATATATATATATATATATATATGTATGTATATACTTTTTTTATATATATCACAGCATTAAATCGGAAACAAAACAAACTAATAAAATAATAAACTAAATAATGAAAATAAATATTACATAAAGATTATTGTATTCATTACATTTATATATAATAATAATATCAACCTAATTATAACTATCCAGGTCCATTTCTAAACAGATATTTTGTAAGTATAATAATTATAATCATTGCAAATTTTAAAATATTAGTTTAGAGATCAAAATACAATAAAAATTTGTTGAACTCAAAGGTTTAAAAGAATACCAGAGAATAGATCATAGTGTTATTAATAAATAGGGCATACAAATTCAATCCCCCAATAATTTAGATATTCACTGGTATCAATTGGAATGAATTAGAAGTTTTCAATTATATATATATATATATATATTTAAGTATTTTAATTAAAAATTGTATTGGTTATTTGTAAGTACAAAAAATTAACTTAATTATTTTGCTTTTAAATAAAGAAATATACACAGGGTAGAATAAATAACAGTGAGGTTAGGTAACAAAGTCATACTTAATAAATAACATTTTTTTTATGTGCCTAATTTAAGGGAATTAAAATAACTTTTTTTTTTACAATACCATATATCATATCATTAATTTTTTCTATGTAAACTAGTAACTTAAAAATTGAATCAAATTTAATAAATAACTTCTAACATATTATAATATTTTTTTTTATTTATTACATTATAACCTAATTTAGAAAGATTATTTTTATATTCACATGGAACAAGAAAAGTATATTTGGAATTAAGCGATAATCCTACAGTCATCTTAGATTTTTTCAAGAAATATAGTGTTTCTTTAAATGTTTCCAAATTTACATAAATGTAATTTTTACTAAACCATTAAATAACTATAATTGAGTAAATAATTTTGGGAAAAACATTATATTATATTTTTAATTTTCATTGATTATTAAATATCATTTAATTTTATGTAATTTTAAAGATAATAATAATTTTGAATATTAATACCATTAGTGTCAAATAGAAGAAGTGTGTCTGCTATGAACTAAAAAAAAACCTATTTTATATTATGTGACAACACAATTTATAAGTAAGTTAACTTGTATACAAGTAATTGTTAATACCATTATATTAAAATGTGTATTTTCATTAGTGAAAACTACTAATTAATAACAAAGTAATAACCATACATTTTTTTCCTATAAATTTTGAAAAAAAATATATAATAATACATACTTTAGAACAACAATTGGATAAATTATTTTGATTAAATTAAGATGTTAATTATAATAAAAATGTATATTCCTAGAAACTGGATAATATGAAAGTTTAAGTATCTTAATTAAACGCAATATGTTCATAATTGTTAGATTAAATATAAAAATTTGTTCCAAAAAAAAAAAAATAATAATAAAAACAAAAAAGGTAAAATGTTTTTTAAAATGAACTGGATGACTAGGTAGCATATTGTTCATAAATAACTCTCACCTCATATATTTAAAAGTTACTTGTTATTATTTTAATTAAAAAAAGGAATTTTATAATTATGTTGGAGTATTACTGAGTCAATTAGGTTCATCTAGAATATCGTCCTCTGGATCATCTAGCTTGGACCCACTGGTGCACACACGACATTTACAACACACTATACATGGTGCAGCCAGCAATAGTAATGGACTAGCGACTAAAAGCAGTATGCCGAATCCAGCGAATATGCCAATAACTTGAGTTCGATGCCATATTACAGAAGCTCTTGAATGACCTAGTTTGTTTTTACACGGACCTTTATCATAATGTCTTAGTAAAAAGTCGTCCTGTAAAATACAATTTTAAAATTAATTTCTCATTTAATTTTGGTTTTTTTTTCTCAACCTACATCTAAAGATGCTAAACAATACCAGCAAAAAACATGCTTGCAACGTTTACACAACATTTGAGCACAACCTTCATCTTTTTCAATAGGTACGCTGCACATTGGACAACATTTGATCAAATCTGAGTCAAATGTCGGCACATCATGTGTAGCTGGTGGAGGACAAGGTTTTCCGGGATGCCATGTTGCTCGACAGCCTGAACAAAATTCAGTCTGACAGGTAGGACAAGTAACACTGTGTGGCCGAGAACGATCTCCGACATGACACACCGTCTCGCATCCAGGTTTTGGACACCACATCCGACTTTTGTCCAGTTCAACTTCTGCAGACAAAATAAAACCAATTAATAATACAGTTATAAATAATAATAGTAAACATAAATTTGATCAATAAAAATCACAATCTACTGGCATTTCAATGCATTATAGTTCATTAAAACATTATTTTTAGTATCACAGAGCAAGCGATTTTAAGTCAACTTCAGATGCCCTAAAATAATTTTGCTACACATACAGATAAATATCTCCAGAAACATAACTTTGTCCCTTCAAGTTAAACAATACTGTTCAAGTACACATTTAAACAATAACATGATTGGTAATTATTCACTGCCCTCACAAATATAACAGATTTTTACAAAATAGTTCAAACCTCGAACCATAAGGAATAAACAAAGAATTTTATGTTACACCTGATGATGTACTAAAATGTTTAAAAAATAATCAACTGTAAAATATTTTTTATTTTTATCAATTAATTGAAAATTTAAAGTTTTTTTCCAGATGCCAGAATTAGAAAGACGATCTTCCAACATTTTAATGGTAACTTATACATTTAAATAGTTTTTTTTTTCACAAACTTAAATTTATTTATTGCACATAGTAAAATAGTTTAATTAAAATTATCACATGGATGGTAGAATTACGTAGTGATAATACATTAAGGACAGGTGAACAATTTTCTTTTAATAATTTGATTTTTTAAAAGTTGTATAAAGTACACCTTCTACATATGAACTGAAAATAGGTGATCGGTCCAACCTTATGGACCTAACGTGAAAGCAATATCCGATATTGATGGCAAACGTCGCTGATAATACCCCAACCATACTATCGTCCTGTGTGAAAACTAACTCCCTAATGGTCCAGAAGGGTAAAGTTTATAATCACAAAAAAGCTCAATTTTTGCGTAAATATCAAACATTTTATGCACTTAAACAAAAAAAAAACCTATTGGTCCTTCCACTCTGCTTAAAAGAGATACAATACTATTAAAACAATTTTTGGTCTTTATTAATTCTCTTTGGGGCTACATTAGCCCCAAATTCAATTCTGTGGTGTTCGGGCAAAGGGGATAAGTGTAAAATCGCAACTTTTGGAATCACTGAAACTAAAGTGATTTAGTTTCAGTGATTCCAAAAGTTGCGATTTTACACTTATCCCCTTTTGCCCGAACACCACAGAATTAGTTAGTCTGTACTTTTAAGTATTACGTTAATTAAATCTACAAGTACAACTATGTCATCTGCATACACAATAATTGTAATTTATCAGCACACCATCATTTGTGAAGTTCTGACGATCATCTGATTAAAATATCTCTAATTATAGTTGAATTTCAACTAATTTATTTTTAAAGTAATCAAATAAAGATTGAAGGTCACTTCAAAAAAATAATGACAGTTTTAATAATTATTTTTTTTTTCACATTAAGTGTTGTTAAGAAGGGAACATTGTGTTATGACTGAATAATATGTGGAGATAAAAGTATCTAAACTATTATACTAACACTTCGCTAGTTCGTTATCTAAATCTAGAACTCGTATATCTCTCTTTTGAAATCAGAAATAAAATAAGTAGATTGTCATATCATAATTAATAATTGAACTCGAGAGTATTAACTAATGTCTCACTCTGTTCTTAAGGCATAACACTTTTATTATTTAATATTTCACATTTTAACAATAAGTATAGTTTCCATACATTTCTTTTAAATACATCCATAAATATAAGACATAGCTAAAACGCGAATCCGTAGCTTCCGATGTGGAACCGAGCAGATAGGCAAACATTATAGTATTATAGTATTTAGCAGTTTAATGGTGGCCGAAGGCCAAAGATTAGTGGAATAGAGTCCGCTCTTATTTGTATTTAAATTGTATAATATTGTTTTCTAGTCTTGTCATAAATAAACGGTGCCGGGAACACAGGGGAAATAATACTGTAAGGTGACCCCTTGTGTTCTTATGGACTTGTAATTTAAAAAAAAAAAAAAAAAGGCTATGCTTAGCACTTCTAGTCAGGGGCGTATTTGGATATTTTTATTTTTTGGAGTGACTGAGGCTCTGAGTAAATGAGTCGTTATTTCTGAATAATGATCCAAATCTAAACCTTAAAATTTGGTGAAACTTCCGTAATAAAATTGTATGTATTATACATGTACATTTATCGAAACAAATGTATACAGTGTTATTTTTGTAAACGATAAAAACGGATCACTGTCGTTGCCGTCACGACTTTTCGGTAATAATATTGATTTCAGAATAGACTTGGCAGAATATTTCATAGCTTATGGACAGGCGGTTGGTAAACTATGACGAGAGTACCTCTGTTGCCAGCGGGAATCCTACGAAAAATTAAAAATCGGTTGCTGATTTGTGTACAGCTTATCTGTATCTAAGCAGACTTTAATCAACGGTAATAATAATATTAGGTAGTAATAACTACCGATAACATTCAAGATAGGGGTATGGAAGTACGACCATTTTAGTCGGACAAAAAGACGCAATTACCATATTATTTCAGTCACTTCAAAAACACTTAATATGAAAAACTAAAAAATTTTAAAACAACAATATAGTCTATAGGTAGACTAAAAAAGTTTCGTGAAATTTCTAGTGGGGGGCCCTCAGTCCCTCCCATAAATACACCCCTGCTTCGAGTTTTTAAATTAGCAACCACAACAATCAACATTGTTAGTATTTATTTTCATTATGAGAGAGGGGCTTTATAATATTGTTGGTGTTTGAACCCCCTTTGTTTTTATATTAGCAAAATTGTACATATACGGCGCGCGTTATAATTTAGAAAATCGTGTTCTAACTATACAACTGCCTGTAGCGTATGATTGAGGAGGCGCTTGTACATATTCAAGCAAGCAATTACGATTTCCACGTACTAATTATACATAATTTAAGAAAAAAAATAGTTAGGAGTGGCAAACCGAACAAAAAACTATGTTACTAATTAAATACTTACCTTTATTTAATCTGTATCGGTGATGTTTTTCAATCTCGTCAATGCCGACCAAAGCTTCAATTTCAACCAATTGTATTATTCCTTGTTTTGGACATTGAGCATCTGGACACGATATGTTGTATGCGCCTTGGTTTATTTCGAACTCTACGTACGCTTTTGCACACTAAAGTACATAAAACAAAAATTTATGAAATGTTTAACAATGACAGAAATCATATTTTAAGTGTTAAAAATGAATACACGTCCTACAAAATACTATACTGAACAAATTATAACGACTTATCGTTTTTAAAAACTGAATCACAATGTAATTACTAAATACGAACACAAGTGTAGCAAAATTCACGTAAATAAAACTAGTTTATCATATCGTTATATTAATAATTGTTCCAATAATCGCGAAGGTTAAAATAAAACTAGTTTTCTAACGAACAGTTAAAACAAAAAAAAATACTAAAAAGTTTTAAATCGTAAAATAGATATTTTTCATTTCAATATTCATTATTCGAGTTGACTTAAATAACCAACTAAAAACTGAAACGAGTTGATCAAGACTTTTCTATATAATATGTGAATATTTATCTATACGATTTTTATTATATAGATTTCAAACACGGTAAATTTATATGATTTGTATCTTAATTAAAAACTGAAATAATCCAAACTCAAATAAAATACGTATAAATTATCGTGCACAAGTGACTTGCTTCAAGCATTTTTCCTGATACATTTTCCCTAAGGTCCAATTTTATGATGTAATGACTAATTATTTTATAAACAACATTTGAACCAAATATATTATTATAACATGTGTATAAATTGTAAATATACAAAACACAAACATACGCAATAACATATTATACAGGTTGTCTTATAATAGCAAAGTCAATATAAATTATTTTACATAAATTAAATAGATTGTTATTTTTATGTGCAATATTTATGCTAATAAACTTCGGCCATTCCTATCCTATAATAAAAAAAATAATTATTTTTAGAATAAAAATAATTGGTATAGACACAAGATGCTTTCAATTGTGATCGGAACAAGGTAGGTATTCTGTTCTACTTAAAATAAGTTTTTTTGCGCCACATATCTCACATTTAAATAATTGTTGATTCCGAACTTGATAACTATTTGTAAAAAACTGGTTATCCATCAGTCATTACAGCGTCGTTCTTGCCCAAATTACTAGTTTAGTTTACAAAAAGAAAAACAACTATTGTTTTTTTAATCTAACCGCAAGTATACTGTATTGAAATGTAAATGTTTCTGAAATGCCAGTAAAAAATAACGTAAAACACAGTAAATAAATTTCGAATCATTTTTGGCAATATTCTATTCAATAATAAGCAATATAACAATATTTTACCCTTATTATTTTCTGCAGTTCTGTAGTTTTCAGTAGTTTATTTATGTTGTAAACATTTTCTCGTTATTGCAAGAAGTAAATTTAAAAAATAAGAACTATATCACGTGATGGATCTCGACTTTTAGTGTAATTGATAGGTTACATTTTTTTTGTCAGTAGTGGACTGCTATCTTAATTTAGGGCCATCTAAATGTTTACAAAATTCAACCTCAATACCTAAGTTTTGTACAAAGGACAAGTATGATTTACCTTACAGTAAAAATTCTGGAGTTATGTGGTGCTATATTTTTTTATACAATATCCTCTAAGTCTCAGTTTTTGACGAGTCTGGTTATACAAAATAACTTTGTCAATATTATTTTGTTTAGAAGCAAGTAAGAGATTTTCGAGATTATAAGTGACGTGATGTATCTATTTTTAGTGATTATTTTCCAACGAGTTATTACGAGAATGTAAGTATTTTTTATTTTGATTAACAATTATAACAAGAAAACCTAACATTAATATCCCTGACAAAATAAGATTATGTGAATAAGTGTCGTCAGTAGCGTATTTACAATTTTCTTCTGGGGGGAGGGGGGTATACAACAAAACAATTCCCCCTTGCCTTTATGGCCGGACTAAAATAGGTGAACCATGATTTTTTTTAAGGGGATAAAAGCATTAAGCTTTTGGACGTTTTAGACCTGATGGTCGGATTTTATTCTTAAAAAATATAGTTTATTGTCCTCTTTTCTAGGCTATTGTGGGAATCTATTTTTTATGCTAAAATTATGTCGAAGTCCAAATTTAATTTCTCAAATTTGTAGTACCTACTTCATTGTCTTTTTTAAGTATGAAACAGTTATTGAAAAATCTACTTCCACAATAATCTAGAGAAAAGGCCGATGAGCTCAATTATTTTTACAGAATTAAAATCCAATTATTTTAAGTAGGCGTAATTTTGTCAGGCTTTAAGGTCTAAATTGGTTTCTTGAACCACCAAAATGACTTTAATTGAAAGAAAACATTGTACATCTTAAAACTAATACGCTGAAGCTTATAAAAATTAACCTGAAAATAAATTGATATAATCGAAATTTACTAAAACAACTTTTCCCTAAATATGGCCTATATAAACTACCCGTTGTCAATCCCCTTAAGTGTATAATTTAATTAACTGGTAACAGTTTTTTTGTTCAAAATTCAATGATTTGATAAAATGTATTATGTATTAATTTATAAAAGTTTGATTATCAAGAAAATAAAGTTTTTGTTAAATGAAAAAAATAATTATTAAAATGTACATTATACGTTATAATATACTTTTATTATTAAAATATAATACTTAAAATAATCTTATAACCCGTTCAGTTCATCTGAAAACTCCATGATGTCATTTGTCTGAACAAATCACGGGTACTGTAACGGTCGCCAGGTGTCTAGATGAACTGGACGGGTTATATAATGAAATGTTTTTTTTTGGGGACACTACGTCTAAAACTTCTACCTTAACAAGAAGAGTTTTCCAATTAACAAATAGATTATTAATAATACATTTATACAAATTAAGGATCAGCGGGATAATGTCATGTTGTATTTAGGGGGGCTAAGCAAGTCATTGCTCAAAACTTTTTTAAACTGATGTTAATCCACAATATTATGATAAGTATAAATAATACATGTATGAATATCATAAGAGGCATAAAATCATAATAAAGATATTAAATTTATCATAAAATAATTGAAATTTTGTAGTTTTACTTTTTGTAAACATTTTTATTTATACTTTTTTTTCAATGGTATGAAATTTACAAATACAGATTATTCTTTTGGTAAATTCTATAACTCTACGACTTTTATAACTTAAATGGTAACATACATCAATTAACTTTTAAAATTTTAAGTTTTTCAGACTTTTTGATGGCCTGCTTGCTGCTTTGATATTTCCTGAAGACAGAATTGTGCTTTGTTACAATTCTTTATATTTTATCAGTAGTATTTATTTTATTAATAAAAAATACACAGAAAATTTCATACCACAATGTGTTTAGAAAAAAAATTGTATCAGGGCAGAGTTTCAAGTTTTTTTACGTCAATATCATGTGTCACCTCGAAATCTAGAGAATTATAATAATCAAATAGTCTATTTCTGTACTTCAACTTGGCTTTTGGCAAGATGACATTGGTTTTATTCATTTATTTGTATTTTCAATGGATTAATTAAAATTTGTTTATTAAAAAAATCAAGCCAATACAATGTACTAACGACAACAGCTAATGTTTTATATTCAAAATCAAACAAAATACAAAACTATAACATCACAAATTTGAGTCGTGTCTAAACTAAGCCGTCATCTTGTGATATCACAATCCCAATAAGTGAAATAAATTCTTTGAACCTTTAATTACCTTGTGGTATAATTTGATTCACGCTGTCATCATTAGTTTTTTAGTTGCATGGTGAAAATACAATATTGTACCCAATATTTCATTATCATAATTTATTTGTATTACATACCATTTTTCTTGACTTATTGACATCAAAAGTTTTTAATACTGAAGTTTTCAGATTTAAGTTTAATAAATGCATTTGTCTCAAAAAATTTAATTTGATTAATAAGTAATAACTGAACATTAACATACAGATAACTAAGTAATAACTAAGACATATATTATCAGCAACCTACAAATGGTGTAAGGAATGTTGAAGTCGGCCCACTGTAAACCTTAACAGAAATTTGTACTTGTATTCACTATTATTTATAATTATACGACTTGACATAATTCTTCATAAATAATAAATACTGTTTATTTTTTTGGTAAACATTTCCATTAGAACATATGGTGACCGCTATTTTAATTATAACTACTATTATACTTAAAATGGCTGTTCATTATATTATTTCAAATTAGAGTAGGTATTCCGTAATAACAATCGTAATAATTTTCAAATAAAATAATTTATTAAAAGTTACAAGGTTATAATGTTGTTTATGAAATCAGTTACAATCAGTATCAGGGGCGGTTCAAGGACACAAATTTGGTACAGCATTAATATATTTCTAAGTAAGCTATAAACGCAACAAAAATCCTAAATCCCTAATTTTTTGCCTTAACAATATAAATATTAATACTATGTATCAAAACAACAGGACATTGGATTGTTTAACAAGGGAACAATTTGGTACAGGCATCAACCCACCTTGCCCATATATAAAAACCGCCACTGATCAGATAGATATTTAACTGTTCAAAATAATTATGCAAGGTAAATGTTCAAAACAAAAATTCTTTGCTTATTAATTTTATATAATTCACCAAAAGTCTCTACTACATGTCACTAAATATGTATTAATGTCAAATCAATTTTTAAAAACAGTTAGTAAATGGTTTTTTATCAATAAAAATGATAAATAATTTTAAGACTAACAAAATGCATAATAATATATATATATATAAGTATATTACATAGTACAAAATAATAATTTGCAATCTTGGCTTTGAGTTTAACAAAAAATGTATATAAATTTATTTTTATTTTAAACGTCCCCCCAAATAAGCCAATTTTGTGAGATTAAGGGGCGAACAATTTATATTTTTCAGTATTAGAAGAATTAAGCCTGATACTTCCAGTACCAAGTTTGACGTTTTATACTACTGGGCCACTTTATTGTACTTGAACTGTGTTATATACTATACCTATTTAAACTAATAATGACTAATTGATTCCCAAGTATTAGTTTTCAAACAGAAATTTAAATAGTCCATAAAAGCAACAATAAACTTAAGAGTAATTGATAATAACTGTCTTTTTAAATTAGAATTAGAATTACTTATATGTACTTACGTCTATACAGTAGGAGCATCCACATTGTTGAAGTGTCCAAGAATTGCTTACAGGAACTTCATTTAAACACACTTTACATAATACACTAGGTTGATCTCTGTGTGTAACAAAACTTGATGTTGAACCTAATGAATATCTAGATGAAGAAGCTGCCAATGATAAGACACTGCTACATCGAGAACAAACACCAGTATCTCGTAATCGATTGACAGGTTTTATTCCCATAGGATGATTGAGAACTACATTTGATAATGTAACCATAGTGTTGTATTTTCTAATAGGTTCATCACCGCGCATACATTCTATATGTGACCAACTTTCTGCTGAACCAGGTTGGTTCAACGATGTAGCTGATGATGACTTTCCACGAGCTAATGTCACTAAAGACCGTAAGCTGGGCATTAATAAGTCTATTTTGCTTTTGCTCCATTTTCTAAGTTTTCTTGCATTATCTTCATCGTCTAAAGCCGATCCGTTATTGAGAAGTTCTTCTTCTTCACCCTCCCAGCTACGCCTACTTCTTTTAGGCAAGTCAACTTCACTTTTCGATGGCTTCTTTTCCAATCCATTTTGGCCTGAAAGCACAGCAATACGATGGGATTTTGGCCGCCGAAACGGATCGCGTTCTAATATAATTTCGCGACTATCATCTTCGTCATCCCGTAACGAATGCGTTCGTTCATAATTAACAGCAGTCTTCTTCATATCGCCGGTCGACGTGACCGCCAATCCGTCGACCGATCAGTTAGAGCTAATGGATGATTTTTTGACATTGTATAACAGTAAATAGTTAACTACATTTTTACAACACTATCGTTATCAATATAGCTTCAAAAATTCTTCGATTTCAATTTTCATCTAAAAAAAACGTAAAAAATTTAAACTAATAAAATATCACAACTGAAAACAAATATCATATTATGTATATAAATATATTTTGTAAATATACGAAGTTACACTAATAGAAATTATAATTTGATTTATAGTACCTGATAAAATATGCTAAAATCTTGACCTCTTTACGTTTTACAAGATGTTAACTTTTTATTAAAATAATTATATTTGGGTTATTGCTCAGAGTAGGTCATTTGTTTCACGTAGCTACGAACGACAATCGTTAACGTGATATTGAACATTTTTATACGTAAAATACACAAGAGCACTGTTGATGATAAATTTTTAACAAAACGAGAACATTTTATTGTTTTTATCAGAAAACTATGGCCAATCAGCCGATTTGACAAATGGCTATAGTCATGCGCGCCAATATGCCAGAAAAAACCGGTGACAGGTTGACAAACTAAATTGTGAATACTTTTCAGTTTTCGAAATTAGAACTAACCATTACTTTAATTCAAAATAATGAGGACGGATTAAAGAAGCGAACGTATTATGTATATTGTCACTAGTCCTGCTATGAGCGGTCATGTAAAAAATTAATTTATTGCTCTTTGCTATTGGTTCTAGGTAACTATTACTGAAATAATACGTGATTAGAGAACTAAAAATCGTTAATTAATAATAACGACACTATAGTCACTAGTATATGCGATGCGATAGTCTATGCGATGACATTTATTATGAGTTGTCACTTGATTGACTTACGTCAAAAGATATACACTTTCTTAAGCTGATCTAAATTTAAATTTAGGTTTTTACTTTTTAATAATGCCTCCATGTACTACATCCAACACACTCATGAGTAATTTTTAAATAAAACAATGTATCTATATCTTAAATTAATTATATGAATAACAGCCCACCTCCAAATATGTAAAACTTGTGCAAGATAGTGGTGGACAAGCGCATTTACAATAAATGAGTACATATATTATTGAGAATATGTTCATGACGTGAACAAATTTAGTTTTGACGCGGAGTTGAGAGGTACTGTTTTTGTAATAATGTGTTTTTATTTTTGTGCCGGACCCACAATATCTTTTCAATCGTATTCAATTTACAGGTTGCTATGTATAAATGAATGAATGAACAGATATTAGGCAAATATTTTCATTATAATATGAATAATATATTTTTGGTAACAGTGACAACAAATTATTATGTACAGACGATCAAACCTAATACTAAAAATATAATTTTAAACGCATCATTCCTTCACCTCACAGTACTGGCTTATTTTAATAATGTTAAGCTATTTCTTTATCAAGTACAGGTTTTAATTATTTTTTAATGCCATCATAAATTTTATTAAGTAGGTTTCTTTTAAATATTTTTGTATTACTATCTCCAGTCTCCCTTCTAATTATGTATCTAAATTCTAATTAAAGTAATAACAATAGTAATAATAAACCATGACAAATAATAATTATTAACATCATATTAAGATTATGTATCGCCACCCCGGTAGAACAATGACACAACTGCAAAATTTGGTAAAATGGACTAAATGCTTCATTGTGTTTAGATGTAGCGCACGCATAAGGTAGAAAAACGACGGAACTGTAGTTGAAATAATTTAGTTGTAATAATTAATTATGCATTCATGAATTATTAACATTTTAGTGAAAAAAAAATTGGACTTTTGGTTCTCCTGTAAATTTCAATTATTGCAGTTGTGTCATTGTTCTACCGGGGCGGCGATATAATTACTCATATTATGACTCATTTACGAATTGTAATATTCTAAATAATGGCCTGCAACATCAATGTTTGAAACATAACGAAATTGTATTTTCATTTGGCTAGACAAGATAAATAAATAGCAAGGAAAAGGATATCCAGTCGTATATTATTATTTAATAGAATTATACATTTTTAAATTGAGTGCTTATATGAGTATATCGTTAGTTTATTATTTAAAACTTATGACGTTAAATTTCAATAAGTTAATTTAAATACCAATTACGTATTATTAAAAATTTACAATAAACAATTTTTTTTTATATTCAATATAATAAAATATACCACTGTCATTAGGAGTGTCATTGATAAATCACGATGAGTTCAAGGTATTTTTTGGAATTTAAGCAGCTACGAGTATATTTTGTTGTAGGTGTCATACTCATACAGTGCCATTCGATATTGCAATTTGGGTTCTTCATAAAAAAACAAACCGTACCACAATACCTGCTTCCTACAAAATCCTCTAAAAATTGAAATGTTGGACAGCGCAAACTTTTTTGTGTAGTTTGTTTTCGACATTTTTTCAAGCGTTTCTTAAACGAAAATGTTTGAGCTGCGTTCTCTTGATTTCTATTTACACGACCACTAAGTTTACGCAAAACATGTTTTGTATAGTTAAACTGATCATGTAAATCAAACTTAATAAGTAGGTATACATAAGCAGGGGCGTATTTGGAATTTTTTTTGCGGGGGGAGGGCTGAGGTACTAAGTATGTGAGCAGTTAAGACGACGCTGCCCAAGCCATTTCTAAGGAGTAAAGTATAGGCAATTTTCGAAAAATCTTAATTTAGAATATAAACTATAATTTATACTCATTAATACAGTAATGAGAATACTTTATTGATTGTCATTTTTTGTTAGACTATTATAGCCATTTTTATTGGATCAAATACAATTTTTTTTCTATCAAAACTGCTTTACGCGGAAAAAGTAGCCGGTATGTGAGGCCAATATACAGCGGATTTACCAAACTTTTACAATTTCTAGAGAAAAATGTTATCTACGGGGTACCGTTTTAATTTTTTTGATATCTATACTTAAGGGACCTCTACATTAGCATTAATTAAGGCGCATTGTAAAGGCAATTTTTCTCTAAAACTTAACATTAAGCTAAACATTTCGAATATATAAATTACCATAGGAAAGAATGATCTATTTCCATATTTAATTCTTTTTTAAAAATTTTATAACGCATGTAGGATCTATTTTTGTACAAAAACATATGTTTCTACTTCAAACGTACTGTTCCTTAGAATACTTTGATTTTAGTTTTGAATTCTTCATAACATTTTCAATGTAATAAACTGCAATTTTTAACTTTTTCAAACTGAAATAAGTAATTAACAAAATTTAATTTTAAAATTATGCTACGATCTATGCCTTGAAAATGTTATAAAGAATATAACTAAAATCGGAGTATTCTTAGAAACAGTACGTTTGAAGTAGAACGAGTTTTTTTCGACCAAAAATACACAGGTGTAGAGGCTCTTTAATATTTTTTTATATACAAATGAAAAAATGAAATCTTCACGAATGAATAATTTTGATTGTGCTTATGTTATCGAAGTACTAAAAATGCTACCCGTAGGCCGTAGATAAAGTTCTTCTCTATCCATTGTAAAAATTGTATACCGTTACTGTAAATCCCGCCCTCACATTCTTGTCCCCCGCAAAACCATTCGCGAACTAACTACGGGTAGCGCCTCTTAAGTTACTTCTGATATAAGTTAAAATCCCAGACTAAACCTAAAAATCTGAACGAAATATTTAATGAGTCTTACAAAATCTTTAGCTTCTCCTGAAATAGTGATTCAGTTCCGTCAATGATTTAGATCGTTGTGATCTCTAATTTTGTATAAATCTACTTGTACGCTAAAACTGCTCAGAAACGTGTCATGGGCCTAATTTAGGGGAAGGGGCTAAGCAATGCTATGGTTAGCACTTCCAGTCAGGGGTGTGTTTGGATATATTTTTTTTTTGGGGGGTGCTGAGGCTCTGAGTAAATAAGTCGTTATTTTTTAATTCTGATCCAAATCTAAACCTTAAAATTTGGTGAAACTTCCGTAATAAAATCGTATATATTATACCTACATTTATTGGAAGAAATATACAGTGTTATTTTTGTAAAACGACTTTTCGGTAATAATAATAACTACCGATAACATTCAAGATATGTAAGTACGGGCGTGCAGTGTACGGCTTAATCGTTACGACCAAAATAATTGGACGAAAAGACGTGATTTCAATTTTGTCAATTCAAAAACACAAATAGGTATCTACATAAGATGTAAATAAATGAAACTAATAATTTCTAAAAAAACAATTTTGAACTTCTACAATAATTTATAACGTATAAGTCCATAGAGAAGTGCGTGTGAATAATAATCATGTGATTGCGCAGTTAAACAATTTTTACTGCGAGTTCAGGTACCGTCAGAAAAAAACTGTACTTAGGCAGTTTTTGAAGAGTATAAATAAAATATGTCGTGGGTTTACAATTAGAATTGAAAAAAAAACTGAACGTGTAAATTTTAGATAATCTATTCAGTTCATTTGCGCAAAGGGGGACTGTATAAAAAATACCATAAATTAGTTTGCGCAATTTATCTGTTTTCTAAAGTTAAAACTTAAGATTTTGCTAATAAAAAAAATTAAATTATAATAAAATAGAAATCTACTCAAAACTATTTTCTTTTGAGTCTAAAGAAAAATCCGGGAGTCTTGTCCAAAAAATGATTTTAAAAAAATCAGGCCGTTTAACTAATTTTGTAGTTTAGTTTGAAAATGTACGATGATCATAATTCATGGGTCATAAAAAACTTTTTTTATACTCTTTCATAGATACATTCTCCACACATTTTATATCCATATAACTGCTCCATAGGACTTACCCTAAAAACTAATTAGTATGTAATTCCACACAAAACGTCTTCTCATTAAAACTCCATTTCATTTTATGTTTCACGTCTTTCTCGAATCAACCATCTTTTGTGAGACTTACTGAAGTCTGTGAGTATTTGAACATATTAATTTCTCATGTTGTAATCATAAATGTTAAAATCTTTCCTGGGCTTATTATACAATTTTTACATATCGTATTCCAAGTACGAACATATGATCAAAATAGAAAATTAAGCATTTATTTATCGGTTTTTTTGTTATCAAGCTTTTTGAGATGAAGTAACACGAGATTTTGTAAAACTCATACTAACATCTTATCTTAAGAACTGTAACTCAGTCCCTAGTAACAAAATTGAAAATAATCTAAATGTTTTATATTCATCTCTCCATCTCTAATTTTAAAGATGTGCAAGTATGCGCTAAATCTACTCAATTTTTTAGAAATGTGCATCTCCCGTCACTTGTAATAAGGCCTGAATGCATTGTAAAAGTTGAAAATAAATAATAACTATCAATACTCATAAATCATAAAAAAGCTTTATAAGTTTTAACGAAAAATTGCTTATATTTTACTCATTAATAAATAGAAGGTGTCCTCTTAAACATGTTTTTTTCGTACAATAACACTTATACTTATTAAGTTTTTTTTAACAACGTTGACTAAATTTACTACATTTGTATAAAATTAATATGGCACTAGGTCTACCGTTTACTACAAAGTATATCTTATTATAATAATAATATCTTTATAGCATAGTACCAATTCTAAAGAAGTTAGCATCTGTGTTAATCATATTATAAATAATGAATTTATTTATTTATACAAATTGGACTTGGCAATATTAGTTATAAGTCTTACTTTTATTGATTATTACCACTAATCAATACATAATAAACAATAATGCATATTGAAATATATTTTTATAATAAGTTTATATAATATTTATCAAAATATATGTAGTCAAATAATTTTAATTACACATTTAGAAAAACAAATAATTAAGTTGAAACTTTTAACATAAAATAATACACTTAAAACATTCCATCACTTGCTCCTAGGGGTATTAACAGTAAGACAAAGCAAATTATATTACGGAACAAATCTTTATGATCTGATGGAATGGCAAAAGGTGTTAATTTGATTGTGATTTCATGTAACTGCAAATAAATATTTTAGTTAAATACATGTGGTGGCAGGTTGGAAATCATATTTACCTCGTGGCAGATACAAATAAAAATAAAAGACACGATGAGACCATTGAGAACTGGATAACCTGGTAATAATACTAACACTCCGTGGGTGTCAGCGGCTAGCCATATGTGACTCTGGCATACCATTAACTCTAATGATATTCGGCCAAACCAAGCAAACAAGCTAGAAAAACGTGTTCTCAACACGCCGGATATATTTCTAATTATAATATAACATAGTATCTGAAAAATATTAAGCACGGTTTGTTATTAGGTATTAGGTATTTATTTTAAAAAAATACATCGTTTTAAAACACAATACTTACAGGGATAATCGATGTATAGGATAATAATTCATAGCATTCAGTTTGATTTTGACACAAAATATTATAAATAGTTGAAGCAAGTAATCCAATGAGTGCTAATAACAAAGAAAATACAGACAAACGAGGCGATACTAAATTACTATGATTGCTGTCATCAATTAAATTGTACCGTTGAGCTAAGATTATGACAAAACTTATTATCATGCCATACATAACACTAAAACAAAAATAATATATTACAGTTATTTTTTATTTTAATGTATAGCCATGATTGAATTAAACAAGATTATTGCACATATACCTCTCTTCATAAAATGTTCAATGAAAAAATCAAATATGTCAGCGTAACGGCACCCAATCATAATCAAGTACATTAGTACACCGTAATATATAGTAATAGTGAAGTATATAGTAATATTGATATCCCGTTACGCTGTCATTTTATTTCTGAAGATTCGAGACGATGTGCAATAACATGTATATTTCAACCATGTGTAGTGCTAACATTTTTAAACAATTATGAATTATAACTCATGCCCTATTATGGGAACAGACTTCAAAAAAGGAGGAGTTTCTCAATTCGTCTGTATTTATATTCATTATTATGTATGTTCAGGCATAACTTTTTTTTTTATAATAAATGAATTAGATATATTATAATATTGTAATCAATAAATAAACATATAATTAATTTATTAATTGTTACCATGACTTAACCAAACACCAATATACCATTATTCAACTTAGACTAGAGTTATTAATAATTATATTTAACTAAAGTATAATAAGTATTACCTAAAGCGATTGAGCTTCCAACGAAACCACCATTCGTGTATATCATCATCGGTGGTAACAAATAGTGCTTTCCAAGGACGAGTGAGAAATATCTTATCAAAAAATACCTAAAATAACAAATTATAATTTATAATAAAATATTATAAATTACTATTACAAATTATAATAAAAAACACACAAACAAATTATAATAAGCTTAAAAAAAGCTTAATCAATTTTACATACCTCGGACATGTACAAAATGTTAATGAAAATAAGAAACACCAATATTTTAAGTATAACGTATAAATATTGAGCTGGTCTGATTTCGGATGATGCTGAGGTAACACGTGGTGGACACACGAGTAACAAATAAAGAACAGTAAACCAAAATGACACTAATGGTATGTAAAAATAAAACTGATATGGTCGATTCATACAAATGCACAGTACTACAGTCAGCATATTCAGTCGAAATAAAACCTAAAAAAAAAAAAATTTTTATAAATATTAAAAAATTTGGCTTTGTAATAACATTTATTTTTTTACATCACTAAAGAAACAAAATTTGAATTTTTAAGATAAAATTACGTTTTATTACTAATAAAAAAAAGTTTTAAATAGTCGCTAGTCTGATACAAAGGTTAACCTCTATTTTTTCTTCCCAGAGATAATATGTCCATTGTCTAATAATTAAAGGGAACGGAAAGAGCCAACTTTTACACAACTAAACACTAAAACACGAAGTCACTGTCCACAGTGGCTATTGAAGCGATTTTAAAAATTAGTTTTTCATTTTAAAGTTAGATATGTTAGACACGTTTAACGGGGGCTAAAATGTCGATTATTTTTTTTTCTAGCTGTATTATGTGTTAATGTTTTTACTTTTTTATAGTTTTTCTCGTTAGTCAACTATCTTCCTAATTGCTAAAAATATTAAAATCGGCTTTATAGCACTCATAGAAAAAATATTAAGCTTCTCATAAAAACATTAATTGCCAAAACAAAATATTGCCTATGTTTTGCCCCTTAATAAATAGCCCTTTCCTTCAAAAGATGCAATATACAGAAATACCTTAATTTGGAAAGCTTCTGGCTACTTTAAAAATGTTTTGGTTGATAAGTAAGTGGGTAAGTTCTTACGGGATTATTTTAGAACAAAACTATTTTACTTTAATGGGAAATATCTATTACGTGATGAATAATTCATTATGGCTGAAATTGTATTCGTGCAATGATGTTATAATTATACAGAGAACTCTTCTAAAATTTTTACAAATAAAAGTGACAATTGACAAATAAGGCATCAAATAAAACAACTTATAGCATTGCCTTTTGTACACCTTAATGATTTAAAGATAATATGGATCTACCGAATGACCATTTTAATGAATATGTATTGGATTTTGTCGTATAAGTAAAAGTAACATGTATAGCTGAACATATAGCAAGAAGTGAAGACAAGCAGTACCCCCAAACTTACCTCCTACGCTTTGAAATATTTAGTTATGCATATATCATTGTAATTGATTGGAGCAGCACACAAATAATGTAGTAGGTGGTTTTTATTCTCAATAACAAAGAATTGTAGTTGCACACCATGAGAATATTTAGAGGGTCGTTCGACATATCCAAGAACAGCCAAAAGGTGTATAAGGTTTTGCAATCTAAGCGCTACGAGGGCATGTCAACATCAAAAAAACTGCGAATTCAGAAATATGCAAATCAAGTAAAATTATGAACATAGCACACTAAAGTAGTAAACGATAGAACTTTTAAGATGAACTTGATATTCCTCGCTATCTGATAACGATTTTGTATAAATTAAAATTATATCATTTTCAAGGAAATATTGAAAATGATGTATAAATTTTAAATACATTTTTTTGAATAATTGATTGTACTCTGTATGCTATTGCATAAGACGTTATTTAATATATGGAAAATTTAGCATTATGATTTACAATTGTACGTTGTACGTTTATTGATTGGACATAACTAATACTGGGCAATTTTGTTAGTTGGATCTTTTTGTACATTAGAAATAACTGCATATTCTTATGTGTTGAACCTTATAATATTGGACATTATCTCCGATAACCTAACCTTTTTTATTTTGGAACGACCCAACATTTTTATTGGTTCTCTTTTTTTATTGTCGGTTCCTACTTATTGTGGTTGTGTCGTTATATTATCGAGAAACTTTGCAATTTTCGAGATCTCATCTCATTTTATCATTGTAGAGCGCAATTTTATTCTATTATCCAATGGTAAAGTACTGTTCAGGGCTCAAGAAATACTTTTTAAAGGGGTAATGATATTTTATTTAATAACATATTATAATTTACGTTTTAACACAATAAGTAAAAAGGATAATATTACAATTTTACTAGTTTGGAGTTGCTACATGCGTAGACAGCCATACGATATCACTCTCACTGGAATACGTAAACACGTTTCACATAAATTAGTTGCTACGTTTTTTTTACCAGTGTTGTTTTAACGTATGATATATCTATGACCTTGAAATACAGAATGCGATGTTATTTGTCGAAAAAGTATAGAATTATTATAATAAAAATTTAGGTGAGTGGGGGGAGGAAAGACACATAACTATTTAGTATGTAACTACTACATATTATGCTTGAACTTTATACTCTCATTATTACAGTATTTAGCTTTCAAACATAGTCATATTTGTCGGATCTTCAATACAATCTATACAAAATGGCAACCGAAACAATTTTATCTTTAGCTAACCCAGTATTTTCTTGTTATCTGTTTTACGTATCCTTGCTAACCGTCAAATTGATGATAATGTCTCTATTGACTGGATTTCAGAGATTTAAGAAACAGGTAATATTATACATAGCTACATACATGAACGTTTGTGTATTTGGGCATAATACAATATACTTATAATTACTATGCTAGAGCAGTATACTCATACATAAACAATTTAAATTTCAATACACATTAAAATTAATGTTTGGTGTATTGGTCCCATTATCCGTATTTGGACCAATCGTGTTGCTTCTTTAACGGTTTATAGAATTAAAGTTTTTATTTATTTATTTTTACAACCTAGTGTAACTGTGTAACCTAGTGTACTAGACTTATGCTGTTGTGCAAACACAACTTTATTGGTTCTACTAAACCACTATCAGAGTTATGTGGTTGGTCCAAACACGGTTTAAAACATAATTTTGTGCAACGCAGCACGACAAATTTTAAATACTAATACATTTTATTATTTGTTTTTGTTATTAAATATATATACATATTTACAGGCGGTTATTAATCCCGAAGATACATTTTTAGGAGCAGAAATAAAAATAGATGACGATGTTGAAAGAGTACGAAGGTAAATTTTTTTTTAATCAATATTTAATGTTGTTTTCAAATGTTCATACATTTGATATCTGATTTTATACAGGGCTCATCTGAACGATTTAGAAAATATTCCACCATTCATGGTGATTGCTTTGGCATATTTGTTTACCAATCCAAGTTACAAAGTGGCTTCAAATTTATTCAGACTATTTACAGCAAGTCGTTTTTTACACACGCTGATATACGCTGTTTTTGTAATGCCTCAACCGACCAGAGCAATATTGTTTTGGATAGGGTTCGTAATAACTTGGTACATGGCTATCCAAGGATTGTTAACTTTTAATTTTTAAAAATTGTTATAATCAAATTAACCTTATTTTATTTTAAACATAATTACTTCATAAATATTAAGTGAAATATTATAATTATACATTTTTAATAAATGTATACGTTTTTAGTATTAAAGTGCGTAGTATACGAGTGGTTTTTTTTTAAATTAAAACAAAAAATACTATGAAACAATAGTCTTAATTAATTGTGTAACCTGTTTTGATTATATAATGTACACAATGGTTGATCTATTCAGGAAGATTGCCATATTCTTTGAAATAAATTAGTAAAAATATATTGGGTGCTTGTTTTGTGTTACAAGTCGACAATAACTTAGTATGTACACTGAATGTACTGAACTTTAAATTCGAATCAATCGACACAAATCATAAAATTCGAACAACGAATTTTTTTAATAAATAATAAACTGCAATAGTAGTACTAATCAATTAATTTTTTAAAAATTAATAATCCTTTACATGTAATTTTAAATGTTGAGAACAAGTGACATTTTCAAAATCTATTTTTCCTCCAAAAGGGAGTTTCTTAAAAATGTATATGCCGAAACCATAAATCATGTGCTAATAAACCAAAAGGATAAGAGATGACTTTTTTCTTTTGCTAATCAATTTTTGTTTTATGAGTCCAAATAAATACCATAGATTATGGCGATACAATAAAATAAAAATTTGGTGGAGTATTAGATTCATGACTTTAAAACAGTTTTATGTAACTTGGCAAAACTTCATTTTTTATCAGTTTCGGTTTTAATTTCGTAGTCTTTTATGCTCAGAAAAGAACTACTGGACAAATCAGCCACAGTAAAAAAAATGGTAATGCGAGCTCAAGAAGCCCCTTAACAGCATGAAATATGACCATTATAAGTTATATAGGAGAACGCCAAGGGCGAAAGAGACCACGAAACACAGCTTGACCTCTGATTTAAATTATTGCAGGAAAGGAAGAGTTCATTAAGGGCACCGTTGACCCAAAAACAGCATGAATTCAGATTGCTGAGATCAAAATGACTTAAACCCATAACAAGACGACGCAATATTAAAATACGTTCATTTAGACGAGATTAAAAAAATCCTGCTAGTTTCTTATAAATAAATTATTAACCAAAATATATTATCACAAATTATGAATTATCTAATTCTAACTTGGTCTTTGTTCTTTACTAGCAACATAAAAACGATATTATATTTTTACTAATTCATAAAAACGGTATCATCATTTTTAATTTTGATTGGAAAAATCGACTTCTCTTGGAATACGATCCAGGGGGTAAAAATGTTGGTACATTTATAAATTTGAATGAATCTATACAACTTGATATATTTATAAATAATACAATTGCACTGCGGCAAGATCTATTAATAATTTGGATAATCGATCAATTCAATATAATTAATACATTAACACCTTGTTACTTTTTTCAATATTTGACTCCACATACCCTACTGATTTTGAGTGATATAATCTAGTTTATAAAGTGTTTTTATTAATCTACCAATTAACCGAAAAAGACAACAGAGTAGAATAATTAATATATTAAGAGAATTTATCTTATTTTATTAGTTAAACCTGTAATAATTAAAATGTTCTTTTTAAAATTGAGCTCGCTAATTTAAGGGAGCCATATATTTCTTAATGGGTTTCGTTAAGTCATACAGCGTGATTCTAATCGTTCCAAATATTACTCAGGTTATATTTTTAACGCCTGGTAAAAAAACGTCAAATATTTAATTAAGTTACTATAATAAAACTAAACATATTTTTAATCTATAAGTTTCACTAACAATCATATAACAGTTGTTATTTTTATTTAAATACTTAGTTAAGAAGATTGTGTCAACTTCATAGTTTTAAAAAATAAAAATAGCTGGTTACAGTAGTAGTAACTGAATAAGGACATACGATTAAGAATTTTGTTAGACCTTGGCTAATTATTAGTTATATTAATCATTCGACAACTTATCCTTGGAGCTAACTATTTGATAAGCGATAATTTTTCTTTGACAGTATTATTAACTTAACAATGATATACCATAATGCATTATTATAGGTTTGTTTAAAACAGCGAAATCATTATAAATAATAGACATACTTATGTAAATGGATAACCATGAACCATATTAGCTGGATATTAAGCGAAAATATCTTAATATAATATAATATAATATATATATATATATATATGTGTGTGTGTTTAGTCAATAGCTTCAATGCAAAAAGTAAAACAAAATATATTTAAAATGATTTAATGGCATAAAGTGAATGAATGATGTCTACAAATAATAAGTATAACAAATATACTTGTGGTGAACGACAGACTCGAATTTTTACAAAAAAAACTAGAAAGCCTGATGATAAGTCTCATGATAATTCATTTTAGCTAAAGCCTAAAATCTAATTTTTAAAATTGTTTAATTAAGTTTTTTTTTTTTTAAGTGAAATCCAAATAAAAAATAATTTATTTTCAGACAACTAAAAACTTTATCTATTACTAGTAGTAATCCTAACGTAATATTGTACATAGATTAGCTCAACTGGAAATATAATTAGGTACCAAAGTCTCAACATTTACGTTTTTAAGGGCCCGCGGCTGGGTGGCCAATAAACCAAATAAATCATCACTGTTATAATCAATTATTACTATCAATATAAATTCAGACATGTATATTATAAACATCTAGGTATGTAATTTATATAAATAACTTTTTTTTCTTTATTAATACTTTTCTAGTTTGTATTTGCAATCGGTTATCACTTATCGATGACCATGTATTTATATGTACATATATATATATATATATATATATATACCTACTATATACATACACACGTGCGTATTTTATACTGTGTTTATTCATATTTTGTTTATCCGTTATATTGTATTGACTATTGTAAAACGCGTTTGGCTATGGTACCCACTCTCTGATTGCAGCACAGTTATTTTATTATTTTTACCCTTCATTTTGATTTCTACTTGTATACAGCAACTAGCAAGTACTTACAAAAGAACTGACAGATAGGCAAGATATTTAATTTATAACATATAGTAATTATGTAAAATATATAATAGGGTAGATGTGTCAGTTGGCCACTGTACCATTTGTGCACCAGTATTAATTTATTTGTTTATTGATGGTCTTAACCTTAGTAGGCTGTAATGGAAGGGTACCTACTACCTATATAATATTTTTATTCTTCAGGAGAATGAACCTACTTATCCGTATTCTTATTATTTACTTATTACTTTATCTACTTTATCTAATATTTTTAATTTTATGTAAAAATTAAATTTAAGTAATGCATATAAAAAAAAATGTATTACATCGTCAAATGCTTAATAATTTAATCTCTAATTTTTAATAACTTTTGTGGTATAAACAATAAATAGTCAGTTAAACATTCAATTATTTAATTTAATAAATATAATATTTATGTATAACTAAAACAGAAGGCACTTATATCATAGTGTTTTCAGCTAGAACGTTTTATTTTCATATATTTAACTAGTCATCCAGATTCATTGTCACTGAGGCCCTAAAGTAACGCTTAACCATGCCATTTAAACATGAATAGGCCCCGCAAAATAATTTTGCACATAGCCCTAAAATTCACCAAGCCGACCCTGTTTATAAGTAGGATATTAAGGCGTCCTCATATTTTTATGTTGATTTTTTTCAATCATGGTGAAGACCTCTTGAACCTCTTTGAATTTTTATAATTTATTTACGTCACTGGGATAGGTTTTTTTGAAAATGACAATAAATAATTCGTACCCTAGTATGATAGTTCTTTAGTACGACGAAATAAATATTTATAGTATAACACTGATTTATAATCATTCAAGTATTGATACTTCATGTGTATTTTTTTAAATACTTATCTCCCGACATACTAGCTTAAGTAAAGAATATAATGACATACAAAAAAAATTGTGTTCTAGTGGTATATTTATTTAAAATAAGTCAATTGTTAAAATTTTTAATTATAATAGAAGGAGTTGGAAACGTTTTTAAAATTTAACGGATTCCTAGTTATAAAATATTTAAAAAGTAGTTACAATGTGATTAAGACTGCTCGAAGAAAATAATATTTCTGATAATTAGTATTTAATTAACTCTAACAACATTTCAGACAAATACGTAAGAAATTTAAAACAAAACTAAAAGGATAGTTACTTATAAGTTGATTAGAATCAATTTGTAGGATATTTAAATAGGAAATAGGATAATTAATACAACGTATAAATGTAGAATAATAAATTGATGTATCATGGCTTTTTAAAGAGAAAGGGGGGGGGGGTAAACTTTATTTTAAATAATAACCAAAAGCATACAATTTACGCGCTCCAGCCATTAAAATTGTACTCAAGGTCTAATTCCAAAAAATAAATGCGTCTTTGTTCATTATTTTAACTTGCTTAAGAGCTAAAATGTTTTAAAATACAGGGTGCGCCGCAATGGAATCCCACATTTCCGAGGGGAATTAAAAAAAAACTATACAAGATATGGAAAAAAAAACATTTATTTATAGAAACTACATTATATAAGGTTTTTTAAAGTTATTTTTTAGAAATTATATCGTTTAAATGATTGCTTTGGCGAGTGACGCACATTTGGTGCCGTTCTCGACAGTTTTCCATCACTCTAAATCGAGTGGAATTCCGGAGATATCTTGACAAATAGCCTCCTTTAATTCTTCTATGGTTCGAGGTCGATGTTTGAAAGCTTCAGCTTTGAGGTAATAAGAAATAGTCACATGGGGCCACAGCTCATACGGCCCAGAACCAGCTAGAACCATTGAAGAACTAAAGGAGGCTATCCGTCAAGAAATCTCCGGGATTCCACTCGATATGCTGGCAAGAGTGATGGATAACTGTCAAGAACGGTTCCAAATGTGCGTCACTAGCCAAAGCAACCATTTGGACGATATAATTTCTAAAAAATAACTTTAAAAAACCTTATATAATGTAGTTTCTATAAATAAATGTTTTTTTTTCCATATCTTGTATAGTTTTTTTTTAATTCACCTCGGAAATGTAGGAGTTTATAACGCCACACCCTGTATAAAATTAAAATTCTTTACTACGAATTTATAGTATTGTCAAACCCAAGGGTCAGGATAAAGTTCCAGTCAAAATTTATAATTTACTTTCTAATTGAAAAAATTATTTTTTAAATTAATGTGTTTTTCAAAATTAAATATTTTACATAATTAAAAATAAAGTAAAGAATAATTAGGTAGCAAAATAAGAAGAATTAAAGAGTAAAACATACATTTTGACTGGAACTTTATTCGGATCTTCGGTCGAAACTCCTTAAAGATGTTAAATGGTTTTAAGTATACATCTGGGTTATATTGTACAGTGTTTTATTTTAATTTTCAAAGAATTGCCTCGCAAAATCAAAAGCAAGAGTAAGAGCAGATGTCGATTACTGTGCAAAAAAGTATATGGCACTTGTTTTGTACATATAAATAAAGTAGACTTAGTAATAAAAATTAGTTTTATGCTTAAAAAATAAATATATACTTTTAAAACATTCAAATTATGTAAAATACCATTTTCTTGATAAACGCGTTATAACTAAAATAATGATATGTTAGTCATAATAATTGCTACACAATAATATTGCAAAATAGATATATATAACTTGATGCGTTTATGAGTAATCATATTTTTTGTTTTATATGGTATTTCAGAGAATCCATAGTCGATGGACAAAGTTTATTTACTTATCAGTCGGTTAAACCTAAATTAACTATTGTTACTGTTGTTGGTAATTAACTACTTAGGATAATACTAAAAACGTGTTATTGGTATAAATTTGATGTTATTTTGTGATAGATAACAACTAATTAAGCTATCATATAAAAGTAGAAATGTGCATCATGAGTTTAGTATGTATGAAGCAATCAATAAATCAAACACAGAAAACGAATCAAAATAATGAAAATTGCAAATTACTACTTTGCGTGCATTATGTTACTGTTGACGTTTAAAATATTACGCGTCAATGGAACAACTGTAACTTTGCTGAATCGGAATATAGTCACATATGGACAATCAAATCAAGTTTGTAAAAATGGCCAGTCAACAACTGTTACAAAGGAAATAAATGCAGCTATATATGTGTTGTCTAATACAAGAACAAACTTTAATGGAAATCGATGGAACAGAAGGATGGAACAATTGGACAGGGAATCCAAAGATGAGAAAGGTCACATAATTGCATCTTCATTTGGCGGTCCTGCAGAAGAATGGAATCTAGTACCACAAGACATAAGCATAAACAGAAAAATAAATGCACAAAGCAGTATCTTAAACCGTTGGGACGAAGTTGAAAAATGGATACGAGATCAAGTAAAGAAAAATGCTGTGCCAGTTACATATAAAATAAGTATTGTGTACAGTAATCAAAACGGATGTAGACCAACTCATTTTAAAATTTCTGCAACTAACCCAAGAAATCAAGGGATCAAAGGAGAATTTGATAATGGACCATATGGCTCTTTCGCAATTTCTAGTAATGGGTCTAAGAATCGTCCACGCAAACCATAGTTGGGTAACTTTTGAACTTTTGATTACTTTTTATTATTAACTATAAATAATTATTATCGTTTATCATGTTTTTTTTTAATATGGTATTTCTCTTAAAGTAAAGCGTGAAGTAAATATTTAAAAAAAAACTACAAAGATAGATTTTATTAAAAACAAAGTATACTCCCCAACTATTAAATAAATATTATTATTACCTACATTCAATAGTTATGTAATGATTAAATACTACAATTGAAAAATAAAGATTATTATTAATTACATTGTGTCACAGTATATTGGGTGTAAGTTTGTTCTTTATAATTTCTTTAATTACAATCATTAGTATTTCAAATGTTAAACTGATTTCTTTTTTAATAATTTTTAAATGAACAAATTTGTGTCTTTAAAATATTGTTTGTATTTGAAGATCAAGCGCAGTATTAAGTATTAATATCTATGTTGAATTAAATTCTACCTAATTAAGTTAAAACATACATTTTTTACCACTCACCTTTATCAGTTCTCCGTCCAGTTGTTTAATAAAAGTACACAAGACAAGAGAATGATAAAGGAGAGTAATAAAACAAAATATTCTATATTACCAAAAAGCTTAGTAAACATTTTACCTGAAAATAACGTGTAAGACCTGCATCGTTTCTATGCCACATGTAATAAAAGTGTCCATAACCCGTTAGAAAAAGATATGCTGCAATTAATGTTTGAACATGGTTTGCAATTGAAATTTTTATATTTGCTCCAGTCAAGTGATATATTAATATTATCAACTGCATCCACCCTGAAAAAAGATAAACGTTATGTTATAATTTGATTATTTTCATTAAGTATTGTTAACGAGATTTAAATTTCTTTTTAATTTGTTGTTTTTTATAAACGCTTTTTTCAAAAATAAAGTTTATACATGGTACCTAAATGTTACATCTCTCTCTAAAAAACATAAAGCAAATGGAATTCTGAGTAACTCTTATGAGCTATCTGTTAATACGACAACAATTTATCATAAAAATATAAAGCTGTCAATATTTGCCATCAACTTATTACAAATTGTCCTCAGTTATAAGAGAACAAGTCATAAAAACGTTTGGTCACTGGTAAAAATGTCATTTCCTTTTTGTTTTAGCAATCGGCCATGTAAATCTCGATATTACATTTTGTCAACTTTATTTTCTTATATGATAAGTTGTTGTGAACTTGACCATTAAGCTAACAAAAATAATTCTCTTAAAGTGTATTTTAGCTTAATGCTTAGTTTTTTCGATGAAAGACATTTGTTTATTATGGAACATAGGGACTTCTTAATTCGTAATAAGTTAAATAATAACCCTAGCGGTATTTATTTATTTTGTAGTTTTCTTAATAATACATAGTACACAAAGCTGTGTGTGATGTTACAGCAGCTCCTAATAACATAATTAAAAATAAAGTAATTATTATTCATTCTGATGATAAAAAACTATTCTTTAAGAAATCATTCAAATTTTTTATGGAAAAATTTATTTTTGTATACATTTACTAAATTTAAAAAATAGAGTTGTATAACCCAAAGTTAAGAATTTAATTGCAAGTTTGTTTTTTTTTAAATAAAAGAAGCTTTACATAAATGTGTCAACAGAAATAGTATGAATTACAAAGGGTTAATTATTATTTTTTTGTTTTATGAGTTTCAATTTTACAATGGTTTTTTCACCACTTTAAGCTTTAATTACTCTAGTTACAAATTAATATTCTTAAACATCAAATAAAAAAATTAAAAACTACACTTAGCAACTAAATTAAAATATAAAATTTACCTTTCCATTCATCCGTTTGGTCTCGATTGAGCACTTTAGTGAATCTACTTTCTTCAGTAAAAAATAAACCAAGGACAAACACATATCCAACAGGTAACCAAAAACTGGCATCAGAATAATACTTGTTTTCTTTCATAAAAAAGTTTGTTCTAAAAGAAAAAAAATGTATTAATTTATTACATAATTGTAGGTGTGTGTGTGTGAGTATTTATACTATATATATATATATATATATATATATATATATATGTGTATATTACATATACCTATCACATATGTAGAAATATATCATAATTACACCTAATTTTGCTAATGATATCATTAAAACGTAAGAAGAATCACTTTTTGACAGTCTGTATCGGCGATATCTTATTGCCATCCAAATCCCAATGAAAATACTAAAAAAAAAATATGAATATTTATTAAATCATTTTGATAAGTTATAACAACACAAAAAGATTTTAAATATTAAACAAAAACTAAATCATATTATTTTTTTTAAATAAACTAACCAAACGATTAGGGCTAAGAAAACATAAGTCTGTAAAGAAGTGTGAGGTTCAGTACTTGAGCAGCATGTACCATCATTGAAATTCATATGGTCATTACAATACAAGTTTAATAATATTTGAGCTCTTAGTCTAAGTGATTCATTACTAGAATGAAGACCATCAGGGCTGTCGTTGATTCCACCCTGTGACACTAGCCTTGAACTCCACCACATTTCAGCAGAACTCTGACTTAACACCTAAAAATTAACATAGCATATTTACTTTTCTTCTTAAGTGATGTATTTGCAAGTCAAGATGATATTGAAAATTAGCCACTAAATATTTCAGATTCGACTTATTTTTGAAAGTATAAAACGTTTCAACTTAGATACAAACAAAATTTTACAATTCTTATTTTGATAACCTATCGTTTTGAAAAAAGAAGTAGAACTATAAAGTTGCAAAAAAATTTTAATTGTTCTTAAATTATAATACTACCGATTACTCTTCTTAGTCTTAGTTTTGGGATTTATGGTCTAAAAATGTAGCCAAAAATATATTTTAAGTTAAGCTTTTGAACATTTTTTTAAAAAAATTGACTGAAGTTTAGGTTAGATGTGTACCAAAGTAAAACATTTAATATTGATATGATTTACAGAATCCTATCAAATCAGTTTTTGAGGTATCCTTCCTTTATTGCAATATTTATTTTTACTTTTTACTCGATTATAATATCATTCTCAAATTTAAATTTTTTACTGATAATTATTTAAATTTTAGAAGCTTAGAAAAGTTGCCTAATATAAAAGTTAAAGTAGGTGATTTAATTATTTATGTAAAAGTTGTTTTTTTCAACATGGACCACATCAAGCTACTTAAAATATTGATCTAGAATCAAACTTAATGAGGTAAGAAGAACAAAACAATATATTTTTATAAAATAAATTGAAATATAAAAGCATGGTTAGGTAAGGGCGTAAAGTACAAACGGACACAATGGAGACATAAGCTGTCTACAGTATGACCAAGATAAAAAGATGACCGGTCGCGCAGGTAGGTGGTGCCCTTTTGAACACTGCGACCCTGCAGCGCGTCATAGTCAAAACAAACATGATTTATAACTTGTATCGTCAAAAACGGTCAGCCAATCAAATGATTCGTTTAGTAATATAGGCATTGCACAGTGGAGATCTAACCGTAACGAACACTAACACGTCGGCCACCCGCTCATCTTCTTATCTTGGTCATGCTGTAAACTCATACTTAGAAACTTAAAATTAAATTAATTAGCAGAGATAATGAGTAGATAACTTTCAATTTATCTACTATGACTTATGAGTTTGTTTACAGACACAACAAATATAACTAAATACTTACATCCATTGCAGCTTCGTTGTACAAATCAATTAAACGGTTAGTAACCATTGACAGTGAACTTTCTAATTTACTTTCTTCGACAGGTTCTTGCAAAACCCATAGTATAGTTGATTTTGATGAAATTTCATTTATTGGCTGAAATAATAATAATTTATAAAACAATCAAACAAAATAAATATTTCATACTGAACATACATTGATCAATTGAGTTAAATTAGCAGCATAGTCCTGAATCGCATTCATAGATCCATTCGACTGGATGATAGACCAAACCGCACAGCCAGCCACAATTACTCTGGGTTCATCAACTGTATCCTACATCATATATCACTGTACATTTTTAAGTTTATTTAGGTCTAATACAGTAGAGTTATATTACTATGCAAGTGATTAATTAACTTACTTTCAGTTTTTTGAACTTTTTAACCATTGAATCCATTATGTAAGGACTCCAAATAAAGCTAACATCCAACTTTAATCGGTTATCGTGAAATTTATGGTCAGTATCAATTGCAAGGGGATGTGCAAATTTAGAACTTTGAACTAATTGTGCTTTTGGTTCAATATTATGAATGAATGCATTATACATATCCAGTATCCTAGAATCACCAATAAAAACAAATTGATTGTGGTGCCCTCTAAATGCCAAGTATTTGAGGCACCGGCTGCAATCTCTGAAATAAAACAGATGACACTTTGTAAAAATACAATTTTTTCTAGCAAAAGTTTACATATTGATACAAATACACAATTTTGATACTAAAAAAAAAAAGTTTTGTTATAAATCGAATTGTAGACTATATATTTTTTTTTTTTATAAAATTAAAACTAATGATATTTTTTTAATAAATATCGGAAATTAGATTTATATTATGCAATTTAACAAAGCCTGTTACTGGAGAGGGGGATAGCGGACAGTTTCACTGGACAGTTTTTTGCCAAACAAACAAAGCTGCTTGTGATTAAGTGTCAAATCTATGACAGTAAGTGCAAACACACAGCGACTATACCCGCTCAGTCATTCATCCTAACATAAATCAACATGCAATGTTTTATGAATTTTTAATGGAGTTTATGGTTTTAAAACTGCTTTATTTGTATTTCTTCAATTTAAAGTGTTCAAAATTATTTTGATCAGATTATTTAAACTCTTGAAATAAAATTTAAACTTTAAAGACCTCTATTCGTTTTAAAAACAAGTAATGGAGTTTTTGTAATTTAATTGGAACCAACAGACTTTACCACATCAGACGCGAATTTCGTTTTTTTTAAACAATTTGTTTTTTAATGCTGAAAATGATGGTACAAACAAAAATTTGCATAAACGCTTACTTTTGAAGTTACAGCTACTTGAAGTTAGAGAATTACCGTTGCGCCAGGTGCCTGCGGAGCCCTCGTCGTCATCAACACCATCCTGTTAAGTTGGAATTTTTTGGCTTACTTTTTAAACCCATGTAATTAAAAGTTTTAAAAACGATGATACCATAACTTATGCGAAAATCATTATCGAGTTGGATCCAAAAAAATTAATAAAAAGGCGTATTTTAATTTTCGAATTTTTTGTTTGTATAAACAGATAATACCATGTAGATGCGCTCATATAAGTCTTGGAAAACAGTGGTCTAAAAATTGGGGCTAGTTTTTGAGCGACACTAATTAATTACACTAAGAATCGTTATTAACTGTGGTTTATAATAACCACAACAATATAGTTATAATGCCAACTTAACAATCGGTTTATCCAGTGGATTAATTATGATAAAAACGTTTATTATTAAATTGTGGACAATAAATTGAAACATATAAGTTAATTAGAGCAATGAGGGCAGGTAGTGTAGACAGTAGATAATCTAACCTTTCGACTTGCTATGAAAAATGTCATACGTCTGTATAGTGTCTCTACGTGTCAACACATATTTTTAAATTTTCATTTAATTATATCTACTTCAAATTTACAAATTATTTGAACTTGAAACACAAAGTAAAATTAACAAGAACGTTTTAAATATGTGCCAAACCTGGACTACTATACCTAAAGAAGGAGATTAAAAATGTCCTCGGAATCATGTCATGAAACTGTGTGAACGGGATAATATTGATGGTTTTATTTAGAGGTAATTTTTTTAGACTAAATTTACTTTACCAGACACTTTTTTTTGGAAGGGTAATGGTCAATTTAGTTCATCGTAGGATGGGGTCTCACTCCCCCAAACCCCCAAAGGGAAAAATATCTCACCTATAAAGGGAATAAAAAAACTAACCTGATACTACTCTGGAAACAGTCAGCGACCAACGATACCAAACCTAGCTTAGAATTTCTGATAAAGTAAGTGTATACAATTTGTTTTTTGAAATGAAATGAAATACATAAATTTAATGTAGGTGTCGTGAAAAATTTTTAGAAAGGAAACAAAAAAAAAAAAGGGGAGGATTATGAAGTTTCCTTGAGAAAAGGGACGTTTTTTGAAAAGTCGCATTTACCAATGCTTAAAATTATAAGTTTTTCTTATTTATGGATAAAAAACGTCACACAAGACTTCATTATGGGTGAAATAAATATAACTTGCAATACAGCAGTGGACTGGTCTAGTTTTTGCCGTGAAATCGTCCATTATGGAATGATCGTAAATAAAATAAAAATTGGAGAAGGCGTAACTGTCGAAATTTATGAGTAAATTTGGAAAAAGAAAATACCATCGTGAGCATGCTGTGGAAGATCAGTGGGTGTTCGGAGGAGTGGAGAGGGATTCAGGATGGTGTTTCTTAGTGCCCGAGGAAAAACGAGATAAAGAGACTCTATTGACAATAATAAAAGGTATTTTGCCCATAAAATAATTTACTGTAGTATCGACTGAAGGTTCGAGTTTTAATGTCTGAAGGCTTATAAATATACTTTAGAACTAGTAGGTACAATAGTTCCTTACAGCTCACTATATTCATGCATCATACAACCATATGGCTGCCATCCCATATCGCCTTTGTATCGTCCATCTGATAACAACCACTTACAAGAATCTCTTGCTAAAAAAAAAAAGAGCATACATCAGAGTACTCAAATATTTCTTAACTTTTTCTAGTCACCAGGAAAATACTAATTGTTGTACTTACCATAAAACAAATGGATGCATGAGTGTATGACAATAAACCAAAATACACATAATAACGCAATTTTTTTGGCATTTTTTGAGTTTAATTTGATATTAAAATCATCTTGTCTTTGAGGGATTTCATAACATAATAGTGGCACATCATCCGAGACATTGTCATCAGACATTTTTTACGTATTTGAAGTATACATGGCAAATTGTTATATCCGATCGTAAATCATTTTTCTGACAAACATAATATATCCAAATATTATTATTGATACTACCACAAGGCACAATGTCGTATGAACTTCGTTATCTTAAAACATAAAACCGGCAAATAAAATAACTATTCAGTAAACCTACAAACTACATTAAAAATTACATATTATAATATACTGCAAAGTTCATATTACAAAGTACGATTGACTTCACAAAGAAAGTTACAACAACATCGGGATGACGGGATATCAAATATCAGAATTAAATATTAATCAACGCTTATTTTTTTTCCCGATTTTGAAGGAATTATTAAATCAAATCAAACCATTGGACTAAAGTTACAACAGTGCTACCACAATTGATAATATTAATATCGGGAACAGTCTTAATGTACAAGCCATAGTTTTATTAAAGCAAATACAAGCACAATACCTTTTTTTTTTATTAAACAATTTTATTTATTTACAATCTATACAAATGTATAATCAGCAAGTCTGATGACAAAGATACAGTGACCATGACAATATTCAACAATGTAGGAATAGGAATAAGGAAGGCTCTCAGCAGTGCCACCTGACCAGAATAAACACAATACCACGATTAAAGATAATCTTTAATCGTGCACAATACCTACGTAAGCGGAATTAAAATAGTGAACAAGTAACAACCGTTAAGTGTTAACCATTGATAATGGTAATTTAGTAGTCAATGGAGCCTAATTGGAGCCATTGGTTAATATTTAATTACTTTTTCAATATAATCAACAATGTTCAATGATTAGGTTTTTCAAACCGATGGGGTACTTTTATATTTTCGTTGTTTTAAGTTGGTCACGCAGATTAAAATTAAAATCTAATTATTTAAATTGATGTTAACATATTATTTTGGATTTTGGAAGTATTGTTATCATTTGATAAATTTGGAGAGAACTACCCCCCCCCCTCACGAATATATTATGACCCTTCTCTCTAACCATAGAATGCGTATTCTGATTTCTGATAACCGATTTCCATTTTTCAAGATTTCACACCATAAGATACATCCACGAGCACGTGTCTAGCGTATTATGTATAATTTGATAATTATACCAAGTTATTAAAAATAATCAATAATTCGTAATTAAGGATTATATTTTAATTTCAATTTTAATATAGATCGATAGTACACTATAAGATAACTATTGTATGCACTAAGTTAGCACACATGTATGTTTAAAATGTCGTATTCAACCTTGAAGAAAGCACTAAAGTTATTTGAAGGACCAACGCCTGACGAAAAACTTGCAGACTCGAAACAAAAAAGTAAGATTTTATATTTTATAATAGTGTATTTCCAAAAACATAAATAAAATAATGGATGTATTTTAGACATTATTAATTATTATTTAAATATCTTTCTGGTTTTATATTTTTTAATTTAAATTCTTTTTTAGCTAAAAAATCAAGTAACATTAAGAAATCGATTTGTAAGAAAAAATTTCAACATTCAAAAAGTGTATTTAAAGTACAGTTATTGAAATCAGATGCTAATAAATCAATTAAAAAAATTCAAGAGCAAATTCGTAATGAAAAGGACTTAAATTTGGTGCACTTAAATTTGGAACGTTTAAAAAAGCTGGATAGAACTAGCTGTGTTAATAACACTACATATAAATTGGTAAGTCAATGAAATATTTTTCCATGTATGTCACGGTTTTGATAAAACTATCTGATTTACAAATTTTAACATATTTAAGGCATCCCGTGCCAAATTGCGATATACATTTTAGCTTAAAAACATGCCTTATGGGTAAAATTCACATAGAGTGGATCGATTCTGATAATATTTTGTGTGTTGTGTTCTGATGTTTAAAGTGTGTTTTTTTAAACATGAGACATTGCTGTTCTTTAAAAAAAAAAAATTATCAAAGTTATTAGATAACTACAAGGCATCATCTTTTATCATTTAAGTAATTTTTCACTACCAATGGCTATTACTGATAAAAAAAAATTGTATATGTTAAATAAAGCTTTAACAAATTAACCTGTAAATAAGTTGACTTGGTAATTTATTAAACTATAATCTCAAATATTGCCTATATTTTCTACTTTAATAAATAGCCACAATTAGGTCGATATAAATGTCAGGGTTTTTTTTTTAAAATTAAATAATTTGAAAAAAAATGCACTTTACCGCACACCCTTTTTTGTGTTTATTTTTTGCTGATTACAAATCTGAAGTCAGAATTAAGCAGACTCCTCTAGTTCAAAAGTTGTAATTAAAATTTTAATATACTATTGTTGCGCCCGATGACTGCAGCGAAAAAAAAAAAAGAACCACGTAGGGGATGGGCATTGTTGCGTCAGCCGCAAGCCATTGCTACTGCCCCTGTCGCCTAATATTATATAGAAAAAACTTCTAAGATCAAGTACCAAAAGTGTGTCCGGGATATTGCATTTATGCCAATAATTCTTTTTTTTTTTTTTACAATAGAAATGTAATATTTTTTGGTTATTTATCTAGTTATTTGATTATTCTTTGTATACTTTTAAAATTTATCTAACAGTTGTTGTATAAAAAAAAATGTTATTTGACTTTTACCAGATTGAACAGAGATATCAAAAGCCATCAACTTCAGCAAATAAAGAAGAAAAAACTGTATTTACTGATGAAGATTTTGAGAAATTTGAGCGTGAATATTTTCAAAATTAATGGATGATTTTGTGTTTGGAAAAATCATCATAACTATTGTACTAACAATATTTATATATTTCACCTGTTGGTTATTTATACCTCCATTTGCAGACTCCGAATCTTTTATTATTCAGTTATTTCCAAAAGTTTATTATGCACTTATTATACCAGTAATTTTTGGCTTAGTATTTATAATCAGTTTAATACTTTATACTTTTATTGCGATAAACTACTAAGCTATGTCTAAACAATTAGTGGTTGTCGTTGCTGGTGTAACGTGTGGGGGTAAAAGTACAATTGCGTCTAAACTTATGAAAATGTTAGACAATGTAAATGTATTACATCAGGATGAGTTTTATTATCCTGAGTCGAGTAAACATTTAGAATTTATTCCAGAACTTAATTATCACGATTATGATAGGATAAGTGCATATGATATGGATCGAATGATAACTGCTATTGAATCCAATTCTCGCAGTAATATCTTGGTATTAGATGGTATTCTTCTACTTGATGATGTTAGAATTATAAATTGTGCCGATTTAAAATTTTTTTTCGTTATGGACAAAGAAAGTTGTTGGAGCAGGCGTAAAATAAGAACCTACCTTCCACCAGAACCAGATGGTTATTTTGAAAAATATGCATGGCCGGAATATAAACAACATTTAAACAGAGTAAAAGAAACTATACCAGATGTTATATTTTTAAATGGTACTGATAGTATAGAGCATAATGTAGCAATTGTTATCAATAAAATTAAAAATAAAATTAATTAATTGTAATATTAATTTTTTACTTATTTTTGACTAACAAACATAATAGAATGAACTTATTATTTCCTTTTATTGTCCTGGTACCATTCACTATGAAACAAGAAGTCTCCACATTAACTACAAATGGCTCTTTTGGTAAACTTTTGGTCAAAAACTTATTAACATTAAACTTTTTAATCGGAATAAATAGTTCGATTCAGTAGTATTTTATTTGTTTAAGAAAATTCTTTCATGCCAAATGTTATTTAAAAATTAGGTATTAACTATATGTAAAACTTATTTTGTTATTAAATGTCTGGAATTAAGAAAAAAATAGTCAAATATTATACAAATTTTTCTTTTTAAAATAAAAGAAGTTTAAGTAGAATCACATTCAATACGACTAAAACTCGCCGTAAGGACAGGGTACCCAGTCAAGAGATCCAATGTTATTATCACCTTGACTGTATATATATATATATATATATACATTTTTTTGTATTGACACATTTATTAGATATTCCAAAATAATATTTTTATTTTTTTCATTAAAACAATCAAACAGTATTGATTAATTATTGTTGTAGTAGTTTTAATCCTATTTGTGCAATAATAACAATTGTCAAAAAACAAGTTCTAAGTGATCTTACAACATTTGTATTTCTCATTCGTGTAAATAGTAAGAATGCATGTGAAGATTAACTACAACACTCAACATTTGAAGTTGTTGATCGACACAAATAAAATTGTATTATAAAAGTTAGGCTAAGATATAAATTGCTTATCGCCTTATTTAAGAGCATATCTATAATATTTTCGAAGAACTTTTAACTGATGGATTATTTTGCGTTATCAAATAGTTTATTCATGTTAGAGATAATACTTAAGAAAACTTTCTTAAGTACCTAATATTTGCCTTTAATAATATAGATAATAATAAGTTAATAAAATACTACAAAACCATTAGATAAAGATTTTCATTCCCCTACATTTTTTTTTTTTTTTCAAAATGTATACTATAATTTTAACTGTGGTTATTAGAAGGTACTATTCATTTTAACACCTAATGTTGTGACTCTAAAGAATAAAACCTGTGCTTCCTTAATAAAGGAAGTAATATCTTTACAAAGAAGAGCTTAGTGGTCCCTCAATTCCTTTCTTCTGTTTACTTATATATAGTTAACAACTATGATTAACTATAAGATGAAGATAACTTAGTAAATAATCAAAAACATTACATATAAAATATTAAAAGTAGCTTTAATGGAAAAATCAGTATCAATTTCTCAATTTTTAAAATATTAAATAGGTATAGAAAATATTTTAAACATACAAATTTAAAACAACAATTTTACATCACAATATAAAATAGAAACACCTTATAAAATATATGCCATCAGCAATATGTAAATATATATATTTATATATACTCATTTAAATGTATCTTGTACTTTTAATTTTATCACACATTTTAAGAAATAAAAAAAATTTCAGAATTATAGGCGATATTAGTATTAATTATATTCTTAATAACAAACATTTAACTTAAAATTAAACGCCTTTAATTTTTTTTGTAGGATTCATTGAAAAAGTAAATAATTGGAAATTTAAGTTCCAAGATACTTGATTTAAATATATATATATATATATTACTTTGCGTAAATATAATTTAATTTAACAGAATAACTAATATAGCATTTAGTTCAAATTTGAGATCCCAAACGTGGCCTTGGCAGTTCTCCAAAAATTCTATCACCATGTAAACTTTTGGCTAAGGCTCTGATACTGGCTGCAATATCAGTTTTATTTTCAGATTCTCGCCCAATCTAAAATCAATTGTTTTCTCATGTTAAATATAATATTATATATTATTTAATTATTTTAGTAACTTAATGATTAAGTGACATAATGTTTTATAATTACTGGAATATGTAAGTTAGCATCATGTGGTACGCTGCCGCTGTGTACCATGAATTTTGGTACATCTACAGGAAGAGAAGTAGCCATATGATATGGAATACAAATACCTTCATCGTGACTTCCAGATTCTCCTAAGTAAAAAAAAAAAAAACCATAAGAATTTTACAAATATTAGACTCTTTGATTAAATTAATTAACGATACCTTCAGATTCAGAGAGATCGTCATCGTCGGAAGTACAACTGATCTTTAAGTCATCCATATCATCTAAAGGGAATAACCCTTCAGCATCATATGATGCTGGAGGCAGTCCACTATCGTTACTTCCGCCCACATTAGGTATTTTAATAAGACTAGTTTTGGATAAAACACTTTTTTCATTGCCCTGAATAAAACATAAAGATAACCCTATAATTATAAATTCACCACTTAACATTATAATATAAATACCTTAGAATATGGCTTAAAAGTATAATCCATTAAATTCATTGTAGGATTATTTTTTAATGTAGTAATGACAGGTTTTGGTAACATTTGTACAGGTGATAACATTTTATTAGAAGTTGTCCGAGTCGGTAAGTGTTCAAAATTTGGCAATTGATCTTTATCTATTATAACTCTGAAAACAAATACAATATTAACATTAAATTAAATTTATACATGACAGCTCATTCATAGTCAAGTTTAATTTACCTAGCTAAAGAACGAAAATCATTTTGCGCTTTAGTTCGAAAATCATCAAGTGCAAAATATTGATTTTCCGTAAATTTACGTATTTTTTCTTCTACCAATTTCGTTTCCTCTTCTACTTTTTCACTCATTTGTCGTTGTAATGCTTTTATTTTTGGAGGCAATAGTGCTAATTGAAATAATATTATTAAAATTAAAAATACAAATTTTTAACTTTCATACTTTTTTGATCATCTACAATTAATTAATAAACAAAAGACTTACCAGACGATCTAGGGGAATATTTCTCATTAGAATCATCTACACAATTGATGAAAATGTCATAAGTTTGCGAAAAACAATCTGAATTTTTTAAATTTTCTAAATGCTTTTCATCAGTCTATAATAAAAATACAATATATTAAACATCTTTTAATTTAACAGTACATTTTTCATCTCATTAAGACGCATATTTTTTTGCTCAGCAGTAAAAATGTTAACTCATATAACTGTAGTTTTGCCTTATCTGCTTTTAAACTAAGCTCTAAATATTCTTGAATTTCTTTAAAGATAACACACAAAAGCATGTAAATTACATGACGTGCTGAATAATTACTTATCACTAACTAGTAATCAAACAGCAACTAACACATCGTAAATTCAAGTACAGAATATCATCCTAAAGTTCCAAACCCTTTTTATTATCCTCACATACATCCAATCCTCAGTTAAAGAGAAAATTATTATTAGTAGACTTATGCAGTATTCTATTAGACAAATATTTATTATTACCTAATCACGTTTAAATACTTTGATGAATACAATTATTTTACAAACTAATAATAAGCACAATTTTAATGGTAAAAGTTAATTAAATATTTCATTAAAATTATAAAACAAATAAAAGTTCTATGTTAAATTGTTTTTCAAACAGAAGTATGTATTATATAGTGTAGTTTATAACAAAGTTTAGTAGGCTTTAGGTTAGGTTAGGAATAAGTAAGTAGTAAGGGATAATAGAATATAGGGTAAGAATATAGTTTTATGTTATTAATAACTTACCAATAAATCAGGACTAATTAAAATTGATATTTCTTTATCCATTGGTTCAGCGTAACATAGCATATCACAATTTATACATTCATATGTAATCCATCTACATACTCTTTCTTCGCGTATCAAACAATCTTGTCGTTTGATTACTGCCCCAACCTCACAGCGCAATAATTCCTAAATAAGTCCCAAAATTAAATACCTTTCAGAATCACCCGACCTATTGAAATGCCTTACCTTAGTGAAGAAAATCGTATTGTAATTTTCACCCAGTAAGCGGTTATCAAATTTGATCGGCTCGCCCTTAGTCTCAACTTGTATGTTCAGACACTTGCACGAAACGATCATTTTTTAAGAGCCCGACAATGTATAATAATTTCAGGTTGTCAGATTAAAATACCGGTGTAAACAAGCAGCTGATTACCTTTGTACTGAATAACTGCGAGCTATCCACACTGGACTTAATAAAATGTCCGATAAACTGTAATCAACTACAATAACAGAACACAATCATTCGAACAGCAACTTAAAATCCGTGTACAGGGATGATCATTTTTCGGAAATATTTTTTAAAACAAAGGATGATTAAAATTTGGTTATAAATTGAAACAACAACAATAGAGAGAAAGGCAAAAACAGATGATTTAAACAGCTGACTCGACTTTCGAGTTTCGGCAGCAGCTGCCGGCTGGTGTCGACCATTACCTACAAAGAAATGGACTGATAGTAGAGAGAGAGGTCCGAATAACGACATCGTTAAAAAGAGACAGAGAGAGTTGTTAGGTATGGCATGGAAGAATATTATAACAACATATCATATCATGGAGAAATAGTAATATGATAATACCCGATAACGAAATTTTTATATTAAACATTTTTAATTCATCTTATTAAAATATTTAATTTTAATTGTCATCAGTTTAATGTCTCATAATGGTTTTCCAATGTAAAATTAAAACTCGATGGCCGCTTTTAGGTACTCTGTGTTTGACCTTCTCATTAAGTGCCCAAACCATTTGATTCTTTTTTTAAGTCGACAAATACCATAGACTTAAAGATTTCTTTTTAGGTCTATGACAAATACCTGCCACGCATTATTTTTGTATTGAAACTTTTTTTCTATAATCTGCCCAATCACCGACAGCTGATCTATTGTCAATTTCCTTTTATGAAATTCGCATTGGTACTCCCCTATACATACTAGTATATAAAACAGTATTAACAATATTTTAGTATAATAATAACTTACCAACAATAATTTGTCTATAAAGTTTGTAAAGAAAAACTGTTTTACAAAACATACTTACATGTTTTATAAAAAGTAAAACAGATTGTCCATAGATAAAATCTGAATGAATTTGTAATGTTTTTTTAAGTATCTATTTAAAAGAATACATCATACGAAAGTATTGGATACCCGTCAAAATAATGAAATACATATCCTTAAATGCTTTACAACTTCGAATAACACAATTATAAATAATAATTAAAAATGATTTAATTATTATATATTTCCATGTGTGTGTATCGCCATATATTTAAATATAATTTTATTACTCCATGTCTTTTCAATTTTTATTCCATGAGAAACCTAACACCTATATCTATCTCTTTCCAACGTTGTTCATAACACGGCAGTATAGGCGTGTATAGGAGGCGCAGTCCATATATTTATAGGTCTATGTTCAGTGGCCGATTTAAGGGGGGGGGATCACCCCCCCTCTTTGTCCGAGTTTTGGCCCAAAAAAAAAGTGGTTGTAATAAATTTCGACTATGTCATTTAATTTACCTGTTAATTTGTTTAAGCTTCATGGTATTATTTTCAATTTAAATCATTTTGTCTATGAGTAAAAGCCATTTTAATATAATAGTAAATTGTTTGTTCCGTCGCTAAAAACAGATTTGAATTCGTCATGAAGTTTACTTGAAATCAGTCAGCGTTCTTTTTATAAAATTTTTAAATTTCAAATTTTAAAATCAAATTTGGAAGGGTTAAAATTAAAAACTGAAAAAAGTACCCTGACCGATCTTAAGTAAACTTCGTGGCGAATTCAAATCTGTGTTCAAATTACTTATCGGATTTCTGGTTCGACCCCCGCGATAGAAAAGAATTGATCCGATAAGCAATCTAAAAACAGATATGAATTTGTCATGAAGTTTACTTGAAATATTGCCTATACAAAACTCCTTAAAAATGGTCGGTATCCAGGGGCCTTAATGTGAGATAAGACTAATTACAATTATTTATAGTAAACTTAATACAATGAATTCAATATTATTTTTAAAATTATATTTAATCATAGGGTAACAACAGGCACCAGTGATTGGCACTACCCCCCAATTATTGGTGTTATAGTGTTTCTTTTTTTTTAGCACAGTTATTACATCAAGATATTTTATAATTTATATATAAGTTAGGTTATTAATTATTTATACATAGGTAAGGTTAGGTTTAGGTTAGGTTTAGGTTTAGGTTAGGTTAGGTTTAGGTTTAGGTTAGGTTTTGTCTGTTTAATTAATGTTCTGTTTTTGCGTATGTGGGGGTGGTTCCTGTTGAAGTGTTTTGTCTTTTTATGCAGGTGCAGGTGGGTTAAGGAAGATGAATTTAGTTTGAAGTCGGTTCGTTCGTTGGAGATTCGAATGTGATATAATTTCACAATAAGTTAAATGCTAATTTTGTGAATGTTAGTGTTATATTAAAGACAATTATTTGTTTTTGTACAGACTTAGGTTGACTAGAATTGTTATAGTCGAGACCTTCGACTATAATAATAATAATAACATTAGTATCGCATCGAATGTCGTCTATTGGGTAATACGATACGCAGCATTATCTCCGATCTTGCTTAATTATTAAAGAAAAACTATACTACACGGTAGGCCAGAGAAACGGAAAATGTTTGAAAGTTTTATTGGCAGCCCTGTGGAGCTTGTAGAGAAGCGATAGTGTTATTGTTATGTTCACGGATACCTGGCACCCGCCATTTACTATTTAGTAATCATTGATCAGTGGGTCCGGGGTCGGCACACAATGCGCATTTGCCGTGAAGGTATATTACAAAAATGGTGATAGTCTGACTGTCGCTCGCAGGGAATTTCGACGTCATTACAACTTGGGACATCATGGTCGTGTTTCATCAATTATCATGCAACGCAATCAAGACTTGGGTTGAGAATTTTGAGGAGACGAGTTTAGCTCTCGAAAAGAAACCACTAGGAACTAACTTACTTTTTAAATGACTGTAACTTTTCAAATGTTAAAAAAAAAAAACGCACCGTCTTTTTTGAAAAGTTAGTCATTTAAAAATGTTAAAATAGTCGTTATTGCTAAACTATGTATTGGGCGTTATACTTGGAATAATGAAAAAACGTACCATCTTGCCCTCCGGAATATTGTTCTCATTTAATTTTATAATAGGTTCTTTTACTCTAAAACCAAAACTAAGCGAGTTATTTTCAGTTGACGTAAACATGTTTTTACCACTGAAAATCACCGGCGCGACGCCCTCTTAATCATAACTTTCTTATTTTGATTCAGTTTGCACATCACGCCTAAATTCTATTGTATTTCAGTTAGTCGTGGACCAAATGGTGATAAAAAGTCGTACAAAAAATTTGTGATTACACCTAAGTATTTTATCAGACTGTTAAAGTCGATCTTCAATCAACAATCTTCAACATTGTTTTTTTAATCTATGCCTAAAAATGTCTATGATACATTTGGTGTTCGAAAAACGAAATTCAAAACTAATTATAATTGTGTTTTTTCGTATTGATCGTTGACGTATTCCTGAAGACGAAATTTCATTTAAATGGTAATTGGTATAAGGTACATGAAATTCGAATTGGCAATTAATATTAATATAGAAAAAAAAAATCTATTCCCCGGTACACTCACTAATAGCAAATAAAATAACACTAAATTATGTTCTTTACATCTTAACTAATAAATATTAAATAACTGGGACTGACTAATTTACTTAAGTACTGAATTAATATTTGTATACTGTGTTGCCTATATACAGGCGCATAATATTGGTGGCATATTATTATATACGATTACATTATTTAAAACTTTAATAATATTTAACTATAAAAAGTAGAAACTTACACTATTTAATCCGCTCAAAAAATGTCCCATGTTAAGTAAAGGCATCTTAAGTTGACGACGAGATTTGCCTTAGCAGTCCCAGGCGACAAATATTAGCAGGGTACAATGAACATATTTTCTTATGTATACATGGTTGATAGCTTAGAAATAAATTATGCTTTTCGAGTTTATTTATGCCAATTATGTCTTAAGGAAAAATAAATGTTATGTAAAATAAAAATATGTTCTTATAAAAAAAAATAATGTAATGTCTATTACTGCATAAGAATATTTAATTTTAATTGAAAATTGGTACAAACTCCTAATTGGCTATCACTAAATAAGTGTTAATACATTGTTATACTATAATAAATTTAAAAACTATTTTCATAAGTATTGTCAAACTCTATTTATAATATTACATAAGTACATTAATAAAAGTCAACAAATCTTACAGTTCAATGCTTAACAGTAAAACTGGATTTACAAATAATAATATAATAATTTAACTTTAAAAATTCTTACACTAAATAATATTATGCATTTAAAAAAAAAAACTATAAAAATTAAATTTGAGGTATTTTATTTTATTATTTTAATATTACGGTATTAAAAACATAAAGTTGATAAATATTAATATTAAAGTAATTATAAAAGATAAGCGATCTACTAAGATCGACAATGTTTTCCAAAACTTTGCATTCTCATCTCTCAATCGATTAGGAGAATCTTCATCAATAATTTTCTCTACCAATAATTCAGCTCCCTGTAATTAAAAATAATAAGTAAACATTTTGTATAAAATCCATATTTTGATATATTTTTTTTTTTTTTAAACATACTGGAATTATTATTTTATGTTCACATAATTTTTTTAAGAAGCATTGACTACAAAAAATATTTCTAATTAAAGCTAACGGATATGGGCCCTTTAAAATCTGTATTTGTATGTGAATTTATATACACTTATAAATATATATATTCATTTACAGTAAAAATTATAATCGTACAACCCATGACTCATGAGTAGACTTCATTCAAAGCGGCAGCGTAGCTAATGTCCGTCACTACCTTAATACAAATTTCCTGAAAAAGAGCAGAAAAAAGCCCCTAACACCCAAGGGAGTATTGTTTTTGAAGGGGGGTCAACCCGGTTCGAAAATTGCAGTGGAAGCACAAGCACCCTAAACGTAGTCACACCTATGATACAACCAAACTTATAAATTAACTCCAAAACCAAACAGATACAACCAAAATAATTTTTACTATGACATACCAATCTAAGAGTATATAAATCAATTAGCTATGTATTTAATTTTACAAAATAACTTACCTGATTATCAAAATTAGTGAGCATAGAAATAGGCTTTCTACTTAATAAAAATGCTGATGTAGATTTAAGCCATTCAGGACTTTCAGGAGGAAAATCGTCTGTGCCTCTCTTGTAAAGCTCATTACTTAAAACACTGATAAATAATGATATAGCAGTTTGAATTAAGCAATTCCTGTACAACAAAACTAAAAAAACAATTTTTTTTATAAACTAATGAATAAAATGAACAAAATAAAACAATATTAAATATGTATTTTATTTAAATTAATTAAGACGCAAATTTATTTTAAATATATTTTTAGCATTTTACTATCTTACCAATATATACTGGATGCGATCCATTGTTTGGTATTTTTGTATTTAAGAACTGTATGTAAAATAATTCAGAAATAAAAAATAAGGCAAGTAAAATTATCCGTATCATGATTTCGCGACCCAATAAAAATGTAAATGTACTCATCAATGATAAAACTGAAAATATAGTCACAATTAAAACTAATTTAATATAATCTTAACTTGAATAATTTTAGCTGTACTAATGTATTATATTACGGTTAAAAGAACACTAATGTGGTGTCCTTGGAAATAATATCTTTTTACTTTATAATATGTTCTTGCTATAAATTTAATACAAAAGTAGTTATCTCAATTTGTTTTCAAATAGAAATAATGATTGAACAAAATATATACAATTATAAGTATTGAATTAAAATACTTAAATATAAAGTCTAAATAAATATGCTAAATTTATTTTTTAAGTACTCGATACTTACCAGCAGCTGGAATAATAACAGATGAAAAATACATTGAAGAAAAACGTTTTATAGTTAATTCATACTGCAGAAGACAATGTTCATATGAATTATTTAAGCTTATATAATGTAGCGGATAACATTCCTGATGTACACTTTTCATTTCCCATTCTTTTTCAGCCGTATAATACTCTAGATTCTTTAACAAGTATTTTTAGTGGTTAAATTCATATGTAGTACAACTATTCATAGTATCTTATCAATGTAACTTACATAGTATCCAGTTGGAAACGAATAGTTTACATACAAGTTAGTGTAGATAGGAGATCCCATTATAACAGTGCAATTATGTGTATCAAAAGGCCAATGAGCTATATTTGTTGAACATTGAGCAGTGAAAGTTACACGGTGATTATACTTCACTATGCCTTTGTATGTAATTTTTACACTGCTCGTAGGTAGAAAGTACAATAGATCACTATCATCGCCATCGAAACCACTTAAATAAACAGTATTAAACATTCATATTAGAATTATTTTATTATATTATAATAATCTATATAAAATAATTAAATTTGCTGTAATCAGTGTTAAGAAAGAATGCATTCATTGGATTTCATTCCTTTTTAGAGGGATGCAATCATTAAATCATGAATGCATTACATTTAGTTTTATGGAATGAGGAATGGGAATTCATTAATTTTCTGTCAGAATGTTACAAATGAATGAACTCTATAAAAAACTATTTTCCGTTTAAAAATGAAAATAGTTTTATAATTCAGCGACTGGAACCTATAGTTTTTATCATAATAGTTGAAAAATTATATGGGTTATTTGAACAACTATAATTAGAGTAGACGATTCTACACGTGTATTTTAAATACACGTGTAGGACAAGTTCGTGTAGTTCGAATTCACGTGTAGAAGTTCGTGTATTTAATACACGTGTAGGACCCATGATTCAACTAACTTTACCCCATGGTTAAAATACTTTATTTTAGTGACAACCATTAATTAATGAATAGTATCACGTTTAATTAGAGATCTTATTAAAACTTAACAGTTGTAAGAATACGTGTAGGTGCAGGTACACGTGTACTTATAACTACACGAACTTCTACACGTCAATTCGAACTACACGTGTTATCGGTAGCTCTAGCTATAGTACGAATATATTATATATATATATAGTATACACGCCATGTCGATGTCTTAATAATAATGATAATAATAACAGTAATATACAATCTATATGTATCTTCACCAGTATTTTTTGCTCTTCTGTCTAAATATATGCTGATGAAAACAACTTAGTAGTTTTTATGTGTAACTTGGTGATGGTAAACAAGAAGGGAATAAAAATAGGATTTGTTTTCCAATAATTCATTATCTTGTTTATTCTACTTTATTTATAATATGTATGTGTTGTTTATCGTTTGTCATACGAAATATATTATATATATATATATATCTTATCTTGTTTTGTTATCTTTGGTTTTACTTTATAGTTTACACTCAGAATTTTTATGTCATATTTATTGTCATATGACAGTTTTTTGGACAATTTAGAATTTGTTATACTGCGAATAATATAATATACACAGTGATCCACTTATCGTGAACCACTCAATATCTCATAGGGTTTAATATGAAATTAAAAAAAATGTTTTCATATTTTTTTTTTTAAATATGATTTCAACTTTTCACAATTTATTTTGTTTTTACCCCCTTTCCAACTTAAATTATTTTTATCTGTGCGCATTTCCCAACCACACTTTCCCTCCCAACCTAACTTTAAAACTCTTATAGCTTCAAAAGTTGTTATCAATAAAAACTAAGTTGGGAGGGGGGTAAAAACAAACAAAATTGTATAAAATTGAGATAACATTGTATAAAAACAATATAAAAAAAAAATTTTAATTTCTAATTAAGGTAAAAAATAGTACTATACAGCTTTTAAATAAATATGTATCTATACATTTGTCATTTGTTTTATATTTCTTATTCATTATGACTAGATGGAAATAATGGCATCTAATTAGTAATTACTAAATATTATTAAGTGTTATCTATTGACTACCTATTTTAGGGGTTACCTACACTGTAGAGTTATTATTTCTTTACACAAGAACAAATGAAGGGCACAGAGAAAAAACGGTAGTTGTCACATTATGAAATTTTTTTTTCAAATAATTTTTTTTAATTTATGCCAATAATTTTTTTTTATTTATGTCAATAGATTGTTTAAATAAATACATTTATTATTAGAGTAGCATTTAATGTGATTTTTTTTGTCCTTGTGTAAGAGGTTGAGGAATTCACGAACTTTGTTTTTGCTGTACTTTAAAATTTGCATAATGTGACAACTTCCGTTTTTCCCCTGTGCCCTTCAAATATTTAAAACAAAATTTCTGAATGTACTAGAAATGCTTTCCATTTTTTTTTATGAATGCGAATGTGAATGCATTTTTTTTTTTACCTCGGGAATGGGAATGCATTACTTTTAAAAGGAATTGTATATACACGTGTAATTATAAATACACGTGTATTAAAAAAAAATTATATTTGTTATTAATTTTAGTTTTACGTTTTATACCACGTCTATATAATTTATACGAACTCGAACACAAGTATAATTGTGTAAATACGTTAACTCAAACTAACATTTTTGACAAAATAAATTTTTTTAAATACACATGTATTTATAATTACACGTGTATTTAAACGTGTATGTTAATTACACGGGGTCGTGTACACGTGTATTTAAATTACACGTTTAAAATCACAGGCACTATTATTTATGCATGATCAATTATTTGAATTATTTATGAATGATACGGGACGAGGTCAAGAACATTAACGAGGTATTATTTTTACAAAATCAAATATTTTATATTACCTATATGGTCAATGACCACCGTGTTATTATTATTTTAAGGGTGCAAGGAATGGACTTAATAAGACATAAATGTGCGACGATCAAACGTATTTAATTAATTAACCGCACAAATTAAGATTAATATACAAGGGAGATCTAAGGGGGTGATTTTCCCCAGAAATTAATATATCACTTTGCTCCCCCCAAGTCACGACTAATTTGGAAATCAAATATTTATTGACGATTAACTACAAACAAGATTTTTGAAATATTCGTTAGGTGTATACTTGTTTTCTTAACAATTTTAAGTTTAAAATAGTAAATAGTAATTTATATGAATGTGTTAAAAATTTCATGGATCAAACGAAGAATTTTTGTATTAAAACTGACTATAACTTGAAAAGTAAGTATGATAATCAATTTCTATATGCGCCATTTTTTTAACATAAAAAAATACAAATTTTTAAGAAAAATATATTAAAGAAATAAGTAAAAAAACTTTTTTAAAAACATGCTTTTCTAAAAAATAGTAAAAACGTACGTACGTACGTGTTAGCGAGTTAAAGAAAAGTTTGTAAAAAAGTTCAAATTCACGAAGTTATTGCACTATAAAAAAAAAGTAGTAAACGAAGTTTTTGATTATAACTTCAAAAGTAAGTTTGACCGACCAAATCTGACTTAACCATCGCCATTAGAGTAAAAAAGCACACATTTTGAAAAATAACATGTATAATATGCATGTTTAATCAAGCCTATTAATGTTTTTTAAATAATTTGTCAATTTTATCTACATATTATCAATGTTTTCATTTCCGGGAATTTCAAGGGATAACATAGATTGAACTATTGGTTCCCAATGTTTGTTTCCCATATGACAGAGGTCCCAATACGGCTGAGGCCGACTATGCTTATTATTATTATTACTCAACTTTTCACAGTATTTTAAACTATAGCCTATAGTTACCTATATAGGTCATAGGTACAGTTCAATAATGCTGAGTTATATGCGTGTGGGTGATATTTATCTCCCAGTCACATAGTCCCGTATACAATTAATTTCATAGGCCATTTATAATTTTTGAAAACCCCTAACTTTGAAGTTAATTATACATATTGTTATTGTTATGGTTACATTTAGATATTTTTTTTACTCACGTATCGTATGACATAATATCTGGTAGCCAAACGGAGGAAGACAGTTGCTGCGTAGTTTCAACGTTTTCGTATTTAGTTGGATCCCAAGTTAGAAATTCATCTTTCCAAATCTAATTAAAAATTACTCATTTAATCAAAGTTGCATAATATAATAATTTTGTATAATTTATGTATTTGATATGTTACCATAACGAGATGAATACTCAATTTTAACACATTCCACTCTTCGTCCTAGAATTAAAATTAAAGCATTTCTATTACGTTATTCTAAAATAATACTCAGCCCAATTAAGTTGTAATTACCATGTGAACACCAAAAAAGTACATAGTAGTGTTAACGACAGTTTGTGTTTTTTGGTTTAATACGGGTCTAATGTTTTTGTCGTAAGAGCAAAATAAATCGTTCAAAAGTCTTGTAGCAGCCGATTTGCTTTCGGAATCGACACATTTTTCGCCATAGGCTTGGTCTAAAAACACTTATTTTAACATATTTTATATTATTATTAACGAGAAACCAACTTACCAGTTATTAATGTAGAAACTAAAATTAGTAAAATATACAGAACCTTCATCTTGGACGGTTAATTAAAGACTATGTTCACTTGTGTTTCAACAAACGCCCCCCACATCACACAGACAGGGTTTGGTAATTGTCGTTAAAAAATTTAAGATATCGCTGACATATTTGATATCATATTATACTCAAGGGATTGGTAGCATATTGTTAATTATAGATAGAAATATAAGCAGATATGGTCCAGAAATAATTGTGGGAATATAAAAATACAATTATATTATGAATGTATAAAAACTTGCATGGTTTTAACTATATTAGTTTGATCATTTTCGGATCAATCTATATTGTCATTATAGTCAAATAACTTTTTGAACCCATTGGCCATTGCAGGGTCATTCTTTAAAGAAATAGTCATTGGTTCACTGTCGCGACACTCCATATAGTAATAACAGTCGGTACATAGTCTCATAAAACATTTTTTTTTCAATAGTAAAAATATTTTCTTCGTTCAAGTGTTCCAATAATAGATATTTTTTACCTGGATATAAGAAGTTTAATTACAGAAGCCTAATGATGCAAAATTACAAAATATTATGTATACAAATATGGGGCTTGAAACTGTTACCAAATCAAAACTTACATTATTTGTTAACTACAATACATATCGTATGGTATTCTGGTACTCTGACAGCTTAACTTAGTTTGAACTTGTATAAAAATATAAATCAATTAAAAACATTTTAAAGTTAAGTTATATCTTTTATAACGATATTCAATATTTTTCCTGGAACGAAACGGGAGTCGTAAAGGCTTGGTAATCGTCCCTCTAAAAATCTTTTCTCAAAATATACCCAAACCATTTCAGTCAATTTTTTTTTCATTTTGTCCACTATCGAAGTCACATGAATGCTATCTCTTACGTATTCTATTTTTATCCTGATCTTCTCTCGTCACTCCATTCAGCCACCTAAGCATATTGCCTGCTACACTAAATTTCCTGTTTACTATCCAACACTCCGAACCATACAACACAGCATTGGTCTCATCAAACTCCTATAAAACTTACCTTTAAGTCTCATTGGAACTCTCTTGTCAAATAAAACACCTGACTTTTCTCTCCACTTGATCCAACCTCACTTAACCCTATGTTAGACATCCTCATCAAAGTCACAGTGTAATGAACGGGTATGGACCCCCTATTAACTTTAATTGGTTTGTTATTGCACACCAGTTGTTATTTTATAAGCAATTAGTTATTCTAAGTAAGCATTACTTTTATAAGTTATCTTTACATCATTCTAATTCTGTTTTGTTTGTCATACGTTGTACGTGATCTATCGACGTATTACATTTCTTAGAAACATTGTTTCGTCACCTACTTTTGTGATTAACTTTACTCGAGTAGCATTATGTTTCTTGGTCTTAGGACCATTCCTAGATTTGTGTTTAAAGCAGATTGATGGATGTACCGATGTTAACTTTTAACTAATAAAATATACTTTTTATAAACTACCTACTAGTGTGTTTTATTTAAGTTTAAAACTCGATACTAATGAACAGTTAAAACACCTAAGTTTCAAGACTTAAGTTAACAGCTGTTCATTACATCTTTGGTGTCAGAAGCAACGTGGCAACTTGGCGTTCTCCACGAATTTATTTTCAAATTTTTTTTAAGTTTCTCAAGATTTATACATAGCATTCTAACAAGCAATTTTTTCAAGATTTGTACATAGCATTCTAACAAGTAATTTTTTTCAAGATTTATACAGAGCATTCTAACAAGCAATTTTTTTCAAAATTTATACAGATCATTCTAACAAGCAAATTGTTTCCAACAAGTTGTTCAAGATTTATCCAGAACATTATTTCAATAAACAAGTTTTTTCTACATCAATTTTTCTGCTATCAACTTTTAAAACGAATTTTTATATTATCATTACTTATCTTGTTCAATCAACCTCTTCTCTTACAATCTACGCGCTATTATCTAATTTAATAATATTAAGGTATTTATTTGTTTTTTTTTTTTTAATTTTTGTGCGTGTCACCTGCTTTATCTTCAGACACCCTACAAGGGTCCAGGTTTAAGGTGTTAACCTTTTTATACATACATGTATATTCGTTGTATTTTTTTAACAATTATTTTACTAGATATAAAGCTTTTTTTTAATAAATAAAATTGTGCGTTGCAATTTGAGAGTTTAGTTAGTTCAAAGGTACGACTACCCTTTTGATCTTCGAACAGTTATCTAAATTCTCTCTATAGTCTCTAGGGATATTTCAGGATAACTTCCTGTCCAAGCTAGGGTCCCTTAATTTAGCCCTAGAAAGTGGTGGTCAGTCGTAGTTGTGACCCATTCACTTTTTTGCATTGTAACAGTCTCTTTCTTCTTAATACTGACACTCCTCAAACGTATTCAATATTTTCTCTAAGCTTATAAAGTTAAGAAGAAAATATACATAAAATTGAAGAAAGAAATCATTTACAGGTTTTGTAGCATATCATTAATTATAGGTACACTGAAGTATAAGCAGATATGGTCCAGAAATAATAATGTGAATATAAAACTACAATTTTATTAACAAAGTGTTATTACAAATATTTTATTAAACTAATAACTACACTTACAGTAATCAAACATAAAAGTCTATTTTATAGATATTTGAATTTTTTTACTTCAAAATACTTGTACACGTTATTGACGATTAAAATATCGCTATAATTCAGCACCATAAACATCAAACAATCTAATACAACACTATAATATTATATTAGGGTATTTTTATAATTTTGCAACATTTGGGTTCTGTAATTTAACTTAATATATCCAGACAATAAATATCTATAATTGGAAGACACTTGAATGAAGAAAATATTTTTACAATAAAAAAAGTATTATATATATACATTTATAATTTGGTTCACAGCAATGTCTCATTAATGTTATTGGTTCCCAGTCTTTTTCTTTTTGTTAAGTTTTCACTAGAAGAACTACATATTTGGAAGTGGAGCGGATCATCATCTAGATCTGAAAGCAATGACTGTGTGGACGATGTACTGGTATCGCCAAAACTAAGATCTACTGGGCTAGCGGTCAAAACGCTCTGGCTGAATAAATAATCTCGGAACGAGCTTGATAAAGAATCTCCAGATGTCATTAAATAATACGGGTTAGACGACACCGAATTCAAACTCTGACGGCTTGGTTGGTTTGTCATACTCAAATCACTATTGCATGGCTTCATTTTATGAATATTTGAATTGGACAACGCAACTACAGGTTTTCGACTCCTAGGGGTCATCATAGTTTCCTGAAACAAGTTAAGACAGTCGATGCAAAACTGATTTTTTTATACACTCAAGTTTAACACAAAGTTATTCTACAAGAAGCTCGATTGACATTCAAAGCAGATGTTGGTATCAAGCGTGTAAAGATATAAGGATTTATCTTAGCTACCTGCATGGATTTGGTCATTTTCTGGGCCGACTGCGTTATAGGGGACATATCATCGTTAGGATGATGCTGATGAGGGGTAACGGTAGACGGAGTACTAGTGCATCGTTTAATACGCTTTACCACACTGGGCGTAGAAAAACAATCTACTGGATTGCATAACTCTAGGTTAGGAGAACAATGATTTTCTGTCTTGATTTCCTTGTCTTCTTTGTTTGGCAATACTTTTGATGAAACTTTTCTTTTGATCTTAAATGAATCGTCTTTGTTTTCTTTATTTGACAAAGTAGTTGTTTTGGATTTCTCGTCGGCAAGCTAAAAATATTCCAACAGCAAACAACATGCAAAGTTTATTAGTAATTCATGCAGTAATATTAATAGCAAAAATGCAATTGAAATACTGTTAATAATTATTATATGAAATAAACGCATTTTATTTTTATTGTTTATAGTATTATTATAGACATTACATGTTACAAATTTCGAACTTTTTAAAGTTTTTACCCAAAAAAGTAGAATTTCTAAAAAGTAATTAAAAACCCTTTGTAAAAACAGCTGTTGTCATAATCTTACACCTCAGTTTAATACCTAATGATTTTGATGTCTTTCGATTAAATATATTTAATTTAAAAAGAAAATTTGTTAGTACATAAAAACATAAATATCAACTAGCAAACTTTTTACATATTTCAGATTGATGTGTTGAAAGAACTACAGACAATAACAGCAGTAAAATTTAAAGAGATTAAAAGCTAATTATTTCTATTAAATTCATTTAAAATTGACTCATGTTATTAGCATAGGGTTTTACTACATCTAAAATATCAGGACTATTTGGCTTATTATACTCTATACTTAACACACAATAGATACTATTTTGACAAATTAGTTCTTAAACATTTTATAATTTAACCATAGTCACAACTATGTAATTTGGCCTATAAACTAGATAATTGCCATAGGACATCAATTATGAAAAAAAAAGATAAATTTTGTAGAAAATACATTATAGTTAAAATGTACCCTTTTAATAATTTGGTGGACTTGGCAAAGCTCTCCTGAATTTCCCTTAGTTTTGTTTATGAAGGTAACATGTGTCTAAATGTAGTGTCAATTGTTAGTATTTTTATTGTTTTTGCCCAAATATCATTTTAAATTTATACAGCTCAGTGGTCTGATAAGCAACGCCAATAGTATAAAATAATAAAAATATTTCACATAGTAGTACCTTAGATATTTGCCTCTCTGTTGATTTGGGAGGACATTGTTTAAGTTTGGATCCTTTTTTAAATATATGTTTCTGAAAATATTAATTCGGTATAAACAGAACTTTCGGTTAACAGGGAAAAAAGTAAACATACTTTAATAGAATTAGTTAAACTTCTATTTGGTGTTATCACAGAACTATGATTGCTGACTCGTTTAATGAACATTCTACGCTTTTCGGCAGATTCTGGTAAACTTTGTACATGGGCATATAACTCGGCTAGAGCTTTAACAGTTGGATTTTCTTCGTTCTCTTTGGTGGTAGTTGTCCGATCGGTGAACGAAAACACTGTTGTAGCAACTGTACCTTCTTCCTATATTATTAGTAAAATTAAATAAGTAATATTTGCAAAAAGTATTAATTATGTTTGATATTACCTTAACAGGTTGTAAAGTTTTTTTAGACCAATATGCCCTAATATCTACAGCCAAATTCAGCGGTATTTTAAATAAGTCAAATCCTAATTTAATCATATAAACCACAATATGTGATAAAGTTTTGGTGTTTTCAAAAATTTCTTCAGCTGGTAACTAAAATATAAATACAAAAATAAATAAAAAATATTGTTTGTATTCTATAACTTAAAAGAGTAACAAAATAAATAATGACTGACTTTTCTAGGAACAAATAAGTGACCAGTGAACAATGTTGCTAAATTATCTGGTGGCATTCGGTTTTTATCTGAATGTTTAGCAGTAAAATGAAGTAACTTAATAATGTCTTTTAATAATACTAAATTGTCAAATGGCAACAGTAGCAACAACAATTGTAAAGCTCTTAAAAAACGTTGACTATTATTGTTGATTTCCATTTTTTGACAAAATTCTGTAGAACAAAACACGATTGATTATTGAATGGATGCTTGATTTTATAATTTGATAATTTACCTGCTATTTGACAATAAGCTGGATAAAATGCTTCAGTCATTAAAGGTTCTGGCTGCTCTGCCAAAAATGATTTTAAAACTGTGGCACAATCATGAACAGTAAATTGACCATTGTACAAATCTAATGTTTGTCCTTGATTAAGGAGAGCTTTCAACTCTTGCTGGCGGGTAATGGATCCATTACGTCGGAAAATCCCTTCTTGGATAATATCTAAAAAGAAAAGATACTTATTTTGTTATGTAAATAAAATTTAACATGTTAAAATAAACACACTTTCTTCTTGGGATAAGAAATCGATAAGCTGATACACTTGACAAATTCCTTCTTGAGTAATTGGTGCACCATCCATAACTCCTTTAACGGGACATTTGTCTTTTTTCATAAATGACCATTTGATTGGTTTTATTTTCGACTTTTCTTCGACAGTACAGTCTCCTCTGGAAACGTAGTGTATAAGACAACAAACCGAGTATATAATATGCAGCTTAAACGAACGGTATAACTTACTCTTTTATGTTCGACTCTAGAATAAAAGATAAATGCATTCGGACTAACGTATAAAACTGTTCGGAGTCCTCTATGCGTAGTTTATTGGCGAGTTTCCAATCTTCGTTCATGTCCAGCAATTCCATTGCCATTGTGGCGGGTGGATACGAGCAATAGAAGAATTAGAAATGAAACGCGAAAACAATAGACTCACTACATAGTTCAATTCAAGTCTGCATAAAATATAGAAACTTGTTTGACAATCATTCTGTTGTTTCTGCTCACAAACGAGGTCCACACACACTTGTCACACGAACATTACAATACACGAATTTTGATGATTACCCTCGAATTACCCAACGTCTAACGGACAACGGTTTTTGTTTTTAATTATTTCATTTGAAATACGTTATACGGAAGATAGGAACGGTAAACACACTAAATACTGTGGTTAGGAACGCCGAACCGCGAATGCAAGTGCGGTGTGATTACGGGAAAAGGGAAAAATTGTCAATTCGATTTGTATTAGTGGTCACACTGCGCGCTGATGAGTGATGGGAGTATTGGGGCTTGGACATCATTTAGATAAACAGTTTTGCTAAAAGTCGCAATATATAGTATTATTTTTTTTTTTTTTGCAAACATATTTAATTCTCGTGCGGGTTATAAATACGTGCATCGTCGCTCTAAGTGCGGCAGGCGATATAATATTAATGTTCGTTTAAATGCACGTCCGCGAACCCAATGGAGGGTCCCGTATGAATTGTGTCCCCTGTCTTCATTGCAAAAACCTGTACGTTCCTAGTACCTAGATAGTACACACACACAACATCATCCACATCTCAAGAATTCCCCCAGGGCCAAATCCGCGTCCATGCACTCTACTCTCTCGAATAATATCTGGGAAAGAAAAAGTAAACGAGGCATTAAAAAAAACAATTTTTTTTTAAACATGGTCAAGGACGTCCGGTATTAAGGCCCATCCTACAGAAAGCCGCGTTCACCTCGTTGACGTCATTTTCACTAGCATCAGGCGTGGTAAGAAATATTATATTTTATCATCGTTTACGTCGAGTGTTTAAAAATTATGTACAACCTACTCGACGATTATTATTATTATTCATTTAGTTTTGCGTTTTGAGTAACTTATTTGCCATCGTTATCTTCGTTTTCCCGAAAACAGGTGCGATAAACAGGTATACATCATCATAATATTAATTACGAGCAATATAATGTAGAGATAAGGAGATGTGTCATTCAAGTAATGTTGTGTTTGTGTTGAATGGACTGACCACCGATCGCCTGCATTGCAGTGTTTATTATTTAGCCTATATAATCAGGTAAGGATTTTCGTTTGGTTGCTAATGTAAGACGATTGATTTTAAAATGTGATTTACCATATTATAGATTTTTCTATTAATTTTTTATTTGTTCAATGTGATTTACGTTTCGAGATAAAATAACATGAATATTGATAACCCCTTTATTCCCTAGCATCACACATAAGTTTTAAGTATCTACCAGTGAGTAGGCATTGCTGTTATTAAAAAAGCTAGTGTTTGTTTAAGTATGTTTATGTAATGTCCAACTAGGTACCATTATCTTTAAGCGGTTTGCATTTTTATGTTTTTTAGTCTTTACGCGTACAAATTAATATTTATGTTTTATGCACTTATACGTCATACATAATTTTACTATTTTCTGTGGAGCTGGCATACTTAATATAATTAACTGCCAACAGGAGTTACTAGTATCATACTTGTAAGTGATTACTGGTTGTTTTAGTTTGTTACATAGTCTTTTTGCTATAAGTGACATGAGCTATATGTAGGGCAATAATCGTTATTATATATTATTATATGTTATTATAGTTATTCTGTGATATCAATATGTAGTTGAAATTTAACAATATGATTATTTTACTTTGTGTTATAAAGTTCAAAGTCAGTTTATTACACACAGTCAAATGTAAATGAAAATGTTTTTACACTTGGAATGTAGTAGGAATGTTACAGCAAAGTTTATAGACTGTCAATTTTTTATTAATCCCCTATCTAAAATTTTAGATTTAAAGTATTTTAAGGAATTGTACGTATTAACGGACAATATTTATGAATTGTGAAATATTGAATAATTGTTGTATATTGTTGAGAGTACCTAGTTTAATATAGATAGTTAGTATTTCATCAAAGATTTATAGTGTTAAGTCTAAAGAATAAACAATTTATTATATATTCTATACTAATTGACTTTACTTAAAATTAATTTAATTTGGTAATAACAATATTATTTTCAGATATTAAGTAATAATTATTATACAATACATTTTATTCATTGATTAAAATATGAATATGTAGTTGATGAAATCAAATTTTTTGTTAACTTTATTTTTGTAATTTTTTGTGTTGCAGGTAGAGCGTTTTTGAACAATATGCTATTATTGGAATGATAATTATTTTGGTCATGCAATCAATACGAGTATATCATCCCGATTGATACTTAAGTTATATAGGGACATCAACAATATGTCGTTTTTAAGTGGTCTCAAAAAAGTGCTTCACCTGGGAAACAATGAAGCGAAAAAGAAAAAAGTGTTTAATAACATTCACATGGAATGTGATGTTGATGAATTTTGGGAAATGATAGGTGAATTAGGAGATGGAGCATTTGGAAAAGTTTATAAGGTAAGATTTTATTTCTAGTATTAAATTTACAGGCACAAATTATAATATTCATAAATTGTATTTATCTCACACTGATCAATTATGAGTTTCAATATAGTATTATATAATAATGCATTTAAATTTATTAATGAAATAGAATTATTTGAATTTTTTATTTATCAAATTAAGTGTCTATAAAAATATTATTTTTCCGAAAAACTAAAAATAATTAATTAATAAATATAAAAAATGGGTTTCTTGTTCTTTGAATATGTGTCTAGTTTAACAGATTGACTATAGGTATTTACTAAAAAAAAAATTCTGCAGTAATGGAAACTTCTTTTATTAGCAAAGAAATTGTATAATTTCCAGAAGTATCAAACTCGATTTGATAATGTTAAATTTACTGCTAGCTCTAATTCATGATTATTGAATCTAAGCAATCTGTCTGAAGTTGTAGAAAAATATAGATAAATCTAAAAAATATAATTAAAACTATTAACAAGACTTCAAAACATTTAAAACACTTATCTTTTGTCATATCTATGACGTCATAGTAATGTGATTTTTTTAATTATTGCTGTTAACTTTTATTTTAAAGTAAATTTGTTTGGAGGTCTAACATTTTTTTGTTTCATTGAAATAATTTCAAGAAGAACAAAACTCTGAATATTTTAACACGATCACCTCCGCATGTAAAACTCTGAACGGGTGCCAGTAGCCGTGATTTCCGATAAAATTTTGCTCACCCCGTCCTGCAATCTCGTGATAAAAATTAAACCAATCGCATGACATTAAGTATAGAAACATACTGCATACATAGCCAATGTAAAAAAAATGGTCGTTCCCCGATGGCTGAATCATTCATAAACGTATTTCTAGATATGTATGTATCTAGTAATGATCATGGATCGGCAGTGGAGGTGAACATGTTAAATTATTTGCAAAGTTTATGAATTAAAATTTTGATATAGCTTGTAATTTGTAATACAAATAATAATATATTAGTTAGGCTAATAAAAAAATGATTATATTTTGTGATTGATTTATGTATACTTTATTTCAGGCTCAACACCGTGAAACTGGACATTTAGCAGCTGCTAAAATGTGCACTTTAGAGGGTGAAGATGATCTAGCTGATTTTATGATTGAAATAGATATTTTATCAGAATGTAAACATCCCAACATTGTTCAATTACACGAAGCATATTTTGTTAACTCAAAACTATGGGTAATCAAATAACTCTTTATTATTGTGTGTATGTAAATAACATTTGATTTATTGTTTTTATTTTTTATAAACTTCAACAGATGCTAATTGAGTATTGCGATGGAGGCGCGTTAGATTCAATCATGGTTGAGTTAGACCGTGCATTAATTGAAGAACAAATAGCTTATGTTTGCAAGTATATGTGTGAAGCGCTATCTTTTCTTCATAAATGTAAAATTATCCATCGTGATCTTAAAGCAGGAAATGTACTACTAACAACAGATGCTGGAGTAAAAATAGGTAAATATTTCTTTATCAATAAGAACTAATTCATAAGTATACATTGGTTACCTGAAAGTTAAAATGTTTTGTACAATTATTATTCAAATATTGTTTTACAAACCAAAATTTAACTTATATTAATAATTTACAGCTGATTTTGGAGTTTCTGCCAAAAATAAACAGACACTTCAAAAGCATGATACATTCATAGGAACACCTTATTGGATGGCTCCAGAAGTTGTTTTGTGTGAAACGTTTAGAGACAATCCTTATGACTTTAAAGTGGATATTTGGTCATTGGGCATAACTCTTATAGAACTAGCCCAAATGGAACCACCAAATCATGAAATGTCTCCCATGAGGGTTTTGCTCAAAATACAAAAGTCTGATCCACCCAAATTGGAACAACCTTCTAAGTGGTCAAAAAATTTTAATGATTTCATTGCCCAAGCACTTATTAAGGATCCAGCTCAAAGACCAACTGCTGATAATCTTCTTAAAGTAATTTAATAATTATGTTAATAAGATCAATTTGTGTCCTCGCAGTAGATTAAATAAGCTTATAATAATTAAAGATATAAAAATGGTTATTTTTGTAAAACCGATTAGGTAGTCAAAACAGTCGCGAAGGAAATAATTTGAGGATAGAGAGTTATTTTAATTGTGATAAATTTGAAATATTTCTGATGAATTTGCATTATATTCAGAGTATAAAAAGCAAAAAAAAAATTTAACCTTATTTAGACGTTTTAACAAAAACATTATTTTTAGAAGTTAGTTAATTATAAATATTAATTTGTGAAATTTGTTATTAGCATCCATTTGTGAATGGAAATTTAGATCCAAAACCAATTCGAGATTTATTACTCGAATATAAAGCAGAAGTTGTCGAAGAAGAAGTTGTAGACGAAGAACCGGAGGTAAATTAATTTAAATTAGTTTAAATAAGAATCTGCATTATTATTGCATTGCTTGATTTAATAATTAACTAACACAAATTACCTATTTTAGTTTTTACAATATTGTAAAATATGCATTAGTATATATCATATCACATGTAAAGTTTTGCAATTAATTCTAATAATAGCTATATGACAAAATTTTACTGTTACTTGAAATAATTGGGAGGTATATAGGAAAGGCCTAAAGGTGTTGGCATCCCAAGGGCTTCAACGTTTTAGAAGGCTTACAAATGTTAAAACATTGCTACAGCCAATGTAGTATATAGAAGATAAGTCTTCAGGAAATTATAACAATAAATAGGGAAGTGTCTAGTTACAGAAATTCTATTAAAATAAGGAAACTACAAATATAATGCATTTTTTATATTATTAATTCAGTGAAAAAAAAAACTTAACAATGACTTGTAAAAATATTTGATTATACTGAACAAATTATTGTACATTGTGTAATCTATGGTGAACTAACAGTGACTATGTTAAATTGCTACATTTATTTGCACTGTACTAAATGATGATAAAAATGACAACATATTATATTAGTATTTGTACTACACTGGTACGGTGTGGCGCAGTGGACACCGCAGCTGCCGCAAGGCGCCTGCGGTTAAGCTGCGACTGGTACCGCTTGATCCCGGATGGGTGACCACCTGGGTTTTTAGCGGCAAACCACACCACTAGGCCGACCGGTGAGGACCAAGTTACCAAGTTAGCTATAATCCCGGTCAATAATGCCACACGCATTATTATTATTAGTATTTGTACTTATTAATGTTATTAATGCTGTTTAAAAATGCTTATTAACACAATTGAAATAAATCCACATATTTATTTCCATGCTTACGTAGTATACACGAGGTAGGAAGTACAGAAAATACAGGAATCAATATCAAAGGGTTGGTGGTAAGTTGATCTCAACCTGTGTGCACAATCCTTTTTAATTAATATTACAGCATGTAAAATAGAACTGCTAATATAATAAATGTGTAAAATATTTAACTCGAAAGGTATAAAACTATTTTAATTATACTAATTTTAGGAATTGCCTCAATCTACTCAGTTACCACCCCTGGATTTGGATGTAGTCGAAGATGATACTGTATCCCTTAAAAGTGAACCTGAAAATAAAGGTAAAATTTAGTTGTGTTTTTATTGCTGTAATTATAATTTATTATAAAATGAATTTCTTTTAGATATTAGGGAAGAAAAAGCAGAAGTACCTAAAAAACGTGAAATGGATGAACAATCATCAGACAACAAAAAAATTAAAAAAGATGAAGAGCTATTCACTGAAAACAGTGTATCACAAGTTCCTCTTCCTCCTAAAGAAGTATCATCAAAGAAAAATGTAAGTATTTAAGAAGTAAATTTATTACAACTAAAATAAAATAAATAAATACATTTTATTGTTAAATAAATAATAATTAATTAGAAATTGTAATCAGCCAAAATAATAAGAATAAATATGTTTATTTTTATAAGCAAATTACTGGCATTTTACTACTAACTATACACTAATATTCTGATATCGATTTTTCAGTTTTTAAAAAAAAAGAAAGCTGGTGTGAGTTGGTTAAACTTATTATGTAAATTATATTTATATGTTATTTACATGACCTGAAGATACTCCCATTTGTATAGGATCAATGGTTTGCTAGTGTTTCGTGTTGCTTATTTCACTATTACCTGTAAAGTGAGACAACTGTCTGATACGGTTATGAGTCAAACATTTATATAATTTGTATTCTATAAAAATCTAGATATAGAAGTATAATAGTGTGGCTAATTGTTACATTTGTGTTGCCTATTTAAAATATAGAGTTCTACAAAATTATTGAGTGTAACGTTTTTCTGAATATATCAATGTCAAAATGCATTATTTATGAATAAGATGTAGTTAACTATATATTTTTTTTTGTGTCATAATAAAATAGTAAAAAAATTGAAATATTTACTTTCTAAAATGTATTGTTCAAGACTCTAAATGAATATTATTAAAAAATCTGACATTAACTCTAGTATTAAACTCTTCAATTAAAATTCCAGATGATTAAAAAACATTCTGAACACAAAGGACCTGCGCCACCACCTCCTCCTCTACCACAACCAGTTGTCAAGCTGACCAATAGTGATGTGCCATCAGAGGATACAACTATTCTATTAAAACTTGAAGACCCAGATTCAAAAGAAAAAACTACATTAAATACTGAATCAAAAGATCACGAGTTATTAAAATCGAAAAATATTGAATGTTCAGAAATTAATGATTCTATTAATAACAATTCAGATTCTGTACAACAGACATGTAATACTGATGATAACAAACCTATATCTGATCAACTAGTTCAGCTGCGGAAACATGATGTACCTAGTCCTAGACCTGTTTCTATAGCTTCCAGTTCTGTAAATGGTTCTATTTCAACCACTATGGAAGATTCTCAAGTTAGAACTAGGAGAAGAAGTTCATCTGCGACTAATCGTAATCAAAGAAGGCCTTCACCTCCTTCACTCGATAAAGTCTTGCAAATGAATCAAAATGTTGAAAAAGATAAAATAAAGATGCCTTCAGCTGTCATGAATGAACTAAGTGACCGACTGCAAAACAATCAAAATGAGACTGACCCTCAAAATAATGGTAATTAGTTTTTAACAATTAATAATTAACAATATTAAAAATAATTATTTTTTAGTTGACCAATGTGACAATACCAATAATGGAGGAACTTTAGTAAGAGTTGGATCTTCATCTGCCATTGATTCAAATGTTACAGTTGTTACTACAACACATCCTCCAGTTCTACAAACACATCCTCCAGTTTCACAAACGCATCCTCCGGGTCTTCACACCCAAGTTATTATAGTTGCCGATGGTAGTACAAAATCACAGGTTTGAAAAATTGAATTTTGTATGTATAAAAAAAATAAATTTAGTGATAAATTACTTCTGCTGATAAATGCAAAACGTCACATTATTACGTGTTGAAATATCAGTTATTTTTAATTTTTCCAATGACTTATATTTATTGAAATATTAATTACCTGTTAACTTTTCTATTTATACTGTTGCTTGCCAGTATTTAGTTTTATTTTAAACTGATTTTTAATTGGATAAAATTTATGTAGTATTTTTCAATTGAATGGATATAGCCATAACACTTAAAGAGATTTAAAAATAAACTTTAGATTTATAATGTTGTGGTTTTCTTACTCATTTTAAGGTCGAGAAAACTGACGAAGTTGTGGTTATAAATTCTTCGCAAATCGATGTAGAAGAATTAGATGCTAGCCATGTTTCTGTTATAACTGTTGGAGAAGAACCCCATGCTAAAGAAGCTGATTTATGGAAAAATAAAATTGATCCAGAAGTGCCTAAGCCCATAAGAGTGCCCATAAATAGTGTTCCAGAATCTAACAAACTAAAGATGAATGGACGCAAGCCTGTGGTGAAGTCTTCTAATGAACCTTCTGAAGTATATATTGTCGTTAATAACTCGACAAATGTACATAAATTGGTGACTTAAATAGAATTTTTAACAATTTAAACTTTTTTAACATGTTTCTAACCTTTAGTTTTATTCTTTAGGCGAAAAATTTGTCTGAGGAAATCATATCTAACAATAAACATCATGTTTCCCCAACACGTTCTACTTCGTATTCGCATTCAGATAGTGGCTCAGCATACAGTAGTGGTGGTCAGCGGACGCCACCTTCTGCTGCTAGTACTCGTACATTTGACCGTTCAGATGCCGAAAGTGTATCTACAACAATTAGTCAGGATAGTCGCAGTAGTAATAAAGAAAACAGTCTGCCTCCTCGAGAATACGAAGAAGAAATTATACTGCGTAAAAAACCTGAATATAGCAGGGTAAAAATCATTTTTTTGTTTGTTTATTATTATAGTATAAAATATTAATTTTGCTATATTTAACTTTTTTCTTATCTTTATTCATTAGGAAATTAAAAGGACTAGTAGAAATATAAGTAAAGAAGAGTTGGAAATAAGAAACATGAAAAAGAAAACTAGAAAAAGGACTAGAAAATTTGAAGTAGATGGTGTTGTAGTAACAACAACTACTAGTAAAGTGATATATGGGGATGAAGATTCTAGTCATGGTTATAATGATCAGATATTTAGAAAACAAGAACTGAGAGAACTTAAAATGCTTCAAAAACAAGAGCAAAAACAATTTCAAGATCTATCGTGTAAAGCAGCCATATCTAAAGAACAACAAGATAAAAAATTTGAACAAGAAAGGACGGCATTAATAAAACAGTATGAAGCCGATTTAGATGCAATGGTTAAACAACAACGCCAAGCAGTAGAAAGAGCTGAAACGCAGCAGGAAGTTGATTTACGAATGACTTCTAAGAAGATTCGATTGGAACAAGTAAACAATTTTGTCAAATTTAATGTATAAGGTGATTTACTTTTTTTTTTTTTAATATTAAAAATGGTATTTTATTTTAGGAACGTGAACTAAAAGAATTTAGGGAAGGTTTAAAACAAGAATTACGTCTATTAAAACAGGAAGTTGATTTAAAACCAAAAGAAAGGCGAAAAAATTTGTTTAAAGACAAAAAAGAGAAGTTAGAGACTGAACACGAAGAAAGAGAAAAATTGTTCCTCGAAAAACTTAATGAGAATCATGAAAGTTCCTTAAGCAGACTGAGTGATGCCCATCAAGAAAAAATTGCACTTATGGAACGACAATATTTACAACAAAAACAACAAGTAAGCAAAAATGATTGTAACTTATACAACTATGTTTTTAATAAGCTTAGATAAAGTGTTATAAAACCAAATTTAAGAACATTTTAGACTAATTACTTTTAAAAAGATAATATCGTTTCCAGTCTTTTAAACTTTTTTCTTAGAATTAAAAGTTGTTTAAAATTTTGTACAAATTCATTAGGGTCTTTAATGATAGTATGTTTTATTCCAATACTTACCAGTATTGAATTTAATTTTAAAAAAATGGAAGCTAAAACTGAAATTAAATTTATTAAATAGCATTTATATCCTTGATTATAACAATATATCACGGTTTATATTATTATTTATGTATTTTTTCAAACATGCAATTAAATATTGGAGAAATTATTACAAAATTGGCTTTTAAAAAATAGAATAATTCAAGAATTGCAGGATTTTAAAATTAAATTAAAACTATGTGTACTTAAGAAATACCAAACATATTTTTATAATTTTAATTTCATTTGTGATCACCTTTTAACATCAATATATGTATTTTAAATAATTAAAATAATTTTTTTGTATGTATTTATAGTTGATGAGAGCTAGGGAAGCTGCTTTATGGGAAATGGAAGAACGACAAATCCATGAAAAACAACAGCTAGCCAAAAGACAACTTAAAGATGGATTTTTCTTACAAAGGCATCAGGTATACTTGAATTATTTTTTTATTAACTAGAAGCCAATTTTAAGTGTAGGAAAATTATTAAAAATTGCCTTAGCTAGTTACAGGAGATAGGAACCCATTCCGTCCAAATTGTTTGCTTTAACCAAACAAATATTATTCTTACTGTTTAAATAATGTGTTCTTCTAAATTACTTAATTTTTTTGACTTAAACATTATTTTTTTTAAGACATCTTATTATAAATCAAATTGTACATATTACCATAAAGACCAGAAGGAGGGGGAACCTTGTTGCAGAGAAAGATATTTTTATGAACTAATATTAGGAAGTTAGCTGTTTCTGAACTAATCCAAAACAAAATAGTGTCAGTTTCAGTCATAGATTTAGTAAGAAATCCCCTTATATATGATTGTGAAAATAAATTCAGATAAATTCAGAAATGCAGGTAAAATAGTGTTACTGATTGTTTTACATTTGCGTTGCCTAATCATGGTATATTTTATTTATGATTTTGCTAACCTTGCTTATTTTCAAACTGACAGTTAATTTAATAAAAAAAAGTTTTATCATTTAGCTATCACGTATCACGTCTATAATTGTAAACATTTTGCCTAAGCACATTTTTTTTTTTGTTTCTCTATTGCTATAAAAATAATAATAATAAATAATTTTTATTATTATAACTTTAATTACCTATGTTAGATTAGATGTTGTCTTATCAAACTAGCCCTCGTTCTAAAAAATTCTTCGGTCTAAGTTTTCAGCAAATTGTTCTGTAGACATTACATTTAGTGATAACACATTTTTGGTATTAATTTTGTATTTATTATTTAAATGTTTTCCACTTATATAGATAGCTGATATTTGTAATTAATTTAAAATAACTTATTAACAAATTATATATTTTTTTTACTTATAGATGTTGATAAGACATGAAAAGGAGTTAGAACAAATGAAGCGAATGAATCTACGCAAAGATGAAGAAATGCAAAAAAAATTGGGAGTTGAAAAAAGATCTTTGCCAAAACGTATACGTTCAGAGATGAAAGCTCGTGAAATGATGTTCCGCGAATCCGTACGTATTAGTATGGCAACAAATCCACACCCTGATCCCGAATATGAGCGTAATCGTCTCAAGAAGTTCCAAGAAAACGAAAAGAAAAGATATCGTGCAGAAACCCTTGCATTTGAAATGAAACAACAGAGACAATTAGAAGAACTTAGAATTGCAAATGATACTACCATTAGGGAGCTTGAACAACTCCAAAATGAAAAACGTGAGTAATTTTAAAACTATTAATATTGCCACTATAATCATATATCAAGTATAGTATAAATGGAAAACGTCAGTATTTGGACATAACATTTTTTTTCTTCATAATAATGTTAACACAGGTAAAAAAGTTTTGCTAATTACATTTTGTGTTGCTTATTTAGAGTTAATAGTAATCTATGTCAAAATATTTTCTTACCTAATTTAATTTTGTGTTTTTAGGTAAAATGCTCATGGAGCATGAAACAACAAAACTAAAAGAGCAAGAAGAATTGTATGCTCGTGAGTTGAGGGAATGGAAAGCTCATCTTAAACCTAGAAAACAGGTAACATAAAACAATTGTTTTGCAAATTAATAGTTTTGAATTCTAGCTACTGTATTGTTGAGTTAGTTTTTTTTTACTTCTTTCTTTTTATCTAATATTCCGCATCTTTTTCAAATTAATATTTTGATTTATTTACTTATGTAATTATGTACAAAACGGATTATAACCCAAAGTACAGTTGAATCATTTTATACTGAATATTTAAAATGATTTATTTAATAAACTGTTATATGTGTACATATTAAATATTTATTGAGATTAGATTAGTTTAGTAAAATATAATATAGATGATCTCTTCATTTATACACACGCCAATCAAGTATTATTAAGTAGTATACATTTGTTTGTCAGAACCTTGAGATGGAGCTAACGAGACAAGCCAAAGGGAGCCTATGGACCAATCGCTATTCGTTGCCTCCATCCCCCGCTACTACATTGCTCAGACGCGAGTATTCGTTTTCATCACTTGCTTCGAGTTCTCAATTGACCAACACCTCATTTCGTTCCTTAGGTTCTGGCTTCCTTCCCAGGCGTTGTATCAATGAAATTCCTAACAAATCGTTAAATCAGTCCACTATGTAATGTTTTGTGTAATATTTTGTCGTGCATTAATCGGAACAAGGGCATTTGATTATTACAAAGTATAGTAATTTGTACTATAATGTAGTAACATAATATAGCCAAATAGTTTACAATTAAATAATTTTATATCAAGATGTCTGTTATTTTTTTTCAATTCTAATGTATGTTGTCACTGTGCAAATGATGCATCATTTTTCATTTAAAACTCAAACCCACTAGTATGTAAGGTAACCTAACTAGCATATATATTATTTTCGTATGAATCCATACAATTTGTATAAATATATGTATTTATATTATTTTTCATATGGCTTGTGGTTATCATTCTCAATCATAAAATAATTAATTTGAGTATTTCTAAAGATACTGTACTTGCTACCATTGATTTTAAACCAGTAGTACAAATGAATAAATTAAATCCTAAATAATACTTTCATTGCTTAGGTATCCTAATAAAACATAATATTTGGCTAGTCATGTTTATAGTTATACCATTTTATAGTAGCCATTTAAAGTATTATATGTTTTATCGTTAAAAAATGTAATATTTTTGAAAAATGTATGTATCTGTTAATTCGTTTAAAGTATTTAGGATTTCAACTGAAATGATTTCTCATAATATGTATGAAATTAACATTAGCTTAGGTTATCTAAACGAATTATAAACAACTGTATACATTTGTATATATATATAATAAATAATACTACAACAATCATTAAACATTAATCATAAACTAAGATAAATAACCTAGTTTGTGGTGTTAACTTTTGCTACCATGATGTTATAAATAATTAGAAACCAAATTTTAGAAAAATATAAAATAAACATTATTAAAGTATTATACACAAAATATTTTTTTTCTATGTAATATATAGGTAAATAATATTTTAAAATTACTGTATTGATTACTAATTATTTATATATTTTTTGATGAACATTGTAGTAGCCAATTACATTTTTTTTTAAATATTATTTTTACGGTTATATGGCATTGCACTTATTTATTTTTGTACCATTAAAATAAATATATTATATTGTGCATGGCTATATTCATTTTTTTTAATATCTATTCATATTAAAGTATTTATCATTGCATATTATTAACTCTTCATTAAATAAGATCAGTATATATGTTAATGCAATACTGTATTTAATTCAACACTTTATTATTTTAATAATGCTTGTGTGGTATTTTTGCTTCCTTTTCCTTTGAATGCTTATCCCAGAGTGCTGCCACAGTATAAAACTAATGTAAGTAATTGTGTAATTAATAATAATTTGCTTGCAATTAGTTTTTTTTTCTCATTATACTGTATATTCCATATAATGATCATTGACGCAATTAAAGAGTTGAAATTCTAAAATAACTACTTAATTTATTATTAATTTGTTAAACATGTCAATTTCAGTAATAAATGACTAAATCACTAGAGTGGATGTCAATTTAGATTGTTTAAAAACTACCTTATCTCGGCTAGATTTAGATTATTGGTGGGAGCAAAAGAATAATTTTTATTTCTTCACTCAAAGTCCACTACTCTTAAAATTTTGTTAAAAGTAGTTGAACATTAACAGACAAAAATAACAAAACAAGAAGTCTATATTTTGCTAATTATAATAGAAAATAATCCTTTTTTTTTTTTAATAATTCAATAATACCCCAATTAAGTTTTTGCGACAACTATGACCTCGAAAAATTGTGGCGTTTGTCTTCTATACCTTTAAACAATTAATCACTGTCTCGAGGTAAATAGTATTTGTTTTGCGCCAATGATTTGTATTTTATTCATATAATTTTATTTCATATTCCAACATTGTGTAATAACTTGTTTAAACATAATATTATATTGGACTTGACCGTTATTTCAGAAATTAGAAGAACAGTTTGCGATACAACTGGAAGAACAAGAAGCTATATTTGGGCCGGCCAACAGTATGCTGCCATTAGATACAAGTCCGCCATCCCATCACCATTCTTATCATCACAGAAGTTCCACTCGGAGCAGTTTATCTTCTATGTCGGCAGATTGACTCAACTTGTAAATATTATAATTGTAATACCTTTATGTACACACCTATTTTAAGTATTTTTTTTTTTTTTTAGTTAAATGTGCCAACTTTGCCCTCATCCTGTTTCTTTAATAATGCAATGTATAAATTATATTATACTACTCAATACTTCTTAACTTAAATGTTTTGTATACATACATTTTTTTTATATATATTATATATAATTATAGTTAATAAATTACATTTTGTTTTTATTTAAATGGAACTTTTCATTGTCTACTAAAGAACTTTTAATGTTTCCAAATTCTTTGTTGTAACTAAAAATGTTAGATTTTTTTATTTTATTAATATATATATTAAATATAATTAGCATACACAAAACATGCAGAATATCCTATAATACATGTAAAATAAACCAATAAATAATAAAAACATTTAATATTGAATACAACTAAATAGTATGTACAAAATGTACAAAAGTATGTTTGATATAAATCACAATTATACTCTTTTTTTTATGTTGGTATACAAACTTAATTTAAACGAGCTTTTTGGCTTCAAAGAAGCTTTTCAAATGTCGCATTTGCCAGAAACCCATGACCAACAATATGAATAGTTGTGTGAGCGACCACCAAAAGACCCTTTGGTGAGTACTTTCACTGGTTTGACGGAATCTCTCTTCACGATACTAAAACAAAAAATATTTATGTTAAAAGAAAATACTTAAATTGAAAATATATAAAACTTACTTTAAAATTATAATGTCTTTTTCAGATTACAAAAAAATATAAATAAATAATCAAATTTATTAAGGGAATAAGTTAAATTTGTATCTGTCTAATATGACTAATTAAATAAAATGTATAAATTATACATGGTTTTAATGTTATTTTAAATCAAATTAACACTAATAGATAATAAGTTTAATTAAAACAAATAAGAAATGAGCATTGAAGGATTAAAATAAATTATATACCAAAAAAAAAAAAAGAATAACAAAACATAATTTTATCATAAACAGTTAAATAATAAAAGATAAATTTATATTTATTGCTTTATCTAGGTTAAAAATTATTATTCAAACAATGCTCATATCTGGGTATAATATATATTTTTACCTAGTAATTATTTTTACTCGTTTTGATTCTTAATATGAAAATGTCTGTTTTGCACTTTCAAAATAGTATTACAATATGTTAATAGCAAATAAAAATGATTTTCTATTACTCATACATATAAAAATGTGCAGGGTTGTAGAAATTTTATGTTGCAGCAATTTTTTCTATTAAATAATTTTTTTTATTTAATAACATTTATGTAAAATCTTTATTATGTTTTAGCAATAAAAATTATATTTTGTATTAGAGTTAAAAATATTATTTAAAACGTTTAATACTGAGGGATGACTTTATAGGCTAAATATCGACTTACGCCACTAAAAATAATGACTGGTCGATGACCGGTTATAGATAAATATGACTTTAGTTATTAACATATATTAGGGGTGGGGTAGACTGTAATGTTTTTTATACTCACACGAACCCGTACTTTCTTTCTCGCCTAAACTTTAAATGCTAATAACTCTAAAAGTATTTATTCGAAACTATTTATAGACAAGTCTTTATTTTCATTGCATTATTCTGCTTTTAAATTTTAATAGATAATTAAAATATGTATGACGTTATTTCAATTTTAACATTACCCTTTAAGATAATATTTTTTTGATAAAACGTTTATTTGATTGAACCAATCATTGTAACAGTTTGGATAATCCTTATTACAAGATAAAATATTTCTTACTCTTTGATAACTTTGCTCTTTGCTTATTTGATCAACTTGCTCAACTAGCTGTCTTATTCTTAGCTGCAAGTCCGATAACTTTTCTTTTTGTGCTACTTGAGCGTAATCAATAGCTTGATCACCAACTTGAATATCCAAATGCACTCTCTATATTGACATAATTGACTACAATTAAAAAGAAACGTCTGGTAGAATAAATTGTATTTATTTGAAACTTACCAATTGTGTGCCACCAATCCAGGCAGTAGTATTGGAATACATACATATGGTATGTTCGCCTGGAGTATGAGATGTAAATGAAATTTTACCTTCGTAACTATAAACCTGAAACAAAACACATAGGTGTGAATAAAAAGAAGTTTCATCAAGCATTGCTATACTATATTCAGGTTAGGATGAACCGCTTTCGCGCATGCAGACTGAGCTGCCAAACACCGTTGGACCCTTTTGGCAATCGCTATACGTTCTGTGATTAGTCATCAATCACAAACGACAGCTGTCTAGGCCTAGGCGCGGATCGTCTAGTGAAGGAGGGATGCACAGAGGTAACGAGTTTTTTCGTCAACCAAGCGGTTCATTCTTAAACTGAATACAGTACAATTGCCTACCCGTGATAAAATGATTTTCATATCTGGATCTTTGACTTCTACGTTCATACCGATACCCGGAGTGGGTGGCGTAAAGCCTCCAGTCCGTACGTCAAACAGCTCGACTTTATAATTAGCTAAAAACATTAATTTATAAGTAGGTATGCGTACAACATATTAAATAGTATTATATATATTTTTCATTTTACTAACATACTACAGTGGTTTCATCGGGTATTTCTTCAATGAAGCATTTCCGTTCCGTCTCGCCAATATGAAAGTACAAACATTGAACAGAGCTCAACAAAATTGCAAACACCAACAAAAGAACCTTCATTGTTGTTAATGTTCAATTATGAGATTGCGATATTATGAGAAAGAAGCAAGAACGAAGAAACAATTATATTTCTATTTCCTCGTAGAAAAAATCGGAATTCAGATTTTAGCGGTGTGTACTATATGAACTTAGAAGCAAAACCATCTGGTATCTAATACCAATAGCGCAAAATATACACCTAGTACACGTCATTATTGTAAGCTGAATTCTCGTATACAACATCAATGTTGACGTTTGGTGGTCAAGTAACTGCTCTCTGGTGTCAAGCATGAATACTAAAGTCTCAGAAGTGGCTTTCAATCTTATCACTACCACTATTCACGGCTTATTTGTTTTTTTTATACGACGATTTGAATTTTACTAAATATTCCGATAATTTATTTTAGTTTCCAATTTTCCATGCGGAGTTGAGAAGGTGTGGTGCTCTTTTACATTGATTTTTTTTTATTCTATTACGAGCTCATAACTTTAGTAATAAGATTACTAAAGAAGTTGGTTGATGGTTTGTATGCATAATAGGCGTATATTTAGATTAATAACGAAATAACGAATAACGATATTCTGAGAAAATTACCTTCGGTCTAATTTTCAAGCCCAAATCTCTAAGACTTCTTAATAAAGTGTAAAGAAATTTCTAATAAGCGTTTTAATTTGTTTATTGGTATGAATTTTTGTCAATAAAGTGCTGTATAGTATAAATGTTATCTAATATTTATATAATACAAGCTGTTCCGACCCGGCGTTGCTCGAGATTTAGTTTGCCAGGCCTGAGTAAAATAATTACAAATAAGATTAAAAAAGTCAGTTCTCCACGCTGTACATTGTAGAGCTTTAGCATACTCCGTCTCAGCTTTCTTTTGGATCTACATATGTACATTACATTATATTGACAGACAGACATTCATTTTTATACATATATATTTATATGTATACAGTATAATTTACATTTAATTATATTTTAGCTTCGATTTTATAATGAGTAGTTCGTCAGAAGAAGATATTATTATTGTCCTAGCTTGCCATGAAATAGAAACTTATTCAACTAGGTTGTGGGTTCATGATATAAATCGTAAAAGAAGTGAATTTGGCAAATTTCACTATCTATTTACGGATTTATTAAAAGACGAACAGACATTTTAAAAATATTTTAGAATGTCGAGCAATAAATATTTTGAACTGTTAAAATTAATACCATGGAAACATCGAGATACTCGATTTCGGAAAACTATTTCACCTACAGAACGTTTAGCAGTGACACTGAAGTAAGTTATTTAAAAAAAAAAAATTATTATTTAAAAATGAATTACGAACTAGTTTTATATTTTTACATTTAAGGAAAAAAAACATTTAAAATTATATAGTAATAATTACATTTAAAAAGGTTTAAATAATAATAATAAAAATTATTTTTAATTATTATAAATTATAATAATTTGGGTTTGACTCCGTTTTGTTTGTTTGTTGTGGTTGATGTTGCATGGTCGATTGCTGTAAGTTTTTTAACTTGTACTCCGTCACCAAACCTGAGATTCTTGATTTAATTTCAATTTGTAAATGTGGTTGAAATGTTCTCACAGTTTCCTCCATAGCTTCGAAAAACTATTCAAGTGATCTTTTTTTTTAGAAGTCTGTTTTTGATCAAAATAGTTTTGTAAAACTTTTGCCATAGCTAATGGCTGGTTTTTTTTTTGCTTAAATGAAGAAGATGGTGTTGCCGATGGCACGGGTAATAAATCAGAATTATTATCGATTTTACTGGACTTTTCTTGTACACATATGTCCATCATGCTATTATTTGCTCAAAATAATATCATGCTGATTAATTGTATGTAATATTAATTAATATGTTGATATAACCCCCTTTACTTTACACTTTACTTCTATTTATTGAAAGTTTGACATTGGTATTATTTGTATCATAAATATATTGTTATTATTTGGTATAGAAAATAAATGTGTAATTTGATTTTATACATGTTTTGCGTCATTCATTCGACAACTTTGTTAATTTATAATAAAACAGTGGAGTATTTGTTAAGCACATATTTTAAACGCGACAACGTTCAATTACGATCATTGATTATTTGAGATCATTAGGTAACTTTAAATCTTAGGTAAATGCTACAATAAAAAAGTGTGTGCTATTGACTTATTATTGGATTACATTTTGAAAATAGTCCATCAACTAAATTGATTTAATTAAATTTAATATTCTCAATTGACATGTACACTTTAACAATTGACACGGTTACTATTTAATTTTACTTTATTATTAATGTTATTGTTAAATTTTAACATATTTAAGTACATGTCATACCCCATATGTAATTAGAAGGTCGACATAGACAGTTTTGATTAAAAACTCTACTTAGTGTTGGAGAATTTAAGGGACTCTTTCAATTCATTTAATTTTAACCACTAGATATTTAAGAGATTTAACACGATACAATAACCAGAAAAAGTAAAAAATATTTGACTTAATTATTATTTAGGTAGAAAACATAATCATCGTTATCAAAAGTATCTTATAAACTGTTAATTAAGTATTAACTACTAATATTTAAAGAATGTTATGTATGCAAATAAAATGACATTTTTTGTTAGTTTTGTTTGTGTTGAATCAAATTACACAATTTTAATTTACATTTGATTAACAGTTTAGGTACATTGAAATAAATATTATATCGGTAGTGTCTATTATAATACTGATTTAGAAATTATGATAAGATTGCTATGCGATTGCTAAATAATTTGTTAAAAATCCTAAATTGCTGTTAAATAGTGAAGTCGTGTTAGTTGATTAATAAATAAATACAATTGTTTCTTTACAGATTTTCAAAAAACATTTTTTTTTTTTTATTAATAATAATTTCAGAACATTAATAAAATTATTAATTTAAAGTATACATATAATAATTAGATTAACCTTATAATTACTATATAGGTATTAGTTTTAAAGCAACTAGAAATTGTAAGGGCTTTAAGTAATTTGTTTTCGGGCATTTGAGGAATACAACATAATTTTTTTTTTTTTTGAAATTTAATTTAATTAAAAATAGTAAATGTTTGGGTACTAATCAGTTATACATTTATTATAATAATATATTATATATATATATATATATATATATATATATATATATATATGGTTACCGTGATGTGCGGTTTAATAAATTAAAATATATTTGAATAGTAATTTTCTATAATATTTACAATAATTAATAATATAATATGTATGTTATATTATAAGGTACAAAAACACAATACGGGAAGTTATAAATAAAACATTTAGGTAACCCGTTGAAAAATTAAACCGATTAGAAATGTTAAATAACCATCATTTAGTTTGCAAATAGGAAATAAACAATGAGGAGTACTTGAAACTAAAAACAAAAAAAAAATCATCAAAAGGTACAACTTGTATGAAGGTAATCGTATAGAATCAGCTTGCGGATTTCGGATTTTGGTCTCAGGTAGGTAATAAGTATATTTTGCATGCATATTATCATCAATTTAAATGGGAAGTGTAAAAATAAGCGTTTTAACAGTTATAAGTTGAAAATTTGTTTAATAAATATAGATGATTCAAATACTAAATAAGTAGGTACAATATTTTTTGTATATATAGGTACAGCACAACTTTTTATAACGCCTTTGCTCATCGATAGATAGAAATAATATTGAACACTGCGTTATTTACATAATTTGTTTGCGTCGTATGCATAATATATTTATATATATATATATGTATATATATAATTGTTCATAAAGGATAAGACGAATATACACAAAACAGTCAATGGTCAACCAAAAAAAAAAAAACATAAATTCTAAATGTAATACACATTTATTCTCTTTTTTTTTTTGTGATTTTTAATTTTTTTTTAACGAATTCTACACTTGTACACTATACAAAAAGACGTATAAAAATAAAACATTGAAAAGGCCCCTCCGCACAATAGATGTGTGCCTTTTTTTTTGCTCCAAAGTCGTACACACACATACAATATACACGATATACCTATTACGTTTGTATACATGTCTTCATAACTGAAACCAATGCACCAGATAATTGATTATTTCCATTGTAAAAAAAAAAATGACGGGTTTATACTTAGTTATATTTTGATTTATTCTGTTGATTATTTTAACTGGTTTTGTAAAAAAAAGAAACAAAAAAAAGAAGCTATTTCGCACTACCTAACTTGTACGATAATTACCAAAAAACTATTATTGATATTATAATGCATATAAGTAATAGTAAAACGTCAAATGTGCATCTTATCTTAGGCGGGTGTATATCATTACGAATATACATTGTTTTTAAATCTGAATAAGTATTTTTTTTTTTTTTTTACATATAAATAATACCGAGTAAAATATAATAATATGTTATTGTAAAATTAATTTGTATAATATATATATATATATTGTATTAAAAAAAAATAATTATTTTTAGTAGGTAGATAGGATAAACTTAAAAAAAAATAATAATAATAATAAAAACAAAATTAGGAGTAGGTAAGATAATACGAATGGCGAGTGAGACGATAATAATACTATATATATATAAGGTGCAAGGGTTACGGCAGAAGAAGGTATATACAAACGCTAACGGTCCAAATGACAACAATGAGTAACTCGATCAGTACGGACAGGCTGGCGTACACGGTCATGTAGGTGAACAATTTGTCCGTCCACTTTGGCCGGTGTTGTACGCCGCCGCCGTCGCTCTTGCGGCTGCTTTTGGCTGCGATGTCTTGGTTGTCGTGTTGATGGTTTTGGGCGACCTGAGGTAGTACGATTACGTGCGGTACGGGTAGTTGGGGCAGTTCTATGGAGGGGCCTGGTAGTCAATAGCATTTTTTGGCGCACGCACATTTCCGTATGATGTCAATGTCTTTGGTGTATCTGGTGCCGTCGTTGCATATCAAACGCACCTTGCGCTTCTTGGTCTTCTTGGCCCGGCAGCAACTCGTGCCGCAGCCGCCTTCGCACTTGGCCATCTTCAGCGGCTTTCTGGATCTGCAGTTGTTCTCCGTGTAGTACTCGCGAACGGCTACTTTCTTGCACGTGGGACCTGCACAACAATCAGACAACAAGTCGGTAAAAATATATCAGAAAATAAATGGCAACAATATTCTAACGAGTTGTTGAATGGAGGGTTAGTAAATCAAATTAAGTAAGAAAATGCACTGAATGAATTTTAACAAAGCTGAGTAGGATCCGATGGGTTGCTCGTGAAAGTATGGAAATCACAAGGAATTAAGTGATTATAAAAATGTTTACCTACAACAAAATAATGCGCGAGAGAGAAAATGTCAAATATTTTAAAGAAAAGATACAGTTTTAAAGAACGAAAATTTGTCCAGGAATGTTTAAAACTAACGACCCTCACAAGAGAGTAGTGGAAAGGTTGGGTAGTGTCAAGAGAGACAGTTCTGAAGAGGAAAAGTGTCCCAAGAATATTATGTGAAATAAACAAAAACTAGTTTTATAAATGTGTGTGGTGACAGGTCACATTAGTCCATACTTGTTTTCATTAGTAATGGATGAAATTACTAAGGACATACAGGACGACGTACATTGGAGTCTATTGTTTGCTGATGATATATTGGTATATCATATCATCTAAAGTTATCTATGGTATAGATATATTGGGAGTTAAATTAGAGCAGCGGAAGGAGGCGTTGGAGAAAAATAGCTTGAGTTAAATATGTCGAAAACAGCATACTTTTTAGAATCCTATAATACTAGAGTTAAAGGTAATGAGGAGGGTTCTTAAAACTAGTTACGCTTGAAGAGGAAGTGGTAAATAAAGTAGAGAAATGTAAGTATAAAAAAGGGTGGTTAGATGGGCCAGAAAGAGGCTAAGAGCGTTGTGTGATAGTGAGGTGCCATTCAGGTGAAAGTAGAATTATTGTATAAAACGGTAGTAAGGTCAGGTGCATACCTTGAGTACAGTATTTTCCGGACCAGCCCGGTTGGCACTTGCAAACGTAGTCTTTCAAGCCTTTGGGTTCGCACTTGCTGTCCTTGTGGCATTGGTTATTGAAGCACGGGTCTTCTTCTTCGTCCTCGTCCTCGTCCTCGTCTTCTTCTTCCATGGTGCCTTCTTGCGGTTCCACTTGCTCCTCGTCGATCATGGTTGAACTCTGTTCGGGTTCGGGGACGTGCGATTTCACGCCTTCCTCTTCCACCATCTGTTCCTCGTCCTGGAGCAGCGAACAGCCAGGTGTGACTTTCTGTTGTCGGGCCGCGTTCATAAAGTCTACTAGCTTGTGGTTCACCCAAAGCTCTTTCATGCAACCTGCAAACAAAACAAATGCTATCACACCGTTCCCCATACGTCAGTTTCGACAAGCGCTTACCGTTGAAACTCGTCAAGTTCCTCAGATGGAAGTGGTTGAAAGCTTCTGCTCCCGGGTCGGTCGGTATTCCTCCGATGTACAGCGGCGCAGTTAGTCTGAGGTAATCCCTCGATCCCTCGTTGATGATGGACCGGGCCACGCCTCCGTCCACTCTCAGAGTGAAGTTTTTCCTGACCGCCAAGAGTTCTACCATGTGTTGTTTGCCATCGGCGACCATTTCAAAACTGTAAGCAGGCACACAACATATGAACAAAGACATTAAACACAATACCGGTCAAGATATACAAACCTGTACATGGTGGAAACCGGATAATTGCCAACGTCGTAGCTGACTCTGATGCGACCATTGAAAAGTTCGACCGCTAAATGTTCAGAATGGCCGTCGTACATCAAGATACCGTTCTCTTGGGTGGTCGTGAACACTACCGTTACGTTAGCTTCGGGTTTGGTTCTCAGAGGCTCGAGCTCCACGAACGAAGTGTTGTGCACAAAACTCAAACTAGTCAGGTACTCGCACCGTTTTCCTGTAAAACCATTTACGTCGTTATTGGGTGTAAGCTATGGGTGGGACGAGACTGCAGCCAGTACCTGAGTATCCCGGAGCGCACTTGCACAAGTAATCGTTGGTGGAACCGTTCGGTATGTAGCAGATACCGTTTTTGCATTCGTGGTGTTGACAAGGTGACGTCTGAGGATACATGAGCGCTACCATGGGGGCGATGTCACAGAATTTGCCAGCATAATCTCCGACGCACTTGCACGTGTAATCGTTGATGCCATCAACGCACAAACCGCCGTTCTGAAAACATTTCCTTAGTCATTAACACGAGCACCGACTGACTTGCTAATGAAAATATTCAATACAATCTTAACTCACTTGACACATGTGGTTTTGGCAATCGTCGTTATTGATCGTGCAGTTGTCGCCCGAGAACCCGAGTGGACATTCGCATGTGTAATGTGTGACGTGATCGACGCACTTGGCTCCATTGTGACACGGGTTAAAGTCTTTGGAGCAAAACTGTATTTTCGTTTGACAGTAATCGCCTGCAACGTTCAAGTTATCGTCACGTTAAAAAACATGCCAGAAACGTTGAATAGACCGCGTACCTGTGTATCCTGGTTGGCAGCGACATTCATACGCCTGTATCAGATCGACACACGTGGAATTGTTATCACATTTGTTGGTCAGACAGTCATCGATGTTGGTCTCGCAACGATCCCCAGTGAAGCCGGATGGACATTGACAACTACACAGATTCGGGTGTTTTTATTCATGTGGAATGGCACACGTTGGTAGTAAAACTTACCTGAATCGGCCTTCTTCGAGTAATTTGCACGTTCCCAAATTTCTACACGGGTTTCCATAGCAAGCATCTATCATGTGTTCGCAGTGTTTACCGTGGAACCCAGGATTACATCTGCATTTGTATTGTCTCTCCGGTAGTGGCTCGCAAAAACCTTCGTTGGAGCACGGATTCGTGAAGCACGTGTTGCATTTGGACAGGATTTCCTTGCTTATCGGTTCTAAATAATCGTGAAGAAACAATTGTGAGTACACAGTAACATCAAGTGGCGTGTACCGCACCGACTGAACTGACCTTTGCAAACGAAGCTCGAGACGGGTGTGGACAACAAGAGTTTGTCTTTCATGGTCGCAGGCTCGGCGCATCTAGCAATACCGGATTCGATGAAATCTTTTTTAATCCATTCCGCGAGCCATTGCAGGCTACAGTCACAGTACAAAGGATTGGAACCGATTCCCCTGGAAACACAAAGTATGTATCATCGTGTAACATATTTACTGTAAAAATTGATTTCCAAGTGTCTTACAAGTGGGTGATCGAGTCGAGACCGGAGAATGTGCCGTCGGGTATCAATGAAATATTATTTCCGTGTAGGGAGCTGAAAAGCAAAAATTGGGTTTAAGTTATTTTATTCTGGTTTTCATTTGGCAATCCAAAACAACTCACATGATTCTCAAAGACTTCAAGCCGGCGAGCGCGTTCTTTTCAAGACACTGTAGTTTATTGTATCCCAATAATCTGAAAAATGTAAACGTAATATAATAGATTTATAGTTCACGGTTTCACAGCAATCGAAAACTTACAGTGTAGATAGCTTGGACAACTGCGAAAACGTTTGATTCGACAACACGGTTAGATGGTTATTACTTAAATCCCTATAAACAAGCCAATCGAAATTTGTAGTATAAAAAAAAGCCATTAACTATTACGCGTTAAATACTTACAATCTAGTAAGTGATTTAAGGTGGTTTAGTCTGTCCGCGTTGATTGAAGTGATTTCGTTGACATCCAAATACCTATTGATTATTATGCACGGTTAATACATTTTTTTTTTAAAAAACCAATAAACCCTTAACTACTAAGCACAGGGCTTAGAACTACTTACAGCTCAGAAGTTTCGACTGGAATATTTTTCGGTATTTCAGTTAGTTTAGATCTTGTACAACGAACCACTGTGCCTATACAGGTGCACTTCGGAGGGCAATAGTTATCGCCCAGACAACCTTGGTCGTTATCGCCTGAACATATTGTTCATCGGTTATTTTATGTGTAGGTACTTTTTCTATATATTTTATGTAATGTGATAGTTACCTGTGCACTTGAACTCGTAGGATGGTAAATCGTGAATAGGCACATCCATTACGCGTGGAGGTCCAGCGCAACGGGGACTGCCCGCTATAAGCCCATGCTTTTTCAACCATTCGGCAAACCAAGCGAGATGGCAGTTACAGTTGAACGGATTCATTTGTAAGTTACTAAATACATTAAATTAAAAAAAAAACAATCAATTAACGTTAAATAAGTTAAGTTCATACACTACCGTAACCACTTACAGTGAGCGAAGTGCTGGTAAATAGTCGAACGAACCTGGCATAACACATGTGATTTCGTTGTTCAACAAAGTTCTGAAAAAACAATCAATTAGTTAGGAAAACTCCTGTAAACGAACTTTTGGTTTATACATACAAAATTTTCAGATTATGAAGACCGATGAACATTTTGTTGTGCACTTGGCGTATCTTGTTCTCGGACAAATTACTAAAATAAAGTAGAATTAAGTCCAATGTTATTCGATATCCGTTTAAATTATTTACTGCGAATTGTTCGTTAAGCAGATGTGGGCATACTTACAGCTCATACAACTTAATGGCACCCTCGAAAGCATTGGCTTCCACGCTGCTAATAATATTTCTCTTCATTTCCAATTTTTGAAGATTGGGCAGTCGGCCAAACAGTCCGTCTGATTTGATTTTTCCGATTTCGTTGTCGTTCATAATCCTTGAGAATAAAAAATAAAAATATATAAAAATTACTTTTAATTGTTCAAGTTTAATACTGATACACGTTTATTGTCTTTTAGCTACATGATTTACTTACAATTCGGTTGTGTAAATCGGTATATCCTTGGGAATCTCGGTTAAAGATCTTGCCGAACAATCCACAACTGTGCCGTCACAAGTGCAGTTAGCTGGACATAAGCTATCGGCAAAACAATCGCCTGCGCCTCTAGTTTTAATGTCATCGATACCTATTTTCATAAATAGTTAAAAATATAATTGTTAATTTTAAGTTTCCAATTAACCATTAATACCGATTCCTTAAAATAATTAATAACATATAGGTGTTATTTTTAATCACTTTACAACTGACACATGTATATGGCTAACAACCATTACTTATCCTAAGTAAGAGTTGTAAATTGTAATTCTTAATGTTTTTACTTTAATTTTATATTTTTATTTAGAGCTACAGAAGTGTTTTGTAAAATTCTATGACTTGTTTTTAAAAAAAATCTACATTAATAAAAAATGTTTAGATAAATAAAGTATTTTGACTCGACAAGTAGGTATTGTTAATTATTTAAGCTCCGAAATAATGGCGTTATGTTCCTTTTTTAATGTATACATTGAAATTTAGTTTTTTAATGGATAATCTTTATTTATTTTTTTAATGTTAAGTAGATAGCTGATGTAAAACCCATTACTATTAGTGTGTGCTAGTAATTATTGTTACTGTTGTATAGTAATAACTGCAGCTGCGGTATCCCAGTGGACTTACATTTAAATTTGTCGTTGCTAAGTCCATCAATTCTTCGTTTTTGTAACTTTTTCGGCGATTCGCAACGTGCGGCCGACGTTTCGATTGGATTTTTATGCAAATAATCTGATAACCAGCGCAAGTTGCAGTCGCAGCTAAACGGGTTTCTGCCCAAATGCCTGAAATAATAAACAAGACCGGTATTTAAGTTTGTATTCCATTTGCCTCGGCGGTGGTAACACTAATAATAATAATATTATGTTTTATCATATCGAGTGTCGTCTTGGCCAAAGTTTGATTGTTTTGATGCGGCTATTAAATCCAAACGGAGTGATCACAGCAAACAATGGCACAGACAAAAGACGGTTGTCTAAAAATAATAATAATGGAAGGACACATCTGGCAGCGAACTTCAAGATGTTTTTATTTATGACGAAAGGAAATGATATTTTTCGACTTGAAAGTTTTCACGACTAAAGTTTTTCGATGCTAATACAGTGCGCGACTATTCATGACCGTATTTCTCGTTATGAACAGGAAACCGGAAGTAAATATCCGCCCGGTGGCGAAAAAAAATTCCGAATACACTCGAGATTTAAGTACAGTTCATATACATATATACATTGGGTTTTTTTAAAAGTTCATCATCCTATTATAATTTTTTTTTTTTTTTTGAGGGTAGACTGACGTTTTCGTTTTAACGATTTTTTTTTTTTTTTTTTGAAATAAATGCAAATGCGGTCGGGCGGTATTTGAATTAATTTGTTTTTAAGCCTGTCGTTTATTTTTGGTGGCGAAAAATACCTGACCGCATAGATTTGGATCACGGTTGCCCCGGCAAATGTCAAACGGTATTATTATTTTTTTTTTTCACAGCGCCACAAGATTACCATAAGACTTAAAGGCGTAAAAAAACACTTTAAGGTGTGTTCTGATTGTTACTTTTTTACCGTCCACCGGGGACGGTTTAAGTCGCTCCTCGGCCTCCGAGGCGGTATTCAATACCGTCGGAGTTTTAACATTAATTAAGTCGATGAAAATTTAATTTATTCATGAAAGCTTGTTCCCTCGGGCAGAGATTTAATATATTTCAATACATAAAACGCGATTGTTCTCGTCGAACGACGATTTTTCACCGTTCAATTTTAAACGTATTGTCATGTTAGAAAATAACTACATAGCTGCTGCGACAAAATTAAACTCAATAGGGCGATAACCCTAGATAGCAATAAAAATGACCGTAAAATTACTGCTCATAATTACACAAATTAATCTAACATTCTGAATAGGACACTTCAAGTTAACAATATGAACAGCGTACGATTTTATATGATTTATAAATAAAAATATGAATCACTTTTTGTCTGTGTGTCGTTTCGAATCTTTGTCGTTTTAATAGTTCAATAAGTTTGTGTTCAAGAATAACGTGTCAAGTCTAAAATTTGAAACGCTCAGTATTTAAAAATTAATATTCAAGCACAAAATTATTTTCACAAACGTGTTTATAATATTTTATCAGTCGTTATACGTTTGTAAAATAAACTTCAAAATGGTAGGGACTATTTTATCACAAACACCGCTCCATCATATCCAGTTTGTTCGTTCTCTTGCATAACTAATTTCAAAATTCTTGAATTTCTTTACTATATTCGTACTCCAAGAATAACAAGTTTTCTATACGTCATCCACACGTTAATTGTAAACTTAAACTTTAAATATTCTGCTCTTTTCTAAATCCATTTTGCTACAATTTTAATTTCTAACTTTTCTGTATACTTTCATCCACTAAAACTACTACATCGACCGCAAGTAATAGTCACCAAGATTCCTCGTCCTATATACGTCTCTTGTAAGTTCATCTATTAGTAAAGAAAACGATCATATTGAATTGAGTTGAATTAATTTTCTACTCTCGCTGGGAATCCTTCCGTTTAACCACACCCTCATTCATATTTTGTATCTTTTATTATTCATTTATATACATTATACATTTTTAAAATGTTTTCATTTTTTCACAGTCTATTGAAATCGTATTCGAAATTGTCCATTTTGTTGATGTTCTAGGAAAACTGGAGAATTTAAAATATGATTAAATTGTCCAGACCAACGTGTGATCAGCACACAGTGTTTAATAGGGCATCGAGGAAAATGTTAATTAAACGTCGAATTTATTGTCGTGCGGGAATAATAAATTGTGTACATCTTGGCGTGAAAACAATAATGAAAAAAAAACCAAATAGAAAAATAAATTTATACTTACAGCGTTTGTATGCTTCTCATGTAGTCGAACGTTCCGTTTGCCAGCGATTTGATATTGTTATCGTACAGTGACCTAGAAAAACAACATATTATAGTCGCTTAGGATTTATGTGTTAAGTCGACTACAGCTCTCAAGTTTGGTTATCTGCTAAAAGAAAAAGGTCCCGAGTCCCGACCAAAAACTCGTGGTGTGTGCATTTAAATAACGCAAAGGCACGCGGCCCGATAAAAGCATTATTACTATTATTAATAAATACCGACCACGCCGGAATCGAATCCATTGGTCCGGATCGCTTTTAATAGTAATAATACAAAAAAACACTGTATGTACTGAGAGTGTGTATAAACGGCGACAACCATCATATTGAATATCGGAGACGAGAGAACATTATGTACATTCATGAATATTCAACGAGTCCCTGTGCAAATCCCAAAGCCCGATTGTTTTCGCAGGTAATCCGAGTATACCCCTCCCCCCCCCCGAGGGCACCTTGCCCTACACCGGCTTAACACTAGCGGTACAGTCTGTATACAATTTCTTTAGATTTGGTGTCGTTTTTTTAGACGTTCTAGAACTTACACGGCACCCTGTATACACATATATATATATACTGTGATAGTATTATAAGCGGGAAAAATTAATAAACGCTCTCTCCTTTTCAATATTGCGTTTAGGTATTGTCAGATATTACACACTCTTATATGTGTACTTACAATAAATTGACGCTGTGCAAATCTCGGAACGCGTCCTTTCTTATACAGGATATTTCGTTGGCGTTCAAGAGTCTGGAAAAGAATAAGCAAAATACATTATACGCATGTTTAGTCGGGTTCATTTTGTTTTTTTTTGTACACTCACAGCAGCTGCAACGAAGTCAGACCGTGAAAAACGCCACCGGGCAAGTCTTTGATTTTGTTGCCGTACAGCATTCTAAATGGGTAAAAAAAAACGCAATTTAGTTTTATATAAGTTTGGTATCCAAGGAGTCAAGAGAGGAGATTAGAACTCCGTCTCAGAGTGGAGAGAATTGCCAAGAATATGTGTGGTTGAAAAATATATACTCGTATGTATAGAAATTTCGAAATAATAACTGTTTTAGGGTGTTGTACACTTGAGGCACTTAAGTACACTTGTTAAGAAAGATCCATTGGTGCAAGGAACGATAATTTATTGAAAGCGGACAAATATTTTTATAAGGGACGATGAGCTGGCAAAAACCGAAGATTTTTTTTTGGGAGGGGGGGGGAGAAGAATCAGCTGATTGAAGTTGCCGTGGAGGGATCTAAAATACGTTTTGACGACTTGACTGAATCGTAGATTTTGGACTACTTAAAAAAGTAAATAAGTCTACGGACACGTTTGAATATTTTGATATGTTTTCTATCAGTGGGTTTTCCGTTTGTTTTTAAAATAAAAGTATGGTTATAACCAAAACGATTGATCGGTTGTTAAGTTACATATTTCCATTCCCTTTTGCTATGACTGGGACTGCCGTCTACCCAAGCCGAGTGCTTTATAGGTTTAATTCGCCAGTAAACGAGATAAGCGGAGTAATTGTGATTATTTTTTTTTTGCCACCGTTCAGTTGCCGGCCAGTCTGGAGATAAAAAGTCCCCAGCAAACTTACACGCCGCCTGGTATTGGCATTAATGGATTTTACATATATTATAATATCGGCCGAACAAGTACAATGCAGATTTACTGTAGAGAGAGAAAGAGAGAGAGAGGGAAAACGAAGCTCTTGGCGGATTTGGAAACCGTTCAAAATACTACATTTATTTTTTATTTTTTACCGAGAAAATCGCCTTCAGGGCGAAAGGTGATATTTTAATACAAAACGATGGGATGACTTTTTTTACCATCGTCGGCAGTTATTATTATTGGCCGTAAGCCAAAAACAAGTTAGATATCCACTCCGGCATTAACGAATATCGACGCGATGCCCATGGCAGTAGTATTTGTATGAAAAAGCCAAATTTACAAATATATTATTCCTGTAGCTTACGGTCCGGTTTATCAAACTGCACCGATAAAAACAATTCCATACTTTTCCCCTGCCCATACGTTTGGTCAAAACTTAGTCATGAGAATCCAACTATTTTCATCTCTGTGCTGTATGGATAATGTTTCAGTTTGCATTTGATTTTTTTTTTGTTGTAGTCTATTTTAACATTCAATCTTTTAGACGTGGAAAATGAAGGTAGCCCTTTAAATTTATACGTATATTTACACATATATTAGCGCTATATTTTACATTATTATTATTTTAGAAATGGTGGTAATTTTGTTTACCTATATCTAGTAACAGTGGAAAATACATTAAAAAAAATATTTAACTACTTAAAGTTAAAAAAATACATGCGAATAGCATACTTAAACGAGTTTAACATTTTATTTAGAACTTGAATTTATGTTCTACATTTTTTCATTTTTTAAACTTAAAAAGTATTTAAATACATGTATGTCAAACTTTTATCTAGTTATTTTAATATTCTTTTCATATTTTAGTTAATTTGATTAGGCTATAAGATTATTTAATAAAAAACGAAGAAGTTGATATTTTAAGTCTATATATTTATATATATAAATATTTTTTAATCCTTCAGTGTTTGTTAAGGAATTTACCAAGAGAGCGTTTTACTCTATACTTCAGGAGTTCGTGTACTAAATACCCGGAACTATAATATAGTAATATATCAACACCGCTTCAAATACCGAACGTTTCCATTAATTGTAAAATCGTTTTTACCACCACTGTCGGGTATGCGAAAAAAGCGCAACCATCACGTTTCGGGTTGTTAATCACATTGTATTATTGCCGGCCGTTTATATACTCACAATGACGTCAGCGACTTGAGTCCTTGAAACGCGTCCACGGATATTTTGGTTATCTGATTCTTGCTCAGGTCTCTGCAACATGTAAAATACAAGAATGTTTTAGAGCAAACGGTCATCGGGGGGGGGGGGGCTAGTGTGTTGTTGTAGCGGGGCTTACATTCTCCGGAGCCGCTTGTACTTGACGAAAGCTTTGGGTAGGATTTCGGTGATTTGATTTTGCTCGAGTCTCCTGCAAACGGTAATTATTACCATCATAAAGCGTTCAACAACCATAATACTAATGTAAGACAACGATAGCGCGAAATGCTGTACACCGTGACTTACAGTTCGACGATGTCCTCCGGCAGTTTGGTCGGCACCTTGGTCAACGACTTCTCTCTGCAGTTGACGATGCCCCCCTCTTCGCAAGTGCACGGGGTCGGGCACGAGGACTTTTGATCCTCGACTCCGGGACCGCATTCCACGGTTTGACCGTTGAAATCACCGTCTGCACGTTAAAAAGATGCTCGTAAGTTACACATAACGAGGCCTTTTTGAAATATCAAAACAGCGTTCTAATCGACCGCTTTCGTGTCAGCGCAGTAACGACTAAATAAGGTAAGACGCGGACGACCTATGGTCGAGATGTTGTGAGCAGATCACACGGCCGAGAAAGGTCTTGTGTTTTCCCATTAAAAAAAACTGAACTGCACCAACGGGGGGGGGGGGACTGATGCTTTGGGGCTATTTAGCAAGCACAGTGGACATTATGAGCTCATCGAAGACAAAAGCGATAGCCGAGTTCTTTAATAAAAACCCAATCAATTAGCCTCTGCCTATGGTGATAACTCAAAAAAAGAATTAAGAGGACACTACCCACCCGTTATTTATCCGCGAAAAATGGTTTTGGAGAGGACAAGAATTCGAGGGCGGTATTTAAAATAAAAACAATACCCCATAGATAAAGTTCTTCTCTAAATATTGTGAAAATTTGGTAAATCTACTGTTAATACTGGCCTTATATACTTTTCCCGCGCAAAACAGTTCTGGAGCTTAGGGGTTAATTGTGCAAATGGCGTATTATCTTTTGGGCGTAATAACATACTATTGAAATATTACATTGCAAGTATATGATATATAGTTACCGCATTGCATGTGATATTTATGCATGTCGGACAGTGGCAACCCGGCCATGTTTGAAGGCCCGTGACAGTAAGTGGACGAACCGAGCCTGGGGATTCTTGGTAGCCATTGCTGGTAAAGCCAATCCAGAGAACAGTCGCATTGAAACTTGTTGTCGGACAACCGGACGTTTCGCAAACGGTACAGATCAGAAAACAGACCGGCCGGCAATGTAGTTAGGTTGTTGTTGTTCAAAGTTCTGCCGGAGAAAACACAATAATAGTATATCATAAAAATTAAAAACACGATTAAAACATAAACTTTTGATTAGAGTTGTGAGCATGTAATTACAGTATCTCCAAGTCTTTGAGTCCTTTAATGGATTGTTCGTCAACGCAGACCAGACGATTGTTGTCCATCAACCTGTAAACAAATCAAGACCACAATAACGTACACGGTACAACATATTGTATCGTTGGCGTTATCAAGAGAGAAAAAAAATGATATCATTATTCTTGGAGCGGCAGTGGTTATTGAAACCGCCGAACGAAGGGTAGGATATATAACGAAGAATAATGTGTATCAAAAAAGTTTTACCCCGTGGTTGCCGGACGGGGTTATTTGAATTTATTTATTTTTTATTCCCGCAGACGTTTCCACGGCGGTCGATTAAAAAACATAAAAGAAACCCTCCGGCGAAAATGATTTCACAATACAACAGAACAGCATAATGTACAATAAGAAACAAGTGTTACCAAAAAGAAAAGAAAAAGCGTTCATATAAATTGAAATTAAATTTCCAACAAGTTAATATTAATAAGTTTTAATATACCCGTTGTGCGGTTTTTTATGTATAATATTATATTTTATTATATTACTCTTTTTTTGTATACTTACAAAGTTCTCAGAGCTTGAGCACCTTTCAACGTGTTCTTTCCAATGTACAACAGTTGATTGTGACTGAAATCCCTGTAAGAAAACATTCAGAAAAAAATCCGTTAGTATTTAATTTTCATCGATAAAATGCTTGTCGAGGACGAAGTTGAATTATAAGTAGTTTAATAAATACCACAGTAAACATTTAACGACAGCTTTCCAAATGTCGTCGCCATATTTCAACACAATACTATTTCTTTGTAATAATAATAATTTACAAGTGATAATAATTTTTTTATATTTTATTCACGACGTATTCGGCCATAAGGCGACGGCATATACTATATTATTATATTGTTAATAGATTTGTTGACGTCTGGGGCGGTGTTTCTCATGATTCCCCCGAGTCTAGCGGGAAAATCAGAAAAATACTTGGTTTTGCTATTAAATTGATTAGGTTTTCCGTTGATCCGTTTTACTTTTTGCCGGAGAACATCCCCGGGGTCGGCGAGGTCTACCGGTAATTAACTTAACGCTTCACCGTGTATATACAACAATATAACGCCTCAGATTTTCGTAGGACAGAGTACCTGTATTTATTTAGTTTTTCTCTTCACCTGGATATAATAAAAAAACGCTAACGCTAACGTGCCGGATAAAAACGCTTCCGGTTAGTGTATAAGCGATGAAAAATGAAAATCGACATCGTACAGGTAATACCTGTACTCGCAAAATGAACACAATATGTAAACAGAACAATAGGTTTATGTATATATATTTTTTTAATTCTAGCGAAGAAACGTTTATTTTTACAGCTTTAATCAGCTACTGGTAAGAAAGGTACAGAAACAACGTTGTGTAAAATCAAAAGAAGCGTTAAAGGGAATCGGTATTTTTTTTTTCTTTTTTGTTAATTGCTAAGCGCTACCCCGTCAAGAAGTGTGTCTTCGGGCAACACCGTTCCTTTTTTTTTTTTTTTAATTGCGTTTTAAATAACGCCCGCGAATAATAACGTCATTAAGACAAAACACGAAATCCGCAAACGTCTGTGTCAATTGTTGTTATTATTATTACTGTAAAAAAAACTAAAAAAAAATCAAAGCGCCGCATCGGTTGTAGTAAAAAAATATTTATAAATATATAACAAAACTGTTTTAACGACCATAGTCAAAGTCCTTTTCGAACGGGGTTTTTTTTTTTGTACATTTCATTTATTACGAGAATCCTACATGTCTCCTGGGAAACCTCGGCTGTGATGTAATCTATATGATAATACACGGGGCATTCCAGTAGTATAATATCGCAGCCGTTTGTATATTATGAAAGTTTCAGTCGTCCCTGTCGCGTTTGTAATCTCCATTTCGGCACACGACCCTCAGACGGGCACGGACCCCATATGTATATATGTTCCTTTTGTCGCCTCTCTCTGTACGCCACAGCCGCCGTTAAAAATAAGCGATGACTGATCGGAGTAGGTGATTCACGCACACCTTCATATTAATCGAAGAATTTATATTTTTATATGTATATATATATTGAAGGGGGAGAAGACGTAGAGAGAGAGTGAGAGACTCTCGACGGGGTGACAGCTTTGCGGGCAATAATAATCATTCTGGAAAAATAGGGGACGGCCAACAACAATCGGCGTTTTCTAAGAGAGAGCTAAAGAAGGGGGCCGATGTGTATGTGATGAAGAAACGATATTATTATTATTATGTGCGGTCGTCACATGTGCGATTATGGGCGGTGGGTACCACTTTGTAAGGGCGGAGTGATTCACCGGAAATCGCCGCCGTGAGTAACGGTCAAAACAACATCCATCATTGGAATCGTCGAATCACTTTGGTTTGTTTGAACGCCGCAATTACATATTAGTTATTGCCATTGATATTTTTTTTCTAGTACTTATTTTAATTCACATTATTTTAACCCGTTCCTTAGCACGGATTGGTTAAAATCTGAATCCCAAACAGAACCTCATCGTTGATCCTACCATATTACATTCATATCTGTCTATCAAACTATTTTGTGATCAATGTTGGCTTTGGGTACTGTACAAAAAGCTCTACCCCTAAAAAACGTTGATTAGGTTTGTTTCTGATAAGCACTTGAAATATTGCGGTGATAGCCAATTCAGAATATTTCAAACTAAATTCAAAGACATATTGCATATTTTATCATAAATAACTATAATGTAGATTGAATTAACATTAGAAATCATATTAAATACATTTTAATGCTGTAGTTAATAAAGGTTTTACTAATTATTTAATATTTGCTCGGATCACTTAATTCAGGGCTCATCGTTGGCGATGAGCAGATGGGTTTTATTGATACTGCCTAGTCACTTTTGGGGATCTTATTTTGTCGTTTAGGAATTAGACATTTCGCGTGGCAGTTTTATTAAAGATATTCGATTAACGATAAAAATTTTGATTATAATGACACTACGTCGGTAAAGCAAAGAAGGAACTCCGGAGAAATTACTGTAGCTTGACTGAGCACTACAAGTAGTAACTAGTGAAGTATTACAATATTATTGCAACTGCACTATATCACACTCGCTGGGTTCGTAATGACCGAAAGAAAACATGGGTTACACGGAGCGGCTATAATACAGCTTGGACAAATTACAATATAGGTTTATTTATTACCTATAAATCGAGTACGACGTTATGATTTACGGCCGGTTTATTACTGCGTTAATCAGATAATGTGTCAAGTAAGAAACTATACTATGTTAAAACGCCAGCGATAGTTTTCGTCCGCCGAGCAAACCCATAATTATTCTCTGGCTAATCCGCTTTGCGTTACACAACACAGCGACAGGTTGTCGGATATTAATCGGCCATGTGTCGGACACGGGCAATTAACTTTAGTGTGTGCTACTCGTCCGACAGAAATTAAACGTTATCAATAGCCAACTACAACAATGCTGAAAATCCGTGCCTGAAAATTGAGATTGTATTTTTTATTAGATGCAAAGTAAAATACACCTGCGTGTGGTCACCCTGTATTATACTTTGATTTCAACCTTTAATGTTAACTTTTTTACGGTTCTTTTAAACCCGTCCGGGACGTCCGTCCGGCTAACGTATATATGTATACTTTGTAAATCCTCTTATGGACCTACACACGAGTAACCGACGAGTGTTTTGGGGTAAAAAAAAAAAGAGCTTAGATTACATGTCTTACGCCGTGTGAAGTGAAAATTACAAGCGACACCCGCCAGACGGATTTCAGCACCGTTGTCGCATTAAAAATGCATTGTTCTAGTGAAAACTTAAAGAAAAATATAAAAAACAAAGTACCGAAAAGTGTAGGGTTCGCGCGAGCAGCTTTCGCGGTATTGCCTCGGTCGTACATACATATATTATATAACATGTAATAAGATTGAAAATACATTTTGTTGTTTACCTATAATATTATATAGACCGTGCCGGAGTAGAGTATACAAAAATAATACATAAGCTAGCACGTGGTACATATACTCGATTTGGTTTTCCACTGAGCTGAAACATGTGTTATTAAAAAAACCTATTTTACAACCGCGACACGGTGCGATTATTAAGTTGTCAGCGGCAATCTTATTATCATTATAAGTATAATAATATTTCATAACAATGGTGTCTGCCCGACGATTACCGGTCACCGGCACCACACTAAAGATAATAATATGCTCTACCGAGGGTCGAAAGAATGCGTTTGTCGATTCCAAATTTTTCGTCATCCACAAACCGCACCCCTTTACCGTACCTAATACCTATAGTACCTAACCTGTGTCGTTGTTCCAAGAGGGTCGTCTATTGTTTAAAACGATTCTTCACGTACCGCGGCGGGTTGGTTTGTGTGTAGGAAATAAAAGAAAACAACAGCAAGAAGAAGAAGATGCACCTAGCTATGCGAGAAATATGATTATTTATGCGCAACACGTGATCTAGCTGGGCGACGCTGCTAATGGATCCACAAAAGTGACTAATGTACGTGAAACCGACTGGCTTCGAGGGTCACGCTGGTACCCCTTTCCAAAGTCAGAATATATATATAAATCTGTCCTCGTGCGTCGGTTAAACTATATGTAATTTTTCATGCACGTGTATAATATGATGCGGGTAGACTTTTTTACTTTAATAGCGGTTTTTAATGAAAACAATTTTCACGCTTTAAGGGCACGCCGCCCTCCGGAGGAGGTTGACATAGTTTAGTGACTTCAAGAGCGGCGTTCCCCCAGCTTTGCTTTGAGAGTAGTAACTCTGGAATACCCGCCGTCGATACACGGTTGTGCGCGGTAGGTGTTTTAATGTGTAAATATTATAAAAAGCGACTTGCACGGACGATAACAACAGAGCTGAGCGAGCCACGAATTCTAAACTTTGCTCGGCGTTAAAGTGGAAAAGTTGTAGAGCGATACAATGTATATATATAGATGTTTTCCATGTCAACGGTTCAGTTATTTTCATCTACTTTGAGTTACACGCGGCTAACAAGAGCAAGAAAAAAAATATATAATAATAATGATCACACGCCCAAGAGTAGTCTTATTTTCCACGTTCGCTGTAACTATACTGTTGAACTACCACGTTAGTCTTTTAATGGTATTTTAATAGTTATTTTATTGTAATTTAAGTCGGAAATAACGACGGACGCTGAGAACTATTTCCGCATTCCCGCGTCTACAGGCAAATTTCATCTGTTTTAAATGATCCATTAAAATATTTATAAAAGCTACACCTCGAATAACTGGCGCGGTTCTTGTACAATTTCCCAGTCGTTATTATTGTTAAAAAATGTAATTAAATTAAAAAACAAATTTTCGTATTGTATTATTATTTTTTTGTTCTGAACTTAAATTGAATGTTAACGCATACATTTTATTGACTTTTAAAATTGAGAATAATGTACTAACAATTTTGACTGGTTGATGAGACCAGTTTTGGACGACTTTTTTAAAAGTTAGGGCGGGAGGGGAAGTGCGCGCAGATAAAAATACTACTACACTCCACTTTTCTTCCTGCCCTAAACTTGAAACTTCAAAAATAGTTGTCCGAAACTGGTTATCGAACAGTCAAAATGTTTAGTACCTACATTATTCT